TTTCACTGTTTGCACGGAGTGTGTACAAGCAGGCATGTATGTATTCACGACATAGCGCTTATGTCTTTTGGGCTATGTACGTAGGTATGTATTCGCCGATGTTCTTGTCAGCACCGCGTGTTTCGCAGGAGCCAAGCAGGCCAAGGATCCTGAAGCTATTATCGTCTGAGCCCTCCCAAGTCACCAACATCTGATAATACATGTACTTGTTTTTGACGCCCTACTGACATGTAGCCAGATTTGCCGCGGGCCGTCTAATAGCCCGAGGCCAGTCCCCTGCCATGGACGATATCGGGATTCGATTGCCCATTCATTGCCAATGATCCCTTTTGATCAACGGCTGATCAAGGAACTGATCCTCCGGCTGGGACCTTGGGGATGGATTGATACCCATGCTTCGCTGTTCTTTTGGCTCTATGCGTTTTAATCTATTTCCATGCTGCCATGCCTCGTCGTATGACCCTTGGGCTCTTCCCCCTCCCATTCATTGTTCTCTGCTGAGCAGCCAATTCACTCGCTTCATCACATCTCAGCAATGCCGAGAAGCGAATGGAGGGTCATGGCAGCACGTCATAGTGTCTCAGGCAGATGAGAGAAAGACCAATCCCGATCTCGACAGACATGCGAAGAGAAACCATCTCGCATGATACATGTACTTGTAGCTACTACATGATACGCAGGAGCGGGACTAGGTTATCGTCGGGACAGACGAACTTGGGTAGTGACTCGAGGTTGTAATTGATACTCAGTCGATACATCCAGCACACGGCACGGGAATGATGGTCAAGGAAAAAAAAAGGTGCGGTGAGGAGATTTTCATGTCGACGACTCATGTTCTTGATGCCAGATGACGATGGACGGGAAAACTAAGAGATGACGGGTGACGAGGTTGGGGAGCAGGGCGATGGTTTCAAAACATCTCGTTGGTCGAGGAGTCCATTTGTTCTCCAGCTAACAGTTTGGATGGGCTGATGGCACACAGATACTCGCAAGTACAGAATGATACGACTTGAGAGAAAGCAGATTCGTCTTCACGCCGTTTCATTAGTGCAAGTACGTAGTCTGTTTATAGCCGCTCGCAATAGAACACTCCCCTCCAAGTTGATGGTCCTCTACTAACGAAGCAAGGCGCAAAATAGCAAAACATGCCGAGACAGCGGCATCATCCCGCCAGAAACTCTGGGATCGCATTTTCCCATCCGCAATGACGTCGATGAGCGAGCTAGCAATGCCATCTTGCCGTGGGGAACATTTGGGGGGCCATGTTCTCGGCCTCGCGATTTGTCGGTAGCACAGAATGTTGTACTACTACTGGTTGGCATATGGAAGAGGAGAACTGTGAATGGAACCGGCAATTCAGGAGCCGGCGAGCTGAAAGATTTTTTGTGGGCGCCGTAATCTTTTAGACAGGACGGATGTGTAACACAGCGTTCGTTGGGACTTCTCCCTCACAGATTCATCTGCAACAGAACGATCCCAAGGGACGAGACACCCAGGGGGGCGTGTGAACCGGGCAAAGATGCTGTGTAACCAACTCTGATCGTGCTGCTCTCGAAGGCTGAGTTTCTTGTTACTGTAAGGCTGGGGGCGAAAAAAGGGGACCCAAAGATCGAAATCTGGTTGCCGAAGGGATTCTCAGGTCGAGGCAGGCAAAAAGACGTGATCTTGACATTGTAGTTGTAACTGGCACAGCGGCTTGCCAGTCTTGCCCAAGTTATCGTATTTCCTTTCACAAGCTCGTACTGTACTGTACCGCAACATTTTCAGCTCCGGGCTGATGGACATGATGATTTTCATCCGTCCGCGCCTAGTCTCCTTTGTTAGCGGATGATCTCTCGTGCTGAAACTGATGCAAGCAGGCGGAACAAAATAGCACAACAACAACACCAACAAACCGCATTACCGGCACCTTGTTGTTTCCCGCAAGTCGTGTCGTGTACACACGACTTCCAAAGTTGGGTGCCTTACTAGTAGGTACGGGAGCATCTTGATGAGAGCCAAACCGAATCAGCAGACCTGACTTGCATCTTCCCCTCCTCCACCCTGACCTTGATGGCTGTGGGCACTTTGGACAAGAGTCTCGGTTTCCTCGGAGAATTACCACATCGATTCTCCTTCTTCCCCAGACATTTCGACGCAGGAAAAGAAGGGGAAAACAAAACAAAGTTGGATATGGAGCACATGCGTGGGGTCATTTGCGTCTGTCACCGAAACGAATCCGCGGCCGGCCCCCCTCTTTTCTCCCATACCGAGCTCGACTACAAGTACACTTTGAATTACAGTACGGTACGGAGTGGTATCACACCATGGAGATGAAGAAGAGGAGAAGGAAAAGAAGCGCGAGTGAGATTGTGTCCACCCCCTCCGGAAAGTGGGGTGGGCAAGGGATTGAAGGAATTGGACAGGTTGGGGGATGGGTGAAAGAATCCAGAAAGACTGCAGCTGGTGACAGCAGCCAAGACTTGCCGCTGGCCACGATGCCGTTTTGGCCCGGCCTGGCTTTGGGCCTTGGTGGTGACGATGACCATCTGGCGTGGGCTGGACCTTGATTGACCCCCAAACATCTGGAGCCGCCACGGACAGACACACACCCTCTTCGATGCATGGAACGGTAATCGGGAGGGATCGTATTCTTTTCGTGCCAGCCGCTGTTTTGCTCACGCTCTGATTCCATGCATGGCCACGCACTCTTGTTTCTCTTGTAGCTTGGTGTCGTTGCTTTCCCCCTCCTCCCCTCCCCATCCTCCTCCTCACCCCCAAACCCGTGTGTGCGTGCGTGCGGCTGGGACTTTACCAATGTTACACAAGGCCACAAGACGCCCTCTCTGCCGTTCTACATGCAGTCGGGCAGCCATCAGAGCCAATGTCTCAGTCGACGCCTCTCCGGGGTTCGGGTTCGGGTTCGGCCCTCTATTAGTGCGGTTATGTTGGAGAAGGGCATCAACGGATGGTCGAAGCAGTGCCATACATACATAGACAGGCACACACACTCTCCCACCTCTCTCACTCTCACACACTCACATACACACGCATGAAATCCTGCATCCAGCAAATCACCAGCCAGCTTCCCCACGCCCTACCTCAACCGTAGGTACGATACGATACGATGGCCAAAGAGAGGGCCATTCTTTCTGCTGCTTCCCCCGCTTTCTGTCGAGTCCAGCGATGTGGTTGCTGGTAAATCCACATTAGTGGACGATTGTTGGAGATGGGCAAATCGGGCGTTGCATCCTTTTTTTATTTTTCCCTCTCTTTCTTTTCTTTTATTCTTTCTGAAACATCGGCCGCTTTGTCTGATTTGCCCCGAACTCTGAAATGACAGGCCGTTCCGCTGCATCTGCTCGACTCGTGCTCCCCATGTCATTGTGCAGCAAAGACAGACAACGTTCAATGGAGCTCCGCAGTGAACAACAGCCATGCCCTGTAGACCATGTACTTTTGCCAGAGGAGGCTGTAACATTACCTTCAATTTCCGTTCGGACATGACTCTCCCATCAACAAAAGAACATGGGCCGAGATGCTTCCGTCCAATTCCCAGCCGCAGCCGCATATCGAAAAGACAAAGTCCCTTTGCCTTTTTTGCCCTCTTTTACCACCCCCTGCTTTTTCTGCTTTCCCGTCTGTGTTATGCTTCTGCCTACGAAGTACTCCGTAGATCGTTCTATGTTCCTTTTCGCTCCGCTTGTATACTGACTAGAAGACGGGAATTTGCATGAGGTTTCTCCTCCCTCCTTGCACTAGGATGCCTGTTCCCGAGCGAGACCAGCCGCGTCTTTTTTCATGTATCGCTGTGGTGTTCCCGCTCGCTCGACCGGGGACGAACAGACAGCCTTCTACCTACCTACATACTACCTAGGTAGCTTACCGGCTGCAGAGGTGACAGCAGATAGCATGTATGTACATACGAACAGTACTCTGCAGTATCCGTTCTACAAGTACATTACCCATCACTCGGAGGTTTCCCTCGCCCGCTCGTTTCGCTCCGCTCGCTACATATTGGTGGGTTTGGGGCCGCTGGGCGATCAGCGCGAGGGGGGGGACGGAGCGCCGTTGATCCTTTCTTTTTTCTCGCCGTCTGCTTTGCTTTGCGTTTGCCAGGGGAGGTTTTGGGAGTGTCGGATTGCATGCGATATGCAGCGTTAGATCGCAGATGAATTAATTATCGTACGATCTCGGTGGCGACAGATGGGACTCTCGAGTGGGCGAGAGGGGACAACCAACGGGCATGCCCCTGTTCTGAGCGGCGGTTGTGTGTGTTGTGTATGTGTGTGGGTGTCTGTGTAGATGTCGAGCTTTGAAGTTGGAGAAGGCTTCCGGACAAGGCTGCGATTGCGACTCTCTCACTCACAATGTGCTCACCATATTGTCATTGTTCATCTCCTTTCTTTCAAAGCAACTGTGTTTTTGACTTATCGTGACTATCTGGCTTCTACCTAGCCGTTGAACGTGTGCGCATGTGCTTCATTATCTTCGTTTCCATGATTCTCGTGGCATCATCTCCCCCATGCCCTGAATATTCCGCGATTTCTTTCCTTGTCCCTGGCTTCTGGCTTCCTTTGACTATGTACTCAAACAAAAGCAGCAAGATTTCGTGGTTCCCATTGAGGTATCGTCAACCCAATCACTCTTCTTTCCCTTAGATCACCAGACCTTCCCCTTTGGCTTCTCCGACCTCCGGCTCACTCTCGTTCTTAGGAATCTCATCGACCTCCATCCAAAGTCGCTCTGCTGACCCCCAATCAACTCCCCAACGAGGATTGGATCTTTGCGCCGATCACTGCCATGTTTCGCCTCCCAGGACAAGAAGCGCACGACAGAAGGAAACCCTACTCTCTGTTTTTTTCTGCTTCCGGGTCTTTTTCTCCGAATTTTCAGTGTTTTTGTTGTTTTAAATTCTTTTTCAATTTCCGCTAGGCACCTCGTCCTTCGCCGTTGGCTGGCCCCCCCTGACAGTTGGCCTCAACCACCTTCTCAGGGAATGGACGATTACTTCCGACCATGACGGTTACTTGCTGCCGCCATCGTGCTGGCCGCTGACGTTGCGGCCCGATCGGAGAGCCTCCTTGCTGGCCTTCCGGAGCTTCCAAGCGGTCGTCTCGACTCGCAGGCCCAGCGGGTTTCGGTTTCTGCTGTGAGAGGGTGCCTGACCACCTTGTCCCGGTTGGGCTGGGGCGTGTCCGACACCAGTCACAGCGCCGGTCAAAGTGCCTGCAGGTGCAGCAGGAGCAGCAGCGCTTGCGGAGGGACGAGATGCCGATCGCGTGCCGGGAATCTGCCTCCCACTTCCAGATGGACGAGGGGGCACCGGCGGCAAAGGAGTCGTGGGAGCTGGGGAGGGCAGACCCTGATTGACCCAGTCGTTCGTCGCGCCCGTCCGAGTAACAGGATTGCTGATCTGCCTGCCACGCGTGTCTGTAGCGCCTCGCCGGCCATCAGATGCCCAGGTGCCGTTATTCATCGTGCGCTGTCCATGTGCCTTTCTGCCGGCCTCAAAGCCGACGGTAGCCCAGGGAGGACCTGCGCCCATTGGACGGGCCGGTGGCCTTGGCGGCTCGATCTCTCCGGTCAGGGCGCGGGCTGTCTGCTCTCGGAAGAACTTGATACGCTGTCGTTCGTATGGGCTCTCCTCGTCACCCGACGTCCGTGTCGAGGCACCAGTAAACGGGCTTCGCTCCTCTCTGAAGGGCTGCCATTGACCGATGGGCTGATGGACTGATATTCTAGGCGTAGTCAGAATGGTCGGCGTGATGGGGGGCTGTTGAGGAGTCTGGAACGCTGGCTGCGGCCGCGGTTGTAGCCGTGGCTGCGACTGAGGCGGCTGAGGCAGTTGAGGCGTTTGAGGTTGTTGAGTCTCCGTACGGTTGCGATTGCGTCTTCGGAAAAGGCTCCCCAGCGTTGTGGCCGGCGTGTTGGCAATTTTGCGCTCAGAAGCAACAATCTCGGCGGGTGGCAGTGGCACAGGTCGATCAAAGAAGGTGCTGGGTCGAGCATGAGCAGTCGACGGACGACGAGTGCTGATATCATACCGTTGTAGAGAGAAGCGATGAACGTCCTCCAGGTACGTGTGCTGCGGCACGTGTTCCTCGGATATGCTATCCTCGTAGTCGTGATCTTGCTTGGAGCCCGTATCACGCTCCCTGGCTGTGGTTGTGTTAGCACGGCTTCTGCCTTCAATGACTGGCAGGATAGTCGCCTTGTTGCCCTGAGCTCTGTGCAGCGCGAAGCTGCTGACGTTTGTAGAGGTGATTGGCTTTCTTTCCATCACTCTTTCGGCCGTATGCTGTGGGAGCTCTCGGTGCTGCTGGATGCTCATATCTCGTCGACGAAGCATTGGCGTGGTGAAGACTGGTGACTCGGCTGTTTCCAGCACCTTCGGCGGGAGGACAAACGGCTTCGCTGCTTCTGGATGCTTTTCCAAGAATGCCTTTTCGTAAGGCCCAACTCCAAAGAACTCGTCCAGATCACTCAGGGTAGGGGAGTGTTTACCCGTCTGAGCCTGGGGTTGAGGCTGAGATTCATACTGGAGTTGGGAGATGTTACTCGCTGCTACTGCATCGTACATCTGGTTCATGGAATGCGCAGGTCTTGGCCCGTGAGTAAGTCTCTCGGGCCGCTCAGCTGGGTAGCCTGTTCCCTTGGCTGGGCCAGGCTTGGACGGAGTGATGATGGCTGAAACAGAGCTGCTAGAGTTGGAGCTGCTCGATAGACTCCGCGGGATTCTGATAATGTCCGTATTCTTGTCAGCCTCGTAAAGCAGTGATCCAGGGAGGGGTACAAAGCCCGACTCATAGGATTTGATTCTTTCGTTATACTGAGGAGGGGCAGTATCCTTGACCGGGTTGGTGGGCTTGGGCGTGGGCTTGGGCGTGTTCTTGGACGGCTGGATGTTGCCCGCTGCCTTGTGATTTGACTTGGCCCTCGCTGGTTTGTTAGACGGACTCTTCCTTGGCTTCGTCGCCGTAGAAGGATTCTTGGAAAGATTTAGGGGAGCGGGTTGAAGCTCCGGTTCCATGTACCCATCCGTATGCCAGATATCGGCAGACGAAGCTTGCAACTCAGCGTCATGCTTGCTTTCAACCACCTGCACCTGGCGAGCGTCCTCGACTCGGAGGCGACCCCCTGACTGCGTAAGGATACCTTGCACCATATCCTCTGTCGTGGCTCTCGACCTTTGCTCAACCGCAATGGGGAAGTGGGTTAGCGGAGAGCGATCCGATGACAACGAGTTGAAGGATGCACAGCTATAACTGAACGGGATACCGGGGCGCACAGGAGATTCATCGCCAGGCGTTGTAAGCTGTGCAGGGCGACGAGGCCTAGCTGGGGTTTGCGGAGCGTCTCCAGTGCTCTTGGTATCATCGCCAACGAAGACGGCAGTTTTTGAACTTTCATTTGAATAGACAGATGAGGTCTCGACGGCATCTTCGCTGAGCTGCGGTGCGGTATTCTCAGCACTCTGGTTATCCTCAGTCACGGCTGTGGTAGGCTCCTCGGCCATCAGCGGAACCGAAACACGTCGGGCCTCTCGTTGGCTCATCGGCGACGGCCATAGATGTCGATCGTCAGAGTAGAGATCTTCGTCTTCTCTTTCGTTGGTGGAGATGGATGACACGGTCGATGCAAAAGGTAGAGTCTGAACATTGTCGACCGTTGAGAAGCTGCTTCTGAGGTCAGTAGGTGATTCCCAATGCCAAAGACTTGATCAACAGACGAAACTTACTTCTTCTCCTTCACGTCAACTCCAGGCGCAGGGTCTTGAGCCGGGTTTTGATCGCTCAAAGATAGCACCACCTCGTCTTGGAGTTTTGTCCGAGCTGGAACTTGTGATGCTTGATGGAATCCCGAAGACGACACGTCCATCATCGTCGTGAGGCCGGAAGCCATGGTGTCAAAATTCAGGGACAGCCGAGGAGGTTTAGCAGGCACCGACATCGTGCCCTTGACAGTCTCTACCGAGTCGGCATCCGACTCGTGTCCTTTGTCACGAGCCGCCAAGTTGAGGGTCTTTTTGCTGTCCTCATTGTTGCCGAGAGAGAAGCGGCGCCTGATAGTGGACGGAATCTTGGGCAGTACGAGGAAGTTCTCCCAGTGCTGACCCCAGAGCCAGGCCTTCTTAGGTGGAGGCAGCTCGCACTCCCGCTTCTCTTTCTTGGCATTGGCTTCTTCGACAAAATATAGTCGCGCATATTCCATGTTAGAAAGTCGTGGCTCGCGCATACTATACTTGACGTCAACCTTCGGCAGCGAGGAACGGCGACCATGTTCTTGGCCATCATAGCTCTCCGGCCTCCTTGTTGTAGTTGGTCTATCCACCGATTGCGTCGAAGAGGCTCGCTGACTGTAGAGGTTCTGCTGGTTGTTTCGGACCCCTTCGGGTAAAGACGATGTACGCAGACTGAAGCTGTCTCGAAGTTGAGCGTTGGAGGCCTTGGGACGAGTAGGGGGCCGAAGAGGGAGATGAGCAGGCTGCTTCACCAGCTTTGCACTCGACCTGGCCTTGTCACCAGCCAAGACGGTGGCAAGCTGTGAGACTTTGGAGCTGCTCGGTTCACCAGACTGCAACTCTGGATGCGAACGCATTCGCTCGAGAAGCTTGAGGCCGTTCCTTGTGATGGTCGACCTCATGGACATGGGGATTTCGGGAGTCGGAGGGACCGGAGGAATATCCTCATCCACCCTTTTACTCCTCCTCTGCCTGGTTTGCAATAGCCTCTGTCTTGTGGATAACGCCTTTTGTTTAGGCGGCAGCAGCTTTTGCTTCGTGGGCAGCGGCGGCGTCTTCTTCAGCTTTCTGGCAGGGTCGAACGTCTTGGCGGCAACCCTCTCCCCTTTGACAACAGTTTCATCACCGGCATCATACTAGAATTTGCGGCGAAATTTCTGCTTTGGGAGGAGAAGCCCCAGTTGGGCCTTTTCTCGTGAGTCAAGGTTCAGGTCCTTTGCAAGTGGATGTTGATCGAAGGCGGTCTTTGAGAGGGTGGAAGTGCTTTTGACTCGCAGCTTCGGTGCTGATGAATCGTCAAACGCAAAGGCCGCGCCGTCGGTCTTGGATGGTGATACCTCTCGCCCTGGGAGGCCCTTCAGGAGGGGGTTTGGAACAGGAGGGGCGGATGCCACAAATTCAGGAGAGAGGGGCCTTTGAGAACCAGCCAGCTCTGCCACTTCGCGGGGGCTCTGGGGAGAGCCTCTGAGGATAGACTTCACCATGACGACAGAGTTCGGGGTAAAGGAAGGGCGACGAGACGCCGACTTCCGGCGAGAAGTTGGGGCCTCTGCCAGCTTGAGAACGTTGAAGCACAGCGTCTCGATTGCCTTGAACTCCTCGATGTACTGAGTGAATGCCTTGTATGCAGCTTCATACCTGGGCAAGCCACACCAGATGAACAACTTCTCCTGAATGAAGGCTTGCTGCTTTTCGCCCGATGGGTTGTCTCCGAGAAGATGGACAAGGATTGCAAACCGGATGCAGTCGAGAAGAGAGTTGGTGTATGGAGCAAGACTCACGTCTTCCGAGTTCTTCAGTAAGTCCTGAGCAGGGAATAGGGCATTGACGACTGCCATGATCTCCACAGGAGGTTTTCTGGTAGCTTCTGAGTGCTGCATCTCGAGGGTGACCGCCTGAAGAGCACAAGTTAGCCAACGAAATGAGGGTATGACACTTGTAGGAACTCACAGATGCTCTGAAACCCATGTAAAAAGTGGCAAACTTTTCCGTTGCCTTCTTATTGAGCTCTTGGATCATCGCCGCGGATGGATAGGCGGGGTGATTGGGCTTGAAAGTCAAAGGGGTATCAGCGACGAGTCGGCGCCGGCGAAGCTCGACGACGTTGAGGTCAGCGAGGCCTTCCAAGACCCTGTCGAGGTCCAGGCCACCGTCCTCTAGTTTCTTGAACGTGTTGAGGCTGAGCTCCCTCAACTTGTTTCGAGGATTGCAAGAAACATCAGGAGCCTGGTGCGAGGCAAGTCGGTCCGCATACTGTCGGAGAGCCTCCAGAAGCTTGGCATCGTTGTCAAAGCCTCGCTGTCTGCGTTGAATGATGCCCTCAAAGCCGACGTGCTGAGGACTACATCCCACCGTCTCCTTGTCTACAAGTTCTTTGAGGGCGTCAAGACCCGTGGTGAGCCACCACTCCAGATGCTCCTGGGGAGTGATTGGCATTCCGTCAAGTGGCGTCAGAAGATGAGTTGAAGTTGATCTGTTGACCAAGTAGCTGGAGTTGATTTGTTGATCAAGGAATTGGAATATCGAATGTGTAGGGAGTCAATATTAAGGGGAAAAATGCAAAAGTGAGGAGAAGAACTGCTTTACCGAGGAGGCAATGAAGAAGAAGATGCTAGGAATTTCGAAAGAAGAAGCGAGGCTGGGGTTGTAATGATTGTAGGAAGAATTACGGCAGAGTGTTGAGGAGGAGAAGAGCAGAAGAGGAGAAGAGGCAGAGAAAACGAGATCCCCCGCCAATGAGCGTGCCAAGAGCTCTGGAAGAACTTCCCCCATGGAGATGAGGGCCTTACTCACGCGTAGGGCGACGCGTCTGGTGGCGGGCCGTTCAGATTGCGCTCACTTGCTATCGTGGGAGAGCCGGTTGGTGTGCCAGTTGAGAGACGTACAAGGCTAATAGCTGCTAGGGAAGTTCTTCTAGATATTCGTTCACGGCTACATCGGGCAACGAGGCTGCAGGACACAGGAACTACGTAATGCGAGTAGATGCACATCTTCACAGCACCATCTGGCTCCTTCTGGAGCCCACGTCATTCGCATCTATCACGACTGGAGAGATCGATGCCAAAGCCCAGATGTCCGACCCAGAACCGGAGCCTCGAGATCGACTCCCATCGTCCGTCTGCCAGGCAAGTGCCACCACCCACGGCTGCCACTGCACGCACGAAGCTGATGCGTCACGTGTGCACGGAGCTGACGCCCCTCTTTTTGTTTCTGCAGTTTGTCTTTGTTTACAAGAGCTGTGGGTTCGGCTAAGTAGGTAAGGTATTTCGTAGGGCAAGGGGGACGCGCGGGCGATGAAGGGGCATGGACGCAGCAGCATCACGAAGAGAGCATCAGTACAGGTACGCATCACCAAGCTGGCGGGATGTTGTTGTCTGCAGCAATCTATAAAAACAACAGGGGCAAGTTACAAGTAGGCTTCCGGGGTCTGGTTGTTCTTCTGCAGGTAATCCCACTTATTGCCGTAGCTGGCCAAAGACCCCATGCTCTTTGATAACATGGAGGTAACACGGACAATTTGACAATCTACAGAGGCAGGGGATCTCCTCGATGTGAATGTAAAATGCAACGCGCCACAGAAATCTTGGGCCGGGGGCCACGCACCAATGATATTCCCCCTGGGAGGCCGCCGGATCCAGAGCCAGCAATTCCAGCGCTGAAACCCCTTTAATACGGCCAACGGCCCAGAGGCGCCAGGGGCAAAGGCACCTAAAGCCCTGTGAGGGTGCGCCAGTAGACGTCAGTATCGGGAATGCCAAGCAGCTAAAGGGACAAAGGTCGCCAAGGCGCGGGAGAAGAGTACGAGTACATACAACTACATCTCCATGTCCCGAGCGTCCGTCAACCTCCAGTCTGGACTTTTGAACCAAGTCGTGAAACCACCACCGGATTCCAGAGAACGGGTACCGAGTACATCTTGCAGACAGAGACATCCACGATGCTACGCCAAAGCAGTCGCTTGACTCGGCAGATTCCGCAGTGTCTACCCAGCAGGCTGGGCCGCGGCAACACGCGACTGGTGTCATGCAGGCCCCGGTTTTCCACTCAGGCAGCTCGACGACAAGCTGGTACGTTATGATTTGCTGCTTCTGTTTGTGTTGTTGACTGGTTTTCACGGGCTCAGCGCCTTGTGTTTGATCGTCTTTACTTTGGCATGTTGTCAACGCTGTTCAGGGGAGGAGTCCGGGGCAGTCAGTGGTGGCTTTGAAGTAGACCTTGTTGCGCCACCACGCGTCTCCAGCTCTGTCGTCATTTCATATCCAGCGATAGACTGAGATGAGAGCCTCGGTGTCGCTGCATATATAAACTTATATATAGAGCAAATCGCACAATGTCAAATTTCAAACGACTAACCCTTGATCACCAGACGAAAGACCTTCACAATTCCCTTCTGCTCAAAGTCGCCATTATGAGCCTCAAGACTCCCTGCTCAAGAAAATGGGCGAAAGTGCCGCCACCACATTCGCCTCCATCGTCGTTCTCGCCCTCGGATTCGCCGGTGCTGGGTACATCTACCACAAGAGCTACAAGATGCTCGTCCTCAAGAAAATGACCCGCGCCTTTGAACCAGGCGACCCTGTCCTGGACTTGGCAACAACCGCCAAAGAAGTGCCTCGAACAATTGCTCCTGAGGACGAGCATTGGGTCCAACGCCCGGAGCAGGCGCACGTGGACAGAATCGTTGACGGGAGGGAATCTGGCCATTACTATCTCTTCATGGGAGAGAAGGGCACGGGGAAAAGCAGCATGCTGATCGAGGCTATGCGCAAGACTGATGGCGACGGCGTGGCCATGTTTGAAGCCCACGCCGACACCGAAATCGTAAGGATACGCCTCGGCAAGGCGCTCGACTACGAGTTTCATGAGGACTACATTGGAGGCTACTTCAGTGAACGAGGTCCGCGAGAAACCACTGCTCTGCTGGACATTGAACGTGCCCTGAACAAGCTGGAAAAGGTCGCGATGAAGCTTGCGCAAACAAGGCGGAAGCCCCTCGTCCTTATCGTGAACCAGCTACATCTCCTAAGGAACAACGATGAAGGCAGGGATCTGCTTGAGCTTTTGCAGCAGCGCGCAGAACAATGGGCGGCGGCCAACCTCGTCACCATGGTATTCAACACCGACGACTACTGGGTCTACGAGCGGCTGAAGCTCCTGGCCACGCGCATGGAGGTGCTTGCTGTCACGGATTTGCCCAAGTCACAGGCGATCAACGCCCTGAGGAAGTATCGCCAGCGCTATTTCCACGAGATTCCTAACCACAAGGAGCTCGAGGATGTATACGATCGGATTGGTGGCCGCTTGAGCTTTCTGAACCGCGTGGCAAAAAGTCGGGATATGATTCGCACGTGCGATCAGATCAAGGACACTGAGAAGAAGTGGTTTCTCAACCAGTGCTGGATCCTTGGCTCAGAGATGGATGACGACGTGATGGATCAGCAGAAGTGGGCGGTACGAGTTTGACCATTACCCATTACGCCCCCCTAACCCAGCAACTTGACCCTCATACCACACATAACAAGACGGCTTGGCTAACAAACAACGAACATCTAGGCGGCTGCCATGACTCTCGCTCTCGCTCTCGTTGACAAAGAAGCAGAGGCGCCCGACTCGTACGACCCAGTTGTCGGTCACCTGCTGCCAACGTTCCCCTTCCATATTGCTCAGGAGATCATGACCCGAGCCGACTTCATCCGCGATCTCGACAGTCTCAACCTCTTCACCGTCACCAGCCAGGCGGATGTTCGTGCCAGCAGCGTCCCGATGCATCTCGCTTTCAAGGAGATATGCGCCGAGCCTCGGTTCCGCAAGCACTTGGAAGACACGATTCAGCGAATTTCTGATATCGAGAGCTTGGGTCGTACCAGAGAGCTTGTTGCCAAGGATCTGGTCCTTGGTGGCCAATATGACATTGAGACGAGCCGCAAGGGCATCACAGTCAGACTGAAGCAGCCAGAGGAAAAGGACGATTAAGCAGAGCGGTTTGGGCTGGTAATAGACATATATGCCAAAGCATTCAGGACGAATGGGCACTTACGAGAACAAGGTATTCGACGATAGAGCGAATGCAACCACGGCGACGACAATGGAGGATCATCGGCAAGGAGTTTGCTGGTCTTTTTTCCAAACTTTTTCCATACCTCTTCATTTTTCCTTTCCCTTTTCGCAAGACTTGCCATGCAACGGCAAGCAACCTTTCCTTGAGTTGAAGCACACACGAGTTGCCGGTGACCATGCCTTGAGGGTATGATGAGAGCCCAGGGACCGTACAAGAGATTTCTTTTGTCATTTTCTACCTTTTTTGTATATCTTTTCTATGAGACCACCTTGTTTAGACGGTCGTATTATCATATAGTTTTCAATAGTAGATGTATTATAATTTCTAGTAACTTGCCTTTGGCTTCCTTCAATCGCCGGTAGACGATAGAATTATCCTGCGTAGCGTGAAACAGACGCGATATTTTATGACTAATTATAAAGGCGGATTGAGTCGTGGTGTTTACCGATATCATATGTGCGAGAGGAACCAAAACGCGCATTTCACACATGAAAAGGTTCCAAAGTAACTCAATCCTCATCAGCAAGATCCGAATATTGATTGCCTCATCCTCAGCGAAGAATTGTCGTCTCCAGCCTGCCTTGGCCAAATTCTTGCGGCATTCTCATCAAATCCAGAATTTCCAATATAGGTCTAGGGTAGCTACAGGGTAGGGCCACCTTTGAAACTTATCACCCCACTGCAATCTGACTGGCCCAGACAGTATCAGCCGGAACCTCAGTGGCCCAGGCGTGCAGGGTACAGGCTAAAGTACCTCGCGTTAGGTTGCCTCACCGACAAGGCACAAACAATCGCGACTCCAGCCACTCCCTCGAAAAACCAACGAGTCCCATAATATTTTCCACGCTCAGGCCAGCCAAGCAACGGCACCGCGAGGCTTCGATTCCTCATCTCTCGCCTCTGCCCTGATGTCTGCCAACTCCAAATGGCCCGACTTCCAGCTTGCTTCAAAATTGCGACACTTCCTGGGTTCTAGCGCGCCTGAATCGACTCCCTCAGAACCGACAACCTCACAGGCCAAGCACGAGGAACCGCAAGCTTCCCAGGAACACGACGACGAGCGCAAGGGCGAAGTTCGCACCGAAACAATGGCTGAGCTCGACAACGATCCAATCGAGGAGATGGAAGATGTGGGCGATTATGTGGATGAGGGCGATGCTGCTGACGTCGACGTCGATTTTGGCGATCTCGAAATGTTTGATAGCGCGTCACAGCTCCCGTATTCATCACAGGCGCCTCAGAACGTAAAATTCGACGAGCCTGAGTTTCCGACATTCACCGAGAGCGCGCCAAACGACAAGAACACCAAGAAGAAGAGCAAGGATGGCCGCCGCGCGTCGGATTTCGTTGTCGACGACGAGGCCGCCAGTGCACCCAGCACCAAGCGCAAGAAGTCAAAGAAGAAGTCTCTGCAGCCCTCTGAAGCCGATAACGACCAGACCGTCGAAGCAAAGCCCGACGAAACGAATTCTGCTCCAGCTGCTGAGGACGACAGACAAGCATCTGATGCCGTCGAGCATCCCACCTCAGAGATGGATGCACTGGACTTGACACCCGCTCAGGCAGCCGACAAGAAAAAGAAGAAGCGCAAGCAGTCCGACTCTGTGGACGGCAAGCGACACAAGAAGAGAAAGGGGATCGAAGATGGCGACTCAGCAGTCATCGAGCAGACGCAAGACGAAACCGCCGAAAGCGCTGATGCCGGACACACCGAAGCTGTCACTGCCACCAGCTTCCTGCACACGGACAAGAATGCCACCAGCCAGCACGTTGATGCTGCCACGGAGGACGACGCCGCCAATGCCGAAGAGCAAAGCTCGCCAAGCATTGCCCGTGCTCGGCGGCGCAGCCAGACGGGAGAGGAAACTCGCTCGAGGGAGAATAGTATATCTTCCCGGGCTCAGTTTGCCCCCATGGCCCCCATGGCAATTGACACGCTGCCGCAAGAAGAGGCCCCCCCAGTTGATCGCGACGTTGAGGATCTCGCGCGCGAGGCATGGAAAGAACACATCAGTAGCCAAGCCGGAAGCCATGTGAATGCCCCTGGAGACTCTGCTCAGGCGGAGGAGCAGCCAGCAGCCAGCCCAGCTCCACGGCGATCTACGAGAGCAAAGAAGGCGCCCGTGACGCTTGTGCAAGCCGCAGACGCAAAAGTAGAAACCCCTGCAAAGAAGAACCGCCGCGTACTTGAGGAGCTGCCGTCACCCTCCGCCAACTCCCCAAAGCCAAGGGCGAGAACTAAGCGTGCTACTAAGAGACAGCCGCGGACATTGCAGTCCTTGGAGGAGGATGGCGAGAACGGGGAAGATGATGAACCGTCGAGGAGGAGAGGCAATGCCGGAGGCTACACGCAAGGGCGATTCACAGACGCCGAGCTGGAGGCCATCAGCCGGGCTGTCGAGGCTTTCCGTAACGAGTATGGAATGACACAAGTTGAAGTCAATGAGGTAAGGCTCAGTCGCACGGTGCCCACCCTGTTCGAATCCTTTTAGCCTGCTCGAACCAAACCGCTTACCCTGGATCGAAACATAGATTATTCAAGCTCCCGGAGGCACGACCGCCGGTGATGCCCATGCGCGCCTCTGGTATCGTCTCTTCGAGGTGTGCCCTGACCGTAAGAGGCAGAAGGTCATCAACATTGCTCGCAAGAAGTTCCACAACTTCGTTGCGCGAGGAACGTGGACGCCGGAACAGGACGCAGAGCTGGCTTCTCTCATTGAGGTGCACAAGAGCGCCTGGTCCAAGATTGCAGGCATCATCAACCGCCATCCTGAGGATGTGCGGGATCGGTATCGCAATTACATTGTGTGTGGCGCGAACCAGCGCAAGGATGTATGGAGCGAAGAGGAGGAAGCTCACCTGACCCAGATTGTCAAGGACGCCATGGTCGCTATTGACGATCTGCGGCTTGCTTCGCCCGATAAGCCTCTGCTTAAGAAGCCCTACGAAGAGCTCATCGACTGGCAGGACATCAGCGAGCAGATGGGAAGGACGCGGAGTCGACTGCAGTGCATCACCAAGTGGAAAGCCATGCAGATGCGCCTTTCAGGAAAGAAGAAGGACAAGAAATCCGGCTCCTCCTCCCAGGGCTCGGAAAAGAAGAAGCAACAGCCGTCGCAAGCTGAGCCGTCTGTTTCGAATGAGGACCTCGCTTTCCAGCTGGATGTGGCTCGTCAGCAGCTGGCAAGTATGCGCGAGGAGGAACAATATCGCTTGGTCTTGGCTATTCAAGGAGCCTCGGTCCTGTCAGAGGATCAGATACCCTGGACAAAGCTGCTCGATAAGAAGTTCCGCCGCCAATGGACTCGGGGCACTCAGGCTCTGCTCTGGGATCGCCTGAAGCAGACCGTCACAGACTGGGAATCCATGACCGTCCTGGACATTGCCCAGCAGCTCATCAATGAGTACAACCGAACCGGAGGCCTGCCTGAGGTCACCGGCAGTGGCTACGACGACGATGACCGAGAAAGGGAAATTCTCCGCCAACTCAATGCCCGCCACAAGCCGGCAGCAGCACCCAAAAGCGAAGAGTTTGTCCATGACTCTGGTGCAGAGGACGCCAAGGAGGACGAGCAACCGAACCAGAACGACAAGCTCGATATCACCATTGATCCGGCGTTGATGGAAGCAGCGCCGCCTTCACCACCCAAGGCTACCCCCAAGCCGAAGAAGGCCGCACCGAGGAAGACACCAGCTAAGAAGAAGTCAAAGAAGCAGGATCTTAGCCAGGATCCCATCGAAGACAGCGAGCCGACCCTGCCAGTCGCCACTGTCGATCAAGGCGAGGAGTCCAACCTGGAAGAAGCGCAGGCTCGCAAAGCCAAGACGCCCAGCAAGTTCAAGTCAGTTAACACCAGCGGAAACGAGGAAAATGGCGTGGATGCTCCGCAGACGGAGCCTTACTCAGACAGCGTTATGGACGACATGGAGGATCTGCCGGCACGGGTTTCGACTTGATGCAGATTATCTTATATACCCTAGCCATTTGTAGTCTGTGAGAATGGACATTTACAGATATTGATGAGGGAGGGCTTTCATTTGAGGGGTTCGTTTTGGAATGGATCATGACTTATGCCACCAAGAGGCTTCATGGACGGTAATGGCGGCTGGCTGGACGGATGGATGATGACGAGGCTCGAGCTCAATTGACGCATGTATGTGTATTCATTCTCGCGGAACGGGAACTGGCGGGTTCCCTTTTCATTGCACTGGTCCTTAGAAAAAATCAGAATTTGAATGGCCGCCTGGTAGGATTTCATTGAGGCCTGATGCGGAGCTCGAGCGTGATGGACGCCGTGGTGTGGTTTTTTATTTTGGCCTCGATCGAGGTTATTATAACGATTTTTGAGAGAATCCACTCGAGCATTGACTGTCTGACTATTGCATCACTGTTGAACAAGGACCCAATATCGCATAAACATTGACCGCCTCTCATCTCCCGCCATCATAGAGGCAAATATAGCAAGTCACACCAGGCATCGATGAGGCGATCGCTAATCAGTCATAGCGCGTATGGCAGTTCTTCCGGCAATTTCACTAACAGCTTGAGCTTGAGCTTGAGCTATTGCTGACCCCCCTCATTAGTTGGCGTCTCTCCCGGCCTGTAGCTCTAGCTTTGAACTGAACCAACTGGCATCTGCCTCTTTTCTTTTCACCGAACCTCGTTGTTGTTGGGTAGGATACAGTGACTTCCCCCCTTGCAGCATACAGATACTGTAGAGCATGCCCGGCAGAAGATGGCGGCAGTGGAGAAATCACAGCGCCATAGAGTGGCAGTGATTGGTCTGGGTGAGTTTCCTCATATATCTGCGTTTCTATTTGCATCTTTCAGCTGCTCTTGTCATGAAAAATCTCTAGATGCTAGTTGATAAAACATAACGAGCATCGGCTAACATCTTCAACGATGGGTAATGTTAACAGGAGCCATGGGCATCGTCGCCGTCAAGAACCTGCTGGAGGAAGGATTCGACGTGGTGGGATTCGAGCGCAGCGGCTACACCGGTGGCTTGTGGCACTTTACCGAGGACGAGGACACGCTGAGCATCATTGAGTGTGAGTGAAACGTTGTCTTCTTAATCTTACTTTCTGTGGTTGCTTTGAGGCTTGGATTTTGGAATGTTTCTTCTTTTTTCTAATCTGGGTGGTTTTGCAGCGACTGCGGTGAACGTGTCGATTGATCGAGTGAGTTCTTGATTTGACGGCATATTCCATGATGAAGAAGGCCCCCTTTGCTTATCTCGTCTTATATCAGGCATCGTACACTGATTTCCCCTTTCCTGTTGGTACGCAAGAACTCTTCCTCTTCTTCCGTGTGTCATTGTCTGCGATTTGCAAGGAGGGCTGACGTTGGACGATGCGGTGCCAAAAACAAAAGGAACCCCTACATTCTGCACTGCGAAACATGTGCAAGACTATCTCGAGGCCTATGTCCAACACTTCCATCTCAGTCCCCATTTCCGCCTTTCCACCATCGTTGAGTCCATCTCCTTGGAGCGAGACAGCGGGAGATGGAGGCTGGATCTTGAGGGACAGCCCAGCGAGTGGTTCGACAAGGTGGTTATGGCTACGGGTCCTCATATCAAGCCCATGATGCCCGACATCGAGGGCGCTGACCTGTTTAGTGGTCGACTCATCCACTCGAAAGGGTTCAAGAAGTGAGCTTGTCTTGCTTTGACATTGTGTTACAACTTGCAGATAAGGACATCGTTAACAGTGCATAGGCCAGAGGCTTTTGCTGGACAAAGAGTGGTCATCGTCGGGCTAGGAAATACGGGCAGCGACATTGCAGACGCTCTTGTTGGCCACGCGTCAGACATCTCAATATCGCATCATCACGGTGCAATCATCGTATGGACATCTCGTCTCACCCACCGTTACTCCCTTCCCTACCCGGGTCCACCATGAGGCTGACTGAACTGAACCCCTCGACAGATGCCCCGTCTTCTCGATGGAGTGCCAGCCACAAGCCGCATATCCTATCGGTTCATCCAGCTGCAAGGCATCATCAACCGATGGTTTCCCAAGCTCGCAGAGATTGTATACAACAGGGCCGCTCGCCAAATCATGAGAGATGCTTTTGGAGAGGTCGACCCGGCTTGGGGCCTTGACCCAGCCCTCTCCGTCTTGGTCGCCAATCCAGTAGTTTCCGATACGCTCATTGCAAACTTTCGGTCCAAGGCCATATCGTCCATCACGGGCATCCGAAGGTTCACAGGCGGACGGAGGATAGAGCTGGCCTCTGGCGAGACCATGGAGGCCGACGCAGTCATCTGCTGCACGGGATACAAGAACGACTTTGGCCTTCTTGAGAAGAAATACGATCCGTCTTCGACGCCCTCAGCTAGCTGGCTGGAAGCTCCAGGCTCGAAGAACAGGCCGTACCCCCGGCTGTATCAAAACGTGTTTTCCATGACTGCGCCGGATTCTTTGGCTTTCTTGGGCTGTGCGTGGTTTGTCACGGGCGCATTTTGCCTTGCTGATATAGCCAGCATGTGCATCGCGCAGGTCTGGTCCGGAAAAGCATCGCTCCCGCCGCGGTCACAGATGCAGCAGTGGGTTGACAACCAGGAGAAGAGGATCTGCGCTCTTGCGCAGAGAGGAGCTGTGATTCCATCAGCGGTGCCTCCCAGTGAGTGGCTCTCATGGGCGGATAAAACCGCGGGCATGGGAGTTGGTGATCATGTTGGCTGGGGCTGGAAGGCGTGGCTCTTTTGGTGGCGCGAGAGGACGCTTTGGAGGATGGTCATGGACGGCCCCTTCACCTCTGTCTTTTGGAGGTTGTTTCCCGGAAGGAGGAAGCGCTGGGACGGGGCGAGGGCGGAGATAATGAGGGTTAACCGGGAGGTTGAAGAGCGGAGGGCAAAGGCGAAGTTGGCATAGAAGATGCGTGATGCCAGTTACCCATGGCGACTGATGGTGGAATTGTAAATACGAACTGGGCCGGACTGTAATTGCATGGTGATATAGATAGAGTGACATCGTATAGTAAATAGTTAGAATGTCAACAATATTGAATGCTTGGCTGACTCTCTGCCTCGCAAGCGGACTTGAAGCATTCCGGTTGGATTTGGAACTCGGTCATCAATAATTCTCGTGACATTCGTCATCTTGAGCGTCATCGTCTCCGGCCCCTTCTCGTCTTCGGGGATGCCATCCGGCGTCTTGCTGCCAGGGCTGCTGATGACTCGAATATTAAAGCATCGCTGCCTGCTCGCTTCCGTCAAAGGATGCCGCGATTCGATGCCGTCGCCTGTCAAGCTCTGCGCGCATGACCCCTCAAAGAGCCACTTGGCCTAGCATGAGAACCATCAACCAGGCCTTCGGCGCCGACAAAAAGGACCCCGAAGTGATGGTGGTGCACAGGAAATCGAAATCTTGTGTAAGCTGATGGCTGAGAGCTGATCGAAGCGAAAAGGTGGGGGAGAGCGTGGCAGCCTTCCGATACCCCTGCGAACTAAAAAGAGACGGTGATAGCCGCCTAAACAAAACCAACGAGTCAGAGCGAGGGAAAAGCAGTGGAAACTGGAAAAAAAGACACCAAAGCTGGCATTATCAAATCGACTTCTTTACCTTCTTTGCTTAACCACCCCCTTGTCCGAATACATCCCTGGAAGAGAGAGGAAATCCTACTCACGCCTCGAGGGGACCAGAATCGCAAGAGCCGGAAGGTCGGCAAATGGATGTTGGAAAACTTGCAAGGTGTTCGGATCTTTCTTTTTTTCTGGCTGCGCTTTTCGCTTCTATGGACAAGGTTGGTCTTGTTTGGTTGCTGTGATTCGGTTGTGGACAACTCAACAAGCTTGCATCGTGTCCTAGCGCCAACAGGCTTCAACCTGGAGTGAACAGCCGGAAGTTGTATATATATATCGCGATGCCCAGAGTCGAGTTCGATACCATCTCACGCAGCATTTCCGATACTTGAGACGATCAGCATAACTTGTCATCTTCAGTTGGTATCAATTGAGAGTGCAAGATGGCGTCTGTCGAGGCTCTCTGGGGCCATGTCAAGACGGGCCTTGACGAGAAACAAGCCTCCGTTGCCGTCGCCGCCATTGTCACATTTCTCGTCCTTGTCCTCACAACGAAAGCACTCACCGGAAGTCCAACAACGCTGGACGCAAGCGGAAAACACAGGATCCCGCCATCACCGAGCTACTGGCTCCCGTTTTTCGGACATGTCTTGTCCATGGGCAACGCTGGCTTTCTGCCCAGCCTGAGGGATCAGTTCTCAGAAGGCATCTTCTCCCTGAAAATGGCCGGCAAGATGCATCACTTCATATACAAGCCTTCGCTGGCTGCGGCGCTGTTCAACCTGCACCGGCCTGCTGCCGAAGAGCAGATGCTCGCAAACCGCCTCCTCGGATCTACGTTTGGCGTGAGCAAGAAAGACGCAGCCATTTACAACACAATCTTCCCAGAGGCCCTGGCACTCTATAAGCATCTCAGCTCCGAGCCGGGGCTGAGCGAGGTGACCAACGCGGCTGTGTCGCAAGTCAAGCAGACCATCAATAGCTTTGTCACGTTCAGCCCAAACCCCATGGACCAGACCGAGTGGGAGAGGGTGGCCGATGTCGACGTGATCGAGGAGAGCGGCCCCGACGGCCCCATTACCCAGGTCGACTTGATGGAACTGACGAGAAACTATGTCGCGACAACGGCGATTCCGGGCATCTACGGCACTGATTTCGTCGAGAACTTCCCCGACCTGTGGAAATGGATGTGGATATACAACGAGGCATTCGTGCTCATGGCCACAGGCGTTCCGGCGTGGGTCCCCTGGCCGCGGCTTCAGCGCGGAAAGCTGGCCCGGAGACGCCTCTTGGGCTATCTGTACGAGTTCAACGAGGCCATGGAGCAGCACATGGACGGGCAGGAAACCGACCCCAAGTGGCAGAACCTCGACAACGTCAGCGAGCTGGTCAGGAGCAGGATTGCGCTGTTCAGAGAACACGGTGTGTCGCTTGATGGGCGTGCGTCCTTTGATCTGGCACTGCTGTGGGCTTCGGTTGCAAATTCCAATCCTCTTATCCCGTGGATGCTTTATGAGCTATACAGAGACCCTGTACTTCTGGAGCAGGTTCGCGAAGAGATTGGGCCGTATGTCAGGGCCGTGCAGCCAAAGAACGAGTTTGGAGATGCCGTCTGGGTGCCGCCGGTGCTGGAAGACGTGGATGTTGACGGGCTAATCACCAAATGCCCTCTTCTCAAGGCCTCGTACATCGAGACTATGAGGGTGTACGCTTGCGGATGGGCCATGAAGCTGATGTACAGCGACACGGTGCTGGAAGAAAAAGGAAAAGGCGGAGCTTCATACTTGTTGAAGAAGGGAACCTATGCGCATGTTCCTCAGGAGCTGCATCACTTTGATCCAAAGTACTTTTCAAATCCAACGGAGTGGCAGGCTGAGAGACATATCCGCGAGACAGTGGATGAGAGCGGGAACAAGGTGCTGACGGCGGAGCTTGGGACAATGAGGCCATATGGTTAGTGCTCTCCCCCTTCTCTTCAACCATCCTTCAATCTTTGGCCATTTGAGGATTGTTTTGCTAATGTCAAATTCCTTGAACAGGTGGTGGCCTGAAGATGTGCAAGGGAAGGCAATTTGCGTTGCGAGAGATGCTGCTTTATACAGCTGCCATCATCACGTTCTATGATGTGCAGCCGCCCAAGGGGGGACCGTGGCCTGTGCCGAAGACGAGGAAACTTGTTGCGAATAAGCATCCGAAGAAGCCGCTCAAGGTCTGGATCAAGCGGAGGAGGCTGCCGACGGAGGGCGAGGTAAGGTGAGATCCATGGGGAGGAGTCGGGGGTTGATTTGGGCTGTATATCCGATATCGTGAATACGTGTAAATCTCATCGAGTCTTATATGCCCTAATCCTTGACCGGAAGCATTTCCCGAGGTGCTGAGGCATTTGTGCTTCTTTTGTTGTAATAATTGATACCTGAAGAATACCCGGATGTCCTCTTTCCTCCGTTATCAAGATCAGTCCCGCGTAGATTCGGAGTTGAAGTCGGGGATGGAAATATGGACCTTGGCCGTCCGTGATGCCTCAGGTGTGAACGATGACACCATAGCGTCGCCGGCTCGCGAACCGGAGCCGAGGCCTCACCAAATCGCCGCAACGACCAACCGTCCCAATCTTGCGGCAATTTGCCGGCCACGACACAGCTTCTTCATCATTCATAAGATTGCGACAGCCTCGTCTTGTGCGACCGCAACCGGCTGCAGTTCCGCATCACGCACCTATCAAGGTGCCCGCCAATCTCGAGCTTCGGCCGACACGTGCGCAATTCTCAACCCCCACCAACAGCTGAAGCTCCGAGCCTGAGGCTGCGTCCAGACGACATTCAGCCATCGCCAACGCCGACAGCCTGCGAAGCTCCTATCCTCTCTCTTCGGTAACAATTCGATAGCCAGAAGTCGGGATGGTTTCCCCTGAAGAGCGCCTTCGACAATGATACCCCGAATCCTCCCTCGCGCGACGCTCGCATGTCCGCGGTGCAGCGTCGCAAAGGCGCACAGCCTCCCGCCGTGGCTCCCGCAGAGGCCGATTGCGGCTGTCCAGCGTCCGCTCCGGACGTCAGCCGTGGCTCGTCGTGAGCAGACGCCGTCGCCCGTCCCCGAGTCGCTGAAACCTCCCTCGACGAGCTCAAAGCCTGCGCCTACCGAGGTCCCTTCTGCTTCTGCTTCTGCTGCGAAAGATGCTCCCAAGGCGCCTGCAAAGAAGCCCAGCAGCGATATCCTCGCCGCTGTGGACAAGACGACGGCGGAGCAGCGCAAGGCCGACTGGGCCATCATGAAGGAGATGTCGCGTTATCTGTGGCCCAAGGGCGAGGTTGGCACCAAGGTGCGCGTAGGGCTGGCCGTCGCTCTGCTGGTCGGCGCAAAGGTCCTCAACGTGCAGGTGCCCTTTTACTTCAAGAGCATCGTGGACTCGATGAACATTGACATTGCTGCGGTTGGTGGTACGGCGACGACGGTGGCGGGCGCCATGATTGTCGCATACGGAGCCACCAGGATAGGCGCCACCTTGTTCCAGGAGCTGCGCAATGCCGTCTTTGCCTCGGTTGCGCAAAAGGCCATTCGTGGAGTCGCACGGAATGTCTTTGACCATCTGCTGCGACTCGACTTGAGCTTCCACCTTTCCAAGCAGACCGGTGGCCTCACGCGGGCCATGGATCGCGGAACTAAAGGCATCAGCTTCCTCCTCACTAGCATGGTCTTTCACATTCTCCCGACGGCATTGGAAATTAGCATGGTGTGCGGCATCCTCACGTGGCAGTACGGCTTCAAATTCGCAGCCGTGACAGCATTGACCATGGTGGGATACACGGCTTTTACCATCTGGACGACGGCTTGGAGGACAAAGTTCCGCAGACAGGCCAACGCTGCTGATAACCGGGCTTCGACAGTGGCTGTGGACTCGCTCATCAACTATGAGGCCGTCAAGTACTTTAACAATGAAAAGTTTGAGGTCTCGCGCTATGATAAGGCCCTGAGGGAATACGAAAAGAGCTCCATCAAGGTAGCAACCTCCCTGGCTTTCCTCAACAGCGGACAAAACATCATCTTTTCCACTGCCTTGACCGCCATGATGTACTTTGCAGCCGAGGGAGTCGCCGCGGGGACCCTGACTGTTGGAGATCTCGTCATGGTGAACCAGCTCGTGTTCCAACTCTCCGTTCCCCTGAATTTCCTCGGGTCTGTGTATCGCGAATTGCGACAGTCTCTCTTGGACATGGAAACGCTGTTCAACTTGCAGAAGGTGAACGTCAACATTGTGGAAAAGCCAGACGCGAAGCCCCTGGCTCTGGTCAAGGGCGGAGAGATCAAGTTCGAGAACGTCAGCTTTGGATACCATCCTGAACGGCCCATTCTGAAGGACCTTACAGTCACCATTCCAGCTGGAAAGAAGGTTGCTGTTGTCGGCCCCAGCGGCTGTGGCAAATCGACTCTCCTCAGGCTCCTGTTCCGATACTATGATGTCCAGGGTGGCCGTATCCTTATTGATGACCAGGATATTCGAGATGTCACTGTTGACTCGCTGCGTCGGGCCATCGGTGTCGTTCCCCAGGACACTCCTCTCTTCAATGATACCGTCGAGCACAACATTCGCTATGGCATGATTGATGCTTCGCACGAGCAAGTTGTCGCAGCCGCAAAGCGAGCCCGCATTCACGACATCATCGAAAAGTTCCCAGAAGGCTATCAGACCAAGGTCGGTGAGCGAGGCATGATGATTTCTGGTGGTGAGAAGCAGAGGCTGGCAATGAGCAGACTGCTCCTCAAGGATCCTCCCCTGCTCTTCTTCGACGAGGCAACCAGCGCGCTGGATACGCACACTGAACAGGCTTTGATGATGAACATCAACGGCATCCTCCGCGAAAAGGGACGCACAAGCGTTTTTGTGGCCCATAGGCTGCGGACCATCTTTGACTCGGACTTGATTATCGTGCTCAAGGAGGGGCGAGTTGCGGAGATGGGCACGCATAGGGAGCTAATTGACCGTGCCGGCGTCTATGCCGAGCTCTGGAGTGGTAAGTTTTGCTGTTCCGTATGTGTTGACTAATTTGCTGACAATCGTCTATAGCTCAAGAAACCATGTTCAGCGAAAATGGTACTGAGACAAAGGGGGCCAAGGAAGAGGATGTTGCGGATGAGGAGGCTGCTGAGAAAGCTGCTCAGAAGAAGAATTAGATTTTGTGTAAACGAAAGCATGCTGTGGCGTACTCATAACGGTTTATGTAAAAGAGGATGAAAATGAAAGAACAATACCCTGATCATCTCAACAAGTAGGCACATCAACGTTGTGGACTGCCCTTTCCTCTCCCTTGGGGCTTTTCTGCGAGTATGTTTCATGATGATTGTTTGAGATAGCGTTGGAACGTGGATTATTCTCATTTTTCATGGAAAGGAGGGCATATGTCGAGGTTCCCGTGTCATATCGTTCGTCGAAGATTATCTCGGTCGTATCGTTCGTCGGGTCGCTCGCTCGTACCGTTCGGCTCGTGGTCTTAGTGGATATCGGGTTCGTGAATAGTTCCTGATCTATATCCTTCTCTTTCCGTGGTATCGGCCGTTAGACCGACTGCCATGTTCTTGTTATATCTGGTATGTATGTGTATGTGTATGTGTATATGCATGTTTTGTATGTATGTTTGTATTTTTTCAATGTATGTATGTGTGTATTATATCGGCCGTGGTGGTAATCGATCGATCGTGGAGATGCGCTCTCTATTTCACCGTACCTATATTAGCATACTATACTGTTTCATGAAGTTGTCTCTGTTTCTGTCCCGATTTTGTGCGTATTCTTCTTCGTTCAATGGGCACAAGGCGCAAGAGTTTGCTTTATTCTGTCGTTCAATAGACAAGATTGCATCAAAGGCCGTGGCTGTGGCTTCTGTGTGTTGTGAGCTGATGAGTAGCCGTCGCCGAGGACGCAACAGCGTGCACAGTACGCTTCACTGAGATTTTGATATGATAGCAGAAACCACGCCATCAATGTCGAGAACAGTCGGTCACTTTGTTAGTCGTATGATATTGCTTCAAAATCTCATGATCGCTGGTCTATTCTTTTCCCCATGAAATCGTGGTCTCTTTTTGCCGTAGAACTCTTGCATCGTACATAAACAGAATGCCTTGTTCCCGTCGCGATGAAAATTTGGTGTAAAAGGCAATGGCAGATGATTGATTCAGTCGATGGACTTCGCGTCTCTCGATCTGGTGCTGACAACAAGCGCCTCCAACGCAGCTGAAGCTGTTTGTGCACCTCCCAGTTCGTTCAGCTCATTCCCTAACAGTCTCGCTTTCTGTGAATAACTCTCATCTGACAGAATTCTTTTCGCAGCTGTCTCGACTTGATCTGGGGTAGGATTGTCGGTTTTTAGGTCAATCCCGGCACCACACCAGGTAATCCGCGCGGCCGTATCCATTTTGTCCTCCGTTTGGCCAGCACAAAGGAGAGGGACACCATGAGAGAGTGCCTGAGTGATGCTTCCATAGCCGCCGTTTGTGATGAGCAAGCATAGCTGGGGAAGAAGAAGGTGGTAGGGCAGCCAGTCAGCGTATCGAACATTGGACGCTTGTCCAACTTGAGCTTCGACTTCTTTTCCGTATGGTGATACGACGACGAGCAGAAGCGATGAATCGTCCTTGAGGGCCTGAACGGAGGGTATGATCAAGGAAGTAGGGTTCATGGCAAGCGTTCCTTGAGTAATTCCAACGACTCGCGAGTGTGGCACTACTTCTTCCCACCACGATGGAAGCTGAGTAGATGTGGTTGGAGATGGCCTCACAAGAGGGCCGACATAGGTGATTCGATGTTTGTGTTGCTCTGAGTTTGGTTCGTGGGAGAATTCGAGGCTTGAACAGGAAGCTTGGATGTGAAGAAATGGACTGTACGTCAAGCACTCTGTTGGTTCACCGAATGGAAGTCGCTTCAGTCCAAGTATCTTTCTCTGTCTGTTCAATACAGGAGCCAGGAACAAAGGAAGCAGGATCCATCGGTTGATGAGCTGTCGCAATCCATTTCGAACAAGGCCTATCCACGAGGTAGGAGGGCATTCTCCAGACACTGGGAAGGGAGCTGATGCTGACGAAGTATAGAATGGAATGACCCCTAGAGTAGCGTATACGGGGATTTCTCCAAGCTCATAGAGGGCGCGGGCTCCATGGGGGAACACATCGACCAGCAAAGCGTCTGCGGGGAAATCCACCAAGATAGCCCGGTAGTCGGCAGCTTGAGCCAGGAGACGAGACTCCAGTCGATGAAATTGGCGATCAAGGAGGCCGGTGGAATTTTCCTCGATGAAGGGTGCGTCGACTGCGGCAATGGCTCGAGTCTCGACGAAGCTTGCTCCCGTAGCGAGAACGCGAGCTTTGTTGTCTGCGCTGGCTAGCCAGACAACTTCGTGGCCACGATCAACCAGGGCTTGTGCCACGGCTTGCATTGGATAGACATGGCCAGCAGGAAAATGAGAATGAAGAAGAAACTTCATCTTGATATGAAAAGAGTGTTTGTGTAAAGAGATTGACGGACTGGTGAGTTGTTGTCTCTGGAGTGATTTTAGGTAAAGTGAAGTGCACTTCGCGGGGCTTTTGGTGGTGTTGCTACTGAGGCTGGCTGACATGCGACTGGTAGTAAGAATGATGGGTGCCGCTGATCGAACAGCAGGATATGGCTTGAACTTGGGTCCAAAAAATCGGTTCGGCTTCTACTAGGTATCGTACACATTTCTCTGCTTTTACGGTAGGACAGCCGTGATTTGTGCTTCAAAACCAGCTTTTGGGTACTGGATAGTGATAACTATGCCGTGCAATACACCTCCTTGAATTTTCGATTACCTAGTACTACCCTGCAAACCGTGGAATCGGCATGGTAGAGATCTGCGAGACAAAGCAAAGTTGAGCCCAAAAGCAAGCTTCTGCTCTAGATATGTTGTCTGAAGAGAGGGCTGTATATGATGATGCAGTTTGAACATAAGTTCTCTTGATCTCTGCCTCTGCCACATGATTGACTCTCTGGTTGACGAAGCTTTCCTTCTCCGCTGCTTTTCAGGAGGGGTGATAATTAATCTGCTATCTATACAATTCTCAGGAGTCTCTCTTGATGAATATCCTATCGACCCCATCTTGACCATGGCAGACACCGTCTTCTCAATCCTCAAAGCTTCTGACAGCCGGAGCATACATTGACAACGAGCGGACCTAAGGATGCTATAGTACTGCATCCCACAAAGAGGTGTAGGTCAAAGGCAGCTGGGACTTCGAGACTTCGACCTCCTCCCCTATAAGCCTCGGACTTGTACCTACAATTAAACAAGCACAATGAAGCACACTCAGTTCTGCTGCGTCGATGTTGGTAATGGGCATCTCAAGCTGCGAAGCCCTTGGTAGCCACTGATCAACGCGATTCGCTCTACGTAAAGGAAACATGAAGAAAGACTCAATGCCCCATGGACTTAGGTTAACATCTGGAACTGCTTTTTTGATAAATTGCTCTCCACCTATTAACCGTCACAGCAATCATTATTCAACCCAATGCCTTCGCAGTGAACACGCTGAGCGAATATAAGCTCTGCAAAAGCAAAAGCAAAACTCGAAGCATGCCTAGAGTGAATTGTAATACCTTTCAATAGACCTCCTGCCAAGCCAACCCCAGAATAGTCTGTATACTGGCACTCATACATGAACCATTCGTGAAAAACACCCAAGCTAAACCACACTCTGTACACGTTACGATGGGGAGGGATAGCATCCACACAGCCAGCGTGCCTCGGCCTCAATAGACCTCCTGCGCCACCGACTGCTCCACTGCCTCCCAACCGAACGGAATCCAAGTTTCCTGAAAAGCACCCAAGTCCAACCGCGCTCTGTACACGTTACGATGAGGGGACTAGTATCGTCACAGCCAGCGCGCCTCGGCCTCAATAGGCCTCCTGCCTCGCTGCCTGCTCCACTTGCCCCCAATCTTGAAAACAGACTCTCGAACAAGCCTTGTACACGTTACGATGGGAGGTGTAGTACCATCTCATCGTCAGCATGCCCCGGCCACAACAGTCCTGGCCTGTCAGATTGACTTTCAGTTGGCACTCATCTTCGAGGCATCCAGCGACTGGATAAGGTCATTTGAGGTTTGGATCAGCCAGTAGAGTAGCTGACCCGTCTCTTTCTTATAAGAAGCGTAGAGACTGTCGAGCTTCATCGTGGTCTGTGGACAGCCAGTATCATCACAGCCAGCCGCCTCGGCCTCAATAGACCTCCTGCAAAGCTGACTGCTCCACTGGCCGCCACACGCAGCAACGGACTCCCAAACGCTCTCAACGCACCAGGTATAGATGAACCAAACCGACACGCTATGATGAATATGTTGGGAGTGGCTTCCTCACAGCAGATGGACCTCGGCCTCAATAGACCTCCTGTCACATCGCTACTCCACCACTCCCAACATCAAGCTGAGCCACGTCGGCGAAGTCCTTCGATATGAATCTGGTTAGGAAAACTCAGACAAAAGATTTGAGTAGGTGCTTTGCATAGGTGTTAACTTACTGCTAAGGCCCAGGCCTCAATGGACCTTCTGGTAGATGGTCACAGACTGGTAGTAAAACAGAATCGATGAGCAGTAGTTCGTCTTGCCCAGGACGTGCTCGTGTTGAAGATAGTGTCTAGAGCAGCCTCTGATAGATGAACAAGGGGCTTCTGGTGGACACGAGATGCTTCGTTGGAAAATCATTAGCGCCTCTGGACACAGCAGAGCACTTTCAAAGAAGGTTATTCGACAAACCTCTCTTCTTGAACGCATTCGAAATGGCAGAAATGAATGTCTGGAAGATGGCAAGGACTGTGCTCCGTTGTGCGGGTATAACGGAGTCTCCTCTGATGGCGACAGAAAGATAGAAGAGCTAAAGATGGAGAAGGTCAGTTCATAATCTCTGGACTACAGGCAGCAGTTGGTATGCAAGGATAACCTCGAGCCTGAGATGTACGGCGCAAGTTCGGAACAGCGAAGAGATCATTGGTGAAGAGGATGAGACAGAAGCAAAGACAGACCCTGGGCAAATAAATAGCAAAGAGATGAAGGTGAAGTATAAGATTTGACGTACCATGACTCAGGAGAGAGATTATGAAGAAGTTCGAGATATATAGCGTTGATGAATTTTGGTGTTGGACAAACATATCTCACGCATGATGGTTGGGCATAAGGTGAGCTTTGGGAAGCAGCAAGTCGAGCTTCGAGAGGTGTAGAGCAATAGAATGCAGATAAAGGTGAAGAGGGAGAAGGGGATAAGAAGAGTGCATTGGCCGAGGAAGGCGTAGCAAGCGAGAGACTGCTTGGAGATTCGAACGCACACGGTGCAAGAAGATGACAAGGATTGAAAAAAGGGAGGCGAATGGAGATAAAGCACATACAAGTTTTGGAATTTGTTGCGAGGTGCAGCACAGGGCGGTGTGTTAGGGCACACAAGGCAAGCTGAAATACGGCAGGCAGAGCTGGGCTGGCGATTCACCCGAGTGACGGGCAGTTTGGCAGTGGAGTGTTTCGAAAGCTGTGCAGCGAGAGAGATGGAGATGGCAATAATTACAGCGTGAGCTACAAAAAGGACACTTGAACAACGAGCGTAGTATAGTAATAGATTGATAGGTCTGAACACACAAGACATCATACTGCCAAAGGAGAGAACAATGCGTGCATGGCATATCTGGCCAGAGGTGCACTCTACCAAAACTCTGGCACCGCTCCATCGTAAGCACAAGATACCAGCGTCTCTTTCTCTGCAGAGAAATAGAGATTTTAAGTAGACACCTCGAAGAGAGTAGTTCACCAAGCATTGCAGAGATAATCATGAGAAGTGATATTCAGGGGCTACACGCTGGATCATCACGGCAGGACTGTACATGGCTTCAAGAGGTGAAATCAGAAGAGCTGCATCGTCAACACCACAGGGAGTGTCTCGACACATCAGTATCTACTAACTCTCATGCTTCCTGCATAAAGAGCAGCGCGGCGTGGGCATCGCCACGTCAACACACCCAAACCTCCTCGAGGCCAACCGAATCCCAGAGAACATCATGGACGCAGATCAACTCGGATTCACCGCTCCTCTACATCAAGGCAAACAAAACCTCTCCAATCACGATTGAGAACAAGCGAGAACGAAAACACATCGACGTCATTGCGCTCACTTTGCTCTGAGGTCAGGAGTGGCAGCCTGAGGAAGGAGGAAGCTCACGTGAGGCCTCGAGCTCGAGGACCCACACCCTCCCTATATAAACCTCTCCTGCTCCCGCCCAACCCTTCCTTCTTTTCTTTCTTCTTTTCCTCTCAAGCACCGCCCAATCCTCGGATTGTGATCTTACCTGGCAAAGACCAGGACTCTCGTCGACTGGACTTCGAGTCCAGCAAGAACCCTGCGAGAGGCATCAGTGCTTCGACCCGATGATTACATGTGGACTAGGCGAAGTCCACATGGGGGAGCCCAGTGAGAGCAACAGCGACTTCGGTCTGCTGGCTCTTCACTGGGATGTCTGACTCCAAAAGGCAGAACCTGAACCCACTCTGCCGGATGATGATTCCCCAACATGAGGGTCCAACTTTTTTCATTGAGCTCAAGGCTACACGCCTTGACTTGAAGAAGAATCTCTGACTTGACAGCTGGGGAGTTGGTGATGGATTGCGATGGTGTTTGTCGCTGGATAGTCGGTGGCTGTCCTGGAGAGGAGAGTCGATGGCGTTTTGTACCTAGCTATGCTGTGAGGCATGTGTCCATGTTTGCATGACGAGAATGTTATTGTCTACGCAGAGCCTCTGAACCAAAGTAAGGCCATCGTAGAGTACGCCTTTGACTCCCAAGTATGTCTCGTCTCTTTGAATTTCGAGACTCGTACCGCGAGCCACCCTTTTGGAGGTGGTGATTCTCAATCTCCTAGCGGACGTTTGCCAGTCTCCTCGACAGCGCCAAACTTGGCTATCTGTCTCTGCACGAAGAGCATCTCCTTCACTCGTGGACTATTTCTGCTACTGTAGCCCCCATCTTTATGCTGTTCGGCACTGCCTGTTCTCGAGAGGCTACAAGCGATCAAGATACCATCCCGTACCAGCCAGATGTTATGGCTACGACGGGCTTGCTTTCCAAAAGGCAGTTAACAACTCGAGTCAAGCGAAGATGACAGTCGCTGAAGTCTATGTCTACGCGGCCCTGCAGATTTTACTTCTCTGGTGCCACGACGTGACGATGAACGGTTACTTCTCGGTTGATCAAGAACAGAACAAGATGCTTCCAGCTGTTCTCATTATCGTGATATGCTAGACAACGACTGAACAGCCATGAATCAGAGGAAAAGTGGCTAATAATCAAGAAACTAAAAGCTTGTGTATGCGATGGTTTCGCGATACTCAGAGGTGGGAAGCACAGCACTCGTCCTTTGTCTTCATCACGGAGCACCAGGCGCAAATGTTGACATTCCATCGCAGGTGAATCATGGCTCGATATTCTGACGCGTTTCTCTACTTCTTCCGTAGCCTATGCCTTCGTGATCTCCTTCGGCAGCTTGCTTAAACCTCCTGGTGCTATGCCTACCTTTCCCTAACTTATGGGAACTTTGATGAACTCTCTCGTCCTTGTCAACCAACTGAGCACAAAGCGAAGAAATTGTGATTTGAGGCTATTTCTTGAACAAAGCAGAAAAGAAGAGTTTGATGCTGGGAGCCGTTGAGCCGAGGGACGCAACGGGGGTAATTCTAGCTCTGCGACCATCAGATATTCGGTGACTGAACGCTACGAAACCCTCAAGTTGAACAGGCAGGTGAGTATTTTCTGTATCGCTTGGAGTCCGTGAACGAAGCTGCATTGAACATGTTCAAAGTTTGTTAAATATTACCAGAGTGGATAACGGATAACTATGTAAATCTCGCCGCAACCGAGAAGTTTCATAGAGAACAACTCCATAACGAGGCCAGGGAAGTATCCGAATTCACAATCACTTGCCCCCAGGATGTCTCCATACGTGCAGTTTATGGCATAACTCACGCAAGAGAAGGCATCGTTGATCCAAGAGGCAAGAAACGCAAAGTCTATTTACCCATTCTATCAATATGGACGCCTCGATTCGGCGACTTTTGGGGCTTTCTGATTGTTGGAAAACTGCCGTTTTCAACCCTGTCACAGGAGCCTGGAATCGAAGTTTTCGTAGCCAATGTAGGCAAAGAAATGATTATCGAGTGCGGTGGTGAAGGGCCATTCGTCATGAATCTTGTTTGATTCATGAAACTGGAATCGGCGAGGGTTTGTCGGTGGTCGATGGCATTGAATAGATCTTAGCAAGCTTTGCATCAGTAAACGCTTCATCCAGGCTTAACGAAAGGGAGGGCAAGCCAATATCAGCATTAGGAAATCATCCAACATTCGACAGAATGACTGACCAAAGGCTCGAAAATTGTCTGAGGCTTTGGAGTAAAGCCAAACTCCAAATATGTGCGAGAAACTCTCCGAAGTGAGCGTCAGAAACTTAGTTGATATAGAATCGCCAGGTGTGACATCTCTTGAGAGTGTCTTCTCAAGATCACAAGACGGGGGAGCATCGTAAGAATGTTTGCAGAATTGGAAGGCCGAAGAAAGATTCGTGGCTGTGGCGGACAAAAGCATGTCTGAAGATGACCAAATTCCGCCGGGATAGCTTGGCAAAGAAACCAGAGATGACTGTGCTTAACAGATAGGAGCATAGCGTGTGTTAATCCAAGGCGTGCCTTGATGAACGCAAAAGCTTTGCAGATGGTTCATCTCCGTACATCTGTTTATACGGTTCCCAAAGTGCCTGGCATCGACATTCGCGGATGGTCATAGGATAGACTCTCCTTTTTTTCCGCCGGCCTCTTCGCAAATTTACCCTGTACTGCAGGACCAAGGAAACTTTCCAGCCCAAAATTTCCTATAGCTAAGGTACCTGCGTGTTGATCAGCGACCGCGACCCAAAATTCATGTCTGATCTTTGGCGAAGCCTGTTCAAAGCCATGAGAACGAAGCTGCTGGGTTTCGTCTGTGTAAATGTATTTGGCTGACGCCTTGACGAGTTCACAGAAATGGCGGTACCGTCCCCGTTTGCTCCAGGTTTTGACTTTGAGGACGTTCGTATCAAAACATTTGTCGACGCATGCGTCGTAGCAGTTGATGTACTTGGCGTGGTGCAGTCCAACAAGGCTGAACACGCCCTGCACCAGGTCTTTGCAGAGGTCAAGAACCTGTTCCTTCGAGAGTTTTGCTGCTATGGCGTCGTCGCCTTTGTATCCCTTTTGTAACCGGCGATATTTCTTCCTCGCCCGTTCCAGCGCATCGTCCGAGAGACCGACCGGGGTTTCCTGAAAGACGATAGGATGGTCGGTCGTCTTTCCAGCCGGTGTAGCCATTGTAGTACTTTTTTATCACCTTTGTAGAGTTACGACCTCTTCCTCTCGGCTTCCTTCAAGATATGTGGCAACTTAACCCCTTATCAGAACATGAGGTGCGAGCTTTCGTATAGTTTGCATACTTTTGGAGATGGCCTACTCCAGAGATTACTATTAGAGCAAGTAGCTACGAGTGCTCTGCGACTGCTGCCGAGATGCTCATCGCGGCTATTTGAAGACAAGGACGTGGCATGATCAACAATCGCCAGAACACACGTAAGTAAAGTTGAGACAAACCACATCCGAACAGGTGGCTGTTATTTCCTTCTGACTTTCTTAGTACGCAGAACAGCGACGATAAAGCTTTGACCTTTCCCCATTGCGACGATACCTACTACACGAATGTCTGTGATGCCGCTGGCACGTCTCCAAGACGAATCCCGACCACCTAGCAGCCCATACCTCACCACAAGTAACAAAATGCCACCATCAGTGATGTACTCGTCGAAAGAGTCTTGTCGTAGGCGTTGAATGAGGAGCACAGTAAGCGGGGTGGAAGACATGGACAACACAACGAAGCGTAGACGCAGACGATCTGCGAGCTGTAGAGGACATGGAACCAAGTCCATGCCAAGGCGAAAGACGGAGATCACAATGTTTCTACATGAGCTACCAGAGCTAATGTACCTCGTAATGAGAGCCACTACCTTACGTCCTACAAATTCCCTCATGTCGCTCAAATAGTAAGTATTGCACATTTTGTAGACTGCCGTGGAAATATTGGTCATTAAGCAGGATATTCAACGTCAAACAGAGCAGGCTTCCTGTCTGCAGATCCGCTGACTTTCGGACTTGAGAGAAAAGACACCAGTGCTGCTACTCTCCAGCGCCAGCCATGGACTCTAAGATGGCCGACCATGATTTCCCATGTCCGCTTGCCGAGGCTCTTCACTCCATCAAGGTCTCAGTTAATGTATGCTGGGATTCTTAGAAGGGTGCCCGCTGGTGACCTAGGAAAGCAATGGGACTTGCCTGCCTTAGAACACGACCAGTCGACCTTTGGACCTGATCCAGGCCGCCTCTGAAGGAGGGATTATGGCGGCTTCTTGCGCATAGCACATTTAAGGATGTCTCGCAAGGGCCCTGTGTAGTTTGCAGGCAGCCCAAACCTCGAGATAGTCCGCAGAGTGGCCACTGGGACGCCCTGTGATCTACCTCACTTCAGACCGTCCGTCAACGCTCTGTCCTGCGCCACGTCCTTCTTTCCCTGCTGTAACGTGTCATCCTTGACAGATTCTCAATTACTGTTGCGATGGCCTCTTTGCTCGACGACCCTCGCGCTGGAGGGCACATACCCCATTTGCGCATTGAGAACGTTGAAGATCGTGCCGCCACCAGCCTTTGACGCTGACCATGGCTGCTATATGGAGAGGTGACCAATCATGCGCAATATCATAATGCCGTTGCTATTGTCTAGCCATGCTGGCAACAAGATGCCAATATGATCTTGGCGGAACAACAAGAATACAGCGACCTGATTGACGATGTGACCTGGCATATCGAGAACAGCGCCATCGGAAAACCCAGCAACCATCACGTCTATCGCGATTCCAAGACCAAGCCTACATTCCCATTCCAGGACGATACCAATGATCTTGATGATTGGAGTGGCATATTGTGACGAGATGGGAAAGAAACGAACGTGTTCATACGCGGGATTCTCGTCCTGGACCTCAGGTCTAAAACCTTGCCGGTGTCGGCGGACTTGGTGATCGCTGCGTTGGTTTTGGGGACGAATCGCATCTTGCCGTGCTTGTCGCAGATGGCTGCTTGTTCCTGGTTTTGACGCATATGTAAGGACGCAACTACTGTGGAAAGAGTAGATAGGAGATTACGGACATCTTATTCTTTGTTTCAGACTCCAAGGCAATCATGGGAATATGCAAAAGTCTTGCGAGGGAAAGATATCGAAGGGCGCTTGAACGCTGCAAGACGGCTGACTTCTAACTGGATATTTACTTTGCACGTTGGAACCAACTACTACGTCTACAACATTTGGACCGTTGTAGCAGGTTGGTGCTCTTTAGTTTGTTTGAATTGTCTTTCATGGTCACGGCAAATACCCATGTCACATTGCAAACATGGAGAGCAAGCACTTTGATCAAAACACTTTATTCGCGTACCATGCCAGAACCCGAGTCTTCTTCCAAATCCTCCAAACCCCCTCTGCTCTACAAATCCTCCATGTTCATCGGTTCCCCGATGACATCCCCTTCAGGATAGGCTTCAATGAGAAAGGTGCTTGTTCTCATCTCCACCAGACGGAGGTCATCGATATGATCGTTGGTTGGCCTGACCAACATCATCATCTCCTGCGATATCTTCATTACTACACCGTCGTCTCGGAACATGCGTAGTGTCGAGGAAAAATAGATTTGGAGCGGGCGACCCTCCTCCCTCTGGTCCACCTCCACTAGGCGACTAATATCCCTTTCGACTCTGGTCGCTTGGCCAACCCTATCCTAGAGGAGCTGGATCTGCTCGGCAGACGAAAGGGGCTCTCCGTGGTCGTAGTAAAAGAGCGTTGTTGTATATATGAGCCGGCTTAGAGCCAGCGGTCGGTCTTCGAATGCATCGAGCGCATCGAACACTGCAAAAAACGCGTGGACAAAACGCTCTCCGGGGCCCATGGTGGTATCCATATTGAATCGAATGTCTAGCATGGTGAGAGGAGTATCGGCAATCAGGCTGAAGGAGCTTTGTGAAGACGGAATGCGTACAGGTGAGGTCTTGATGTTCAGTTGTGGTAGCTTGTAGTTAAAGAAGGAAGGTCGAAGTGTGAGATGGAAAGTTTGAGATTGATCTGGGTCGCTTCCCTGACGCCTACGTCTTATATACGTCCCAATATCCCACGTGCCTAGGAATAATTCACTTTGTAGTTTAACTGACGGTGTTCTGCTTTTGAATGGCTGGCATACAATGTGGCCCGTGTTGTCAATAGCTGTATTGGGTACGCATCATTGGGACTACGCCGGAAGAAAACAGGTCGAGTGGTTGACATTAACCGAATAGAAGAGAAGCATGTTTGGCCTATTGTTTGGTGAGAGCTTGCTCGTAGTTCATGCATTGTCTGGTCTGGATAATAAGACGTATAATCATTCAAGAGGTCATCCTCGAAGGAGACGAACCAGCTTTCAATGGAGAGACTTGGGGGACCACGCCCCTTGGAGAGTTTTTTAGGGACGTTTGGGAATTGTAAATATTAAGGCTGAATGCAATAGCATTATCGCCTTTAATAGGATGGCTCGTTAAGACAAGATTTTAGCCTTGTTGAGTCTGAAAGCTTGAGGCTGTCGTACTTTATGAACTCGCGAGCATACCGAGATTTCCCTTTCAAGGGAAGCTGCTGTTCACACTGAATGAAAACGGCACTCTTATATACGCTTTATCCATTGTTCTAGTTCTTCACATCAGTAAATGGGCGCGAATCATCAGAGTCCATAGATTCATAGACGTCAGGCGTCAAGTTCAACGGCCAACCTCACACCTTACCTGGACATCATTATGCACAGTTTGTATAGATGCCTATCTACGCACAAAATATACTAGAGAAAGGATGTTTAAGAAATATACCTAGTATTTCATTTCATTGCTCTCGAACCGCGCTTCCTTGTTCCGCAAGTAGACGCTTTTCGTACTTGCAGCTGTGTCGACGTTGGGGGCTGGAGCAAGGTTCCACACTCTTCAACGTCGCGCTGCGACGGAATCAGCCCACATCTGCTGAATCCCGGGAAAATGTGTTACTTTGTGCTAATCATTGTCGCGGCTTGTTTTGTTCTGGCATTTTGCTGGGTCGCTAAATGATATCCGATCTTCATCATGACAGATGGATGACATCACATGTCAAGGTAAATACCCATCAGCTCTTGAAGACACCTCCGGGATGCTCATTTCAACGTCTGCTGTGTGTCACCAATCAACAATCCTCCTCTCACATATCAAGTCATCTAATTATCTACAACTCACCGTAACCATCGAAGAAAATGGTAGAGACAAGGGCAGACGACGAGCAACAGCAGCAGGCTTCTGCCGGCGAGAAACACAAGACCGAGGTGGAAACCCCAGAGGCGAAGCGCACCAAGGTCGAGGCAGAGGATTCATCTGCCGATAAAGACAATGAAAAGGACAAGGGAGAAGAGTCAAACACTCATCAGACCAAAAAGGAAGAGCAGGAGGAGTCCAAGGCCGATGTGAAATCCGAAAATGGTACCGCCGGCAAAGCCAAAGCAGACAAAGACACAGACAAGAACGCGCCCGCTAGCATCCTCGAAAAGGGCATCATCTACTTCTTCGTCAGAGGACGCGTGGACGTCGACAAGCCCGAGGACGTGGACGACATTGCGCGAAGCTACATCATCCTCAGGCCAATAGGCCACGACGCAAAGCTCAGCAAGGCGCCGCTTGCGGATGCTGGAAACACGCGGATTGTCGTTCTGCCGAAGAAAGTTCTGCCTTCCAGCGGCAGAGACCGCTTCCTGGCGTTTATCGACAAGACAGGAGCATCGTATGATGAGATCAAGGGTCAATTTCTGGCTGGCGGAGAGTATGAGACCAAGACCAAAGGCACCAGACACACGCCAGCGGCTACACCTGTGGGTGAAGGTGTCTACGCCATTACAACTACTGGGCGCGAGAGTCATCTTGCGTACATGTTGACGATTCCGCAAGAGCTCGGCGAGGTGCAGAAGGATCTTGGTTTGAAGGAACAAGGGAGCTTTATCATCAGCACCAAGAATCCAGAGTATCCGGCGCCGGCCTCTGCTCGTCTTCCCAAAGCACCAGAGTATCCGAAGAAGTAGGTGTCATTGACTATCTCATTGATGGGCAAGAAGCGAGATACTGACTTGGCTATGCAGAATTCATGATGAGTTCCGAGACTTGCGGTGGCTTCCCACCAAACCACATCACCTTGACTACGTCAATAGTCAAATCCTAATGATTGGAGAGTCGTCTGGTATCAACAAGGCTTTGGGCGTTGAGGGCAATGGTGATAAGAAGGCGAACAAAGAGGAGCCTCTTGAGGAGATGGAGGAGTTGGAAGAGCAGGACCTGAAGCGGATGCAGCAGCTGTCGGGAGACGACTCGGCGTCGATTTACAAAGATCTGAAGGCTCATGCGGAAGATTATCCGAAGCTTCAGACCACCTTCTGAAGGCCCTGAAGCAGCCGGATAATTTCGTGACAATTGCGCTTAGTCCTCAACACTCGTGATAGCGAAGGAAAAAGTCAAGACTGTTCATCAAGGTCACTCAGGATTCTTTTCCTGGGCCAAAAATCAATATTGTATGCAGTCACTCCAGAATACAAAGGAATGAACAAATCGCAGTTCTGAAGTAAAGTCTTGCGAAGCAGTGTCTCGATTCATTATTGAACCCGATTGAACAATCGTCCTTTGCAACTGCACCATACTAGATGTGTTATACGAAAGAATGATTTGAATAATTTGTCCGACTCGACGCGACCTCGATACTATGACTCTTCTACTAGGCTATCAAGGCTATCCATCTGCCAATGACTACCGCCAATGATTCACGCTTACAGGCCCTTTTGAGCTGACGTCCTGCCTCAAATGGTCTGGCTCAGCGGTTCGTATTCTTAACGAGGAATTTGTTGCACTTTTCTTCCTTTCAGAAGTTCCATTGACGACTGAGACGTGAGTCAAGGCTCATGCAGGGCAGTGTGATTGCTGTCAGCAATTCCTCGGTGGCCTTCAACCCGTTTCAAGATGATTGTGGACAATGTTGGAACGATAGCGACTAGACCGGCCCTAAACACGAGGTGGGATGCGCGATCGAGAGATGGATGAGGTAGCGCGGGGTACGAGAATCTACCTACCTCGATATGGATATGAGAACCGAATGGCTATGACTCACAAGTGTGATTGTTGGTAGGAGGAGGAAAAAGGAGGGAGTGTGGAGATAGGGTAATCATCCATCACGAGAAACCCGCGATACCAGGGAACGAGTGAACCACACGAACTGAGATATAAGAGAAGGAAGATGAAGCCCAGAGAGAAGAAGATCCTCATCGACACAATCGACAAACAACCCGAAAATGTCCTCATCCACCTCCTTTGAGCCCATGCCGGCCACGGCTGCGGCGACCATTGCGAAATACCACCTCAGCTCGCCCGACTGGCCGGGCCACCTGAACATGGAAATCGGCCAAGCAGAGCACCGCATCAAGTTCATCAACTTCTGGCAGATCGCTCCCGGCAGCCGCGTCCTCGAGATCGGATGCGGCCAGGGCACCACAACTGCGGTCCTGGCCGAAGCCGTTGGATCCTCGGGGCACGTCGACGCCGTGGATCCCGGCCCGCCCGAGTACGGAGCCCCCTGGACGCTTGCCCAGGCGCAGGAGCACCTCTCGGGAGGCCCGATCGGGGACCGCGTCTCGTGGCACTTTGCCGACCCGATCGATTTCCTGGCGGCGAATGCGGACACGACGTGGGATTATGTCGTGTTTGCGCACTGCATCTGGTACTTTGACTCGCCGGCGACGCTGACGAGGATGCTGGGCGCCTTGAGGGGACGAGCCAAGACTCTGCTCATTGCGGAATATGCGCTCAAGGCGACGGAGTTGAAGGCCCTGCCGCATGTCCTTGCTTCGGTGGCGAGGGCTACTCTCGAGGCCCACAACAAGGGCAGCATGGCCAACATTCGGTGCTTGTCCAGCCCGGGCGCCATTGCAGATGCTGCGAGCGAGAATGGCTGGGTTCTTGAAGACAGGACTTTTGTGGTGCCTGGGGAGGGACTCATGGATGGCCACTGGGAGACGGGATCTGTGAAGAGTCCCAAGTTTTTGGAAGAGATCGAGACGAAGGTCGAGGACCCGAAAGTCAAGGCGCTTTTGCGTTCGGCTAGAGATGGTGTTTTGGGAGCTTTGGAGACGGTTGGTGTGCAGAAGTCGTGGACTATGGATGTCTGGGTGGCCAAGTTTGACTAGGTAGACCTGAAGCCTGGGCGATATCTGTGGTCGAGTATCGCTGGTATCGTCATCACAGTGGCCATGTCGCAAGATGTCATACAAGAGTCAATCTATTAGCATTTTATTCCTGCAATTACTATCATACAACGAGCCACGAGCTCTCTAACCCCAAGTTTTATTGTACACTTGGATTCATGCTTCGTTGACATCTGCCTCAATCTCCGCCTTGTGAGCGTCCATGTATTCATCCACGAAAGGCTTCGCTCCGAAACGGCGCCAGCACATGGCAGACATGAGAGCTAGATCTGTTTCTTTGCTCCTAAAGAGGACTTCGGATTTGCCGTCTCCAAGGTTCGTGACTGAGCGATCCTGCAAACATGTTTGTCAATAGGTCGTAGCACGGTATAGTGACGGTTGTGAGATGGTATCGTACCAGCCCCAAAGTCAGCTTAATCACGCCGTCTGCCCAGAGGTTCTCGTAAACGTGGTGAGGCGATTTTCCTGCTACTGCAAGAAGAATATTGTCCGCCACGACGGTCGCTTGCCGCATTGCTGAGCGGGCGTTCGGATTCGGGGTGTTGGTTTCGGCAACATCGCCGCATGCGTAAACGTTTGGTAGAGAACCATCAGCTATGTGGAGGGTCGGCTTGATTTTGATGTGCCCCGTGGGCGAGATGGAGCTGGGAGAGAGGTTGGAAAGCACTTCAGATAGTGGCCTCTGTCCTGTACAGTTTATCTACCGCAACGCGTTAGTTTGGCAACTCAGGATATCTAGTTCTAATATGTCAAACGGGTACGCATACAAAGAAGTCGCAAGCGATTGTTCGTCCAGACTGAAGGGTGACGGCTCCTGCATCTGCGTCTTCACTGACAACGCGGTCTTGAAGCACAAGCTCCACTCCTAATCTTTCAAGCCCTTCGCGCGCAGCATTTTGGAGGCCTTGGCCGAAGCGATGCATCACTGCGGCTCTCGAGTGAATCAAGAAGACATGCTTCTCTGGATAGAGAGCCTTGGCGTCTGTAGCGACTTCAACTCCTGCAGCGCCTCCTCCAACAACGACAACTGTCTTGGCTGCTTCGATACGGTTTTGCATGCCCTGGAGAAGCTTCATTCCATCCCGCTTCTCTGTAGCGTTGACGCGTGAAGGAAGACCTTCTCTGACTCCCGACCCTGTGGCGATGACAAGAAACTCGTATGGGATCGTCTCGCCGTTGTCCTGCAGCTTCACAGCTGTTTGGTCAATATCGGCTACTTTGTCCTTTATCCAGCGATAGGAGCCCTCTGGAGCCCCGGACATGCACCCTCCATACGGGATGAACGCCTTGTGCTCGTGGCCCTTGACAACACAGAATCTTGGGAGCACCCAAGTGAACTGGAAATGGCTGTTTGGCTCAACGACCACGACTCGGTATGGGCTTCGGGGAGGCAAGTTCCTTGCGATAATCTGAGCCGCTCGGAAGCCTGCGAAAGAGGCACCGACAATGACAATGTTGCGAGTCCTCTCTTCGGCTGTGGAAGATCCAAACCAGAGGGCCTGTTGTCGTACGATGGCGGCTCGGAGAGCGAGTCGTAGCTCTGTCCAGAGGAAGAAGAGGGCGTAGCCCACAATCTTGGTGTAGAGTTTCGGCTTCTCCAACATTTTGTCAGATCATGGGTCGACTCTGTTGAGAATTGCAAAGCAGTGCAATGTCAGCTGGGTCATTTTATCCAACGCCTACCTCGTCTTTTCTATAAGTCTGGAGATGGTCGACAGGGGTGAAAATGCCGACAATTTGCAGCGTCTTCTCCGGCCGACTTGTCCGAGTCCGACTCGGAGCTCGTCGACGCCCATGATTAGGTCCTCGTTAACGCCATGGCCTGCGTTGTGAAGCTCGGGAATGCTAAGGGTCCGACGCAGCGGGCAGTGGGGGGAGCAGATCGTTGGCTGTAGACCTGACGCTAGCAGATGCGTCTTCAGGGATGTTTCTCGATCGGTGCGGGCCTAGAGGAGTTATCTGATCATCTGATAAGCGTTTCCCATCTTTCCATGTTTGTTACCAAACGGAGATTGATTCGGACCATCTGGACGCGTACGTATAGGCTGCTCCGACGCTCAGATCGAAGCTTGATTGTGCGATCAAAGCGCCTACACGTACCTTGTTTTTTTTGACGCCATAACCCGATCTTTCAAACGCGGCGCTTGCGTCAAGATAATCTTTCCATTGAGGCAGGCAGGAAGAGATGAGAGACAACAGTGGCCTCGTCTTTGCTCCAGAATATGTGGGTTGAGCATTTGCCCTCTGCAGCAGCAGGTAACTTGGAACGAAGTTGAACTGTTGACGCTGTCTACCTGTTATTACCACAGGTGGCTAACCAGCGCCTTTATCATGGGGAAAAGAAAAGCATACAGAGTCAACTAAGCGAAGAAAGAAGAAGCATAATAGGTATCTTTCTAGCAAATGCAGTCAAGTCTGCATCATGTCTGAAGGACCGCTGGGTTACCTCGGTGGACGGATGACTTCTGGAAGACCTTCGTGGCGCTTCTGCTCACACCTTTTCCATGCTCGAAGAGGCGCTCAGCCAGCCAAGCCATTGTCATTTCAGGTCCAAACCTCACCTTACCCAAGCTTAGAGTTTGGACCTTCCATCTTCGATTGGATCCTAGAGGGAAAAAGGCTTTTACTTGATATGCACAAACGTTCCTGCGTACATCGATAGGTTCTATCTTGTTATACCTGAGGTACACTCCATACAACCCCCCTGACCGTACGCTGTTCCCTCTACAAAATCTTACTTGGGCAATACGAAGGCTAATGGATATAAGGTAAAATTCCCGAAGCGCCACCAGCCTGACAGGTACACTCTACCCGCCAACATGCGGAGGGTTTGCAGCGCCAGCAGGTACCGGGTTCAAGATGCGAGGCCCCCATTTGGGCTTCCTCACCAGCGACATCCGCCAACAGAAAAATGTTCCACGATCCCCGGTCGCGCTGTGGCTGTGAAGGGGGGGGAGAGAAAATAGATAATACGAAGCAAGAATAGCAGGACATCGCGAACCAAGACGACTCGATCCAGTCTGTCGCGTCTTCCTTCTCCTCCTCCTCCTCTTCTCCCTCTTCGCGATCCCTTCACCCTGTGCAGCGAGGCTTCCAAGGCCATGCGCAGGCAGCAATGGCGCTCTTCCCCAAGCCTGCGGAGACGCAGCAACTCGGGCTCTTCCTCCTGAACAAGCGCCTGATCCGCATCTTCGTCGCCGTCGCCTTCTTCGTCCTCGTCGCCTTCGGCCTCGTCTGGCGCCGGCAGCATGACGCCCTGCCCGTCCTGCCGCCCCTGGGCATCGACGAGCCGCCCGGCTTCTACCCGTACGAGACGGTCAGCGACTACTGGCCGGTGTCTCTCGATCCCGCCGGCAAGTCGACCGAAGACCTTTGCGCAACGTTCCCCAAGCACATGCTCAGCCTCGTCCAGCCCGTCCTCAAGATGGGCCACGGCGAGGACCGCGCCAAGCTCGACGCCCAGCTCGACAGCGTCAGCGCCTGCTTCCGCCCCGACGAGCTGCTCATCTTCTCCGACCTCGACGAGCGCATCCGCAACTTCACGGCCATTGACATCCTCGCCAGCCTGCCGCCCAAGTACTACGACCTCGAGTATAACCCGGACATGGGAAACTACCTGCTGCAGAAGGAATTGAGCCGCAACGGCACGCTGGACAAGGACAAGGAGGCGACGAAGCGCGTCAATGGCTGGATCATTGACCGGTTCAAGTTCCTGCCGCAGATTGAGCGTGCCTGGTTGATGCGGCCCAACAGACCGTTTTACTTTTTCTACGAGACGGATACGTACGTACATTTGATCCTTTTGGTCTAAGGCTTCGGGGGACGAGACGTGCTAACCCATTCGTGTTCTGCATCACAGATATGTCGTGTGGGATACAGTATACCGGTTCCTCTCCACCTTTGACCCCGATGTTCCCATCTACATGGGCTCTCCCTCCCCCGGACGGCACGACAGCACTCGAGACGATCTCAAGACATGGTTTGCCAACGGCGGCCCCGGATTCGCCCTCAGCCGCGCAGCCGTCAAGGCCCTTATCCGCCGCGACGTGGCACCGCATGGCCAGTACAGCGGACCGACCGTCAGCGAAGAGTGGCTTCCCCTGATCAAGGACGAGTGCTGCGGCGACAGCGTCGTCGGCTGGACGCTGTGGAACAATGGAGTGCCCTTGCAGGGGTACTGGCCCATGTTCAACCCCCATCCGCTGCACGGCATTCCCTTTAGCGATCGCTACTGGTGCCAGCCCATCATGACGCTGCACAAGACGACGCCGAAGGACATGGTCGAGGTGTGGAAGTGGGAATTCGGGCAGAGGAAGTTTAAGGTATGTCGAGGATCCTCCGATTCCTGAAATAGTAGTACTAGAAAGACGTCTTAACATGTCTGGTTTCTTAGCGGCCCTTGCTATACGCTGATTATTGGAATTTCCATCGACCGGGAACCTCCGACACTCTGGACAACTGGGATAACGGAGATTGGGACGCCTCCAAGTCTGGCCCCGATCAAGGCATCGACTCGTTTGAAAAGTGCGAGGAGGCATGCAAAAAGGACGACAGCTGCGTCCAGTGGAACTGGCGAGGCAGAGACGAGAAAGTGTGTGTTCTCGCAAGGTCTTTTAGGTACGGAGAAAAGCGGGAGCCGGAGCAGCGAGACGACAAGTGGGTGGACTTTAAATCCGGCTGGATCAAGGACAGGCTCGACAAGTTTCGCAACGAGAGGCAGTGCGAGGTGGTGGAATGGGTTGGGCCGAGCGTTACGCGGGTGTTTTGAGCATTGCTGATTTACCCTTTACGAACGCGACGAAGCACTGATACCCGTTGGCACGAGGTTTCTGTGGTTTTCAAGGACTCATTGGATGCCGCGAACTTGGATGACTTTGATTGCATTAGGGTTGGATATACCATGAATTATCGTATATAACTAGAGAATAGTATTTAACAGCCTGGGAGAGAGCATAGCCGATCCTTGGGTATCATTGCATCATTAAAGGCCGTTCTGTTTCTCATGACCAGTCCTTCCTCTCCTAGTAAACATAGCGAAAGTAGGGGTTTTCTTTGTCCGTGAGATCCTGAAAGGCAAGCTTTGCTCGCTCAGCCTCGTCTTCCGGCAAGGCCATCTTCTTCTTGTTCTCGGCTCGGAGGACAAAGTACAGAGTGATTGATGCAAGGATGCAAATGATGTAGCTTCACACAACATGTTAGCAAAATCCCTGAAGATATCGATTTCGATCCAGGTGATAGTCAACCGTACCATATGATGAGACCAAGCCACAAGGCAGGATAGTGGCGATTCTTCGTCTGAGTCCAAACCAGCTGCGGGCCAACAATGTTGCCCACGCAGTAAGCCACGAAGATTGTCGCGGCCATGAAGCTCTTCTTCGTATGGCCCGCGACGTTGGACATCCCAAGCGTGATGATGAGACTGACGGTGCCGCCAAAGAAGCCCGTGATGGAGTATCCGATGACGGGGGCCGCGGCGTGGAAGCTCCAGGTGCTCTTCCAGATGATGGCGCAGCCGGCGATGACGGGCAGGCAGGTGAGGACGAGCATGAGGATGCGCACGTTCTCCACCTTGGAGCCGACGTAGCCGGTGGCCAGGATGACGATGAAGCAGAGGCCGCCGAGGGGGAACTGGAAGACGATGGAGTGCAGGCTGTCCCAGCCAAAGGTCGACACGATGAGGGGCCCGAAGCCGCTCACCGCGCCGTTGACAGTGTACGCCGAGGCCATCATCAGGGCAATCAGCCAGACCTTGACGTCCAGCACGGCCTCCTTGAGCTGCGACGCCTTGAGCTTGGTGCATCGCACGCCCGTCTGTCCGTGGCGAAGCCTCTCCACGGCGGCGAACCGCTCCTCCTTGGTCAGGAACCAGGCCGACACGGGCGAGTTGGGCACGGCGAAGCACAAGAGGCCAAAGAGGAACGTCAGGGACCCGGCGAGCAGGTAGATGTACTGCCAGCGCTTGAGCCCGCCGCCCGTGATCTGGGCGAAGCCGTAGTTGAGCGCGCCGCCGATGATGGTGAAGAGCCCCGTGCTGCTGAACCACCAGCTCTGGCGCAGCGACTGCTCCGACTGCGTGTAGTAGCTGGAGACGATGCACATGAAGCCCGTGGGGATGATGCTCTCGACGAAGCCGAGGAAGAAGCGCTGCACGAAGAGGCCCTGCCAGGACGTCACCGCCGCCGTGAGCATGCAGATGGTCGCCCACAGGATGACGACGGCGCCGAGGATGCGGCCGATGTCGAAGCGCTGCAGGGCGAACGTCATGGGGTAGAGGCCGCCCAGCATGCCGAAGTAGAAGAGCGACGTGGCCCAGCTGAGGCGGCGCGTGTCGACCGTCGGGGGGACGGTCGAGTTGTCGACGACGCTGAGATGGAGATCAGTCGTCATGCCGAAGAGGGCGGCTGAGCCGAGGATGGCTTTGTCGTAGTAGACGAGGCCGTCTAACTGATGTCAGTACGGCTTTCTATCGAGGTTCTTTTGTTGTCTGGGCTTCATGAGGCTTTGTTGAGAAACTCACATCCGCATATCATGGCGGGCATCAGAAACCAGTCAATCTTCCTCACGGCTCGTGCTTGCACCACAGGATCGACTGTATGCTGCACTTCGCCCACCATCGCCACGGCTTCATCCTTGGCGGACGAGCCTTCATCGTGATGATTCGCCACAGATTCGCCCATGGTGGAACAGCAACGGCAACTAGCTTCAAGAAATTCTCAAACCTCAAGCCCGTATCACAGACCCAAGGAAACGGGAACCTAGGGGAATATCAAGAGAGATCAACTCCAAAGAGATGAGAAAGATTTTTGAGGAAAAAAAAAAAAAATCTCATCGTCAAGAGCAAGGAAAAAGAGCTCTCATACAAAGATAGCCTAGTGTCTGTGATACTAGATATAACTAGCTGGGGGCGATGGTCAATTAATTTGCTCCGGCTGGGCTAAAGAGGTAAAAACGGGAAGCGAGAAAATAGGACCATCAGCCAATTCCATCATCATTGGTGGTTTGCAGGGAGGGATGGATCCGAGAGTGTGGATCGGCTGGAGCTGAAGCTGCTTTAAAGTTGAAGCTCGTTTCTCAAGTGCCGTGAGGACAAAGAAGACGATGATAGCTTGATGGCTTGGTGCTCAGGCTGGGAGGCTGAATGATTGGGAATTCAAATGTGGCTGTTGGGACACATGCATTGCACGCGGAAGCCCTTCAGGAGGTGGAGGGAAATAGATGAGGCAACTTGTACATGAATTCAATCTAGTGCTGCCCTCGAGTCTAAGCTAAGTATAGAAAATAACAGGTAAAAAAGCAAGTGTAAGAAGCCATTCAAATGCTCTTGTATCAAGAAAGATGAAGAAACAATGACAGAAAATGGGGACAAAGGAAAAAGAAAGACGAGAGAAAGAAAAACTATGAAATCCCTGTTTACCCTCCAAGTGCATGCACACGTCGAATCGTGCCCTCTCGCTGAACGTTGCCAAGTCCTTCCACCGAAGAATGGATGAAGCCAATCTTCTTCATATACTGCACATTGCTATGGACAGCCAGCTGGGACTGCATGCACTCGTGGGTTCCCGCTTTGGCCAGAGTAGCAAAATCTCTCGGTAGACCGAGCTGGCCGAGGAAGTGCTGCACCGGCCACAGTGGGTGCGTGTTGCCGACTTGGTTCATCGAGGCCAGGGCGCGCTCGGTCCATTCTTGCCAGGTGACCGGTTTGCACGGGACATCCAGTTCGGCGTTGACACGTTCCCAGAAGTCCGACATGGTCATTCCTCTTGCCAGCAGGTTGAATGGCTTGATGGCATCGTTGTAGAGCTGGCCGAGGACATTGGATGCAACCACGCTTACGTCTTGCATGACCATCCAGTGGTCCGATGCTTCCTCTGGGTAAGCCTGGATTGACGCTGCCGTGGATACGACACGCCAGACAAAGTCATCGACGTTGGAAACGCCATTCTCTGCCCTTCCGATGATACGTCCCGGTTTGACCGTCGACACTCGGTTCTGGGTGCTGGGGAGGCTGTTGGCCACCTTCGTAATGACGGCCTCGCAGACAAACTTGGTTTGGGAGTAGCCGTTGGCACCGCGGAGGAGGGCTGCATTCACAGCCGGGTTTTCGGTAGGATCCGTAAAGGCACCCCCAGACACAAACACAAACTTGGGCTGGCATGGTGAGGTCGCGGTCGCCATGAGCAGGTCGACAGTTGAGCTGACGTTGGGAGCGCTCAGCGTCTCGTAGTTGGCGTTCCAGTTGACAGATGCTCCATTGTGGATAATGGCATCAATGTTGGTCTCTGAGGTGGACAACCCGGCTAGGCGTTGCCATTGTGCTTCTGTGAGGCCCAAACGTGTCTTGGAGAGATCACCAAGCCAGATCTCCAACTTGGCCTCATCTTCCTCGCGCCACCAATCTGCAATCTTAGCTGTCTCCCTGACCCGATCCATGCCTTGTGCTAGCGATTTCGATCGGACATGAACGGCTATAGACCTGATCGCTGGATTCCGCACCAGCTGTCTAAGAATCTCGGTGCCGAGGAAACCAGTGGCTCCCGTCAAGAAAACTGTGGCTTGGTCAGGCAGTGTGGTTCTAGGATTTTCAAACAGGGCTTGCGGATGCTGCATCCAGAGCGAGTTGGTAATCGCGTTGATCTTGGCCATGAGGTCGACGTCTGCATCTGAATGGTCAACCTCTGTGGCCCCGTTCTCCGCGCTCAGGGAGATGAATTTGGCCATATTGCTGATCGTCGTGTGTTTGCTGTTCAACAGGGTGCTGCCAAGGGACACCCCAAACTTGTCAAGTACAAGCCTCGAAATGTTGACAATGCGAATCGAGTCGCCTCCCAGCTGGTAAAAGTTGTCGTCCACACTGATGCTTTCTCTGGGCAGTTCGAGGATGTCTGCCCACTGTGCTCGGAGCCAGTGCTCGAGGTCACTCGAGGCGTCACGGAAAGGTAGACGCTGGCCAGCTAAATGAACCGCCAAGTCTTCCGAAGAGAGACTTGCCGCTATCTGCAGGAGTGCTTTTCTGTCAAGCTTGCCGGAGGTGTTGAGTGGCATCGACTCGACGGCGATGAAGTACTTCGGAACCATGTGAGTGGGCAAGACAGTAGAGAGGTCTGCAGCCAACTGAGAGAAGAGCTCTTGCATTTCGCTGTTGTGCTCCAGCACCTGGATCTGTGACAAGTGGTTGGGGCCCTTGCTGCTGGAGAAGCTGATAAAAGCCACGAGGGATTCATGAGTATCATGGCAGATCTTGTCAACCACCGCATGCTCGATATCGGACGCTTGAGCCTTAATCTGGTACTCAATCTCACCAAGCTCGATACGTTGGCCTCGGATCTTGACTTGCGTATCCTTGCGGCCAAGGTAGTGAAGGCTTCCATCCGGGTTATATCGGACCAGATCACCAGTCTTGTAGAACCGTCGTCTTCCAACATCTATATCATCAGGAAGCCACTTGACATTGCTGATGAATGCGTTGTTTGTCTTTTCTTCATCATTGATGTAACCACGGGATAAAGCGTCTCCTTGTACCAAGAGCTCGCCAACGCACCCAATGGGTGCAAGCTCGTCGTGGTTCTCTGCGTTGACAACCCAGCAATGATGAGCAAACCCACGGCCAATTGTCGTGGCTGATGCTGCATCATCAGCATACAGCTGGAGACAAGACGCGACACAGGTTTCGGTAGGTCCATATGCATTCCAAAGGCTGACATTTTGACGCCACGAGTCCACAATGTCCCTGGATGGAGCTTCACCACCCAGGAGCAGTGTTTTCAATGAGTGTACCGTCTGTGGGTCGAGTGTCTTCACAAATGTCGGCGTCAGAAGGGCCGTGTTGACTTGGGCTTGTTCCATGAAGCTTGCTGCGTGCTGGATACGCTCCGCGTCGGTGGGGACGCACACGGTGCCTCCCGATATCAAGGTGGTGAAGATTTCAAAGATTGAGGCATCAAACACATAGCTAGAGAATTGAAAGGTCCTCGATTCTTTGGTAATGTGGAGGATTTCGCAGACCCGGACGAGGAAGCTCGATATGGCTCCGTGTTCGATGATGACACCCTTGGGTTTTCCAGTTGATCCAGAGGTAAACAGGATGTACATGGCTTTTCCGGGAGCAGATCTAGCAGCCTTGATCTTTCGTGAGGAAGGGGCGTGGCCGTTCGTTCTAGAGAAAAAGGCCGACGAGAGCTCGATGTTGTTTCTGGTCATGCCCACACACTCCTTAGCTGTACTGGGAGATACAATCAGGTACTGGGCACTTGTTTCATCGACCAATGCTTGGCGACGGCTGAGCGGATGGCTGGGGTCTAGCGGTAGGAAGACACCACCAGCTTTGATGATACCCAGCATGGCAATAATCGACCACAAGGATTTCTCGTAGCAGAAAGGCACGATTGTTTCCGATGTGACGCCAAGCTGGCTGAGATGCAGAGCGAGTTGGTCTGACAACTGATCGACTTCTGCATAAGTCATGCTGCCGGCGGTGGAGTAAAGGGCCTCCTGCTGCGGTGTCTTTGCAACTTGCTTAGCGAACAAGTCATGTACGCAGGCCTCTGTTGGTGCAATATCGAAGCGGTTCCGCTCAATTGCCTGCTCAATATCCCAAGGGCTCGCGGGAGAGATATCCGACAATGCCCTATCGCCATTCTTCTGGAGCTGCTCAAGGACATACGAGAATTGCTCGGCCAGCGCTTCCACTTGGGAATGGCTGACGAGATCAGTTTGGTAAATGAAACTCAACTGAACATCATTTTCGAGCAGCTGGCACTGCACAACGAGAGGGTAGCTGAAGTAGTCACCAAGGAGCTCGCCTTCAGCAAAACCCTCGGCAGCCACAGGGCAGAATACATGAGATTCAGTGGCACCGCCGGTTGGGGTGAACGTCTGAGCCGGCTGAACGATGAGGAGATTGGTGAAGTTGCACGCCTCCTTAGCGTCAGTGCTGATCCTCGAGATGTTCGCCAGCCCGTACTGCTCGTGAGCTACCATCTCAAAGGCTTGATCTTGCATTGCCTGCAGGAGAGCGGATATCTTTTGCCGCCTGTCGAGCTGAACGCGTATAGGAACCGTGGCAATAGCGAGACCGGGCATTTCGTCAATACCTTGCACTGCAGCCTGTCGACCAGAGACGGTCGTGCCGAAGCAAACGTCATCGTCGTGCTCGTATTGAGCCAGCAAAATTGCCCACGCAGCGCGAATGATAGTCGCTCTGGTGATGGAGGAACCCGACGGCCGTGATAGGTGGACTTGCTTGTCTAGCATGCCGGCAATCTTCTGTGTCGCAGATGACGGCTTGTTCTGCGTAGGGAACGTGGTGCGTTTTACGCCACGAAGTTGAGTAGACCAATATTTGCGTGCATTCTCCTGATCGATATCCATGATGTACTTGACGAAGCTGGTATAAGGGACAATCGATGGCGGCTCTGTCTGGGCATACATGGCGAGCAACGTTCGCAGCACAATGGACAGTGTCCACCCATCAAAGATGGTGTGATGGATGTTTACTGCAAAGTATCGATCGCGGCCCTGGCTGATGATTGCATATCGGCAAAGCGGCGAGCCGTAGGTCATGGTGCAGTTTTCTTGTGCTAGGAGGAACGAACGCAGGTCGGTATAAGTAGAAGGCCAGTGAATTGGCTCTTGAATAACCGCCTGAACTGCAGTGCTTCCAGAGAGCACGATCCGTGTGCGAAGGTTGGTGCAGTATCGGACGGTCTGCTCCCAAGCCCGTTTGAACCTCTCAATATCGACGTTTGATGCGAGGCGGTAGACGTGCTTTGCGATATATGATCCTGGCTGGTTGACAGTCAAGGCCATCAATCCTGTCTGGAGGTCTGTGCAGGGATATATATCATCGATTTCGGCCGCGTCCGAAAGCTTACACTGGATTTGCACTGCCCTCAGAGCGCTCGGCTTGTCACTGGCCGGTATAAGGCCGAATTGAGCTACATCGTGAGTTGTAGTTGATTGAGAGGTGTCGAGCTGGATGGCCTCTGCCATCGACGAGAGTCGCGGGTTATTGAATATCATGGCCACCGTGATGCCAATGTTCTGCCGCTGGGCCAAGGAAACCAGCTCGATTGCACTGATCGAATCGCCGCCAAGGTGGAGGAAACTGTCGTGCTTGCCAATGGTCGATATGTCGCTGATCTTGAGGACTTGGGCCCAGAGGCTCTGCAGCTGTAGCTCCATTGAGGTCGTCGGCGCTTCATAATCGCTGGCGCTTGGCGTAAAGCGTAGACGGTCTTGGACAGAGACACTTCGGCCAAGTTCCACAAATGAGCGGCGATTCACCTTACCTGAGGTTGTCTGTTCGGGCTTGCCTTCGAAGATCAGGTAGGAAGAGGGAATCATGTACGAGGGTAGAGTTTCTTCCAATGCCGAATCAAGACGGAAGATGACGCTTTGAGCCTGTTCTGACACTGACTGCATCAACTGAAGACTCTGTGGCTGGGAGTTTGGCTCGTCGTCGGTATACCACAGGAATGCCAAAAGGATGTCGTGCGCATTCTCGTCATCTGCCTTGAGGATATCGACAATGACAGCCATGTTGTCAGGCAGTAACTCATGGATACGAGACTCAATCTCACCGAGCTCGACACGCTGACCGTGAAGCTTGACTTGAGTATCCTTGCGGCCCATGTAGTCAAACGTGCCGTCAGCATTGCGGCGAACCAGATCGCCTGTGCGGTACACTCTCTTCTTTCCGCCTGGAAGCCAATCCACGTCTTCCATCCAGCTGGCAGCAACTTCAGGGCTTACGTTCAAATAGCCGCGGGCAAGCATGGGGCCCTCAATAAGAAGTTCGCCAACGCACCCCACAGGTACAAGCTGTCGAAGGTTGCCCGGTTCAACGACCCAGAACGCGCTGGAGATAGGCCTTCCAAGGTTGGTCGATCGACCGGATTTGCCAACGGTGGGATTCCAGGCGCAGATGGATGCCTCAGCCGGCCCATAGAGACCATGTAACTCGACGTGATTCACCCAACGATCCGCGCACTTCTTGCTGATGGCCTCACCACCGAGACACACCACTTTCATGTCAGGGATATCGGTGGGAGACAAGAGGTCAGCAACTGTGGGGGTTAAGAAGACCCAATTGGCTTTCGAAGACCGCATGGTACCGGCCAAATCGTTCATTCTGTCGTGGTCAGACGGGATACAGAGACAAGCTCCGCGCATTAGAGAGACAAGGCAGTCTAAGATGCCGACATCAAAGGTGTAGGCGGAAAACTGGAAGACTCGTGTACCCGGTCCAACGCCCAGGAGGCTGCCATAGGCGTCGCTGGACGAGCAAAGATTTCTGTGTTCAATTACCATGCCCTTTGGTTTGCCTGTGGAGCCAGAAGTAAACAGGATCACGCTCGCATTATCAGGCTGGACCTTAGATGCCACTGGTTTGGTTGGGTCGGGGAGGCTGGAGAGCACTTCCTGATCAACATAGAAGATGTCTACACCAAGGCCCTCAAGCGCCTTGCTTGTGGATGTGCTAGATATAGCAAGAGTGGAATGCGTGTCTTCAATGATGCCCTTCAATCTAGCTGCCGGAGCGGCTGGATCGAGCGGTACGAAAGCGCCGCCCGCCATTTCAATTGCCACCATAGCAATGACGGCCCAAGCTGACTTGGGGAAGCACAGAAGAACCAAGCTTTCAGGGCCAACTCCGCGTTCCTGTAACGTGAGTGCTAAACGAGAGGCAAATGTGCCTACCTGGGAATAGGTGAGTTCCGCATCCCACGAGGCGATGGCAACGTCATTTGGCCGAGAGCGGATGTTTTCTTGGATGGCCCAGTGCGTACAAGTGTCGCTAGAAGGTTCCAACCGGCTTGAATTGACTGCTTGCTGCAGGTCCCAGGGACTGAGAAGAGACACTGAACTCAGAGGCGCATTCACGGCTTCCTTGGCAACTAGCTGTTGAATGACGTGGTCTAAATGGGACGACAAAGCAACGACGTGATCTTCCGACAACACTGTGGAATCGTAGAAGAAGTTCAGTCGGAATTCTTCAGGGTAGAGGCTGCTGATTATCACGAGAGGATAATTGAAGTAGCCGTCCATGGAGTCCATCGTGAGATCGGTTACGGATTCATCGACCACGAAGATGCTCTCGCCATGATCGTCTCCAGCTCCATGTGCAGGTGGCTGGACAACCAAAAGGCTTGAGAAGTCGCAAACTTCCCTGGCTTCAGGGCTGACCTTGGCAATATTCTGCAAGCCATATTGCTCGTATGGAATCATAGACGAGCTCAAACTCTGCATATCTTGGACGAATCTCGAAATAGGCGCCTGATTGTCTAGGCGGGCTCTGATGGGGACGGTGGCGATCATCGGGCCGGATATCATCTCAGCTCCTGCAATCGGGGCTTGACGACCTGAAACTGTAGCTCCGAACACTGCCTCGCTACTGTCGCAGTATCGAGCAAGGACAATGGCCCATGCGGCTCGAAGTATCGATGCTTGCGTGATAGAAGTCTTCATAGATTTGGAAAATGCAATCGTTGAGCTGAATCGCTTGCTTTCGATGATCCCGGGGGTAGTTCGGCGAGATGGGAACGAAGCGCGCTTTGCTCCAGCCAGTTCTTGGGTCCAGTACGAGGCAACCTTGTCATTATCGAGCTCCTTTACGGACTTGATGAAAGACGAGAAGGGTCGGACCTCAGGTGTATACATGCCCTGGTATGCTGAGAACAAAGCTGTGAACATGACTCTCATGGTCCAGCCGTCATAAATGGAGTGGTGGGCCGACCACACAAAGTAGTTTTCGCCCTTCTCAGAGACAATGGAGTACCAGCAGAGAGGAGTTCCGTAACCCATCTTCAAATTGCGTGATGATCCAGTCATAGACTCGAGAGTTTCATTGTCGGAAGACACCCATTGACTATCATGATCAAGGACTATCTGCGTCATGACACCGTCCAAGACAACGATCCGTGTGCGAAGATTGTCACAGATCTCTACCACTGAGTCCCACGCAGCCTTGAACATGGGAATGTCCACGAAGCTGGATAGATGATGGGCATAGGTAGCAACGTAGGATCCTGGCTGCTTGGCGGTAAGGGCTATGAGACCTTCTTGGAGGGAACTGCATGGATACGCGTCTTTGACGGTTTGATTGTCGACAAGGTTGCACACCTTTCGGACCTCTTCTCCGAGGACATGGCTTTTCTGTGACTTGGGCAGTAAACTGAATGGCTCTGGAGCAGAATCCGTCGGCTCCATTTCGTCTTGACTCAGAACAGCCTTTGAGGCCACAGCCAACAATCTGGGATCATCAAACACATCCTTGACAGTTAGAGTGATGCCCTCTTCCTTGGCCGTTGAGACAAGGTATATAGCCATAATTGAGTCGCCTCCCAGCTGGAAGAAGGTGTCATCTCTGCCAATAGACTCCATCGGCAAGTTCATGATTTCAGCCCAGATCAACTGCAGGCGTTGTTCCATTTCAGTCTCCGGCTGCCGTTTTTCGCTGTGTGACAACGAATACATCGCTAATTGATCCCTATCGAGGGACAGTAGGTGTTTCTGCAAAAGCTTCCTGTCCAGCTTGGTTGATGTGATAAATGGCATGAAGGCACAGGGAATGAACAAGGTCGGGATCATATATCGGGGCAGGGCAACACCCAGTTCTCCAACAAGAGCAATCAACTGGTTCCGTAAGCTCTCATCGGCAGATAAGAATAGGGTGTCGGTCTTGATGCCCGCGGTCTTCGTTTCGTCGGTGAAGCAAATGTAAGCAACGAGATTGGAGCCGTTATCGCCTCTGAAGACGTCAACAGCCACCTGACGCACACCTGTCAAGGACTGTTGGATATGGTATTCGATTTCGCTCAGTTCGACACGTAGACCTCGAATCTTGATTTGCGTATCCTTGCGTGTCGAGAACTCGATGGTACCGTCAGCATTATAACGACATAGATCGCCCGACTTGTAGGATCTATTCCAGTGTGACTCGTCTGGACGAGGAGCCCATTCAGCAGAGGGCAGGATGGCGGCATTGGTACGCTCTGCATCTGCGAGGTATTCCTGCAACAAAGTCGGGCCTTGAATAACGACCTCACCAACCGTGCCGATAGGGGCGAGACAGCCAGTATCGGGATTAACAATCCAGCAGAAGCCACCAACAGGGCGTCCAATTGTGAGAGGCGACTCATCCACAGATTTCCACTCATGCAGAGTACTAAACACGCAAGTTTCAGCCGGCCCCCAGCCGTTGATTAGTCGACGAACCTTTCCGAACCAGGCCGTCAGCACATCACGGGGAACCGCTTCGCCTGCAAGCAGTAGAACTTCCAGCCCAGGGACCTCGTCCGGATTCAGGGTCCGTACGAACGAAGGTGTCAGGAAAGCCCAGTTGACGTTCATATCTTGCATAAACTTAGACAGTCCATTCATCCTGGCATGCTCGGATGGAACACACACACAAGCGCCTGTAATGAGGGGAGCTACGATTTCGCCAATCGACAGGTCGAAAACGAAAGCTGCGAATTGTAGTATACGCACTTCCTGTCCGAGTCCAAGCCTCTTCGCGATTGCTGTCTGACTTGTACACACAGACCCATGTTGCATTACGAGACCCTTCGGCGTGCCGGTGCTGCCAGAGGTAAAGAGGACATAGGCAATATTGCTTGGAGAGGCTCTCGTTGCCGGACCTTGTCGGCCTTTGACATGTTTTTGAAGCTGCTTATCGAATTCAGGAGTGACCTGGATCGGAGACTCGACGAGCCTGGAGCAAAGATCACTGTTGTCTGGCGAGCATAATGCAACCTTGGCCCGGGTTTGGCTGACGACCTGTTGAAGACGTTGCAGGGGATGTGAGGGATCAAGAGGAACCCAAGCGGCGCCAGCCTTGTTGATGGCCAGGATAGATACAAAATGCCAAATGGATTTCTCAAAGCACACGTGTATCAGGTCGTTTGTCTTGATATCATGTGTCTGAACCAGGTAATTTGCAAGTCTGTTCGCCGCCTGGTTGAGTTGGGCATAAGTGAAGTCACCGTCCCAAGAACGGATGGCCATGGCATCTGGACGCTTGGCAGCCTGAGCTTCAACGAGCGTGTGGAAACACGAATCGACAATTTCGGGGACATCTGGATTGAAATTGCGCGATTGTGCGATATCCCACTCTGAGACAAGAGAAACGTCGCGTAGCATCTGACTGGGCTGTGACTGGGCCAACTGGGCGATCACATGCTTCAGCTGTTCGGACAATCCGATGATTTGCTGTTCAGCAATGCAGTGAGGGTTGTAAATGAGGACGATCCTCATGAAATCGTCGCTTAGATGGGCCTGGAGGACCAGAGGGTACGAGAAATAGTTCTGCAATCCATCTGCACCGTCTTCTGCATCCTCGATGCCAACCAAGAGAGGGCTTTCGCCACTGTCTTCTAGATGTGAAAGCATCTTGAGAGGTTGGATAACAAGCAGGCTGGTGAAGTCGCAGGCTTCATCGGCGTCGGCGTTGAGCTTGCGAATACTCTGTAGTCCGAATTGTTCGTAGGGTATCGCCTCCCTCGCACGTGTTTGGACATCCTCTAGGAACTCTGTCGTCGATTTACCGTGATCAAGATGGATCCGAACGGGTATAGTTGCAATCACTGGCCCCGGCATTTGTGTCAAACCTGGGAGCGATGCTTGTCGTCCTGAAACAGTCGCGCCAAAGCAAACATCGGTGCTGTCACAGTAGCGAGCAAGGACTACAGCCCAAGCGGCACGTACAATCGTTGCTGTTGTGATGCTGGTATTGCTCCTGGAGAGCTCAAGCTCCGCTGTCATCGTACGCGAAGCTTCAGGCTTGCTAGCGGACGCAATCGGGGCTGAGGGGAATGTAGCTTTTCGAGCGTTGTCAAGTTGCTTCGCCCAGAACTCGCTGGCGGCCTCGTGATCAAGTTCCATCGTGTACTTGATAAAATGCGAGTAGGGAACTGTGTTGGCAGGTTGGAGGCCCTTGTAAGCCCGGTGGAAAGCCTCCAAGATGACAGACAATATCCAACCATCATAGACGGCGTGATGAAGGTTAAAGGAGAAATAGAACTCGTCACCATCCTTAACTATAGCAGACCGACAAAGTCTTGAACCGTAACTCATTTCCATGGTTTGAGCCTGTCGCAAATAGCCCTGGAGAGTCATCCGCTCTGTGGAGTCCCACACACTTTCTCCCTTTACAATAACTTGAAGAGAGAGAGCGCCCAGTCTGATGATCCTGGTACGCAAGTTTGGGAAATGGTTAACGATCTGTTCCCACGCTGCCTTGAGGATATTGACGTCGACATGTGACGGGATGCGATAGTTGTACTTGGCAATGTAGGATCCCGGTTGTTTGACAGCCAATGCCATCAAGCCTTCTTGCATCTTGGAGCATGGATAGCAATCCTCAATCACCGAACCTCGAGAAAGTTCTAAACCAACATCTTCAGGGCTATCGGTGATCAACTCGCGGTGCGATTCATCAAGCAGAGAAAATGGCTCAATGGGAGTGAACGTCTCGGAACCCCCATCGCTGATGAAAGAAGCTTTAGAGGCAACAGATAGTAGTCGACCGTCATCAAAAATGTGACCGACTGTGAACGCGATTCCTTGGTCGCGAGCTGCAGCAACAAGCCTGATAGCAGCAATAGAATCGCCGCCAATACTGAGGAAGCTGTCGTCACGACCGATCATCTCCAAGGGAATACCCAAGACGTCGGCCCAGAGGGCCTGTAGCCTGCACTCCATGGGGGTTTGCGGCATGGTCTTCTTGTCATTCACGAGTGAATAGGCGGCCAACTGGTCTTTCGTAAGGGTCGAGGTAAGGCCTCGCAGCGCCTTTCGATCCAACTTGCCAGAGGTGGCAGTTGGCATATGCCGGCATTGGATGAATAGAGCAGGAACCATGTATTCTGGAAGCACAACCTTGAGCGCGCCAACCATTGTTGCGAGGCACTGTTGCGTACCCTCTCCCAACGGCACGAAAACATCGTCGAGAGCATTGCTTGAGGCGTCGACAGTGGCATCGCTGAAGCAGAAGTAGGCAACCAGTGTTGAGGCCGACTCAGACTTGAAGACATCAACAACCACCTGATGGGCGCTGGGGAAGGTTTCTTTGATGCGATATTCAACTTCACCCAGCTCCACACGAAGTCCGCGAATTTTGACCTGCGTATCCTTACGCGAGTAGAACCTGATGGTGCCATCAGGGTTGTAAGAACAAAGGTCTCCAGACTTATAAAATCGAGTCCAGTGCTGCGTATCTGGATACACGGCCCAGTCAGGTCGACCTTCCAAGACGGCAGCCTTGGTCTTCTCGGCGTCGCCCAGATACTCGCGCATCAACGTGGGACCCTGCACAATAAGCTCACCAACAGTTCCTGTCGGTGCGAGTTTCCAAGGATCTTCTGGATCGACAATCCAACAGAATCCACCTACTGGCTTTCCAATAGTGGCAGCCGACTCGGCTGGGGATTTCCATTCGTGCATTGCGCTCATGACGCAGGTCTCTGACGGCCCCCAGGGGTTGAAGAATCTTACTTTGCCATACCATTCTTCAAATAGGGCGCGTGGAACAGCCTCACCACCAAGGGATACCAATTCAACACCTGGCACGTCCTCAGGCTTCAAAGTCTGTAAGACAGATGGAGTAAGGAACAACCAATTAATGGCAGTCTCGTTGATGTACTCCTTCAGTCTGTTCATGCGATCCTCTTCAGATGGAATGCACACACAGGCACCGTACATCATTGCCGCTAGCATCTCGGAGATGGAATAGTCAAACACATAGGCAGCAAATTGCAGAATCCTGACTTTTGGAGTGAACCCGAAGCGTTTACCAACAGCTAGTTGACTGGTGCAGAGAGCACGGTGTTCCATGATCAGGCCCTTGGGCACACCTGTGCTGCCAGAAGTGAACAAGACATAGGCGGCGTGGTCCGGAGTAACTGGAACGTCAGGGCCACGAGAGCTGCTGAAGTTTTTCTTGCAGAGATCAGAATCCAGGGAAGAAGAGACTGCAACAACAGTTGAGACTAATTCAGAGCATCTCTTAACATTGTCTGGAGACGCCAGCGCAACTCGCGCCTTGGTCTGGGCTGTAACCTGTTGATGGCGTTGCAGAGGATGCGAGGGATCGATGGGGACCCAAGCCGCACCGGCTTTGTTGATTGCCAAAATGGCTACAGCATGCCAAGCCGACTTGGTAAAGCAGACCTGAACGAGGTCATGAGGCTTGACACCTATATCTGTCACTAGGTACTGAGCCAGCCGGTTGGCTGCCCCGATCAACTCGGCATAGGTAAATTCCTTATCCCAGCCCAGTACAGCAACAGCATCCGGGCTTATTTCTGCCTGGCGCTCAATGAGCTCGTGCAAGCAAGAGTCGATGATTTCTGGTGGATCTTCCTTGTTGGCTTCCCTGGCGAACTCGACATCCCAGTCGCAAGATAGAGACAGGTCACCAAGCAGTGACTGCGGCTTAGCAACGAGCTGTCTCATGATATGTTCCATTTGGTGAGATATCGCCAGTACCTGCGACTCTGGTAGAACGTCTGAGTCATAGATGAACATCAGGTTGATGTCTTCGCCCATGACGTGCCCCTGGATGACGAGGGGGTATGTGAAATAGTTCTGCATCGAACCCTCCTCTTCTGACTCAACCTGTACTGGCAGAAGCAGTGCATTTTCGTCATTGATCAAGTGCTGCATTGGTTGCACGACCAATAAGCTCGAGAAATTGCACACTTCTTGAGCCCCAGGGCTGACTTTCTGTATCTCCTGGAGGCCGAACTGCTCGTAAGGAATCATCTTCAGGGCCTGGCTTTGTATGCTGTCGAGGTAGTCCGATACGCTCTGGTGCTTGTCCAATTGAACACGAATAGGCACAGTGGCAACCGCGGGTCCAGGCATCTCAGTTAATCCTCGAATAGGGGCTTGACGACCAGAGACAGTAGCACCAAAGCAGACGTCGTCAGTTTCACAGTATCTTGCGAGGAGCATTGCCCATGCAGCCCTAATTACCGTCGCTTTGGTAGCTGACAAGTCGGCCATCTTTGGCAGATTCATAGCTCGCTCTAGGCTTTTGCTCGAGTTTGAGCTGGCCTTTGAGAGCGGGGGGTACACTGCCCGGCTTGCGCCGTCAAGCTGCGTCCTCCAAAAGTCGCTTGTCTCCTTGTGGTCAAGGTTGGTGATGTATGCAACGAACTTATTATACGGTTGCAGACACGCAGGAGACCGGCCATCATACACCGAATGAAGCACATCCATCATGAGACGCATCGTCCAACCGTCAAAGATAGAATGGTGCAAAGCCCACACAAAGTAGACCTCGCCACCATCTTCGACAATTGCAGCGCGGTTCAGTCGCAAGCCATAAGCGATGTTCGACGAATTGAGAGCTTGCATATAAGACTGCAGCCCCTGTCCTTGTAAGTCATCCCAGGCAAAATCATCCTCAAGGACGACTTGGATCGTTGTGTTCCCGACAATAACAACTCTTGTGCGCAAGTTGTCGCAGAGCTTTACTGTCTCTTCGAACGCAGCTCGGAACTTCGCAACGTCGATAGTACGACCAAGGCGGTAGACAAACTTCGCAATATAACTTCCAGGCTGTTTCTCTGCAAGGGCCAGAAGGCCTTCTTGCATCTTCGTCGCAGGGTAAGCATCTTGAAGGACAGCATCATCAGCAAGGTGGTAACTTTGTCGCAATTCTTGGCTGGAAAGTGACTTTCGCGTTTGCCCATCGATGAGGCCGAATTGTGGAATTTCTTCAGCTGGGCCGCTCTCTGTGAGGCTTGTCGCCTTGGCAGCAACGGCGAGGAGCCTAGGATCGTCAAAGATGTCCGCCACCGAAAGCCCGATATTGGAGTTCCGAGCGGCGGTGACGAAGTGAATGGCTATAATCGAATCACCACCAATCTGTAGGAAGCTGTCATCCCGACCGATGGATGTAACAGGGATGTTTAGTAGCTCGGCCCAGATGACCTGTATCCGTCTCTCCATCTCTGTCTCCGGACCATTCTTCTCTGACTGGGAGAGCGAATACTTGAAGAGGTCTCCGAGGCTAAGACTGGACGCCATGGCCTTCAGCTTCTTTCGGTCCAGCTTGCCAGAGGTCGTGGACGGAAGATACTTGCAGGGAACGAAAATTGACGGGACCATATATGGTGGTAGCGTAGTCTTCAGCTGCCCTTCCAAGGCTCTGAACCTCTGCTGCATGTGAGAGTTCGGCTGGAGGAATATGACATCGCTAGAGACCCCATTGTCCATGTCTGGTTGCTGAGATTCAGCATTAAAAGTGACAAAAGCTATCAGACTTGTTCCAGCAGTATTGTTCAGGACTTCAACAGCAGCCTCGCAAGCATCATCAAGCTTGTCGCGAATATGATGCTCTATCTCCCCAATCTCGACCCGAAAGCCGCGTATCTTGACCTGCGTATCCCTGCGGCCGCCGAAGACAAGGTTACCATCAGAGTCGTAGAAGCAGAGATCGCCAGTTCGGTAGAATCGGTTCCAGTGTTGAGCATCGGGTTTAGGGGCCCAGCTAGGCGCGGAAACCAAGGCGGCCTTTGTTCGTTCGGGATTACCTAAATATTCACGCAGTAGCGTTGGGCCCTGGATAACGACCTCTCCCATGGTGCCATATGGTGCAAGAGACAGTGGCGTCTCCGGCTCGACAATCCAGCAGAAGCCACCCACCGGACGACCGAGAACAAGCGATGAATCCTCAGCAGACGTCCATTCGTGCAGGGCACCTATGACACAAGTCTCTGCAGGACCCCAGGCGTTGATTAGTCGGACTTTCCCGAACCATGTGAGGCACAAGTCCTGGGGAACAGCTTCTCCGCCTAGTAGAAGGAGTTCTAGGCTGGGTACGTCTGCAGGCTGGATTGTGCGGGCGAATACGGGGGTGAGGAAAGCCCAGTTGATTTGTCGCTTTCTAATGAAAGCCGCGATGTTCTCCAGACGTTCATGCTCTGAAGGAACACAGACACAAGCGCCAGAAAGTAATGGAGCAAAGGTCTCGCCAATAGACATATCAAAGACGTAGGAAGCAAATTGAAGTATCCGCGTGTTCGAAGTTATGCGCATTTTGGCAGCAAGATCCGTCTGGCTGGTGCACAAAGATTGGTGCTCTATAACGAAACCCTTTGGCGTTCCAGTACTTCCCGAAGTGAAAAGAACATAGGCAGCACTGCGAGGCGATATTGCCAGCGGCTCGTATGATTCTGGCACAGAATAGCGCAGTTGTTGATCAAGCTCAACCGTCACCTCAACCACGTTTTTAACAAGTTGAGCACAGAGCGCGGCATTGTTTGGTGAGACCAATGCCAGTTGAGCCTGTGTCTGGCGAACAATTTGGAGCAAACGTTCCTCGGGCTGAGATGGCTCCAAAGGCACCCAAGCAGCTCCAGCCTTATTGATCGCAAGGATCGACACGAAATGCCATATAGATTTACCAAAGCAGACAGTGACAAAGTCATTGGGCTTGACTCCATGAACGTGGATCAGATGGTACGCCAGTCTGTCCGAAGCTGCAGCCAAATCGCTGTACGTGAATTCCGCATCGTGTGCCAGAATTGCTGGTGCCTGTGGGGAGATTCGAGCTTGCTTGTCAATCAACTCATGCACACATGAGCCGATGATCTCAGGTACCTCGCTATTTGAAGCCATAGCTAATTCAAGGTCGTAGGATGATGCAATTGAGATAGACTGGAGAAGACTGGCATCGCCAGATGCGAGCTGATGAATGACATGACCAAGCTGCTTAGACAAGGCCTGAACTTGACGCTCCGTCAAGATGTTTTGATCATAGGCAACGGCAATTTTGACCTCATCATCGTATAGGTGACCCTGCACAATCAGGGGATAACTGAAAAAGTTGTCCAATGTGTCAGAGAGACCTTCACCTGCCTCGACAGCAACAAGCAGCTCCTTGCTCTCTTCGCTGTTCGCGATATGGCGTACGGGTTGAACAACTAGCAAACTCGAGAACTGGCACGCTTCATAGGCGTCTCCGCTGACCTTCGCGATGTTCTGTAGACCGAATTGCTCGTACGGAATCATCTCGATTGCACCCTCTTGGACGCTCTGTAGAAAATCCGAAACGGGTTGTTGACGATTCAGTCTGACTCGTACCGGGATAGTCGCAATTGCTGGTCCTACCATGTCGACAATTCCAGGAACAGGTGCCTGGCGGCCTGAAGTGGCGACACCGAAGCATATGTCTTCAGTGTCACAGTATCTCGCGAGGACAATGGCCCAGGCGGATCGAATGACGGTTGCCAGCGTGACATTGAGTTTACTGGCGTCCACGAAGCCAATCGACGTCTCCAAAACGCGTGTGGCAGCTGGTTTATCGCGCGTGCTATGCGACGAAGGGAATGACGCAGGTTTCGCATCATGCAGACTATCTTTCCAATAGGCAGAAGCATCCTCGTCGTCCATCTGCAGAAGATATTGGATGAATCGCGAGTAAGGAGTCAAGACCGGAGTCTCGTGGCCGAAGTACGCTTTGTGCAAGATGCCGAGGATAACTTGGGTGGCCAGGCCATCAAAAACTGTATGATGCATTGCCCAGAAAAAGAACACATTTCGCTGTTCGTCTTCAACAAACGCAAACTGGCACAATGCTGAACCGTAGGTCATGTTGATGGTCTGAGCGTATTGTAGGACAGCTTGTAGATCATGATACGGTAGTGGCTCCCAACTCGACTCGTGCTCCAGAACGATTTGGAAAGTCGCCTTGGTCGATGTGCCGATGATTCTGCTGCGCAAACTGGCGCAAATGCCCACGGTTTGTTTCCAAGCTGACTTGAATCGAGCCACATCAACATGGTCGGGAAGACGATAGAGATATTTGGCGACGTAGCTACCCGGCTGTTTGACGGATAATGCCATCAAGCCCTCCTGAAGCTTGGTACAAGGGTAAGAGTCTTCAATGATAGCATTATCCAGCAATGAGCATTGATCTCGAGCTTCGGCCAGGATGATACTGGTTTCTCCTGTCGGGAGCATTTCAAATGGCCGGAGCTCGCTGTATACAGTCGACCCATCCTCAGCAATGGCGCTGGCCATTTGCTCAAGCCGAGGCGCTTGGAAAATCGTAGCGACTGTAAGATTGAGGCCTTGCTGTTGGGCTTTCGATACCAACTGAATGGCAGATATCGAGTCACCTCCAAGGCGTAAAAAGCTGTCGTTTTTGCAGATATCCTCGAGTTCGATGCGGAGAACTTGTGCCCATAGCTCTCGCAACTTGAACTCCATGGGTGTAGTTGGAAGTACGCGGAAGCTGTTGTCAGGGGCAAAGCGCAGACGCTCTTGAGCAGTGATATGCTGAGCTTGGCTAGTCAGAGACCGGCGATTAATCTTGCCCGTTGTGGTTTGCTCCGGCTTGCCACTGAAGAGGAGGTAAGACGACGGAATCATGTACGAGGGTAGAATCGTGTTCAAGGACGAATCCAAGTGCAAGATGATGGCTCGCGCTTCATCGGATATGGTGTCCACGAGACGGGCCGGTGAACTAGAGCTTCCATCAGAGTCCCATATGAAAGCTAACAAGGTAGCAGGGCCGTCGTTATCTTTAACAACGTCCACAATCGCAGCCATGTTTTGCGGTAGGAACTCGTGAATCCGGGCCTCAATTTCGCCCAGCTCAACACGCTGACCGTGGAGCTTGACTTGGGTGTCTTTGCGGCCGATATAATCAAAGGTACCATCAGCATTCCGCCTGACGAGATCACCGGTTCGATAAGCCCTCCTTAGTCGGTTATCACCAGGAAGCCAATCAACCCCTTCGAGCCAGTTGGCGGCAACCTCGGCTGTCACATTCAGATAACCCCGGGCCAGCATTGGGCCCTCGATGAGCAGTTCACCAATACAACCGATAGGAACCAGAGAGTTCAGGTCGTTAACGTCAACAACCCAGAACGCACTGGAAATGGGATGTCCGAGATTTGTGGAGCGCCCTGATCTTCCTACCACCGGATTCCAAGCACAAATGGACGCTTCGGCTGGGCCATAAAGACCATGCAGACTCACATGGCCAACCCACCTATCAGCACACTTCTTGGTAATGGCTTCGCCACCAAGACAGACAGTCTTTAAGGTAGGAACTTCAATCGGGTTAAGCAGGTCTGCGACAGTTGGCGTGAGGAAGACCCAGTCAGCTTTAGATGCAGTAATAGCGGCTGCAAGGTTATTGAGACGATCATGATCGGACGGAATGCAGATACAGGCACCTCTCATCAGTGACACGAGACAATCCAAAACGCCAACGTCAAATGTGTAGGCCGAGAATTGGAACACCCTCGTACCGACATCAATCTTTAAGTCGGCGCCGTAGGCATCACTCGAGGAACAGATGCTCCTATGCTCAATGATCATGCCTTTAGGTTTTCCAGTGCTACCAGACGTGAAGAGGATAACGCTGGCGTTGGTAGGCTTTGCCTCTGACAGCAGGTTGAACTCGGCTGGTAGCTCGGAGATGCTTTTCTCGTCCACTGTAACGACTTTCATGCCAAATGACTGAAGTTTTCCTTGACACTCAGGGCTGCTTATAGCCAGAGTAGCTCCAGTATCCTGGAGAATGCCTTGTAACCTTGCCGGAGAGGCACCAGGATCCAGGGGAATGAAGGCACCTCCGGCCATTTGAGCAGCCACCATAGCGACTACCGCCCACTTGGATTTGTGGAAGCAGAGAGGAACCAGTGACTCAGGCCCAATGCCAAGCTCTTGTAGTCTTAATGCCAAGCGCATGGCATGGCGTCCAAGTTGAGCATACGTCAAATCTCCATCCCAGGAAGAGACAGCGATTTGGTCAGGCTGTAATCTGACCTGGTTCTGGATCAGCCAGTGTGTGCATGATTCCGTTGCAGGACGAAGACGAGATGCGTCGATGGCTTGTTGGAGATCCCACAAACTGATCAAGGAGATGTCCCTTTGCATGCCGCTGTTGCGTAGAAGCTTATGTGTGACATGCTCTATATGATGAGACAACGCTTCTATCTGCTTCTTATCAAGAAGCTCCGAGTTGTAAAAGAGCCGCTGCTCAATGGACTTGTCTCCGATGCCACTGATAATGACGAGAGGGTAGTTGAAATAGCCTTGCATAGCCTTCTCCGTCTCATCCTGCTCAGTCTCGCTGTGTGAAAGAAGAGCCTTTGAGTCATCTCCGCCAGCAGGATCTTGGGCTGGTGGTTGAATGACAAGAAGGCTTGAAAAGTCACAAGCTTCCTTGGCATCAGAACTCAGCTTGGCGATATTCTGTAAGCCGAGCTGCTCGTAGGGAATCATCGAGGATGCTTGAGATTGAACATCGCTCAAATACTGAGATACAGAGCCATCCTTATCCAGTCGAACGCGAATTGGAACAGTTGCAATCATGGGCCCTGCGATGGATTCAACACCTGGGACAGGGGCTTGTCTGCCGGAGACTGTTGTGCCAAAAGTCACATCATTGGTATCGCAATACCGGGCAAGGACAATAGCCCAAGCTGCTCGTACGACTGTAGCCTTTGTAACATGAATATTCAACGTCTCCGGCAGCACAATAGTGGAGTGATACACTTCTGTCCTGGCCGTGGAAATGGAGCGTTGGCTGGTCGGAAAGTCTGCCCGCTTTGATCCAGCTAGCTCCTCGATCCAATACTCCGCAGCCTTTCCGGTGTCCATATTCCTGTAGTAATTGATGAAAGAAGAATATGGTTGAACAGGAGACAGGGCAAGCCTGTGGTAGGCAGAGTGCAGGGTGGAGAAGATGATTCGCATCGTCCAGCCATCATAGATAGAGTGATGGGCTGACCAGACGAAAAAATCACTGTCATGGTCGTGAACGATAGCACACGAAGAGAGAGGCGTTCCGTATGTCATCTTCAGATTCGCGGATGAAGCAAGGACTGATGACAAAGTCTGGTTGTCTGTAGATCGCCACTGACTTCCACCTCGAACCACAATCTGGACCGATTCTCCGTTCAAGTGAATGATGCGAGTGCGAAGGTTGGAGCATATGTCGGCCGTCTGGTCCCAGGCGGCAACGAATCGGGAAACATCGACATGCTTAGGTAGCCGGAAAACATAGTTTGCGACATAAGATCCGGGCTGTTTAGCAGTGAGAGCCATAAGACCCTCCTGCAGTGAGGTACAGGGGTAGCAGTCCTCGATCGCCTGCTCCTCTGATAGGCAACATTGCCTGCGAATATCATCACTAAAGACTGCCTCTCTAAGACCGTCAGATAGCATGCTCAGTGGTACGACTTGCTTTTCGACCTGGTGAGTCGTCTTCGTAGCTTTCAAAGCCAGTGCCACCAGTCTGGGGTCGTCAAAGACATCCTTAACCTGGAAAGAAATTCCCATCTCTCGGGCGCGGGAAGCCAACTGAATAGCCAAGATGGAGTCTCCGCCAACCTGCAAGAAACTATCGTCTCGCCCAATAGAAGCAACGGGGATGCTCAAAACGTCTGCCCAAAGCTTTTGAAGTTGGATTTCCATCTCCGTTTCGGGCTCGCGTTTCTGGGTGCTGAGTAGAGCGTAAGAATTCCGCTGTTCATCATTCAAGAAGGTCATCAAGTGGCGCAGAGTCTTCCTGTCTAGCTTGGTGGACGTAATGGAAGGCATGAATCGGCAAGGTATGAAAAGAGAAGGGATCATGTAAGAAGGTAACGCGATCCGAAGCTCACCAAGCGCGACGGCGATTCTGTTACGAAGCTCGTCCGTGATGGATCCAAATAAGTCATCAGCAGTCAAATGCTCATCAGCAGATGGATTCTTCATCTCATCAGTGAAGCAGATGTATGCGACGAGATGAGCCCGACCATCCTTTTGATAGACATCAACAACGACTTGTCGTACGCCCTGCAGTATCTCGTAGATGTAGTGCTCTACTTCGCCGAGTTCGACCCTTAGTCCACGGATCTTGATCTGCGTGTCCTTGCGGCTGCTGAAAACGATCGTACCGTCGGGATTATAGTACCCAAGATCACCAGACTTATAGAACCTATTCCAGTTCTTCGGATCCGGCCGAGGTGCCCACGTTGGCAGGGAGTATACAGTCGAGTCTCGTGTGCGTTCAACATCGGCAAGATACTCACGTAGGATCGTAGGACCCTGTATGACGATCTCGCCCAATGTCCCAACTGGCGTGAGACGCTGGGGATTTTCCGGGTTCACGATCCAGCAGAACCCTCCAACAGGTCGGCCAACGACAAGCGGTGATTCATCCGTGGAAGACCATTCATGGAGGGTGCTGAAACAACAGGTTTCAGCAGGTCCCCAACCATTGACTAGACGGACTTTGCCGAACCAAGTCGTCAGCACGTCTCGAGGGACTGCTTCACCGGCTAGGAGCAAAAGCTCCAGAGCGGGCATATCCTCCGGGACGAGAGTTCTCACGAAGGCTGGCGTTAGATATGCCCAGCTAACCTTCGTGTCGTTGACGAACTCCTTCAGTCCGTTCATTCTTGTCTCCTCCGATGGAACGCAAATGCAGGCACCGGAAATCAGAGGCCCGATAATTTCACCGATGGAAAGATCGAATACAAAGGCCGCAAATTGTAACATCCGTACTTCAGATGTCAGCTTGAGCCTTTTGGCTATGGCCGTCTGGCTCGTACACACGGCACCATGTTCCATAACTAGTCCCTTCGGTTTGCCCGTGCTTCCGGACGTGAAGAGCACGTATGCCGCGTGACGTGGCGTAACGGCAACAGCTGGACCTTTGTCGCCGTTTTCCATAAGAGTCAATCTCTTGTCGAGTTTGCCATCGAGTCGAAGCACGTTCTCAACGAGGGTTGAACACAGCTTCTCATTGCGGGCCGAGGTTAAAATCAGAGTAGACCGCGTCTGATTTACCACTTGTCGCAGCCTCTGTTCTGGATAAGAGGGATCCAATGGAACCCACGCCGCACCCGCCTTATTGATAGCAACAATTGCAACGAAGTGCCAAATTGACTTTTCAAAGCACACATGAACAAGGTCATCAGGCTTAACGTCATAGTTCTTGACAAGACGACGTGCGAGACGATTGGCAGATTTGTTGAGTTGGCTATAGGTTAGGTTGCCGTCCCAAGCAGACACTGCCAACGCGTTGGGCGCCTTGAGGGCCTGGGCTTCAATAAGAGTATGGACGCAAGACTCGATGATCTCTGGCACTTCAGGATTGAATGCGACAGACTGCTTGATATCCCACTCAGACGTGATGGAGAGGTCTCCTAGTGATAAATCGGGATGTGAGACCAGCTGAGAAACCACATGCTTGAACTGATTCGAAAGCGTAACAAGCTGCTGCTCAGAGAGAGCAAACTTGTTGTAGATAAAGACAAGTTTATCCCCATCGTCATGAAGGTGAGCTTGGATGACGAGAGGGTAAGTGAAATAGCTCTCGAGTGCTTCGTCAGCCGACTCGTCGGACCGCGCAACAAGAAGAGCATCTTCCGCTCCGCTGATGTGCGACAGGATCTGTCTTGGTTGAATCACAAGCAAGCTTGAAAAGTCACAGGCATCTTTCGCATCATCGCTTAACTTGGCGATATTGTGCAGACCGAACTGTTCATATGCAACCATTTCCGTCGCCTGCGACTGGATGTCTTCCAGGAAGGCGGATATCGCTTTGCCCTCGTCCTCGAGGTGGATTCGAACAGGAATAGTCGCAATAACTGGACCAGGCATCTCGGCCAATCCAGGAACCGGCGCTTGACGGCCTGACACCGTCGTACCAAAACAAACATCACTGGCATCACAGTAGCGAGCTAATACAATCGCCCAGGCCGCGCGCAAAATGGTTGCCTTTGTGGTACCAGCGGAGATTTTGGGAATTTGCATCTCCGACTCGAGGTATCCCGTGCTGTGCGCATTGACTAATTGCTCGCCCGGGGGCAGTCTGTTTGGATAGCTTGCTTTCTTCGCGTTCCGAAGCTGGCCAAGCCAATACTCGCTTGCCGATTCTTGGTCGATATCAAGCGTATACTGGATGAATCGAGAATAGGGGCTGAGTTCAGCAACATCAGTGTCTTGATAGGCGCTCTCCAAAGTTTCGAGAACTAGGCGCATTGTCCATCCGTCAAAGACGGCGTGGTGCATAGTCAAGATGAAATGAGCGCCATCATCCTGGGTAATCAGAGCATAACGACAGAGCCGAGAGCCATACTCCATCCTGATCTCGCGCGAGGCCTCGAGGTAGCCATCGACAGAGCCCTGATGAGTGGAATCCCACTCGAAATCGTCCTTCAGCACAACCTGGATGGAGGATCCATCGACATGTAGGATTCGTGTTCGCAGATTAGAACACATCTCAACCGTTCTTTCCCACGCATCCTTGAACTTGTCTAGATCCGCAGATTTTGAAATGCGATAGTGGAATGTGCCAATGTACGAACCTGGCTTTTGCACAGCCAAAGCCATCAAACCTTCTTGAAGCTTTGAGCAAGGAAACGCGTCTTCGATGCTGATATCGTCGTTCAAGCCCAGCGAAGATTTGGCCTCATCCGCAAGAAGGAAATCCAACTGAGTTTCGTTCAGCATGTCAAAGGGTTCCACATCGCTGAAATCATCATCGTCGTCGACTATGACTTCAGCTTTCGCAGCCACACTGGAAAGGCGAGCGTCTTGGAAAACGTCCTTGGCACTGATACTGATCCCGCTCTCTCGAGCTGCAGAGACCAGCAGGATGACAGACATAGAATCACCTCCGATTTGGAGGAAGTTGTCATCTCTTCCTATTGAATCAGCTGGGATATGCAAAATGTCGGCCCAGACCTGCTGTAGCTTTGCTTCCATAGTCGTTTCGATCGCGCGTTTGCTACTTTCAACAAGGGAATACTGTTCAAGCAGCTCCCTAGATAGCAATGTAGCCATATTCACAAGGAGTTTCCGGTCTAATTTGGCCGATGATCCAACTGGCATATGTTGACAAGGGATGAATGTCGTGGGAACCATATAAGGAGGAAGAACGTCCTTGAGATGAGCAATCAACTCATGAATCAGTGGCAGACTATCATCCACCAAGGGTGCAAAAATTTCCCTCCCTTCAGGTCCAGCTGAGAGATGCGAAGGGATACTATCGTTGCTGAAGCTGTAAAAAGCCACCAGTTGAGATGCTTCGTCCCTCTTCATAACGTCAACTGCAACCTGTCGAACACCAGAAAAGTGTGCCATGATTTGTTGCTCAATTTCATGCAACTCCACACGAAGTCCACGGATCTTAACCTGGGTGTCTTTGCGGCCGACATATTCTATTGTGCCATCTGGATTGTAGTGTCCCAAATCGCCGGTTCTATAAAAGCGATCCCAGCCTTTCGAATCACGACTTGGTACCCAGTGAGGGAGCGAAGACACAATGGCTTCGCCAGTCTTGGATGGATTGGCCAGGTACTCTCTGAAAAGAGTCGGTCCTTGGTAGACAATCTCGCCAACACATCCCGTGGGGACAAGTCGTCTGGGATCGTCGGGATCAACGATCCACCAGTTACCCACGATGGGTCGTCCAAGGTTTCTTGGAGATTCGTTCAAATTGGTCCATGGGTGAAGGGAACCGGTAACGCATACCTCTGTCGGGCCCCAGGCATTGAACACTCGTAGCTTTCCAACCCACGTTTGAATGATATCTGAGGCGGCAGCCTCACCTCCCACAACAAGGAGCTGAAGATCAGGTATCTCTTCTGGCTTCAAGCTGCGCGCAACAGTTGGGGTAGCAAATGCCGCATTCACAGAGGCTTTGACCATGTAGCCTGTCAGGTCGTTCATCTGCTCGTCCCAGGATGGCATACATACGCAGCCACCTGTAAGCAACGTTGCGAAGATCTCGAAGATGGATGCATCGAAGACGAAAGATGCAAATTGGAGCATTCTGGTATTATTTGTGAAGCCAATGTTGAGAGCCAGAGCAATCTGTGATGTACACAACGACCCATGTTCGATGACCACGCCCTTGGGCATGCCGGTCGTACCTGAGGTGAAGATGATGTAGGCAGCATCTGATGGCGAGACATCAATACCAGCTCGGGTCTCGGGTACGCCCTTTGAAGACAAATATTTGTCCAACTCAGATGATACCTCTATAACGGAACGCGTCAAGCCTGTGCATCTTGAAGTGTTTGTAGGAGAAGCCAAGATCAACGCCGAGCCAGTCTGCGAGATAATCTGCTGGTATCTCTGGACAGGGTGAGTAGGATCAAGTGGTGACCAGGTTGCGCCAGCTTTGTTGATCGCGAGGAGGGATACAATATACCAAGCTGATTTGTCAAAACAGACGTGTACAACGTCGCCATTCTTGACATTGAAGTTGTTGATAAGATGATGCGACAGCCTGTTCGCACAGATATTCAACTGTTGGTACGTGAGACTAGCGTCCGAAGCCTGGATAGCAAGTGCAGTCGGATGCTTGAGCGTCTCGTCCTCAATAAGACTGTGAACGCATCGCTCGATAGTCGTAGGTGGGATTCCGTTGGCTGCGACACCAAAGTCAACTTCCCAAGGCACCACGCCAGTCAAAATCTGCGACAGTGGTTGATCAGCTGCAACAGGGAGCTGTTCAATCACATGCTTGAATGCGTGGGAGAGGCCTTTCACTTGGTGTTCAGGCACGACGGATGAATCATAATGCAGATCAACATCAACGTTATCGCCGGCCAGCACGCACCGAGCAACCAGAGGATAGTCCGAATAGTTCTGAATCATCTCAATTTTGCTGCTTCCCTCAAATTCTGTCGCAAAAGTGAGCAGGTTGCTCTCGTGAGTCAGTTGCTGCGCCGGCTGAACAACGAGCAAGGCCTTGAAGCCACATGCAACCCTGGCTTCATCGCTCAGATTCGAGATATTATTCAGCCCGAATTGCTCGTGCGGAACCATGTCGAAGGCTTGGCCCTGGATACTATTCAAGAATGTTGAAACAGGTTGCTGATCGTCTATCCGGACACGAACTGGCACAGTAGCGTCGACGAGGCCAGGTATGGACGCTAGGCCAGAGACTGCAGCTTGACGGCCAGAAACACTTGAACCGAAGCAGATATCATCGACGCCGCTGTATCTGGCCAACACAAGGGCCCATGCGGCTCGTATGATAGCGGCCTTTGTGATGGAGTTGTTGCCTGACTGTCGAATTGCGACTGATATTGACTGAAGTCTCATCTGCTTCGACCCCGTTTTGCCGCCCTCACTACCCGCTGGAAAGTTTGTAGGCTTAACACCCTCCAGCTGAGAGGTCCAGAATTTGGCCGAGGCAGCAGGATCAATATTCAAGACATAGTTGACGAAGCGAGGGTATGGATAAAGCGGCGAGACAGCCGTTGCGGCATAGTAGCTCTGCAGAGTGTTCAGCATCAGCGAGAGTGACCAGGCATCAAAGATTGAATGGTGTAGCTGAAGACAGAAGTATTTGACGCCATCATGATCGATCAAAGAATAGCTGCAGAGCGGCAGACCATAATCGACATCGAGAACTTTCTGACTTCCGACTGGCACCTCGTCATTCCAGCGGCAACCGTCCTTGACGACAACTTGAATGGTGCTCTTGTCAACGGTCACAATCCGAGTTCGCAGGTTTGCACAAGCTTCGACGGTTCGATTCCACGCGGCAGTGAAGCGTGAGATCTGAGTACCCTTTCGAAGGCGGAAGTGGAATTTGGCTACAGCTGCGCCTGGTTGCTTCAAAGTCGTACTCAGAAGACTTTCTTGGAGAGGGGTACAAGGATATGCGTCTTCAATCGTCTGCCCCATTGCCAGATTGCATTGCACGTCTGCACGGCCACGTACTAATGCCTCATGTAGGGACCGAGGTATCAAGCTGAACGGCTGAACTTTGTCAGATTCCATGACGTGGTGGGCATTCAAGTCCACTCTGGAGGCAACAGCATGTAATCTTGGATTCTCGAAAATGTCCTTGACAGAGATGAGGAAGCCAATATCTCGAGCCTTCGAAACCAAGTGGACTGCAGCAACCGAGTCACCCCCGATCTCTAGAAAGTTATCATCACGACCAATAGATTCGGCAGGAATGCCTAGCACTTCTGCCCAGAGAGATTGAAGACGTGCTTCCTTCTCAGTTGATGGTCGTTCCTTGGGGGTCTGACAGGCTTCGACGGCTTCTGGCATGTCAGAATCAAATTGCATCGCCTGCTGAAGGTCCGGTGAAGAAGGTACTGTGACAGAGCCAACGTTTGACTGCATTCCAAGGACAAGTTCCCTCGCCACGTGGCGGAATTGGTGCGATAACGCAACGATTTGTTCTTCGGGAAGGATTCCGGAGTTGTAGATGAGAACAAGTTCGGTAGATTCGTCATAGAGATGCCCTTGAACAACGAGGGGATAACTGAAGTAGTTTTGAAGAGCAAATTCGCCGGTCTCAACCTTTCCATCAGCGGAAATCAGGATGGCATCGCTATCACCAGCAGGATTCAAAGCTTCCTTTGGCTGAACAACCAATAAGCTAGAGAAGTCGCAGGCCTCCTTAGCGCAAGCATTCAGTTTGCTGATGTTTTGTAGACCGAATTGTTCGAATTCGACCATTGAAAGAGCTTGTTCTTGAACCTGCTGCAGAAAGGCGGCAACTGACTTCTGTTGAGGCACACGAATTCGCAAAGGAACGGTCGCAAGAGCTGGGCCTGGCATATCTATAATTCCGGGCACCGGGGCTTGCCGGCCGGATATAGTTGTCCCAAAGCAGACATCGTCAGTCTCGCAATAACGTGTAAGTAGTACAGCCCACGTCGCACGGAAAACTGTAGCTCTTGTGATTCCAGTCGTGCTCAGGTCGGGAAGATTTATATTCGTCACCATTGTACGGTAGCCCTTTGAGCATTCTTGGAGCTCTTCGCTCGCGTGAGGAGGAAACGAGGCCTTCCTGGCATCACAAAGCTGCTCCACCCAATAGTCAGCAGCAGACTGGGAATTGATGGCCATAGTGTATTCGATGAAACGAGAATACGGCGTCACAAGTGTGGTCTTCAGTCCCTTGTACACGCTATCCAGTGTGGCAAGAACAACTCGGATAGACCAGCCATCAAAGATGGCGTGATGCATGGTCCAGATGAAGTTCGTCTGGTTGCTCTCATCCTGAACCAAGGCATATCGGCAAAGGCGAGATCCATACTCTACTTCCAAGTTCTCGATCGACTGGAGATAAGACGACAACGTCAGACCTTTCGTGTCATCCCATGTGTAGTCACTAACGACCACCTGAACCGACGAGTTCTTGAGGTGGACAATTCTCGTTCGTAGAATGCCGCATAGCCGTACGGTCTTGTCCCAGGCTGCTTTGAAGACAGATGGATCCACGTGCTCTGCTAGGCGGTACTGAAAGCTTGTAATGTATGATCCAGGTTCTTTCATTGCTAAGACCATAAGTCCTTCCTGCAGGTTTGTGCAAGGATAGCCATCTTCAATCTTCATCCAGCGGGTCAATTTCAGCTCCTTTTTCATCCGGGCAGACAAGAGGGCATCTCGCACGTGCGGCTCTAATAATGCAAAGGGCTTGGCAGAATTGTCAGAGTTCGAGGCAATTTCGATAGGAACCGCATTCAAAGCGACAGCGGAAAGTCGAGAATCCCTGAAGATATCGTTCGCTCGGAGCTCGATACCACGATCGCGAGCCAAAGCAATAAGGCGAATAATGGCTATCGAATCGCCGCCAACTGCCAAGAAACTGTCGTGTCTACCGATTGACTCAGCAGGAACTTTCAGAACATCGGCCCAAAGCTGCTGCAAGCTGTGCTCCATCTCGGTCTCCGGACTAGATTTGGCCTCGGTCACCGCAAATAGGGAGTATTGCTCAAAAGAATGCCTATCCAATGCGGCAGCAAGTCGACGCAAGAGTTTTCTGTCCAGCTTGGAGGATGACACGAGTGGCATCTGCTTGCATGGAAGGAAGAAGGTAGGCACCATGTAGCTTGGAAGGGCAGAGGACAGAGCACTGTGCATCGCCCCCAGGCTGCTTCTCAACGGTTCCGTCGATGGCAGGATGATGTCTTCGGTTGCCACACTACCAGTCATGCTGGCCGGAATGGTATCGTTATTCTGGCAAATGAAAGCAACTAAATGGGTACCGATTTCACTCTTGAGCGCTTCAACGGCAACTTGACATGGCCCCTCCAAGTTCTTCCGAATGTGGTGTTCGATTTCGCCCAACTCGACTCGAAGGCCGCGAATCTTGACTTGCCCATCCTTGCGGCTGTTGTATCTGATGGTGCCGTCTGCATTGTAGGCGGCCAGATCTCCAGACTTGTAGAATCGACAGAACACCTCGCGATTGGGAGCCCAGGGAGGAAGCGAGGTAACAGTGGCAGCAGCAGTTTTCTCCGGATCTGCCAAATATTCCAGGAGCAGGTTGGCTCCTTGAACCACCACTTCTCCAACAGTCCCTACTGGAGCCAGCCTATGAGGGTCTCTGGGATTGACGATCCAGCAGTTGCCACATATCGGGCGCCCAATGGTCAAATGGGAGACTTCAGTAGATGTGAATTCATGTACCGCGGCGATGACCGTTGTTTCCGTCGGGCCCCAGGCGTTGAAAAGACGCACTTTACCGAACCAACTGTCGAAGACTTCTTTGCTTGGAGCTTCACCACCAATGGTCAAAAGCTCTAAGCAAGGCACATCTTCCGGTCTGATAATGCTAGCCAGCGATGGAGTCAGGAATGCCCACGTAATGTTGGATTCGCGAATGAAAGCGGGCAATGAATTCATTTGCGTGTCCCATGAAGGGATGCAAACACAGGCGCCGGTAATAAGCGGGCTGTAAATCTCGAAAATGGAGGCATCGAACGCGAAAGAGGAGAACTGAAGCATCCTGACACCATCGTGCATATCGAGCCTCTGACTCAAAGCAACCTGGCTGCTGCAGATAGCGCGATGCTGGATCACAACGCCTTTAGGGACTCCTGTTGACCCAGATGTGAAGATGATGTATGCGACATCGTCGGGGCTGACCTTGACATCAGGCTTAACCGCATCGTTGACTCGTAGCTCGGACATGAATTCCGCGTTTACTCCAAGGACATTAGCAACCACGCCAGTGAGCTTCAACACGTTTGCAGGAGAGCAAAGAGCTAAAGTTGCCTTGGTCTGGCCAACAATGTTCTGGCGACGATCCGTCGGATGTGCTGGATCGAGGGGCACCCAACCGGCACCGATCTTGTTGATAGCCAAGATCGCCACGACAAACCAGGCGGATTTGTCGAAGCAGACCACGACTAGGTCACCAGCTTTCACTTTCAGCGTGCTTAAGAGATAAGTCGCCAGCCTGTTGGCATTCTCGTCAAGTTCAGAATAAGTGAAACTAGCGTCCCAAGAAGACACTGCAAGAGACTTCGGGTTCAGCTGTGTTCGTTGTTCAATCAGCGTGTGGATGCATGACTCAACGACGAGAGGCTTGCTGGGGTTGGAGGCGTGAGCGAAGTCAATATCCCATTGACTAGTCATCGACAAGTTCTCGAGAGGCTCGTTATACCGAAGGTTCAATTGTTGCACGACATGCTCGAACTGGTTGCAGAGACCCTGAAGCTGGTGATCAGAAAGTACATCAGCATCGTAGTAGAGCGTCATGATTGCCTGGTTCTGCATCAAATCACACTCCACGGTCAAGGGGTAATTGAAGAAACCCTCAATCCAATTCTCAACGTTCGTTTCATCATTGGCATCACAGGCGAAGAGCCCTTCCTGGGCATTTTCAGTCTCTTGTTGTCGCTGATTCGACTGGACAACAAACAAGCTTGTGAAGTCGGTTGCGTCTTTGGCACTGGCATTGAGCTTTGATATGTTCTGAAGGCCAAACTGTTCATGAGTCACCATCTCAGAGGCCTGAGTCTGCACGCTCTGCAGAAAGTCGGATACAAGCTGTGAGCGGTCTAGACGAATTCTCACAGGGACTGTTGCAATCGTTGGGCCAGCGATGTTGATGAGGTCCTGAACGGGCGCCTGTCGCCCTGAAGTAGTTGCGCCGAAGCATATATCTTCGCTCTCACAGTAAAGGCTGAGGACGAGTGCCCAAGCGCCTCGAAGCAAAGAGGCCTTTGTGACAGAGGAGTTGGGTTGGGTTGGCACTGCCAGCTTCCTCTTCATGATTTGAGTCCTTTGAGCCGTCGATGTCCTGGCATCAGTGATGGGCTTCGAGGGTGGGAATGAAGCCCTCTGGGCGCCGTCTAGCTCTGCAATCCAGTAGTTCATAGCCGCTTGCTGATCAAGCTGTGAGATATACTGAACAAAATTGGCGAATGGTCGGATATTCGGAATCGGTTCCTGTGCGTAAAGCCGTTGCAAGACGTCCATAGTGATCTGCACTGTCCAGCCATCAAAGATAGCATGATGAGCAACCCAGATGAAATATGTCGCTCCGTTTGAGCAACTCAAGATTGCATGCCGTGAAAGCTGTGATCCGTAGCCCATTTCCAGGTCCTTGAGTTCCTTCATGTAGGACTCGAGGCTCTGACCATCAGTCTTCTCCCAAAGCTCATCATTCGAGACGACAGCCTGTAGCGACACATCTCCGTTCTGAACAATCCTCGTCCGCAGACTACTACAGACCTGGACAGTGCGTTCCCAGGAGCCCTTGAACCGGTCCAGATTAATGCTGTCCGCCAACTTATAAACCCGTCTGGCTATATAAGAGCCCGGCCGAGTCGCGGTCAAAGCCATAAGGCCCTCTTGCAGCGGCGTACAAGGGATTATATCTTCAAGATCCTGTTCGTCCGTAAGCCCACATTGCCGCCGAATCGACGCATGTAGAGACTCCAACTGGGTTGCTTCGACCATGCTAAACGGTTGAACGTCAACATGCGTGGACTGCCCAATCGTCATCGAGGCAGCCATTGAAGCCAGCTGAGGATCTTTGAAGATATTTGCAATCGAAAGCAGCATACCCTCCCGTGAGGCAAGGTTCGAAAGATAAATTGCAGAAATGGAATCACCGCCAATCTCGAAGAAGCTGTCGAATTTCGATATATCGTCCGTATCGATCTTGAGCACTCGAGCCCAAAGGCTTTGGACCTTCAGCTCCATTTCCGTCGTGGGTGGAACTTTGTCTTGACGTGCGATGGAAAAGCCGGAGAACCTTTCGCGAGGCATGCTGGTTGCAACTTCACGCAGCGTTCTTCTGTCGATCTTATTTGACGATGTATGAGGCACATCTCTCATTGGGAAGATGATGCTGGGGATCATGTAGCCTGGCAGAACACGCCGAAGCTCTTGGAGGAGAGCTTGGAAAGAAGAAACGTATTCTTCATTGCTAATGAAATTGCTGTAAGGATCCTCAGCATCTGCTGTTGCGTTGTCACACAAGTAGCTATGGAATGTGACAAAGGCAATTATCATCTTGCCTGCTTCACGCTCAATGAGGTCCACCACAACATGCTGTACGTCTGCAAGGTTGGCTTTGATGTGGTATTCGATCTCGCCGAGCTCCAGTCGCTGACCACGTAACTTGACTTGCGTGTCTTGTCGCCCAAAGAATTCAACAGTCCCGTCGGGGTTGAATCTCGCTAGGTCACCAGTCTTGTAGGCTATGGGTCTATCGCTCGTTGTTGCATTAGGCAGCCAATCCAGAGAGTTGACAAAGGACGCCTTGGTCTTCTCCTCGTTGTTGATATAGCCACGGGCAATTGCATGGCCTTCGACAAGTAGTTCACCAATACACCCGACTGGCGTCAGGCGATTATGATTGTCCGGCTCCACGATCCAAAGCCGGTGAGCAAATGGACGTCCAATAGTCATGGGTGAGTCGTCCCGAGACTTGAAGGGATGACCAGAGCAGTTCACACAAGCTTCCGCAGGCCCGTATGCATTGATCAGCTCGACTCGCCCGTGCCATGTTTTAAGGATATCCTTTGTGGTAGCCTCTCCACCGATAGCGACTGTCTGGAGAGTGGGGAGACTATCAGGATCCAGAGTCCTGATAAATGATGGCGTTAAGCATGCCAAGGTGACTCGTGCCTCTGTCATAAAGCGCCATGCTCTATCCAATCTCTCGGTTTCCGTAGGAATGCAGACCGTAGCTCCGAGAATGAGTGTAGTGAATATATCCAAGACGCTAACGTCAAAGACGTAGCTTGCGAATTGGAAAACTCGCGAAGATTTCTTGAACTTGAACATATCAGGGTGTTTCAACAGCGAAGTGCAAGCCGCCGAGTGCGTGACGACCAAGCCCTTCGGCTTTCCTGTAGAGCCAGATGTATAGAGAACATACGCAGCGTTATGAGGCTCCGGTCTCTTGTAGTTACTGAGTGAACGATAGTCCATAAGCATCTCAGGAACCAGTGTCAGTAGAGACGAAGAAACCTCAATGGTGTGAGGCGCCATTCTTTCGCAAGATGCAGCCATGGATGGCGATGACACTATCACGTTAGCATGCACCTCCTGAACCAAGGCTTGCCGTCGTGATTCTGGGTGCGCAGGATCAAGTGGCATATATGCACCACCAGCCTTCAAGATACCAACCATGGCAACCACCGCCCAGATAGACTTTTGCATGCAAATCGGTACAATCGTCTCAGGCTGGACGTTGTGTTGCAAAAGCTGATATGCGACATGATCAGACAGACGATCCAAGGCAGCGTATGTGAGCGATCCTTCAGTAGAGTACAAGGCTTCATCATCGGGGCATGTTTTGGCACGCTGAGAAACGAGATCGGGGATACAGTGTTCTTGGACCACAATCTCGTGAGAGTTCCAATCCATGCTTTGCTGAAGATCCCACGGTCCAGCCCTCGGTACGTTCCGTAGAAGCGTTTTCTTGTCCAGAGATGCAAGCTGGTGAATGATATTGTCGAGCTGGTGGGATAACGCAAGCACCTGAAATTCAGAAATAACGTGTGCATCATATACAAACTCAAGCTCAGCACTATCATCTCCCAGGTGGCATTGGAGGATGAGAGGATAGTTGTAGTAGTCTTCCATCGACTGCCATGCCAAACGCTGTTCCGCCCTGGTGGACAGAAGGATTGCCTCATCTCCGTCGGATTCGCTTGTCATCTCCTTTGGTTGGACAACCATGAGACTGGTAAAGTTGCATGCGTCCTTTGCATCGGAGCTGATCCTGGCTATGTTCTGTAGCCCAAATTGCTCGTGTATCACCATATCGTTGGACTGCTTCTGAACGTCGCGAAGGAAGTCATACAGTGGCTGGTCTGGATTCAGCCGAACTCGGACTGGAAGTGTAGAAACAACCAGGCCAAGCACGCCCTCTACACCTACAAGAGGAGCGTTGCGGCCAGAAACAGAGGCACCAAAGCAGATATCATCTGTATTGCAGTATCTTGCAAGTAGCATGGCCCAAGCAGCTCGTAGATATGTTGCTCTGGTAATGGCCCCGTTTGTCGACTGCGGTATCTTGACCTCCTTCGCCGAGATTTGAACATTTCTCTGGCTTTTGGCAACCGTGATATCGTCTCTTGGTAGAGGGAACACGGCTCGTCTCGCTCCATCCATTTGTGTCTTCCAGTACTTCTCCGAACTCTCAAATTCGAGTTGCAGAGTGTACCGCACAAATGTTGAGTACGGATCAAGCTTCGGCACTTCGGTCTCTCTGTAGAGCGCGTGGCATGTCTGGACCATGAGACCCAGAGACCACCCATCAAAGATTGAATGGTGCATGATAGCAACAAAATAGCGATCGCTATTGTCGCCTTGCACGAGTGCGAATCGGGCGAGTCGCGATCCGTAGGACATGCGGATACTGTTGGCTTGTCTCAAAAAGGCCTCTATGCCTTGGTTATCTGTCGGCTCCCATTGCGCAGCTTCTTTGACAATGACTTGAATAGAAGCCAGGCTGCTGAGCTGAACGATCCTGGTGCGCAAGTTGCTGCAAATGGCAACTGTTCGATCCCAGGAGGCCTTGAGGCGATCAACATCGACATGCCTCGGAACCTTGAACACCATCTTCGCAACGTAAGCTCCCGGTTGTTTCGCCGTCAGTGCCATCAGCCCTTCCTGTAGTTTAGTACAGGGAAAGGCGTCATCGACGGCATCCCAACTGGGTAGATCGCACTGCTTAAGCACTTCGTCTCTCATCGCTGAGCCGACCTGGTCCGGCTCAAGGAGGCCGAAAGGTGCTACGCTGGGAGCCGATTGGGTGTCTCCGTTGGCTGTAGTTGCAATGGCAGCCACTCGCCACAGTCGTGGGTCGTCGAATACATCCTGGACGGAGAGAGATATCCCGGCCTGGCGGGCGTCGGCCACAAAATGTATCACAGCAATGGAGTCACCGCCGATCTGCAAGAAGCTATCGTCTCGTCCAATGGCATCCAGCGGCATGTTCAGTCGTTTCGCCCAGAGCGCTTGCAACTTGCTCTCCATTGGCGTTTCCGGTGGGTTCTTGACAGTATCAACAAGCGAGTAAGCGGACAGCCCCTCAGAGCCCAGCGATTCTACCAGAGTCTTCAACGTACGCCTATCCAGCTTCTTCGACGTAATCGATGGCATATATCTGCAAGGAACGAAGAATGACGGTATCATGTACCTTGGGAGATTCACGGAGAGGTGTCCAATCATGCTAACAATCTGGCTCTTCAGCTGGCTGGTGACGGGGAGAAACATTGTGGCAGTTTCATCGGCAGTTGTGTTAGCTGCTGTCACCGTCTGCGTCTCGTTACTGAAGCAAAAGAAGGCAATCAGGCTTGAACCAGCGTCGGTGTGGATCATGTCCACCACCACTTGACAGACCCCTTCGAGGGATGCCTTGATCTGGTGCTCGACCTCTCCCAATTCGACCCGAAGGCCTCGAATCTTGATTTGGGTATCTTTTCTGGCAACAAAGGCTATTGTTCCATCTGAGTTGTATTTGCACAAATCACCAGATTTGTAAAGCCGATTCCAGTGGTCTGAACTGCGGTAGGGCGCCCAGTCCGGCAGCGATCGCATCGTTGTCGACTCGGTCTTGGCAGGATCCGCGAGATACTCTTTAAGCAGCGTTGGCCCCTGGATGACGACTTCGCCTACAGTTCCAATAGGTGCTAGAACATGCGGGTTTTCGGGGTCAACAAGCCAACAGAAGCCGCCAACGGGTCTACCGATTGTTAAGGAGGACTCGGCGAGAGATGTCCATTCGTGAAGTGTGCTGAACACGCAGGTCTCGGCTGGACCCCATCCATTCAGAAGACGAACCTTTCCGAACCATGTCTCTAGTATATCGCGGCTTACAGCCTCACCGCACAGCAGCATCAAGTCAACGCCAGGAAGGGCCTCCGGTTTTAGCGTTCGGGAGAAGGAAGGAGTAGTAAACACCCAGTTGATCTTCATATTGCGTATGTATTCAGCGAGCTCATTCATTCGGACTTCTTCGGATGGCACATGTATGCAGGCGCCAGCAACCCATGGACCAACGACCTCGCCAATCGAAAGATCAAAGACGTATGATGCAAACTGAAGTATTCTGACATCCGACGTCATGCCCAACCTTTTAACAATAGCCGTTTGGCTGGTGCAAAGAGCCTGATGCTGCATGACAAAGCCTTTAGGGGTCCCAGTGCTTCCAGAGGTGAAGAGGACATAAGCAGCAGCGTTTGGTGACACTTGGGGCAGTCTCTTGCTACCTGGCCTTCTCACTGACAGCATCTCGTCAAGAGCAGCAGTGACTTCAATGACATTCTCGACCAGGTCAGCGCAAAGAGCAGCATTTCTGGGCGAAGCTAATGCAAGCTTTGCCTTGGTTCGTGCCACAATCTGCTTCTGTCGTTGAAAGGGGTGGGACGGGTCGAGAGGTACCCAAGCAGCTCCAGCTTTGTTGACCGCCAGGGTGGAGATGAAGAACCACGCCGACTTCTCGAAGCACACGTGGACGAGGTCGCCCGTCTGGACCTGAACCGCAGAGTTGTCGATCAGATAGTGTGCAAGTCTGTCGGCGGCATGATTAAGCTTCTTATATGTCAATGACATATCCCATGCACGAATGGCCATTGCATCGGGTCGCTCGATGGCTTGGCGTTCAATGATCTGGTGAAGGCATGAAGAGACAATTTCGGGTTCTTCACTGTTCCATTCCTTGGCACGCTGCAAGTCCCACTGGCTGGAGACGGTCACAGACTTCAGAGGCAAATAGTCTTGTTGAAGAAGCTGCCGGGTGACATGTTCGAAATGATGGAATAATGCTTCCAGCTGACCCTCGTTCAAAACGTCATCATAGTAAGTGAACTCAAGATCAATGGCATCATCCCCAACCCGGGTTTGCAGGACTAATGGATAATTGAAATAGTTACGCATTGCTTCCTCTGAAATCGCTTTCTCCACCGGACCTTGCTGGAGGATCGAATCCGGTGAAGAGCAGGCCACTGAAGAGAGGTGCGGGGTGGGTTGGATGACAAGCAAGTTGGCAAAGTCACACACGTCTTTCGCATTCTGACCAAGCTTAGAGATATTTTGTAACCCGTATTGTTCATGGGAAACCATCATGGACGCCTGCGACTGAACGTGCTGCAGAAACTCAGACACAAGCATATCGCGCTTGACCTGGATGCGCACAGGTACTGTGGCAATCATGGGACCGGGAATCTCGTTCAAGCCGGGCACGGGGGCTTGTCGGCCAGAGAGGGTCATGCCAAAGCATACGTCGTCAGAGCCGCAATACTGAGCAAGAACAAGGGCCCAGGTAGCACGGATGATGGTGGCGGTCGTTATCGATGCTTTCGAGTTACGGAACGGCAAGGTCTTCGTCAAGACACGATCTCGAGACCCCGAAGATATAGAAGCAACGGGGAATTGAGACCGCTGTGAGCCCTCTAGTTCATTCCTCCAGTACTCACGAGAACAGTCAGAGTCGAGCGATCCAATATACCGGATAAAGTTCGAGTATGGCGGCAGGGCTTCGAATGAATCCGTGCTAAGATAGGCCCTCTGTAGAGAATCGAGAACAATCTTCATGCTCAGACCGTCAAAAACCGCGTGATGAACAATCCAGACAAAATAGATATCGCCGTTCTCTTGATACAATAGTGTACTCCGACTAAGGCAATCCCCGTAGCTCATAGGAATACTGCGAGACTCCCTCAGATATTCGTTGACGTCGACGTTATACACAGGAGCATCCCACGCAGTGTCAGTGGTGACCACAACTTGCAAGGCTTGTGAGTTTATCAGAGCGATCCTGGACCGGAGGCTGCCACAATGCCTGATGACTGTGTCCCAAGAGGCCGTGAACCGATCAATGTCAACATGCGGCCTAAGCTTGTAGACTTGTCGATGAATATACGATCCAGGTTGCCTCACTCCCAGTGCCATGAATCCCTCTTGAAGTGTGGTACAAGGGTATATGTCTTCAACTGCTTCAGCAGCGAGACTGCATTGCCTCTGGATGTCCGATATGATAGTGTCCATGTCCTCGCTGGGAATCAAGCTGAACGGTTCAGTGTTGGCAGTTTGGTCGGTATCGTCGACCACCGCGACAGCAGCCATGCGTACAAGCTCGGGGTTCTCCGTCACATCCGTTGGTGACAGACGAATTCCATGTCGATAGGCAACTGTCGCAAGCTCAGTCGCGGTAAGGGAATCGCCACCGAGAAGGAAGAAGTTATGGCGCTTGCCAATGTCCTCGACGCGAATATGGATCACATTGCAGAGCACATCTGCCCACATGGCCCGCAGGATAAACTCCATGTCTGTCTCTGGCGTATCATCGACCGAGAGTTTCGAAGACATCGATAACGCAGATCTCTTGAGAACTTGTGCTCGCATATCCTTTGCAGACAATGGCGTTTTGTCCGCATTTAAGGGGTCGCTTTCATCGTAATCGCCGTAGTTCCATGGGTAACGAGGCAACCCAGAGATTGCTTTCCCCGTAAATAACGGGTCTAGGTTCAAAGCCACAGAATTCTGCCAGAGGCGGCCAACAGCCGATAGAAGGCTCGCCAAGCAGTCTGTCTGTCGGAACTGAGATGAGATATAGTTGCAAGTCACATTGGCAGCGGCGCAAATCTGAGACAGAGGACCAGACAGAGTGGAATGAGGCCCAATCTCGAGGAAGAGGCCGTGTTCCGGGATGACATCGAGAAGAGACATGACTGCGGAGGAAAAGCGAACAGGAGAAATCAGGTTGTTGAGAAAGTAATTGGGGCCAAAATCTTTGGGGGAGGTAAGGACTGAGTTGCTGACGCTTGACATGAAGACGGCATTTCTCGCTGTTCGCCGCGTCGAGGTGATCCCTTCAGTCCCTAGAAGCCGCAGAAATTCGGCAGATACTGATTTCATGTGGTGAGAATGGAAAGCCGTGTCAACGCGTAATTTCCGCGTGGTGACTTGTGGTCTCGACTGCTGGATCGAAGCTATGATGTCCTCCACAACGCCGCGGTCGCCAGAGATTGTCGTACTTGTCGGGCTGTTTTCGCAGGCCACGACGGCTCCATCACGCAGTAGCTCCCTTGTCTCTTCAGCGCTGAGGCCCGTCACCGCCATAGCTCCATCGCATGCGCTCATAGCAGCGGCGTATCCATAATGATAGGCCACAATAACTGCCTCCTCCAAGCTCAGGTAGCCTGCCGCGTAGGCTGCAGCAATCTCACCACTGGAGTGGCCAACGACAGCTTCTGCCCTGACTCCCAGCCGCTCATACTGATGAAAAATAGCAATCTGTAGAGCAGTAGAGACCACACAAGCCGTTTCGACAGAGTTGATTCGACTGAGAGGGTCGCTGGATGATCGCTGAATCTCTTCCTCGATCGTCCAGGAGGGCGGATTTTTCAGTTGACGCAAGATGGTGTCCATTCTCTCGATGTCGTTTCTGAATGCATCGAGCTGAAGAAGCTCTTTTCCCATGCCTGCCCATTGCGCTCCCTGACCACTGAACACCATCGTGATAGACGGGGGCGCAACTGGGCATTTCGCGGGGTTGGCTGTGCTGAGGCATTCGCCATCGGTGGCGAGGATAGAGAACGCCCGGTGATCAAGGGCTTCTCGTCGCATAGCTCGAGTGTAGGCAATATCAGGGACGAGATCTCGGTGTTGTCTGGCGAAGTCATGGTGAAGCCGCATCTGCTGGTTGAGAGACGTCACGTTGTTTGCAGAGAACAGCACCAGCTGCGGGCGAGCATCATCGTCGTTTGCCGGAGAGCCATGCTGCTGATACGGCTCAATGACAATGTGCGCTCCATGTCCAGATTTGCCGATGAAGTTGATGCGGATTCTTTGAGCTCGACCAGATGGAAGGTCGAGGTCCTTCTGGCTTGGGGTTTGATCTGCCGGCTTAGGTAAGCGCTGAACCTCGACACGAACAGCCTGCGGCCAACCAAAACATTGTTCGCCCAGATTCTTACCATTTGATGCAGTCATGCCAGAAGACTGAATGTCTTGGTGCTCCAAAGACCCCATGGCCTTGATCAGGCCGACGAGGCCAAACGCGCTCTTCAGCTTGCCAAGCGCAGGCTGAGAGGAGCTTCCAGAAAACTGGACATCAGAACACTGCGTCTCAACTGTTAGTTCCCAACATTTTTCCGGTTCTGAGTCGTACGTTTTCATCTAGAAGGCAGAAAACTCACTTCGACAACTGCAGTATCACGCGAGTTCGGACCAGCGGTGCGAATGACGGCCTGAATGGGGTTCCCATCACGAACTGCATCGCTCAGGGGCTTGATGAACACTGCAACAACCGCCTCGCCCTCGACATCATCCACAGTCGCCCCGGTGGCGATGAGGTTGATGCCCGCGACGAGAGCGGCTTTAGCATTGCCGTTCCAGACAGCCTTGCAAGCTTCATCAAGTGCCACCAGCGAGGCAGAGCTCTCAGCAGCCTCAATAGTCGCGCTGAAGAGTATGGGTGGTTAGCCTCCGCGTGTTGCTTCAACTAGAGCCCTCTCACAACTACTTACCTTGGTCCATGGAAGTCGAATTGCTGGGATATGAGTTTTGCCGTCGACGAACCTCCCCTTTCCTCGAGACCAGCGTCCTTCTGGAAAGATGTCGCCACGTAGCAAGCCACGGAAGCCTTTTCACCACGATAGCTGACCTCACACGCGTCCTCCAGGCATTCGTGAGTGACCTCCAACAATTTCTGATAAAACGGCTCACGATTGGTCCATCCATCTTCTGCTATCCTGAAGGAAGGCGCGTCAAAAGCGTTGGGCCCTTCGCTCAATCGGCCGCTGTTCTGAGCAGCTGGCGCAGAACCTCGGGCAAGTAGACTACCGTTCAATGCTTGCCAGTACTCTTTGGTACTGTGAATACCACCGGCGAGGCGGATACCAACGCCGCAAATCGCGACATCAGACTGTTTTCCAGTTCCAACGCGATGGTTCTTGGAGCTTTCGGCAGAGCCATTGGCACTGCCTCTCGCTCCGGGCTCTTCAGCCGGAGACTTGATTCCAGACATATTAAAAGATTGTAAGAAGGACTTTTAGACAAGACACAAAACTAAAGACTAGAAGTTTCAACAGGAATCGAGCGTATACCGACGAAGTTGCCTTGGCGGTGATGCAATTGTGTGGGAGGCAAGCCGTTATAAGAGAATGTCTCTCCTTCAGGATCGAAAGGATCGACAATGCAACCTCCAGCTACTACTAATACCTGGCGACAGTATTACCTACTCACAATACCACAATTCCCAGCCAATTACCGCAGCATGGTCTTCAAGTCAATGTCTCACAGACTTTTCAACCACTTACGTGTATGTATGCAGCTCTACCCGAGTCTACGGGCAGGACCCCCGTCGACTTACCGCCATTGTCCCGCCTGTCAAATCACCTTTGATGAAAACAGTCAGGGATCCAAGTCATGTTCAGCTGTAAAGCATTGAATGTCATGGCGTGGCATACAAAATACAGGCAGACGTTTCTTCAACCTTCAAGACATCATCAAACGCCGACGTCACAAGCTCAAGACCAAGTGTGGTGTTGGACGTGACGTGAGACTCATTGCAAATGCACATAAATAGAGACTACATCGGTTGATACATACATACTTTATGAAAACCTAGTGCTACTGGATGTGACTCTGTTCTGATGTCTGGAAAATACACGTAGCCATTGTCAAGATTTGCATCTCCTAGGAGAGGGAGGGAGAAATGGCGCTTACCAACGGGCCACCGCCAGCCTCACCGTAGGAAAAAGAAACAACAAACAGAGGCGGAAAGTGGCAACGGAAAGTTCAATTGCAGTTCAGCACATCGTTGAATGGCCAAGGCCCTGTAGGCCGGGGAAATGCGTACCCCTGCGTAAGTGCTTCACTTCCTGGTCCACCCGCATCTTGCATGACGGTATTAACCAGATTTCCAGATTTCAACTCCGCCAATCTACCCTTGACTGATAGCAGATCATTCATCTTGAATTGGCGGAAGAGTGATTTTTACCAGGAATTAAATAAAGTTGCCGGGATATCAAGCCAGCATACATGAATAACTGCTTCTCAGTTGAGTGGAAGACTATCACCTCAAGTACTTTAAAGAAAGGAGTAGTTCATGTGTAACGCTTCTTTCTATTTATGCCTTCGTACGATTTTCCATCTGACGGTACTACCATGGCGCAATCCAGGCTACATTGTCGTGCAACAGCGGCCGAGCTGAGATGAGCCCGCGAAGAGTCTCCCTCCATGTGATGAATCAAGAGGACACCAGCTCGGCACGCACCCTTGCATGTTCTCTACACTCACAGGATGAAGTCATTGGGGCGCTGTCCTTTTGCAACAGCAGAATATGCGAGCACACTTGTTTTTTTCTAATCAGTTCCACAGATGCTGTGGCTCGATTGAGCCTCGCCGGGGCGCAGGAGCAATATGACTGACTTCATGCTTATATTAGAGCCAGTATATACCGTGCGGCAGAGGCAACATTGGAGGAATCATCCTACTGAGGATTACTATACAGGGTATCTCTTCTGTCGATCATCCACTCCTGTGATGCTCACTGGTAAGGCATCATATAAGCCTCGCACTGGTCGGTGCCATATTATAAGAGATGGAGATAATCCTCCGCCTCCCGCCTGCAGTGATGCATATGATCACAGCATGATGGGATTCTAGTAACTCACAGCCCCCAATCACCGGGTCATGACTCTTCAACATTGACGATCTCGCGGATTCCTGGTTTCTTCTATGCGCAAGAACCGCGAAAAACAGGGTTGGAGGACAAACAGGCAGCTGAGAATGATGGAGGCGAATGGCACATTCATCCGCGTGAGTACGTTGTTGGGGGCGTAAAGAGTGCAAATGGTGTGAAAGCCTGTCACGGCTTGCTCTGCCCTCTGAAGAACGCGTCCCATGAGTGAGTTGACCAACTGCCCAACCGAAAAGACAAGCATATGCTTGGCACCCCTTGCCCGTATACACCCGCCCTTCCTCGCCGATTGCTCAGTCTCAGATATCATTTTTACTTAATCTTGCACGAATTGTCTCCGCTACAAGACAACAAAATGTCACAAAGAGCTGTCGATTGGCCATCTTCTCCTTGTCCGTCACCATTTGTCTCGGAAAACGGAAATGGCTCGACGACCCAAACCAATTGCATGGAGTGATGGCCTCACGTTCAAGGAGATTGCACATTGGCAAAGCAACACATGAGCTGATCCGAAATGCTGGGGCTACAAAGAGCTGATGTGAGCTCGGGGGGGTTGATCCTGCGATGTGCTGATGTGATCTCGGCATTCGCAGGGAGGAGTTCAACGTTGGTTCAACCAAGACAGCTACGTTCTGCTACATTTTGCGAAGCAGGGCAAACTCGTCTCCACATGCCTGGTCATGAACGTGTAACCTCCCAGGTCCAGGTCGTGCAGGCGCGAATGTCCAATGATTGGGTTGGGTTGGTGGTGTTACATGTCGGCTATAGGGGGCTTTCGCCCTGCATAAGGCTACGTGTAAGTCCTGAAGTTGATCCCGGTACCTCAAAGTATGTAAGGAGCAGAGTCTCCTGGTGGTTAGCTCTCTTGCTTACTCCGACAACTTGACCTTAGTAACCTCCATTACCTGATGATGTGTCGTTTCAAGCAACTTACATCAGCTGAGGCTGAGTTCTGGAGTATTTCATAACAGCAGCGGCACAGTGCCCTTCGAATATCTTATAGATCCTTCGCTGATCTTTTTGGGGATCACCAATTGCACGGCAAGCAACCCTGCAAGCCGGCTTAAGCCAGGGTGGCTTGTCTCAGAACGGAGCCGCTCGCCCTTGGGCCGGCGGTCCGGTATGTGAGACATGCAGTAGCGCGGCAACCGGCATGTTTAAGCGTAATGAGCCAACAAGGCAGATGGGTTGCATTGATTCTAGGAGGGAAGTACTTGTCAGGCAGCAGTCATCTGCGTGGTTGCTTGGGCACCAAGTCGTTTGGATCGTGGAGTTTTATGCCCATCTATTACTGCAACTAGCGGGGAGAACAACGCCAGATGCTCGAGAGTGCCGCGCCTGGAAGACGGAAGAGATGGTGAGACATCAAGAGCACCCAGCTCTGAGTGACTGGTCAATTTTCAAAGAGCTTGTCAAGGATTTCGCGTCACGTCCACGATGTCGAATGGTCGTCTGTTGGATGTAACCCCTACCCTACAACCCTCAACTTCTGTCAAGAGGGCATGAATATTGAGATGATGGGTGGCACAAGATCTTTCCACGTTGATCATCTTTTTCATCATGCTATTTACCACATTGACTCTGGTTATTGGCGGCTATTTGCATCGGCCAAGTTCCAACTCACGGTGATATTTTACGCCCAGGTCAAGGCTCCCCGTTCTCTCCGCCACTGATCAGAGCTCCGTGCAGTAATTCGTACGGAGTACGTAGTGTTGACCTCTTTGACAGCCTCGTACAATTCTACAGAAATGACTGAGACAGCTGTAACACAGAGCCCAGCTACCAGGTAGTACTATGCATATGCGTGGTGCTCTGGTACCGAGATTTATATGGAAATCGTATGTGTGTGGTAGGGGAAGGCAGTCCCTGTTGAAGGTCACACCTCAAAGTACATGTACCCAGGATACGAAGAACATCCTACTTGTATGCCTTCACATCCCATTCTCGAATGCAACGATTCATTGACTTAGCACTTCTCAACAAGGGACTGGCTTCATGAGAGTGTGTTGCTCTTGCCAAGGAGAGAGTAAAAAAGAGAACAAGGCATGCAGTTTGACCATCAAGGTACACCTTCCGTATTCAACAGTTGTGGAAGTAATCTTCCAATCCGGCGATTAAACAGGTATGCATCACCATTTCATGCCGCGAATAAATTGGACCCTTTCAAAATATCTTTCGGTCTATCCTATAACCTCATAAATTCATCTCAATTGAACTGCTTTCTGTACCTGGATATAATGTCGAAGATGTGAGAGAAGTCCGAGTACATGCCTCAGCTGAGCCTCACCTTGGGAACCTCCCTACCCCAAGAATGTATGACTACCAGTTAATGGACCATTCAGATACCACAGCATCGTCATTTAATCTGGCAGTCTGTTATCACTGGCCCTGCAAAGTGAAGCAATTGTGAAAGATGGCTCTGGAGGATGGTCTGTGTTCTCATTGTATGCGCGCCTGTCAGCTGGCAACATGTCACTTTCACGTATCCTTCTTCACAACACAAACACCATTACAATTCTCAACCCATCACAAAGAAAGAAGAAGCTCCGTATAGAAAGCATATCAAGATGAAGTGGCCTGGTAAGTTACCATCATGACTTGTAGCCTAGCCCTCAAACAGCTAATCCATAAATGCCTTCATCAGTCGTTCTTCTCGGTGTCCTCACCTCCCTCGCCGCGGGTGGCCCTCTTGTCACTCCCCGTGACTCAACCTCTGGAACGGATGCCGAACCTCAAGACGTATGCCACATTGAGTGCACCGTCTTCTACGCGTACTGCCGGAAGAAGCCCTACAGTTACACGTGTAGCAGGGATGGACAATATCATTATGGCCGGCGAAACCATCGGTGCGAACAACAATGCTGGTGCCAGTGCGAAATGGGCTGCCGCGGTGGAATTTGCGCCACCAGGGACTGAAATAATTCAAGTTCAAATCCTATTTGCTACAGAGAAATAAGGGTATGAAGACGGCATGATTACAGGCATTCCGTGCCACGCTGCCATCGCTATTAGTACCAATCATCTATCTACAAGCATCGTTTTCGCTGCTATGTACCAGCCTCTATACCATTCAAAAACTTTAGTTTCCTCCTTTTTGATGAACACTTCTCTGTAAGTCTGTTTTGTGAAATCAAGGCTTGGACTCGAGGTTGGCAGTATCATCGTCCGTAGGAACAGAAAGGTCCTTGCTTTGATCTCGACCGAAAATAAGGCCAGGGTGACCGACGCAGAGGCAGAAAACAGCGGCAGCGATCAAACTGAGGCATTCGTTAGCTTGAAGCTGCAGATACGGTGAATTTCATGCATGCTACTTACACTCCTTCAAGACCGATGAAGAGGCCTTGGTCTGTAATCAGATCCGAGTGGACATAGCCCTTGCTCAGCTCGTAGCATCGGTATATGCAACGAATGAAGATCAGGAGGATAGCGGCGCCCAGAAACCCAAAGAAGATGCGCATCCTCTGTCCCAACGGCGTAGACTTCTTCGTTCGCACATAGCGAGCTACGTAGTCGACGAACAAGACGCTGAAGAAGAAGAGACCGGCGACCTGGAGGGCCAGACCTGCCATGGCAATGTCGACACCTGTTTGACTGGAACCAGAGCTGACTGTGGACATGGCGCCTCCGGCGGCTTGGAGGATAAGGCAGACAATATCGAGAGGGATGAAGATCCAGTAGAAGAGTTCGGGCTTGATGCGTGAGATGTCGGGAGCCAAGAAGTTGATGCTGCCCAGGATGTTAGCTAGAGTTTACCACGAGAGAGAGATCAAGTGGAATCTCACGTTTTGGAGAGAGTAATGTATATGCCCGCAGTATAGAATACCGGACCGATGGTGATGAGGACAATCTGGTCCATGAAGGCGCCAAACGACCAAGGATTGTTGTAGAGAACCAGTCGACCCGCATAACCTCCAATCTCAACCAGGCAGCCAAAGGTCATGAGGCCCATGAAGTTCCACTGGCGCCATCGGATGCCGAGGACGACGTGGAGGGAAATGGCGATGGCAAAGAGGGCGATGAAGACGGAGTTGGCAGCGATTGAAGGGCGGTATTTGTAGACGCTCCAGTCGATGGGACAGAGGTCGAGCGTGCAGTTTGCCTGCGGACCAAAGATAACGAAGCCGCCTGGCGTTCCAGGTAAACCGTGAGGTAGTGTCGAGTTCATGTCGGCTGTCGACATGGTTGACAGTGCTGAGGCTCAGCTGTGGTAGCTGGCAACAAAGTTTTTCGCTGGTGAGGTGAGGCTGGCTTTGTAGTAAAAAGGGGTCGTCGGGCTTGAATCGTTTCAGGGAAAGGAGCGAGAACACAATATTGAAAAAGGAAGAGAATACAGGAGAGCTGGCAGAGGCCAATCCTTCAGAGAGCAAAGGTCGTGCCCAACGTTGGTGCGTCAAGATGAGGATTCTCGGTATATGTATCTTGAGATCGCGTATCGACTAGGCGATCGGACTTAGAAAAAGGGTATCAAAACGGAGCAACGGTGTAACAGCAGGCAAGATCCAGCACTGAAAGTGATAAAAATTAGGATTCAACAAGACGTGTCTGCCCTTTTGGAGATTGGTGGGTAGGTTGGCTGAGAGAATGATTCGGTTACGAGGGAGTCTAGGAAACTTCTTTTTTATTGCATTCGCATTCGCTTCGATATGGTCGAGTTGCGCCGATGCTCCTGAACGGAGGAACGGAGTAACTTTTGAAGGATCTAGTTTGGGATAGCTTCGTAAGCCTGCATCTATGCAACTTGAGGATACAGTATGATGGTGTTGACCACCCTTCTGTTTACGGATGACGTCTAATTTTATCCGCGTACTTAATATATTATCTTGATCCATGAGAAGAAATCCCAAAGTCCTCTTGAATTTCGATGGAGGATACCGTGAAGATGCCTCGATCTGTGGTTCACCATGTTTGCAACTTCACGAAAAACGGGAATAACGGAATTCTACGGAGTTCAAAGCCGTTCGAATGACTTGCCTATTCAAAACACCCAAGTGGGTCGAGCCGGCAGTAGAAACTGTTCGTGCCTTCGTATCATTTCTGAGGCCGTGTCGGCTGCTCACGCCACGAGGCTTTGTCCAAATGCAGTATTATGCAGCGCTACGCGTGTCTCTGTTTAAGCTTTTAGGTGTTCTTGATCTCGTTGGCTAGTTCTGGAGGATGGTATCGTGAAGACATCGCCAACACGGAGAAATCCTTCGACTTTCGCATCCGGTTGCGTGATGACGACGCAAGATCGGTGCGGCTGAAGGAGAGGGCCGCGGGTTGCCGTCTACATAGCCACAGCGGATTCCCAGCTAGTGCAAGCGAAGGTCATGAAAGACCCAGTCATGGCATTATACTGCGAGTCTGCTCCTCAACCGACTGGTGAACTGATCCTTTGGTGTAGTTACGTTCAACATGTAGTATCCCTCACATGTCGCTTGGTGTTGACTTCGCAGCATCAAGCCTAATCAGGCATTGCCAAGTGCGTCGAGGAGGGATTGCGGCTGAATACTTTCACTTTTCGTGCCTGTGAGGTGACATGGCGTTCGGGAAGATCCGGCTGATTCCGAACTTGCCAGGTTCACGCAGTCTTCAACATGACAACACCTCTCGCGACCTTCAACCTTCAATCTTCGCCTTTCACGTTTCCACTCCCATTCGGTTCACTGACCAGTTGAAACGCCAAAACACCAGCAATGGAACTGGGAGCATCACCCCGCAATGTTCTTCACATCGACTGATATGGACGATTCTCCAATATTAAGCGGGCCCAACCATATCCTCGCTGCGGCCACTATCAGCAAGTGCTGACTTCTATTCCCGTTATCGAGATCTAGTTAAACCGGAATGAGCATCGAAGATTCGGACTGCCTTCTGAAGCATTTAGATGGCGCATCCCGCGGCCTGCGAAACGGCAACGCCACCATGCTTATCACTCGCGGTGTCCCGCGGAATCCACGTCGTCCGCCTTGATACTTCTCGACGACCACCATTTCGAGACAACGAACAGGCTCCGAAATACAGGCATTATGATGTCGCCTACTCTACCTGTGGATTGAATTCGCAATCCTCTCCAAGTTGCAGGCATCTTTGCACCTTTCGAAATCCTGTGTCCCGAACGCGGCGATCATATGGCCTCCACTCTAACAGCTTGGCAAGTCATGAAGTGAGCTGTGGAAGAGAGAGATGGCTCAGCAGCGAGAAACACAGTCCAGTCCACCAGAATGACGCTACAATCGATTATAGGCCAGCCTTACTGTAATCTCTACTCCATCTCTCGACTCTGCGCACGGCAAGTTGCTAATAAAGAGACAAAGTCTACTCAGCCAGCAACAGGCAAACATGAACGACAGCACACAAAGAAGAAAGAAGAGGCGTCAGTCGTAACTGACGTAGTCAGGAAAGTGAAAACATCTCATCAAAACGAACTCGAACAGATGAATAGACCGAAGGGAAGATGATGCTCTCATAGACTACGAGCAATTTCCGAATCTTCGTATCTAATGGGCAAAGCTGTACCAGGCGGCAACCTGATCGAGGAAGAATACAAGAGGATCTCCGGGGTTGCGGAAATCCAATTTCAACTTTGGATCGTGGACGAGGCCAGAGCGAATGGCGATTGGCTGGTCTTATCCAGTTACGCGGTCGAAGCGCCTGAATGCAGCTCGCTCTGGTGAAATCGGTCGCGTGGACTTGTTCTTTGGAGCCCATGACGATCGACATACCTGTCGATAGGCACCTCGAAACCTCACGCCCTGATCATGCACACCGACTCACGCGAACAAGTCTTCAGACTCTTGGCTGTCCAGGTCGTTGCGTCTCTTACGAGTCGCACTCATGAACTATGGTCGCCGTCGGGGTGGTCGGACAAGCTCAAGTCCTGTGTGGCCTCTCCGTCTAATCTTGCCTTGTACACGTTCAATCGTGTCCAGTCCGTGCCAGTCTCTGAAGAGTGTCTGTTGGTGGCTGTTGGAATTTCGGCTCGAGCGTCCCTTGACATCTGGGCTGAAGCGTCTTTTGAGCGCCCAGATGACATTTTGTATGGTCCTCAAGTCCAATCTGCCCCAGTTATCTGCCTAGGTAGGTAGTCGAAGACAACAGCCATTATGTGAATGTGGGCACGGCAACCTTGGATCAACAAAGGTAAGCTAGCGGTGACATACTTGTTGCAAACTTCGTTGAGACTCCATATATGCTTGGTCATCATCCGAGGTTAACAACCTCACTCTTATCTATTCCTCGTCGACCTTTGGTCACTGTTGTTTTCAATCGGCGCATTTCGAAGAACTATGCAAAAAGAAAGCCTTAGTTGCAGGCTGTAAGCCTCAACAGACAAGGGTAGGTAGGGAAAAAAAAATAGAAAACTACGGTAAATCGACGTGCAAATTACTTTGGTTTCTGTCACTCAAGCAGTTCATCAAGACGCAATCTCTGATACTTGCCCTGAAGTATGATGACAGTATGGAGCGCTGGGTAAGGGTACGAAACGAAGAATAGCGCTTATTAACTCAGATCACTTTCCAGTGCCGAAGAGGGGCCTCGGCTCGGCACCCGGCTGCTTTGATCTCGAGATTTACTTCCCGTCATCTGCCATTATCAAACACAGGGGGAGTGAGAGAGTGACAGATAACGGAGGACCGTCCCCATCATCGCATCCAGTTAGAATATTCTGGAATGATATCATTCCGTCTTCAAGAGACAGGAACAAGTGGCGACCCTGAATCATGTCTTCACCTTTTAGGAACCTAAGGCTCTGTGACGTTTTCGAAGCGGATCGATATCAAGCCACAAAAGTACGAAGTACACAGTTTCTGTTATCTTGGAGATCCCAAGATCATTCCATGTCGGATGACAACTCGAGAGAACATCTCACCTTAGTACTATCCCAACAAGTGGCCACTTGAGTAACGTCAACCCCAAAGTGGCATCTGTCAAGTTCGCACGTTTGCCATTCACTCGGCATGACCAATCGGCCGCCATCGACTGTCGACACTAGCGAGTCAACGATTGCAAAGCACGGAAAAGGCGCAGAAGCGGCGCGGACGGGGACCTTTTCTGAATCTGTCTCTTCACCGAGACTATCTTTCTGCGAGGGTTGCATGTCCGGAGCACCAAATGCGTACCAAAACTCTCTCTGTGTTACTCCTTGTGTTATCGATTCTGCCGACCATTATAGTGCATTGAATGGACATAGTACCTGCTCATGCCTCGTACATGTAGTATCCCTTATTAATGGTCAAAGTGTTCCATCTTCCTGTTCCATCCCCTTTCGATGCTTACGTTGCTCGTATCGGTAGTTGTCCCGGGATCGATCCATGCCCCGATCCATGCAAAATCCATGTTCCTCCGGCCGCAGCTCGCTCGACACCGGAAAAAAAAAGCACCTCGGCATCCCGCCCACAAGAGTCTCCAGCCAGCCAGCCATCCATCATGCAGCCACGGGATCTAGTGGGAAGAGCCCTTGCAGCCCCGGCCATCTTTGCTCAATCCAGGGCTCGGCCGAGAGACCCAAAAGAATGCCATCAGCTCCGGGGCTGCACAGCGCCGGCGAGGGCGAAACTCCGCACCGGAGGAATATCCCCATTTGCGATATGGCGGGCCTTTGGGGTCAAAGAAGTTGTGTGCTTTGTGGGGAGTTTCGGCCGGCGGTTACGTAGGGACCTTTTCTTTCTCTTCTTTTCTTTTCCTTCTTTCTTTGGCCTCTTTTCTCTTCTGTGGCTGGCCCCATGCCCTTGCATCATTGGTCCTTTAAGACTTTCTCGATCGGCGCTGCGGCTCCGGACCGACCACAGACACCAAATCAATGCCAATGCAGGAGGGTCTCCATCCATGTCCGAGGCAACGGAGGACAGCCCGAAAGCTCAAGTACGGAGAATATGCGTGCAGCAGCAGGCAAAAAAGTAGGTACAATGCCAGATGCAATGCGGGTCTCCGTGGACTCGGAATCTCCATGTTTGCTTCTTGCTCTTTGTTTCAGAGTCTGGAGCCCTAGTTCAATGGAGCAAACAGCCGTTTTGAGGCTGTCGCCGTCGACGGCTACTAATGCTAGCTGGAGGGCCGGCCATGTTTGGGGACCGGAGGGACACGAGTAGCAGGTATAAAGACGGCTTTGCAGTCGCTCTCTTGAATCACAAACTACTGTATCTATCTGAATCATCCATATCTACCTAGTACATCATTCTTCTCTTGAACCATAGCTATCAACGTCACATCCCCATCCTCATCCTCCATCCTTCAACATGACAGTAAACAACCTCTCAATCGTCCTGGCCGAGCGGCCCACCGATGACATCGTCCCCGGCACAACCTTTGCTCAGAAAATCACTCCTGCTCCCACACCGGCAGACCTCAAGGATGGCGAGATCCTCGTCGAGGCTCTCTACCTTTCCCTGGACCCGGCGATGCGAGGCTGGCTGCAAGGTGAGGCTTTCCATCAAACAAGAACCTGGTAATCTTTTTTTTCTCAACGGCGTCTAACATGTCCCCCTCCAGATACTCGCTCTTACCTCCCCCCCGTCCAGATCGGCGAAGTCATGCGCGGTGCCTCCATCTGCCGCGTGATCGCCTCCAAGAGCAAGCAGGCCGCCGCCGGCGACTACGTCTGCGGCTTCACTGGCTGGACCCAGTACGCCATCCTCCGCGAGGGCTCCTTCGAGCCCTCGGCCAACTACCCCGGCCTGCGGGACCCCAAGGACATGCTCTCCGTCCTCGGCATGACTGGCATCACCGCCTGGGTCGGTATGACCAAGATTGGCGAGCCCAAGGCTGGTGAGACGGTGGTTGTGTCCGGCGCCGCTGGTGCCACCGGCAGCGTCGCCGGCCAGATTGCCAAGCTCAAGGGTGCTCGCGTCGTTGGCCTTGCCGGCAGCGACGCCAAGTGCAAGTGGCTGGTTGAGGAGCTCGGATTCGACGTTGCCCTCAACTACAAGGATCCCGACTTTAAGCAGAAGCTTGCCGAGGCTACTCCCAACTACATTGACGTCTACTTTGACAATGGTAAGCACATTGCTCCCTGTTCCTCGCGGTACTAATAAGAGTATCGTCGCTAACGTATTGTTCAGTCGGTGGCGAAATCCTCAACGCCTGTCTGGCCCGCGCAAAGGAGCACGCCCGCTTCGTCATGTGCGGCGGCATCAGCCAGTACAACACGTCCAAGCCCCAGGGCCCCAGCAACATCAACAAGATCATCACCATGCGCATCAAGATGCAGGGCTTCATCGTCTTCGACCACATCAAGGACTACCCCAAGGCCCGCCAGGAGCTCTCGCAGTGGATGGCCGAGGGCAAGATCAAGAAGACGGAGCACATCCTCAAGGGCGGCCTGCAGGTGGCCGAGCAGGGCCTCGTCGGCCTGTACAAGGGAACCAACACCGGCAAGCTGCTGGTCGAGGTCAAGGACCCCAACGAGGCTCCTTCCAAGCTGTGAAGGGTGATGTAAGAGTGGAGAGAGGAGGAAATATACCCTAAGGTTGATGAGTTCCATGATGGACAGACATGTATATAGCTTTGTATGACCTAGAGAACCGCATTGGTAGACAGCGAATAATGTTTGTTTCGCGTTAAAACTGCCCCATAAACCTTGTGGATTTTCTCAAGAGGATGAGGAAGAAATAAATAAGAAGCCGTGACAGACCATTCGTACTATGCAGTCTGGAAGTCGTATATTCCTTGATGCTCCTGCTCACACCACCATTTTCATCATCCACTACCCAGAGTATCCGAAGATACAAGTCTCCTGCTTCTCGGTGCATATCCTGATAGCGCACAAATTACCACCAGTTACATCCTCAATCATCGCTTCTCACGCAGCCTCACTCACAGGACGCCACTCCTGGCTCTTGACCGAGCCCGGCGAAGGCGGCCCCAGATCGCAGATGTCCCTACACGGATCACACATGATGACACACCTCTTGACCTCTGGATCAATGACAAACACGCGATTCCTGCAGTCCTGCTTACTGTTCCCGTTCTTCTCGTCCATGCCGTATCGCACCATCAGCCGCTCGGGATCCTCGTTGGTGAAGTAGCCCAGGCACATGGGGCCTTGGCGCAGGTACGTGTTGATCCAGAGAATGTGGCCGCCGTGCTTCTGCATCGTTTCGCTCTCGCGTTGACCGAAGACGTTGTTTCGCATTCTGCACGCGGCATCTGTGCATTGGCAGAGGGTGACCGTGATGCGGAACGTGCACATGATGTCTGTTCTGTTTGAGCCGTGGACATATGTACTTGATGCGTGAGATGGGAGAGGGGCCAGGTGCTGACTTTGGTATATGGTGTATTTGGCTGGCTTTATTCGAGACGGGTCACATTCCTTTCCAGATAATGACAATGACAGAAGAACGTGTGTTGACATTGTCTGATGGCCGGAATATGGCATCACCGACCTGGAGGCTTGTGAAACAATAACAGTGAACGAGTGTCGCCATCAGTCCGTGACAATCCTCCCTCGCCTCCTCTGACGCGAGCTTCTCACAGACGGCGACATCGTGTCACTTCACGCCTCTTCTCTAACATCATGTATCCGTCGAATCCGTACTCACTTCACGCAGTAATGCCGGCTTCCTTCTCAATCTCCTCCTTGCTCCAACTCCATTTATCCTGCAGCTCCTTGTCCAGCGACTTCTCGATCACATCCTTCTCCCACCACTCTCCCCAGCTCGTCAAGAAGATTCGGTCCGGATCGCTGGGGAAGTCCGAGCGGGTGAATGCGGCCAGGATGCTCTGCGCCCCTATCATGACCGTTAGTTTTCCTACTCGAGCTTCGCCTCTCTCTGTACTTGTGAGGTTACAAGTAAAATAGACGCACCTGTAGTGACGGGCTTTGCGTCAGCCATGTCCATCGTCAGCTTCATTCCGCTGTACCGGCCTAGGCCAGTGCCTGGGATCAAGCCCGGCGAAACGGCGACGACGTCGCATTGGCCGGTTAGTTGACGGCGCCACCAGTGGGCGTTCAGGAGCTGGACGAATTTCGAGGCGGAGTAGACGTTCATGAAATCTGCACCGGAGGCGCCCTTCAGTGTATCTTCCAGGGTGCCTAGACGGTAGGAGGACGATCAAGGTCAGCCTAACTTGAAGTCGAAGAATGCGATAGGGTGAGTCGTGAACCACTTACTCGGGTCAGTGATCCGGCGAATCGCGCCCGAAGACACAAAGACGATGCGAGACTTTGATTCAACGAGCTTCTCCCTCAGCAGATGCATCAGATAGTGCTGTGCTATTGCAAGAACCATCAGCCCGCAGTCCAAACAATCTCACCATCACAAAGTAAAACTCACAGAAATGGTTCACAACCAGCGCCTCGCACCATCTCCAGCCGTGAGGACCAGGCTTCTCCGCGCCACTTGAAATCGCCGCATTCAGCAAAAGGTAGTCAATCTTGTCGCCGCCGACCTTGTCCAGCACCTGCTGCGAAAAGCTCTTGACCGTCCGCACGTCGGAGAGCTCCAGCGGCAGCACGGTCACGGCGTGGCCTGAGCGGTCGTAGCCCAGGGCGTCGTAGGCGGCAATGGTGCTCTGGGTGTTGCGCGCGCCGAGGATGACTCTGTAGGGCTGGGTTTGCTGGAGGAGAAGCTGCTTGATGGCTTCGAAGCCCTGGGACGACGGATTGTGATCAGTTGGCGATTGTGAATGGATTCATATAGCGATGATCGAAACTTACGAGGCCTGAGGATGCGCCTGTGGCGACGACAGTCTTTGCGATGGAACTCATTTGTTTTACCTGTTGTTGATGATACCTTGTAGTGTTGGTGTTGATATCAGTCCAGTTAACTGAGGTGGAAGAGCTGTATGATGGCTTGAGTGCTTTGGAGGCAATATTGATAGGTAAGGTAGGTGTCCAGCAATGACGTCGAAACAACATGAAGCGAGACCCAGCAGAAGCTAAATAAATACCATTTCACTTGCAACAGAGATTGGTCCCATTTCTCATCCAAAACGGAGAAAACAATAAAATCCATCCACTCATACCAGCATCACTCTCCCCCTGTCGGCCTTTAGCCCATTAAGCCCGGCCTGTCGCTGTGTCTTCTTAATCATCCTTTCCCCACCTCACAGCGACTTCCGAATCCTTCAGCCTCGTCACCTCGAAGCCGCCTGAAGTTCCATCTTGTGATTTGTAATGAAGCGGGCGGAGAAGAGCTGGGGAATGGATCTTGTTCGCAATGAGGCGCTCCTCTTTTGTGTCCAATCATTCCAACCGTTTGAAGCGGTGTGGGCCTTTTCTCCGCTTGTAACGGGATTTGCCTTGCGAGAAGCGGGAACTCCCATCGTCTGCAGCTGAACGGCTGTCCCTGTCAGATGTCAGATGGTTAATTGGTGACTCTAATGAAGTTGCTGTTCTTTAGCCTTGAGTCAACTGTCAGTCAACTAGGTCGCTCTATCACAACTAAAGCTGACGCAGGCCATGGTTTCATATTCTTCTTTATCCTCCTACAGCCTCCAGGGCTATGCATATGCCGAGTCAACGCCGCAGCACTCACGCATGCGTGCACATCATGAAGGGTCACACATAAGCTGGAGATCAAGCCCAAAGACGGCAATACATATCGAAGAGTTTAGGGGGATGCCCGTCGACACGATAGCCAGTTAATCGGGTAAGCAGCACGCATCAGGGAAGCGTCCAGTAGGGGCACGCCTCGGGGTCAGTCAAGTTGCTGAGCCCCTTTCTTCAGGAAGACACCAAATGACGAACAACGGGACAACAGACGTTCTATCCAAGAAACAGGAATAGTTGAAAAAATAACTGCTACAAAGTCAATCGCTAGGTACCACACCATACAAGAAGACAATGGCCACGCCAAAGCTTTTCCGCCATGGGGAAACACAACAGACAGCCTCCGTCTCGCTAAAACCAGCACATAGTATCTAAACACCAACCACTCCAAGACTGCCACCGCAAACGCAGTATATACACAAATGATCTTTCTCGTCATATACATTCTCATAGCCTCCTTAGGCTCCCCCCATAGCTGTTCAGCAGCAGCGTGCTATCTAGAGAAAGCCCGTTTTCTCCCCCCGCTTGTACACCTTAGCACCGTCCAGCTTGAGCGGCGGGAAGTACTGGTCAGGCCCTACCTTGCAAGTCACATCTTGCGCAGGCAGGGCACTGCTGACAAAGTACTCCTTGACATAGCCGTCGGCGCACGCGGAATCCTGGTAAAAGGTGCAGTGTCCATAGGCGTCCAGCGTCACCAGCCGCGCATCCGCAAAGGCCGTCAGCGCCGTCTTGGCGGAATCAAGCGAGCAGACGGGATCGTATTGATTGGACATGATTAGCAGCGGATGCTTGGTCTTGACCCCTTCCTTCGGAACGTAATTGTGCGTCTTGGGAATCACCCAGTGAGCCTTGGCCCAGTAGAACGAGTTGGCCGAGTACATGAAGGGGTTCATGACGTAGAAAGGCTGGAGCGTCTTGATCAGTTCCTCATTGGTCTGTGGCCAGAATTCGCTGCCCGATGCTCCGTCGTTGAGTCGATAAAAGTAAATGGCCTCCCAGGGAGTGATTCCCGTATTGGTGTACGATTGCGCACCCCCGTAGAACTCAAATGCCATCGTAGCATTGCCCACCATGGCGTCGATCAGGGTAATGCCCAGGGGCTGCCAGGCGACGCTCTTGTAGAGAGAAGGCAGGATGACATTGTACCACATGTATGCATAGTTGACAGTGCCAAAGTTTTTCTCGTCGATGTAGACCGTCATCTCGTTGTACTTGATCTTCGTGCCAAAATTCTCCACCATCCCATTGAGCACATCGGGGTTCTTTGCCAGCGCGGCCAACGGGCACGCGTCCACGCCAGCCTTGACACATTCGTCGAAGAAGCCCCAGAACACTCTCTTGCCGTCCTGATAATCCTTCCAGGGCAGGGTGCTGTTGTACCACTCGAACTGGTCGACGACGCCATCAATCACCATGCGTGCCGTGCGGTTGGGGAAGAGGCCCGCGTAGGTCTGGCCGATGAGGGTGCCGTAGCTCTGGCCCCAAAAGTACATGTCCTCTTGACCAATGGCGTCCAAGATGCTGTTCATGTCGGCGGCAACCTGAGGCGTGTTGATGTACTTGCCGTGCTCGCCGGATGTCTGGGCACACGATTTGGCAAAGTTAGGGGCCCAGCCGCCCATGTAAGGAGCATCGGTCACGAGATTGTCCTGCGGGATGTTGCTCATGCCCATTCGTATGCTCTCCGTAGCATAACACGATCCCAGCGGCGTAGAGCCGTTGATACCCCGAGGGTCGAAAGCAATGATGTTGAAGCTCTCTCCGACGACAGCTATCAGCTCCGAAGCCAGGCCATAGAAGCTGCCCACGCCGCTCGCCCCGGGGCCGCCTGGGTTGTACAGAATATTCTTCGAGCAAGAGGTAGTATTGTGGCCACGAACTCGAATCAGAGAAAGATCAAATGTCTTGTTTCCGGAGTTCTCATGGTTGAATTGATCCATCGGCACCTTCATAGTACTGCATTCCAAGAGGTGGCCAGTAGCATTGCCACATGCTGTCCATGAGATTTTCTCTCCTGGATAGGTGACGGCTGAATCATTGCGATAAAGAGGTCGGAGAGAAACCGCCTGAGCCCGTCCGAGGAAGCTAGGCAGGGCTAACAACAAAGACAGGATTGTTCCCCTGGGCACAGAAGGTGTGCTGCTCCCGCCGCTTGTTGTCAAGATAGGCGTCCGCATCGTAACAATGGTCGAGAGGCTTCTAGAGCCAATATGAATGAATGCTAATCAATCTCCAAGTGTTCTAGAAGAGGCTCGGAAGATTGAGTTCCGCTGAAAACGTCTCCAGCTGGGTTTACCAACAGGATCCGGGAGAAGCTGTGTTTTGTGCACGCAACCACCATCTATCCATTCACCTACGCCGTTGGTAGACATTTTATATCCATCAGCCACGTTGCGGGAGCACAGATGGATCAACGGCACCAATCAATCCCTCTGCCGGCAGCCCGAGTGCTGTGAGAGGGCAAAGAACAAACGGGAGATGAAAGGCATGCGATCGAGCACGGAACATTCATCGATACACCCCCCTTGTGGTGATGAGGGAAACGGACCCATTCACGCATGTTTGGTGTTCCTTGCCATGATCGATGACATAACTGGGCTCTACAAGTTTTTCGTTTGAAGTGGTTCCATCATCGACAAATAGATAGTGCCAAGCTAACCAACGCAAGTGTGAGTAAACCATAGCAAGAGGTGCAAGGAGTGGTAGTCTTAAACATATTACCTCGCTATCACAGACTGAACGTCCAAGATGGTGTTGGTAGACAGGCCAAAAGGGCCTTTCTGGACAAGATCGAGGTTTAGAACGATGTAGTCGCTGTCAATCACAAGGCGAGGAAAGCAGGTGGATGGCCTCCGGCCGGCTACTGCACCCGAGCTTAACTCGCTCCCAGTAGCTCAACGGTTGATGCCATGGGGGAAGGCCATGCGAGCGATAAGGCATCGTCAACTTATCTGTCGCAAGGCATTGAAATGCAGATACAGTAGTCCGCCAAGGTCCCCCGACGCTGCTGCCCAATCCTGTGGGAAAGGGAGGCTCTAGCACCCGAGCATCCGGAAACAGTAACACAAGCAGCCACATCAAGCCATGGCGCCGTTGCATGATGTAAAACACATGCCTTGAAAGGGACGTGGCTGTGGGATCGTGTTTGAGCAAAGGGGGTAAATGGATGACGAACGGGGGAGTGAAGGCAGCGGTGGAACAGGTCTCGCATGAGGTGTGAGTTGACAACATGTCTTTGAACGCACGTGTGCAGCTGTGTACGATCGTGTTCAGTTCGTCTGGGGCAGGTCGGTATCGAAAGCCCATCAGGAGCCAATAAGAGACATAGTATCAGGTACGGTTAACACGACGGACAAGATTTGACATGCCCTTTGATAGGTAGCCCGAGACTCAAAGGCCCTCAGTCACTGCGTTCTTGCGCCAAGCATACCGTAGATGGAGTGTAGCAAGCTCAAGCCCGGGTCACCGGACCAGCACTCTGTCACGGTTTCGCATCCGCTCCGCGCATCATCAAGAGCTCATAGGCTAGAGGCACAGCTCATGATGCCATCTCGACCGCCGTGATGGGCCTCGTTCGCTCACAGCAGTGCAGGGTTGAACCCGTGTGGTTTCGGCTGAGAGGGTTCATCGTCACGCGATGACAATGGGAGAACAATAAAGCGATCTGCAGCAGCAGAGAGGGCTGTGTTCAATTGTGTGGCCCGGGTCAAGGGCCAGTCGATGGCTTTTGCGCTGTGATGGAGTCTATTGAGTCCATTCACAGCCTTTGACCGTGCGCTTCGGCAGCCTCGAAAATCAGGTGACTGTCATTGTACATACAACCTGCGTACGTAAGGGCCAAACCGCGGTCTTTCCACCTTTGCGAGTTCAAAATCGAACTCGTCATCTACAGGCTGCAACTGCTCCGAGAGACTGCTAGTATACCGAGGCTATGATATGCTCGCCAACAACTTCAACTCGCCCAAGCCTTATCCCCATGTTCAGGATCCCGTTGGTCGGATTGTCATTAAATAACTCCTTCGTCACTTTTAGTCTTCATTGTCCCAACGAGGAAATAACACAACGGCTTTCGATCCACCTCGACAGGGACCCGCCTTGAATCGAACTTCACAGCACTGTTCGGCGAGCAACAAAGAATTGGACTGACCATCTCTCGCTCCTCTGGATGGCCGCCTCCAAGCATCTGATCTCCGGTTTGTTCATCACTTATCTTCTTGTCTATCGACAGAGTCTCCCCGCCTCCTTTAAGTCTCTGTATCGTCGTCTATCAATCTTCCCCGACCAATCTCCAACCCTCTCGCCACCAAGGGCTGCTCCCGTGAGCGATTCAACCCCTCGTTTTGATACCATCAAAGACCAACCGTTTCCCAGCCTATCGTCACTGTCATTGGCACATCAGAAGCCCTGTCGTCATTCCCTGCAGATTGAGCCACTGAAATGACTTCGAGCCTTTGTACAACTCGGCCCACCATCTACTGGTGCCCCCTCGTCTAATGTGACATCCCGGATTGCTGCTCTGTCAAGGTACCTGATAGCATGTACAAGACAAAGCAACCCAAAGACCCGAAACTAAAGCAAACGGAGAACAGACTCCAGTGAAGAGAGTCATTTATCCGTGCCTTAATAGGAGCACATGTACTCTCCGTACTTCGTTTCGCTCCCCATCAGAGCAAATTACAAACACATGCCGTGTTGTCCCGAGATGCATCTACACATCCTGCGGGACATCGCGGCTTCGACCCCGGTCTGCACAGTCCCGACAATTCACTCATCGTCAAGGGGGTAGAAAGACGGCAGCCACCAATCGAGGGTTCTGGATGTTTTCCGCTTTTGTCAACTGCCTCGATGTTGCATCCACAACGGGAACTCATCTCAAGAGACAGGCCCGCTCCATGAAGCGCTTCGCTTTTCACAAAAGACGGCGCCGCGTCACACACACAGAGCGCCACATCTGCAGATGTGAATCTGTGAGGTCCGCCGTTCCACAAGCATCACGAGATATTCATCCGTGTAGTCTCCTTAAAGTTCTTGCAAAATAATCCTTAGTATGGCCGCTTGTGAGAGGGCCGCGGGAGAGCAGTGAGGGGATGCAGTATGCAACTCATTCGCAGCATCTACCCGAACACTGCCGGTGGATGCAAGTACAAATGCCTGTATAGGTACGGATGTAACGGTATGATCCACGGACGCGGAACTTCCTTGCCTCGATCTCTAGGCATCTCGCCCGGCTATTCAAAGTATATACACGTTGTATATCGTACAGCAGCTACCATTTAACGTCCAACGCCGAACCAATCCATCTCGAGCCGTGCCATAGAGGCGAAATTCGACGCCGTCATCGTCCTCACAAAGCCCAGAATAGCTCTCGACGACATATCACTTACACAAAGGAGGCGGAAAGGCCAATACGATCGTACAGTTGAATACAATGAGTATCTCACTCTCACACTCGACAGACGAGAGACACGACCCGAGACAAACAAAAAGACCTCGACTAAGCCAGTGGATGTGCCAATGCGCGGGCGTCTCTGTGTTATAGTCGCAGTCGCAGACAATCTTTCGCCATCCTATTGGCCCGCCGGATATGCCAGCCCCAACGGATAAATGGAGTTGCAAATTACTTGCATGAAGCCCGGCAGCAAGCTTGCAGATGCAATCATGCACACCACGATGCCACGGTACCAGTCGAGCACAGTACATTGTCACGTTAACCTAATATAGCACATCCTGACTTCAAACAGCCCGCCGGCGAGATGGAGAGACTCAGGCAGCTGACTGATTTATCCGTGAAATGTCATTCCCACACTCTCTACACCACTACGTGTTGTCGGCCTCAAAGGGCCGACTTCGGAGACGAGACGGCAACTATGTGCGTACTCTGTAACACATATTGACCTATCAGGACTCTACACTTTTCTCGAAACAGCGTAACAGCCGTGAGAGAACGGGTGGTGATACTCCGCAGCAACCAGAGAAGCGGGAGTGCTGGCAGCTCTCGTACCACGCAATGGCCTCTACTTCTGTCCTTTATCGGACCCCTTCCCACTCCCCCTCCATCTGAGGAGAAACAAATGGGCAGCGGCATTGGAAGTTGTAGGCTAGGCGCAATCGACCTTTGTACTCTGTCCTGCGACGAACACGAGGCGTATGTCAGCTACACGTGGGCAGCGTGAAGAAGCAGCATGTCCGTTGGCCTTGCGGCGGTGTCACCGAGCAGAGAAGAGGGGAGCTGAGTTGAGCAGATGAAAGGACACTCTGGGCCAAGCGAGTTGGATCCTCGCAAAATCCAAAAGAAACTCAGCCGAATGGCTCCAATCTCTCTACCAGGTATATGTAGGCCCCTGACAATGCCACATCTGTCCTTCACCCGGATCGACCACAAGTTGCAACTACACTGCCAGCAAACCCATAGCCTTGCACGGCAAAAAAAGCACGACGGCCACCCGTGATATCATACTTCGCAGTCCGGCCCTTATTCGACCAGCTCCATAGTCTCGTGCCTCCCGTTGACACACCTGCAGTGTCCCAGTTCGGTGAGGAAGCTGGTCGATGTACGACGAAGTAAGTTTAGGGAAAGGAGATCGCACCGGTTCACTTACACGGAAAGGTTTACGTACAAGACAGGAAAAGACACGGGTGGTCGGCAAAGGGATGCCTCGCCGGTAGCACAGTGATGAAACAGCGTCGTACTTTGCATGTGCACTCCCTCGAGTGCCCTGGTGGGACACAATCGACTGACAGGACAGACCGGCAGGCCTCGCCCCTTTTATTAGCTTGCCCAACCTTTGGTCCGAATGTGTAGGTATGTAAGTAGGTTGGTATAGTACCTCCTGGATATGCCACAGAAACTGTAATCTCTTTCCAAACCTCTACCTTATGCTGCAAAACACCCTCGCATTTACTTCGAAGTACAGTATGCGTATCCTTGCCCATTGCCCATTGCTTCGAAATCGATGCAGATACATACACATAAACCGCTCGCGCATAGAGCGCATAAACGCCGTCTCCTCGTCTGGTTCCATTCCCCGTTACTCCATCCCGCCTCCTACCCAGTCATCCCCAAAGTCCCCAAAATGCCATGAGCCGCCCCCCCGGTAAAAGCCTCGCCCTGAATCCGTGATCTCCTGTCCTTGCCTCTTCTATCTTCTCATTCGTCTGTCGCTGCTTTGAATAGGTAGCCATGGAGATTGCAATGCCCTGCACGACATAGTACCAAGACTGCTAGGATCTCAAACGAATGCCTGCCATAAAGGAGGTAACATGGTCATCTGCTTTGCCACAGTCCGTTCGCCTAGACTTGCCAAGGTGCTACTTTGTGTCTCCTTTCGCACCGGGAGTTTCACACCTTGTTGTTGTACACGCTGCTGTCCACGTAGTTGACCAGCTCCCTCACGGGGTCGAGCTGCTCGAGGCCCCCGCCAAATGCCATGCCCTTCCTCATGACGCGTCTGTAGTTGAGCCCGGGGCTGACCTTGCCCAGCACGTAGCCGCGCCTCGTCTCGACGCGGGAGGGCACCGGGATGCTCCGGCCGACGACGGCCTCCATGCCCTGCCAGGCAAAGGTGATGGCCTCCTTGGCGTCCGCCGGGATGCCCGCCTCGTCCAGCATGACGAACTTGGTGTCCGGGAAGGACGCCTTGAGGTGGTCGAGGATGTTGGGGTTCTTGGCGCCGCCGCCGCACATGTAGACCTCGGCCAGCGGCCCGTACTGCGTGGGCATGTATCGTCGGTAGTGCTCGACAATGGCCTGCGCGGTGATTCGCGTGATGGTGGCGACGATGTCGTTGGGCGACATGCCGCCGGCGATGCCGCGCTCAATGAGCTCGTGCGCGATGGTGTCGCGGAACACCTCGCGGCCCGTCGTCTTGGGCGGCTCGAGCGCAAAGTAAAAGTGCGTCCTGAGGAAGTCGTCCACCATCTCTTGGTTCACCTGCCCGGCCTTGCCCATCTCGCCGTCCTTGTCGTACTCGCGCTCCCCGTTGGTGAAGTAGCGCACCGCGGCGTCGATGAAGACGTTGCCGGGCCCCGTGTCAAAGTCGAAGAACTCGTCGTTGAGCCGCCCGTCCGCGGCGTCCGGCGGGATGAAGCACACGTTGGCGATGCCGCCAATGTTCTGGCACGCCCTGAGCTTGGTCGGGTGGTGGAGGACCAGGGAGTCGAAGAAGGCAATCAGGGGCGCGCCCTGGCGGCCGGCGGCCTGGTCCGACACGCGAAAGTCCGTCACCGTCGTGATGCCCGTCAGGGAGGCGATGAAGGTGCCCTCGGCCATGGTCAGGGCCGACTTCTTGCGCCCGCCCTGCGGCATGCTCTCCAGCCAGATGGTCTGGCCGTGCGAGCCGATGGCGTCGATGGACGACAGCGGGATGCCGTGCTTCTCGGAGAAGGCCTTGACTGCTTCTGCAAACGTCTCCCCCAAGATGACGTTGACTTCGGACAGCTCCTCGGGGGTTGTGGTGTTGTGAAGAATCATGTCCATGACCCTCTTCTTGATCTTGGGCTCGAGCGGGATCTCATCGTACTTGATCAGCTCAAAGTGCATGGGCTCGCTGGGCGACGCCTGTCTGAACCGGCACAGAGCGCAGTCGATGCCATCCATGGACGTGCCCGAGTTGAGCCCGAGGACGGTCATGTCGAGAGGTAAGGACTCCATCCCGTAGATGACGCCGTTAGCAGAACCCATGTTGATGAATTTCTCCTTTTTCCTCAGGTTTCCAAGTTTTTCTCTTTCCGTTAGTATAATGAGAGTAAGAGTTGCGTCGACTTTCTGTGTAAGACACGAGAGCGAATCTGGAGGCCCGAATCTTAGCCCAAACACCGAGAAGCCGACTGGTCTTTATCTCTCTACAGCCTCACACAGAAACCGACGATCGTTTCTCTCTCATCCAAGCTTTTCAGGAGAATGCGCTATTCCGAAGCACCCCCTCGGGAAATCAATGGCGTTTAGACGGCATGTTCTCTCGAGGATAGTAATCAGAGTCCAGACAGCATCTAAGTTGTTGTGTGCGCCAAGTTGAGCCCGAATCGAGTCCAACAGAAATGGCCACACACCCCCCCCCTTCACCCCAATGGCTATGGCCAAGTCCCCCCGTCAAAACGCTTCGCACGGCTAAACGGCCGGTTTCCAGAACTGGAAACCCTTCGGTTTGGCTGTTCTGTGGCTGCTGACTATGTCCACGACTCGTCAAAAACCTTACTGGCAAAGCCTTTTTAAACGTTTAGGCAGCTGCTTTAGCCGGGGGAGGCGTGGGAAGAAAAGAATACATACTCTGGTCAAGTCGTGTCTTTTCGCGCGTTCTCCGCCGCCCTCGTCTCAGCTTTTCAAAACAACCCCCCCGGGAACCAAGCTTCGAGCCGTTCCCCAAGTTGCCCTCGGGGGCAGCGCGTATTTTTGAGGGCTCCATCTTTTGCGCTCTTCGTCGCGAGGCTAAAGCAGCTGCGGGTTCCGGGGGCTAGGAACGGGCAGCCCGGGGAGGGGGAGGGACCCCTCGATCCGTGCCTCGTGGTTCGTGATGGGACCGAGAGAAGAACCCTGACAAGCAGCAGAGACGACGGACTGGAAGAGAGAGGGAGAGCACAGTGGGAAAAGCGGACAGCAAAGGGCTGCCGTTTGGCGACCAACACTGGAAGACACACGCAGGCAAAAGGTAGCACTCGCTTCGACTTCTCTTTTCACGACACATCGACCACGCCATGATGAAAGGGCCTGGCTGGCCTGGGGTTGGCAAGGCCGTATTATCTATCACTTTCTCTTGGCTCCCTTGCTCTTTTCAGAGACCGCCTTTCCATTCAGTCTTATTCCCTCTTATTACGCGGTCGCGTCCCCCAAAACTCTCCCCGTCTCCGATTTTTTTTTCCTTTTCTTTTTTTTTTAACCCCTTGATCTTTAGTGTCCAAGCTTTCCGAGGAGCCCAGATCGACGACTTGCCACAACTGCCGGCGCTGGCTTATACTCGGACCACCACTTACAAACAGTTACGAAGCACGGGCAGTAGAGACTAAATATCAAACGGCTGATATTCACCCCCTTCGGCTGGGAAATACCGTCGCTTCGATGGCGGGTCTGCAAATTTGGCGCCATGTCCCGGGAAAGGTGCTGTTGTTCCTAATCAACCTGGTGGCGGCCACGGCCCTGATTTTCGAAGGTACGAAAAGCCTCCTCCTGCTACTAGTGAAGCTTCCGTATGGAGCTGTTGGCTTTGTTACTATCCTTATTTCCCCGTCTGCCGAGTTTCCCCTTACGAGGCTAGTTTCTTCAGGGTCGTATGTACGAGTATATTGCCATTCGGTGCTAATGAAACATGTTGGACGATGAAAAGGCTACAATCAGGGTGTCCTTGGGACCGTTAGCGCGACGCCAGGCTTCATCAAGATGGCAGATATCGGCCACGACGGGGTCGTCACCAACACCACTAAACAAGGCGGGCTTGCCGCAGCTTATTACTTTGGGGGGATGTGGGGATGCTTCATCGGCGGTACGCGAACAATCCCTTCCCAGAGACGAGAGACAAGTCAAAGAGAAAAGAGAGAGGAGGAGGAGAGAGTGGTGTGTCGTCGTGTAATATTGTACTAAAACATCATGTCCCATGTCCAGGATGGGTGGGCGACAGAATCGGCCGCAAGGGCGGCGTCCTCATCGGCACCGCCTTTGGCATCCTCGGCGCGGGCCTCATGGCCGGCAGCACAAACGCCAGCATGTTCATCTGTGCGCGTGTCATTGCGGGCATCGGCATCGGCTTCATGAACGCAATCATCCTGCCGTGGGTCAGCGAGCTATCCCAGTCGCACGACCGCGGCTCCAGCTTCTCCCTGGTCTTCGTCGCCAACTACCTCGGCATCGTCATCGCTTACTGGATCAATTTCGGCATCCGCAACTCCAACGTCGAGTTTCGCTGGCGCTTCCCTCTGGCATGGATGGTGATTCCCCTCCTGGTCGTCGACGTGGCGGTGCCGCTGCTGCCCGAGTCTCCTAGGTGAGTTTCCATATACCTGGCATCCCCGTCCCATCTTCCGCCTCGTTTGCTTTGCTGGATGGCCCTCTCCCTTCTTTTTCCCTCTCGACGGGTAGTATGAGTATGAGAAATAAGGTCATTAACATGAGCCCTTCTTCCAACGCAGATGGCTCATCGCCAACGGCCGCCGTCAAGAAGCCATTGACATCCTCTGCAAGCTCCGCGGCGACCTAGCCCCCAACGACCCCATCATCACCAAGGAAGTCGAGCTCCTCGACGCCATCGTCGAAGCCAACCACCACAAGCGCAACGACCTCGCCAACATCGTCCTCGGCGGCCGCTTCTCCGGCAAGCTGCACCTCGGCCGCCGCGCCGTCCTCGGCTTCGCCCTGCAATGGATCCAGCAGTGGACCGGCATCCTCGCCATCGTCGGCTGGGCCGGCGTCCTCTTCGAGCTCGCCGGCTTCGACTCCTACAAGGCCCTCTGGCTCGCGGGGCTGGCCAACACCTTTGGCGTGCCGGGCACGGCTGCCGCGGCCTTTGTCATTGACCGGATGGGACGCGTAAAGTCGCTGATCACCTCCTTTTGCATCCAGGGAGTCTGCCTCTTCTTGGTGGCCGCCTTGATCAAGACTTCGCAGGACAATGCCGTTTCGGATCCGGAGCTGTCGCAGCGCCTGGGAACGGCGGCGGCAAGCTTTGTATTCATTTACGTCTGGTAAGCTCTTTTTCTCCAAGTGTTAAACCATGTCAATTAGAAAGCGCGACATTAATCAAATATACAGGTTCTTCACCATGTTCAACATCATCCCCTGCTGGATCTACGGCACCGAAATCTGGCCCCAGGAAGTCCGCGCAAAGGGCTACAGCTTCACCATCTTCGGCTGGGCCACCGGCTGCGGCTCCACCACCCTCATCATGCCCATCTTCCTCAGCAGAACCGGCTACGGCACCTATCTCTTCTTCGGCGCCATGAACGTCGTCGTCGCCCCCCTGGTCTGGTTCTTCTTCCCGGAGCTCGCCAACCGCACCCTCGAGGAGATTTCGCTCCTCTTCACCAGCGACAGCGTGCTGGCCAGCGAGAACATGAAGGAATACAACCGTCGCGTGGCCGAGGCGGGGGGCAACATTGCCGTGGCGGCCAGGCAGCTCCTGGACGAGGTGGACGGCAAGGACGCGGAGAGCGGTACGGAAATCGGAAGCCCTGATGAGAAGAGAGTCGAGGTCAATCACGACGCGACCATGTAAAATTTTGTTGACAGATATTAGCCCTTGATTTGGAACGTACAGGGGTCTTTGATCGGAATAATAAGCCTCATGATTGATGAGCCATTTGAGAGAGAAATAGGATTCCATATTTCCTTTTTGCTTCTTCATATTCTTCTTCTTCGTCATCATATTCTTCTTTTTCCAGTTCAAGTCCACACTGAACCAAAATCAAAGTTCCACGTCAGATCGCCTAACAAGTCTGGGGGCACTTGGAACGACCAGTCGCCCGGCGCCACTTCTGGGTTGTTAACTTGAGGCTGCTCATAAGCATGCCCAGCACCCCTAGCACCGTCGACCGGCACTACTTGTGGCACCGTGGTGCTCACCGGAGTTTCCTCGATGGTTGGCCTCGACTGTTGCCGCTGGGCAGACATATACTCGTCAATGCGGGCTACCTGGGACCGAAGCTTCTCGCTCGCACTCGAACTACGGTGTATCGTCTCGAGGTTCTCAAGGAGCCTCGCCATCGCCAGCATGACGGACCTCACCCGGCTGTACTCGGCCTCGCTGAGAGGCTCTTCAAACACGGAGCCGAGGATGGCGCCTATCCCTCCCAGGTGGTGCAGCAGCGGCTTGCTGATGGTCAGGCAGTACTGCACGGGAATGGAGTTGAACGCATCCACGACGTCAGCGGCAATGTCGCAGCGTTCTGCTATGCTTGCACCTCCAGCAGCAAATAGTGTGATGCGCAGAAGCTGGAGGCTGGCAGTGATGTTGGCTGCCTGAAAGCCAAATAGGTCTTGCTTCTGGTTAAAGGCCATCTTGGGCGTTTTCCTAAAACACTCGGGAAGGTTCAAGTACATGCGGAGCACCTTGTCGCGGACAGACGTCCCCGTCACTGTGGACTGGTCGTCGATGATTTCCGACATGAACGACCGCCTCCGCTCCCTGAAGCGTGCCAGAGCGTGCTCCAAGACTCTGTAGAGATCAGTGATGAAGTTCCAGCCGGACAGCCAGCAGTCGGACTGCGCGGTCAGGACGAGGCGAGCGATGGGAGGGCTCAGCCCGCTAGGCGAAAGGCCTGGCCGCGCAATGCCCCCGTCGCTGATGTACTGGTCATCTACCTCGGCAGGATAGGCGACATTTGCCTGCTGCTCCCGCGAGCGGATGACACCGCTCCAGACCACAGATGTGAAAATGTCCAGGGTATAGATCGACCAAAACTGTGTGTATAATTCCGCGCCAGGGCCGCAAGATTAGCTGAGCGTGCTCCATCATGCTGTACGTATGTAAATCCGGTAAAAGGAAAAATGGGAAAACGCTTACCATTCTTCTTCTCTCTTCCCTTTCAATAATGCCGATGCCAGAGGGCCAGTTTGCCTCGTCGTGGAGACCGTCCATGGCCATGAGCGTATGGTAGATGCCGAGATGGTAATGCATATCCCGGACCTTGCCGTTCTGAATGGCCGCGATGGCCACAATGGCATGGGCGCGGAGGATGTTGAAATCGGAGTTCTCCATGCTCAACTCCAGCAGCTGCCTCCGGGCCTCGGCGTAGAACGTGTCCGGCAGCGTCTCCCTCTGAAGTGCCTGGACGTCCCACCGCGGGTTCATGACGGAGCCATCCCGCACCCGGCCGCCCACCAAGGCACAGACGGCCATGGTGGTGGCAAAGAGCGGCTGGTTGGTGTTGTACTCGGCCCTCGAGATCTTGCGGGTGAAGGAGGGCTGGTGGAAGAAGGGGAAGATGGGGTAGACCATCTCAAAGTACAGCTCGACGAGGTCGACGACGGTGGCCTGGCTGACGATGTACGGCGCGCGCCAGGCGGCGACCGACGACTGCGGCGAGGCATTGGCATTGGGGCCCGGGTGCTGGATCTCGGGGATGATGCGCAGGTCGCCTGCCTGCGAGGGCGATCGCGACGACTCGGCATCTGGCAAGCCCTCCACCGCATGTCGATTGGCCGAGGCTCCCCCACTGCCGCGGGCGGGGACTCCTCGCCGACGCGGCTTCCGGTGGTAAGTACACGTCTGGGCAAAGTCTCTGCAGTTCTGGCAGCCCGTGCCGTCCTCGGCCGGGCGGCAGCGGATGCTGCGGCGGTGGCAGTAGTCGCAGGCCCGCGAGATGCGGCGCTGCTTGGGCTTGGGGATGTCGCGCGGGCTCTGGTCCGACATGATTCAGGCGCGGGCTCAGGCTCATCAGACGCGTGGGCACCGAGCCATTCGCTTTCGTGTCAGGAGGAGCCTAAACGGCCAAAGACCCATGTCCCCCTCCTCTCTCACGCGATCTAGTGCAGAGCTATAGCGGATGTCTATCTGCAGACGCCGGGCTGGCACTGGAAGGGGGGAAACGGTGAGACAGGCGGTTGCTGGCGATGCTTCGGTCGGGCGGGCGTGTCGCTGCGGCGGGCTGTGCGCGGGTGGCGTTTCCCGAGGGCGGCTGCACGGCGGCTTGCAGATGCATACAGAGGCTGAGGGCAGCGAGGCAGAGGGCGAGAGGGAGGGAGAATGCTGAGAGACACGCATCCACGAAGCAGCAGGAAGACGACGAGCGCACCGTGCGGGCTGCGCGCGCGCCCGCGGCGCCTGCACGGTACGGCACTCGATGCTCCGCAGGCATCGCTACAGTGTGCACGCAGGCTCCGCACTACCACGTCGCAGTGCAGGGTGTCCCGATCCGGCCTCCTATTGCAACCTCACCGGCCTTCTTTCGAGCGTTTTCTTTCTTTTTTTGTCTGTTCTTCAATGCCCGGCCGCAGTTGTGCGCCAAGGGCCGCATGATTGGGTGTTCTCGAATAGGCAAATCTCGTTTGAGTTTCAGTGCGTAATATTTCCCATTCTGACCCCCGATGATATTACGAGTAGAGGGTGAAAAAGCAGCAGTACCTTATCATACAAAATAATGCCCAATTGTCCAAACCCCAGGAACTCCTTTCGTTACCTTGATAGCCGCCCAGTCGAGCCAGCAGATGATGGTTGATGCAGTTCTCATGACGGCATTCATGCAGTATTGGATCGGACCCAGCTCCGTTGACGATGTTGCAGCGGCACGGAGTACGGATTAGCAAGTAGCGATTGAATCCCGTCAGCAGCCACAGGTACTGGAGACTCCGTACTGCCACCGACCGGCACTCGCTCTTACAACCCTGGCAGGTACACAGAACTTGCCCCTACGACCGTCCTTTAACAGCAGCCAGGATCCTTCCCTCAAATCTCAGGCAAACACCCTCAAGCCTCTCCCCGCTCAACCTCAAACAGCTGGGGCACGACATCTTTGAGGCTCTCCTCCAAGCTCCGCCACTGGACGCCCAGAACCCGCTCCGCTTCGGCACTGCTGACGCCAAAGTGCGTGTGCGAGTCTCGCTTGCCCGGCTCGCCGATCGGGATTCGATCCGCGTACTTGGGCAGCGCACGCCGGCTCACGTCGCACAGCTCCTGGTTGCAGTAGACGCCGCTGGCCAGCAAGAAGCGACTGCCGCCGGCCTCGACGACCTGGAGCGCCTTGACGTGCGCATCGGCAACGTCGCGGACATCGACCCAGACGGGCCCCCGAGTGGGCGGCACCGGCGCGTCTCGACCTGCTGAGACGGCGGCCCAGACGAGCTGGTTGCTGGTGTTGACGCCGGCAATCGTCGTGGGCTTGGCCTCGGGCAGGAACGGGCCAAAGACCATGCCAGGACACAGGCTGACGAGGTCGAATCCGAGCACTTGGCTCTCCATGAACTTCCAGGCGGCCTTCTCTGCTGCCGCCTTGCTCGCTCGGTATGCCAAGGGGGCGTTGTCTGCCTTGACTCCGTCTTCGTATGTCAGCGGGCTCCAGTCCTTGTCGCTGTAAGTCTTTTCGGGGCTGAGGCCGGCCGATGCGTCGTATATGGAGGCGAAGCTGTTCGTTTGGACGACTCTCCGGATGCTCTTGATCTGCGCGGCAGCCTCCAGGATGGCCGTCGATCCTTGCACCGCGGGGATCATCATCTCTCGTTCAAAGTCGGTTGCCTTATAGTGGAATGGTGCAGCCAGGTGAAGAACTGCGGCCGGTGATAGGGGGCCAATGATGTCGAGGTAGTTCTGAGCGTTTGTGATATCCTCGATGACAACCACCTCCAGCCCGGGGTGCTCTTTGTGTGCCTTCTTCACCGCAGCAACCTTGTCCTGGTTCCTGACGGTTCCAACTACACGATAGCCCTCTCGGAGGAGTGCGGCGACGCAATGTTGTGCAATGAATCCGTTGGCGCCTGTGACGACGACCAGTGCCGGCGGCTCAATGCCAGACGCAAGTAATGAAGGCATTTTGTGTGATAAGAGGAAAAAAGGTATGATGCGGCAATGTTGTGGCAACCAGAGGAGTTGAGGGGGTCAGAGATAGACGAGTCGTCTTTCTGTAGGCCTGGACTGCTTGCTGGTATTAACTCTCGATTCGGAACACCGGGAGGCCATCGTTATGTATTCGATTTCCATCGGGCATCTACCGACGGGTCGTCCTATCAACGAATCTCCACGGAGCAAAGAAGAAAAGCAGCGGCCTAAGCGCTCACGCCAGCGGAGCATCACGGCAGCCTCATGACCGCATCCTCGTGTACTCTGGTCTTGTACGCTCTTTACGAATCTACGCAGAGAGGCGACACGAGTGATAGATCAGCGTCGGCCTTACACGCCGTCGGGCGACTGACTGCGCGACACGGTGCTGCATAGCGTGCGCCGACCCGACCCCTGCAGCCGTCGCAAAGCTCTCTTGCGAGCAAGCAGGAGCTTTTGCGCCTTTGCAGCCCTCCGAGGTGGGGCAGAGAGGAGAGACAGAGCCGGCTTCCGGCCCCGGCGACTTCGCCGAGCACACCGGTGTATGTAAGATCATGCAGACTCGTTGAGCGGAATGTGGGTTGGACATGAATTCGTGCGAGCCTGGTAGGTTACTGACTGGTGTTCTACGAGTACTAGGTAGCACGAGCTGAGGCGACGATGGCTCCTGTCACTGCGGTGTTAGCGATACACAGCGTATAGGGTAATGAACCGTCCATGTTGTATCACCACGCTCTATTGGCATCGATGTTGTGCCATTGTCCCTGAAGAGTCATCTCAGAGGAATCTGCATAAGCCATTGAAGCTTCGTTTATTCTTCATGCTGGATCCGCGGGTTGCGTATTGTGTGTATGACTCCATGTTTGCTACGAGAGCATAACGATTCATTCATTCCCCGCACAGAGCATATCACAACCTCTGTCAGACTAGCAAGGTCAGAGCCTGTTGCCTTCCATCCAACTCGGCCCCTCTGGGTTATTCGATTCGACGCCACAGAGTTATCATGATGAGTCGACACCGCTCTTTACTTGGCTCCCTTTCTGACAGAGTGGCTGCCTTGTTGGAATGCGTCTTGTCGGCTTCGACCAGCAGGCCGCGCGACGCCACAGCCGATAGCTCTCTAGCCGTGAATGACAGGTTGCAGCCATCAATCTTTCTGCTCTGCAGACTCGCTGACCTGACGAGACAAAGAGGTTGAGTGGTAGATCATCGAGAGTAACAGTGGGCATGGCCGTCGCAAATTCAGATGCTCAAGCCGCGCCGCGGAGTCGCACCAGCGCCGATGAAACGCCTTTTTCAATCCAATGTCATGATCGATTATGGAGCAAAGCGTCGCGGTCCATCAACCTGTGCCGTCCTCGAATCAGCGGACAATTGATGGTTGATGAGTGGCACATGCGCATATGACAGGTGGGGGAGAGGAGCAGCCGTCGGTAGTTGCGATGCGGCAAGTCTGCATGGTTCGCTTCATACCGGTACATTCTGTCCATCCGCGAGAGGAGCATCATGTATGTTATGGAGCACGAGCTGGAGCCGCAAGCCCGCAATACTCTACCAGGAGGCAATCAGCGATGCATTGCGCATGATTCTAGACGGTCAACCACAGCATCAAGCATGAAAACACTGCTCCCACAAGCAGTATCAAGACTGCTAGCGGCCCATGCAACCGCGAGCTGTCCAGTATCACGGAGTGGTCGATATCAGCCCTGCTGTGATACAAGTCACACCGAGCCCCTAGCAGGCTGTCCAACTGGGAATAACGGGCTATGATTCGATGCCGTGCTTCGGGCTGACGTTTCAGTTGAGCTATTCCTAGATGGCTCACACTCCGTATCCGCGGCCCATAGGACGACTGGGGTCGGCCATATCGCATGTCAACTGCGGTTACTATGGAGCAGTCCTTGATCCAGCTTCATCATGGTGATTCGCGCGAGCAAGCTTGTGCGGCTTATGGAGCTACGTGTCAAGCATGAGGACAGTTTCGATCCGCCTGTCCATCTGCCGCTCCTAGTACTTCTTACTATCGCTTGACTCCCGAACCATAATCACTCTCTATCCGCGGGTGAACGATGGGACTGACATGCTGTCCGTTACGTACGGAGCACATGTCTCGCAACCACTAACGCCTGGGAAGTCAAGCACGTTCTGCGTACTTCCAGCATTGTCTTGATTATACGAAATATTCTCCGAAGACAGACAGACATCCATACATAGGTATGCAAGTCCAATGTGTGTTTTGTACTCAAGGAACGCGTATAGATACCTAGTGTTCCATGTCTCTTTCTGTTACATGATGATATCAAGGACGAAAACGTCCGTGTGGGGAAAAAGACCATGGCAGCAACGCTGCAGGAGGTAGTAGTATCGGTAAGTATTCTGGGGCTGTCTACCCCTTTTTCTTGAACAGGAACTGACTGTGGAATAAATTGGGGACCGAAAAGACTGGATTGTATAATACAAAAGTTGACATAACTGACAAAAAGCTAGGTGAAATAGATTAAGACTGCCTCTGGTATCTCTATGCTTCATCTTGTAAGAACTTGACACCCATAGACAGAAAAAGGACCACTTTTGGAAAGAATTCATATCGCACACTAACACGAAGGAAAAGGCCACCCACACGCAGACGCACAACAGGGAAGGCATCCAGGCCCCCTGGCCCGCGCGCCCTTAGTATACATATTGGAAGGTCGGGTTTGTAAGGTCCGTCTGGTCGTCGTCGACCGCCTTGGCATCAATCTCGCCTCGCCGGATGGCCTCCAGCTCCGCTTGGCGGGCCGCGGCCGTCTTCGCATTTCGCATGCCATAGAGAATTCTCAGCAGGATGGTAACGACGATGGATGCGCCGGCAACGCCCAGAACGGTGATCTTGGCGGGTAGGTACTTGGGCTTGTCCTTGTCCTGGAACGTCTGCGGGCCGATGATGTTGGCGATGGAGAAGGCAATGGCAATGATGACGTTGACCGTGACCTTCTTGGTGTATCCCTGCGTGTTGGCGCCGACCAGAGCATATATGAGAGCCAGGGGGGCCACGTCGAAGTTGATGAGGTAGACACCGGCCAGGGCGCCGGCGTTGGACTTGGCAAAGGACATGAGGCCCGCACCAATGATGGTGGGGATCAGGAGGCCGATGATGCTCAGCCAGCGAGGCAGGTTGTAGTAGATCACGTAGGTGCCGGCAAAGGTGGCGAAGATGGAGATGGCACCGGCGGGCATGTTGAGGAGCGCCGACTTCTTGGGCGTCAGGAAGATGGAGTTGATGATGGTGGCCGAGAAGGTGGTGATGATGCCGGAGGGGATGACGATGAGGATCGTGTTGAGGAACAGCAGCCACACCTGGAGATCCTTGAGGGCGTCGAGGATGCCGGACGCGCGGAAGACCTTCTTGCCGGCGCCGGCCTGGTCGCGAGCCAAGACTTCCTCGATGAGCGCCTTTTCGTCCTCGGTCAGGAAGGCCGCCTCGCGGACGCCGCTGGGCATGACGATGATGACGGCCAGGGCAACGAAGAGGTTGAAGACACCGACGGCGACAAACATGATGCGCCAGCTCTGGAAGGACGTGGTCGAGCCGTGCTGCGCCGCCCAGGAGATGAGACCGCCCATGACCTGTCCACCGCCCAGGCCGCAGTACCAGATGCCGGTGCGCAGGGTCGCTTGCTTCTTGTTGTACCACTGCGACGTGATCATGATGAGGGCGGGCGTGATGACGGCCTCGAACATGCCGAGCAGCGTCCGCACGGCGGCGGCACCGGCAAAGTTCTGCGTCGCGGCCGTGCAGCACACGACGATGCCCCAGAGCAGGACGTTGAAGCCGAGGACCTTGGACACGGGGAACTTCTGGATCAGATAGCCCTGGGGAAACTCGGCGACGGCGTAGCCGATGAAGAAGGCCGTGGCCATCCACGAGAAGTCGTTGCCGACAAAGTGCAGGTTCTTGGCGATGCCCATGATGTTGGCGTAGTTGACGATGACCTTGTCGAGGAACTGCAGGAAGTAGCAGAAGAACATGAGCGGCACGAGCCTCATGTCAATCTTCCGGTAGATGCGCTTGAGCTCTGCCGTCTTGGCCGCGGGATCGTCGAGGGACGAGCCGTGGCTCGAGGTCACCGGCGACGCGACCTTTTCGTCCATCCTGGACAAGTCGGACATGTCGAACTGGGGAGAGAAAGCAAGATGAGTTGAGGCGAGGGGAGGTCGAATTCAACAATAACGCGTTACGACGTTCAAACAATAAAGCATCAAGAATATTATGGAAGAAAAAAAGGTGCGTTCAGTTCATTGCTTATAAACAGGAAATGCCACCGCAGGCCTGGATGGTTGAAAGCGAAGGGTCGTGAACAGCCCGATGGATGGCCAAAACATCAACGCATGAAGGTTCTCCAACCAGGAACCGTCCCGGGAGAGCCTCGAACATATATCAAACATTGGCTTCCGCACCAGGACCAGGAATTAGGACGGCAAAACGTACGATTCCTTTTCCGACTGGCACTCATCGGCCCTGCTAGCAATTCGCCCGCCACACACCCTTCACACACAACCTTGTTCGGAATGGAGGAAAAAGACTCTAGTGTTGGTCGAGTGGCAGTTCTCGGCCGTTCGTTTGCATGGCGCATTCGGTTCGTTCTATTTCTTCCTTTACTTATTTCTTTCCTGCAGCGTCCTGGTGCGATGTAACCTTGGCGGACCTGGCCGGTGGGCACTAACACCGGTGCCTTGCTCGTACAAGCAGCCATCTTTCCCATTTCCTCCCTTGGCCGCAATGTCGATATCCGGTTGTGCTAACCTTTCACAGCACTATTGTGTCTCACAGGCTGCATCTATCGTACGGTGAGCTGCTTGGACGAGAGCGAGCTGCAAGGGGCCGCTGCTGTTGCAGATTGCAAGATGCACCCAATAGAGCAGCTGATGCCGGGGGCCGCAAGAGCATGAACAGCATCCATGAGCAATAAAAGTGGCCATTAGCTGTCTTCGTTCAAAAGAAAGGCACCTCTTGACCCAGCCCGGCACTTTCACAGCACTGGGTAGGCCTCAGGATATCCAAATGGGAAGGTCTCACTTTTTCGAACAGGGCCAAAACGGCCCAGCAAGTCCACACCTGAAAATCAATGCCTCTTTTTTACTACGCTCAGGTCGCTCATTACTGCCTCGGAAGATTATGATTCAAGGGTAGAGCAGCATGGAGACTGGAGTTGGCCGTTGATACCACAGCATCTGGATAGCATCTGCCGCTTCAACCATCATCTCTGTCGAATACGCTCGGGCGAGAACGTGCAATGGCCGGCTTCTGAGCTCGGCCGCATTGCCAATCTTTCTGTTTCTCTTGGCCACGGCCTTATCTTCCGATCCTGGGCATCATATTCGCTTGTACAGCATTAAATGCTGACCCGATAGGGACACATCGAGCGAGCATTCGTTTGCCTCTTCCCCAGACGCAGTCATGTCGCTAGTTTCTCGCCCTCTACGGGTTCAGAGCGCGGAGCCTGCATGTCCCTGGCGGGCGGCCTGTCTGCCGGCCTTCTGCCTCCCTAACAATGCGTTCGCTAGAGCGGTTTCTCTGTCGATACGATATGCCCATCCCCAGCTTCGCCTGTCATCGCCCAGGAACCTTGCTCAAATAATATATCGGTCGATAGTTGACATGGCATCAACAAGCTAAAACGTGCATTCCCTGGCCCTGCAACCTGGGCATTAATATAACAAAAGCGACACAAGAACCAAGCAGAAGCCTGCACTCTTCCTCTCCAGCCAATGTCGGATCGCACTCACCTCTCACCTCCCCTCCCCCCTTGTCACTCTTCTCCAGCGCAGAATCTGCGGCCGTCGGAAACCCCTGTCCCTCTTCTGCGCTGTCCCACAGCCCTCCTTGAACTAGATCCGCCGCGCTTCATCCCGCGGATCCGGACGCTCGGGTCGCTTCCGAGGCTTGCGGCGAGAACCTGAAGCCCAGCTGCCAGCTATTACGGAGTACAGAGGCAGCCAAGCCAAGTCGGGCATGAGAGGCGAAGTCGAAACCTCCAAGCACCGCCTGCAGCGATGGACCCCCTCTCTCTCGCCCCCATTTCGCTCACGATGCGATTGCGAGAGTACACTAGGGCCGCTTGGGCCGGCCGCCAGAGGCAAATCAACCGACGCCGAAGGGGGGGCCCCGATGATTAACGAGCCATCTGATCGTTGGTCGATTCCCGCTCCCCTCCTCCATGGTCCTTAATCGTGTCCCGCGAGCATTTTTAGAGAGAACGAATCATGGTGAAACCTGCACTAGGAGATCAGGAGTCCCGTGGAGTCGAATTTGGTATGACGAAGCTCTCTATCAGCGACAACTAGGAGGATTTACGAGAACCGAGAATAAGTTGTTCTGCATACGAGAATCGGGAGACGTCGAACAAAGCGAATCGATAACCGACGGCACATCGTTGCTAGGGGGGAGACTTGTCAATCTCTCAACTACCTTAGATATGAGGTGCGAAGGAGTACATACTTCCCTTGCATGAAGGCCAACGAAGTCTGGTCCAACACTCGGAGTCTTCGTCCCTCTAACTCGGATGCCATCCCGGACGAAGCACTACAACATGCAGCTTTGCCACCGTACAGTATTGCGTACGCCGTATTACTTATTGCTTGATTCGACTCAAACCGTCCCCGTGCATCCGGCAAAGCTCGCTTCTGATTTCCTCTCGGCTTACATGCTTCTCCTCTCCCCCGATCATCCTTGAAGCAAAGTGCATCGACGCCACCGTCGTAAACGCACGGCGCGCAAACTGCCTGCAACATGCTTTCCTCTTCTTACAAACCGATCCATATCATAGTACTCCGATTGCTTCTATTTTCTTCCGCCATTTCGCACAATAATATAGAGTGCTGACGCGCCAGCCCCATTTATCCCCTGACTCCAAAAACCCGTTCATCTACTTCTCCTAACAGAAGGTCAAGCACCTCCCAATGCAACGACGTAATACGAGTATTCAACTCGGCTACAACAAGTATGTTCTATCATGCGCGCATCGCAATAACATGAATACACCATCGCCAAAGCAGTACCTAAAGTAGGTACTACTTACCTAGTAGCTACGGTATATAGTAGCAAAAAGACGGCGTCGATTCCTCTTCCGACGGCCGCAACATCAAACTCCATCTATACCTACCACAATCCCACATGTTCGCGGCGGAACCGATGCGACAAACGACGGCCCGTTGCTCCGACGGCGAATCGACATGTTGCAGACTACCTAACTAACGATCTGCTATCTGTGTATTTGCAAACTAACATCACATGCAATCCTTATGGCTGCTGCTGCTGCCGCTGCTGCTCCTGCTCTATAACCACGAACACGACGAATCAAGATCTCTTATGTAAAAATATATCAAAGACACACTCGGGTTATGCTCAGTTGCTTACTTGATCACTTGGCTATATAGGTAGAACTAGAGAGTTATAAAACAAGTACAATTGACAGAGGACTTTAGAAATGCACAAGCGTTCCGCCCTGAGACGGGCACAGGCCATTCTCGTGGGGAGCAAGCAGATGCTGCTTCCCCCGTCTTGATAACTACCTACCCACTCGCGTGACCCAGATGCCCAAGATATTACCAAGATAGCTCGTTGTATTTATCAACGCACTATCCGCAGCTGTTGTTTCCTCCCAGTTATATTCCCAGTCCCTCAGGATCCTCGTCCTGTTTCTTGAATCTATCCATGTCCTCATAACCTGCTATCAAACAACAAAATTGCACAAAATTCATCATCATGCCCGCCACGACCGAATCACGTCCACCTCCCTCCTACAACATCGCCGTCGTCGGCTCAGGCCTCGGCGGCCTCTCCGCCGCCATCGCCCTCCGCCGCGCCGGCCACCGCGTCACCATCTACGAGCGGTACGACTTTGGCGGAGAGGTCGGCGCGTCACTGTCGCTCGCCTCCAACGGCTCGCGCTTCCTGCAGGAATGGCAAGTGGACATACCCTCGGCCAAGCCCGTCGTCCTGCGGAGCCTCATCATGCACGACTGGTCCTCGGGCAAAGTGTCCGCCCAGTATCCACTGGGAGACTACCGTGAGCGCTTCGGCACGGATTACAACAATTTCCACCGCATCGATCTCCATAAGCACCTAAAAGAAGTGGCGACGGCCGAAGCGGGCCAGGGCCCTCCGGCCCAGCTTAGAGTCTGGCACAAGGCAGTCAGGCTGGACCCTGGCGAGGGAAGGATAGCTTTCGAAAACGGCGCCGAGGCTGTCCATGATGTTGTCGTCTGTGCGGATGGAATCCGAAGCCAGATGAGAGAGCAGCTCGGCATCAGCCCTCAAGTCACGCCATCCACCTCTTGTTGCTACCGGTGCATCATCAGCACCGCCAAGCTCCGCGAGCTGGGCCTGCAAGAGTTCGTCGACAACAGTGCCATTGAGTTCTGGGGCGGCAAGGGCATCAACAAGATCGTCATGAGTCCATGCTCCAACCACGAGGTCGTTAGCTGCTATTGCTTCTACCCGGCCGAGATTAACAATCTCAAGGAGGACGGCTGGAATATCTCGACCACGGGCGAGAACCTGGCGGCAACGTTCCCCGACCTGGACGAGAGGCTCCGGCTCCTGTTTCTCAACGCAGAGGATATCAAGATGTGGCGCCTTTACAACCATGAGCCCTACCCGTACTGGGTGAGCGGAAGCTGCTGCCTCCTAGGGGACGCAGCCCATCCCATGATGCCCGATCAGTCTCAAGGAGCATGCATGGCTCTCGAAGATGCTGGAGCGCTCGGCATCCTCTTCTCAGCCAAGTACGCTCATCTGTCGATAGCGGAGAGGCTTCAGCTGTATGAACTGGAGCGCAAGCCGCGAGCCACGCGAGTGCAAGAGGCCAGCCGGAGAGCAAGGACAGACATTACAGAGCGCATTGGCTGGAGCAGCGCCAACGACCGGCCGGGGCAGCTGACCATTGAAGAGGTGTGTGGGTACGATATGCATTCTCACGTGGCCGAGCTGGTGGAGAGATTCCGGATCCCGGTCCTCGGATCCACGGCCAGAAGCGAGAAGCAACAGCCGTGAGTGAGGTTCGTCGTATGTGATAGTCGAGGCAATCCTACTAGAGATGACCTTGGAAGCTCCAATCTTGATGCGAGGCGGCAGTGAGTATTTAGCCTTCATGAAATGAAACGCAAGAATCATGTCTGCCGAAAAAGCCATCATGCCAAGACAAGCTCTACCTTGAAAATGAAAAAATGAGAGGCGGAATATGCTCTAGAACACAGCGAGGCCATGCATCTCCTCGTAGCGGATCCGCGCCCAGTTGACAATGGTGCCCGTGCCCTCGGTCTCATCGCGCATCCTCCACACACGCTCCACCAGTGCTCGCGCATTGTAAATGTATCCGAAGCCGCAGGTGCGCTCCATGACGAGAAGGCGGTCTTGGATGACGACGCGCTGCTCCATCGTCCAGCATGCCCCCCCGGCCATGACCAGCGGGTACATGAGGCACGGCTCCAGAGCGCTGCCGTAGCGGATCCTCTGCACCGATTTCAGGATGCCCTCGACGTTGCTGACGACTCTGGCATCGTTGAGGTCGTAGCCTTCCACAATCTGGTGCAGGCGGAGCCTGATGGCGTACTCGTAGGCCATGGTTGCGTGTAAGACATCGTCGTCAGCCACGCTGGTGGTCCAGGCGGTGGCCCCTTGCCGGCCGCCGTACTCGTACGACCAGTGGTTGATGCGCTCCTCGATTTGAGAGGCTTCCTTGCGGAAGGCGGCCTCCGAAGCGCGATCCACGCGGTTCTTGCGCTTGTCGGCCAGCGAGTTGACGACGTCAACCAAGTGGAACAGCTCCTTGGGAATGCCGTAAATGGCCGAGTCCTCGTCGTCAGGGGCGGCCGTCAACCGATCCAGCGTAGCCGCCTCCCGCTCGTCCTCGCCCATGAGCGGGGGCTTGCACGTCGACGTCGTGGCGGCAGAGTCGAGAAAGCGCGCGAGCCGCACGAGGAACTTGTTGTGGCCGTTCATGCGATCGCCCTGCTGCTGGTTCATCAAGGCCGTCAGCAGCCTCTTGGCGCCCTTGAGATGAAGCTGCCAGCCTTCGCTGGTGCCGTCGAACAGCTCCGTCATGCACAGCAACAGGCTGCTGACCAGGGCAATATCGGCGTTGGATCGGTCCACGTGAGGCAGCAACCTGGCCAGAGACTGTGTCGCCTTGCTTTGGTGATAGAGGCCCCTGTCGGCGAGCTGAGGCTGTAGCTTGCGCCAATGGTTGGCAGAGAGAGCCAGGATGCAGTGCATGACGAGGTCGTTGTCGCGAGCAATGGGCAACAGGTAGGCGTTGTACGGGTTGTTGGGCGACATGCGACGGGACAGCAGGGAAGACACAATGGTCATGTAGTGGTTGAGCAGGGCCCTGTCGTTGGAGGACGTCAGCTGCGGCAGCAACGGGGGGTTGTAGGTGGATAGAGACGACGAGGACGACATGGGCGACACGATGAGGGACTCGTGGGAGTCTGATTGGGGGCTGTTGTAGCTGATGGGCGTGATGGCGTCGTGCCAGCCGGCCGGAGACGAGCCCTGGTGGTCCCAGGCGGATCTCTCGGCGGCCAGCTCCAGCTCAAAGTCATTGCCGGATGAGGGCGATACAGGCGGCAGAACGCCAAAGTGGTGGTCCAAGGAGTAGTGGCTGGCGCCGCCGCTGCTGCTGCTACTGCTGCACGAGCTCAGGGCCGGGCTATTGCTGCCGTGAATAATGAGCTCGGTGGTGCTGTCGATGATGCCGTTGGTCATGACTGGCGCCTCCTGGATGGGTATTTCGCGAATGTCTCTGTGCGCCAAAACAGACTCGGCCGGCATCGACACCGGCATGACCGCCGCCGTCGGAACGGGAATGGGTACGGTGACCGGGACCGGGACGGGCATAGGAACAGAGCCCGCCACGGCAACCGTTGCGGTGACGGCTGTAGCTGTGGTTGTGGCTGCGGCTGCGGCTGCGGCAGAGGTAGACGCAGACGCAGACGCAGAAGCAGAGGCCGCGGACTTGTCCTTGGAGCGCTCGGGGGGCCACGCGCAGTCCAGGCACAGGCGCCTGCAGTCGCCGCATCGCGGCTTCGTCTCGTCGCACTTCTTCTTGCGGCGCTTGCACATGAGGCACCCCGTCTGCACCCGGCGGATGCGCGCCTTGGGCAGGTCGCCCGCCTGGAGGCTGGCCGCGTTGCCCGAGGCGCGTGGGCGGCAGGGCAGGCTCAGGCGGAGACATCGCGCGCAGGGCACGCTGCCGTCGCAGGCCTGCTTGATCTGGGCGCAGCGATGGCACACGGGGCGGCTGTCGGAGCCCATGGCGACGATGGTGATGGTGGTCTGGACTCTGTAGTTCTTCCTCTTCTGGCCTCTCCTGTCTTCTCTTGTCGTCCCTCTCTGTTATCTTCCTCACGCTCTCTCGCCCACAGCTTCGCTTCCACCAGATGAGCCCTCGACTCTCCCAAGCACTCCGATTTCTCCGAACCTTGCTACACGCTCTCTCACACTCACACGCTTCCTCCTCTTGCCCTCTCTCGTCCAGCCACTGGTTGGCGGTTTGGAAATGCGCGGTTGGCTGAGCTCCAGGCCCCAGTTTTTGCCGCTGTCGAAACTCGGTCCCGATCAAATGTCTGCACTGCGGGTAATGCTAAAAATAAAAAGAGAACGCCGTGGCTTTTGTGGCGGCAATAGTCAACAGTATCGACGTGTCGTTTCTCTGGTCCAAGGCCTTCTCTTTCGCTATCCGCCGGCTGCTGCTTCGCATGACGAGGTTCCAGTCGAGCCACGATAGGACAGCAAAAGGGCTTGTCGAGAACTGGGGGGACGTGGATCGGGGGGAGAAGAGCTGGAGCCCGTTTGACGAAGCAAGCTGGTTGGTCCTACAGAGAAAAGAGCGGAACGTGTATTGTAATAAGAGAGATCAGCCAGACAGGAGGAGAGAACCTGGCCTTGACCAGCCCTCAGACTCGGGAATGGGTGCAGGACCCCGGGAGATGCCTGAGTTGGCGCAGCAAAGCGTGCCGGTACTGGTACATCCTTTGAGGCCCACGGCTTGATAGTGGCGCCGATCTGGCTGCAGCGGAGGCCCTGGGGGGGCTCTTCGGTGCCTGTAGCGTCCACTCGGTGCCTGTATCCTCGAGGTTCCGTTCGTCCAGTGCCTGAGCGTTGCCTGAGACCACTGAAGGACGCGACGCTCGTGGGCGCACGCAGGTACGGGCAGGGCAGGTAATACCGAGACTGCTGACGACACAACTGCCATCAACGGGTGATTCGATCAATGCCTCCAGCTCCTTCGAATACTATAGAACCTCTCAACTCCAACAAACCCATGCAACTCCAGACTCCAGACTCCGGACAAACTCTGATGACGATGCACTAAGACGGCCGATGCTACAGTATACCTACCACCTCCCTCACCCGTCGGCCGGCAGGCGTAGGTACTGCCTCATTTGCATCTTCTGGCGAGTGACAGCCCCGAGCCCGAGCCTGATCCTGATCCTGAGAGTCGCTAGCAGGGCCGGCCAGAAGCCCCGAGGCTCAACCCCTGCAAATAAGCACCGGGACGCAAGCACCCGCTTCATGCTCGATGCAGCTCAGTCCGCTGTTTGTAAGCTCCCGTCATCAGCGGCCATGTTGACGAGACCGTGCGGAGGGTGGTGGGCAGATCGGTCAATAGGGATCAATGCCGCCATCGCCGTGTCCGAAACGAGAGGCCTTCCCTGACGGTCTTGTGTTTGCGGTGCTAGCACCAGCCTGACGGCGCATATCATGCCCGGAGATGATGGTACAAATGCTGCTGCATACCGGGCTTGCCAGGATCTCTTGGAGGTTTGCTCGATCGTCTCTCTGCCGTGCAGATCAAGAGCATCAGCCGATGGACGTGGACGTTGAAAGTAAATGTCGCGGGGCTAACATCCAGAAGGATCAGGTTCCAACTCATCACCGCTTGTACTCGCTCCAAGAAGAACCTACCGAAGCAAAGGGGGGGTCGGTCAGCACACATACCAACGACATATACAGCGCCGGGCCTGGCTGCATGCACTTCGACCAAGTCCAGGCATGGGTTGGAAGGTACGTAGTCTAGTATGGGGTCTCTCAACACACTGATCCCGTCGATTTGGGTCTGACAGGATAGGAGGGCTGCGATGCGATGCGATGTGATGCCCATATGCGCGAGCAGGTACCTTGCCGTAGGCGAGGGTGATGCCCGCATACCAAGTACCTTCACCCACATCATTATCTGAGGTACGGAGCACCCCGTATCCCCATCAACACCAAGAGCCAAGCAGAGCGGCGATGGAGGACCTGTTGGTTCGGACACGAGCAAGCACCTGCACCTCCAGACGGGACAGGTTACATGCCACATGCAGCTTAGCTCTTGTGTTGCCATGTACGATACGGCCGGGGAGCAGACAAAGGGGGGCCGGGTCAAGCTACTACGTATCGTACTTGGCCCTGCTCCCAAGCCCCGGTTTCGTTGTGCTGGCTCCTTTGCTTGGGGCTCATTGCCGAGCAGGATCCGTGATGCTCTTCATCTGCACCGTTCTTGTACCCGTGATCTCTGCAGCGTTCAAGTACTGGTACTTGGCGAAATGGTAGTTGACCTTTGTGTGTTATTAGCCGCCTAGCTAACTCGAAGTCATCGCAGTGATTTCAACCACCTGCTCGCTAATCAAGACTGCATAAGGTCTATTTGGGACCCCTTCGAATTACCAAAACGCAAATTCCTTTTCCTGGTCCCTATATTACATGTACACGGTCAGTCCATCGGTGGCTGCTGATTTCAAAGCCTGCACGACCAGCCAATGTCTCTCCTGTCGGGGCGGAGCATGTGAGTGAAACATTGCTGCAGCGTCTATCACTTAGAGGCAATCACTGGTTGGAATAGCGAACATGTACCACTACTAGATAAAGCCGAGACTCGAACAGGGATATTCGCAGCCGTACGTGCGGCACACTGCATCTTCAACCAGCTCTTTGCCGTCTGCTGTTCCGTTTGCCTCAGCACTACGACCTCTCTTCTTCGCAGCAAACAGAACAACGCGCTCGCTAAAAAGGAACCCGGCCGTCATCTATAATCTACCTCGCGCTCTTATCTCCTCTCCCCGAGCTCCTCCTCCTCCTCTGCATGATGCGCCACTCCAAAGCAAGACAAACGCCTTGGTGCTACGCCTAAAGAAGGACCCAGTGATGCGCTAGATCCACGATATCCAGCCTGGCCGCCCTTGTCTCAATGGGCCAGAACCCTTGTCAAGGACCGTCAGAAGAGATTTGAGCGGCCGGGAGGGGCCTTGTCAGCCTGTGTCTGGGGCAGGCACCTTTAGCTGTGTGGATCAAGAGCACGAGTACAACACTAGCAGCGAGGCAGCGTTTTTTCAGCAGGTATGTGCGAACATAGAGAAGAGCATATACGTACAGTATGTCAAGCACGAGAAAATCAACAGAGAGAACGGTCTTGTTCCTGGCGTTAGCCATGGACAGCCCCGATGCTCCATCTTACAAGCACTGCACACACAGATAAACCCGGCGTGGCATTCAACCCTCCCCTACGGGCCCTGCCAATCTGTCACGAAAGCGTATCTGGTCGCATGAATCGCGCACCTGTTTGTTTGTGTTCTGGTCGGAATCGTCAATCGTGACACGGCATGACATTTGCAAGCAGCGAGCCGGTGCCTGTCAACGCCAAGGATCAGCACGGCAAATCATGATCTGTCACCACCATCCACGCAGTTGCTCGCCAAGCATGCCTGTATCAACCCTCACAGGTACTGGTACCTTGTGCGGATAGAAGGGAAAGGAAGCAGGAAAGAAGACAGAAACCGCACGACAAGGCCCGCCCCCTTGCTCGGCTCATCTCGCTCCGTAAGGGATCCTGATCCTAAAGTGGGCAGGTGGATGTCTTCTGTCTGAGATCACGGATTCGAAGGGACCGTGAGGGCCTTGCCACCTTACACCCAGAAAGCCGTCTGTTTTTTTTTTCTCCTCATGGGCGAAAAGATGCCCTCCCGTTTGTCTTGACAAATGGCAGATTGGGAGCCTTGTGCGTTCGATGCCTCTTCTTGCTGTTGCTGTTGTGTTGCTGCTATCTGCGTTACATGTATGTGCGCAGCGCTGGACTTGTTGGTTTTGATGAGGATGGCCCGTTTAAGAGTATCGTGGGTGGCACGACGAGCGGCACAAGCACCCGATTCGGCTCTTTCTTTTGACACATGTCAGCTCAGAGCTTTCTTGATGGAACCATTGCGGACAAGGAGAGAAGGCACTGGATCCATGTGAGTGGTGTGTGTGTGTGTGAGACTCGTCCTGCAAAATGCCCTACCAACACAGAATGCTACGAAGCACAGCAGTCAACCTGTTGGTTGAATTAGAGGTCAATGGGCTTTCCGTCTTCCCACCAGTGCTAATGCGATGCAACGGGAATTCTGGAGAGTGGAAACATTTTTGCACATGTACACTGAGCTGGAGAAATACATACTACCTGGCTAACAGTACGAGTACGTGCGAGTCCTGAGGCTCTGACAATTCGAAGCATGTTGGTGGTACAGTATTCCTCCTCAGTTGATGATTCCCCGTTGACAGAAGTTGTCAACTAAAAAGAGCTTCTATTCCCTTGCCGTCGATCATGATGCGTACCGTGGCAGCAGGTACATGTTGTCGCGGTGATGATACATGTCCGTCAGGGCATCCAAGCATCAAGATACAGCATCATGGTGGAAAATGGCCAGCTGGCAAACAAGAAGAGAGCGGTACACGATTGCGTCGTCAGCTCCCGCCATTGCAACCCCGGCCTCCAGCATCCAACACCCAACACGGCCAACATGCCGGAAGAATGCTGCTGCCAAGTCGTTGGACAGCTGCAGCAGAGCAGCACTCAAGCTTAACGAACTCCATCTCGTGCATGTATGTACAGCATCAGCAACACCAACGCCCTCTGATTCTCCGAGACCATGCAGCAGCCCGTCCCTCCCCCTTCTCTCTTCTCCTCCTCCCCTTTCACGAGTCATAGTGCGCCAGCCGAATGTGCCTGGCGGTGGTATCGATACACTCTCTGGCCTGCGGCAGCACCGCGTCCATATGCATGAACGGGTGCGGCACACCGAAGAAGCGCCGCTGCGTCACCTCGACGCCGTTCTCGATCAGCAGCTGGGCGTACCGCTCGCCTTCGTCCCTCAGCGGATCGGCGCTGGCCGTGTAGACGACCGTGGGCGGGAGCCCCTTGAAGTTGGGCGCCTTGAGCAGGTTCAAGAACCAGCCTACGCGCTCCTTGGCCGCCGGCTCATCGGGCACCGACGACCGCTTGAGCTTGTCGAACCAGGTCAGCCGCGCCCAGTTGAGCGTCGGCGCAAACTCGTTCTCCTGCATCGACGGGAAGGGCGAGTCGGCGGCCGACGCATACTGCGAGAGGTCGTCAATGACGGGGGCACACACGGCCACCAGCCGCAGCGGGATGCCGGCGTCGCGCGCCAGGTGCGCCACGGCCAGTGCGATGGCGCCGCCGGCGGACACGCCGCCCACGGAGATGCTGTCCGGCAGGACGTTGAAGCGCGCGGCGCCGTGCTCGCGGATGTGCTGGACGGCCGCGAAGCTGTCGGTGATGCCCGTGGGAAAGGGGGACTCGGGCACCAGGCGGTAGGCCACGTCAATGACGGCCACGTTGGCCTTCTTGCAGTAGTGCCTGCAGATGTGGCTCTCCGAGTCGAGGTCGCCGAGACCCCAGCCGCCGCCGTGGAAGTCGACGTGCACCGGCCACGGGCCTGGCCGCTCAGGCTCGTAGACGCGCACCGGCAGCTGCGTGCCGTCGGCGAGCGGGATCACGTCGTCGTAGACGCGGCCGACTTCGGGCGCCGGGGCCGTGCCGTAGCTGTAGAGCACCGAGTAGCCTTTCCGGAGCTGCTCCAGGTTGATGGGCTTGGGCGGCTTGGTGGCCACGTTGTCGTTGTAGAGCTTCACAAAGGCGGGATCCAGCTTGCCCTCCATGGAGGGGTGTAGGGGCTGGAGGGCCTCGTGCTTTTCGGAGGACATGGTGGCGGTGCGTCTGGTTCCTAGCTGTTTCTCTCTACCTTAATTGTTTATGCCCTGAATGATTTGAGGAAGTAGGAGCGGACTGGAGGATGGGAGGGGGGACGAGATGAGAAGAGAGCAGGCAGTGCTCTACTCTGTATAATCGTGGAGCTGCCCTTCTGTTAAAGCTTCCGTCGCTCGTCGTCAAAGGCTTGATGGAGCTCCGAATCACAAGCCCCTCGTCAGTCCCCGCGTCACTTGGCACTCGGAGTTTATTAATTCAGAAGCCTACCTGAATGCTCCGTACCTTGTTATAGGCTATCCGTCAATTCGCAAAAACTGCCCCATCAAAGGCCGGGGGATGCCGGATGCCCTTTTGACGCATCGTTCGGATCTCGATCCGCCGGCGCTCGATCCGCGGTTTCACGCCGCGCATTTTCAGAGTTCACAGACCTCGAGCTGCAACCTGCATGCGTGAGGGCCAAATACTAATACTAATACTAGTACTAGTAAACAGAATAGATTAGGTAGCGGGCCCGAGTACCACTTTTGTGATTATTCCCACTTTATGGGGATCAAAGTCTAGTTGGGCGGCAAGTTGTTGCTGGTAGATGGCATTGTAGACGGGATGTGGGCGATATACGCTGACGGTAAGATATGTTCATGTTCTGATACAGTGCACTGAAGTATCAGTTGCATAAACACTTGGAGAGTGAGTAAACATAGAGTTTGATGCCGATAAAACGAATCAGACTTATATCATATTGCGAGACGAATGTCGCAATTCGAAGTAAAGTTAAACTAATCACCAACTTCTCTACGACGCTTATTTGCTTTGTTCCGTAAGGTAATCTTCAGCCACTGAAGATTATACTGTTCAGTCAACCACTGATCGACAATTCCTTCTGTCTGCACCGCAGACTTGAATGCTTCTAGCTTCATGTCGGTATTTGCGCGATTTTCCTAAGGGCACTTGAAGTAGCAAGATGCTGCTGGCACACATAGACTGCAGTTCACCACAACCAACGAGATCCGCGGCGCGCTTCAGCATCCGCCACCAACAGCTTCGACAACCTGCGCGGCTAACAGAACTTCAACCATCCATTATAATCTTTGACAAAACAAAATAAGCAAAAGGCTAAACTAACACCATAGCTAGAAAAATAGAGAACGCCAGTGGTTGGGTAGATGGTCAACCAGCGGTTGGCGGCACTTGCTGTTCGCCCACGCCACGATCCGGCATCGTCTCAGTACAAGGACCATCAGGCGATCTGTTCCGCGCTCTCATGACGGCAACACGGCATTTCGTGTTTGCTCATCTCATTCAATAAACCATCTCTCCATTTTCAGTTGCAAAGATTTTCAGAACCCGGCTCTCAAGCGGCCATCGGATGGCGACGATTGGTCCCACAGCTGGTTCGATATGGACATGTGTGTAAAATCCGAGTTTCCATCCTCGGTGATCTCATCCAATGCATCGTGCTACTTTGGGCTTCAGGGCTAGGGAGAACCCGTGGAGAAGGACCCGAACCCCTGGAGGCCCTCTGAACGAATCCCAGCACCGGAGTGACCAGACAACTGGAACGCGCACAGCACGAGAGCAAACATTAGCATAAGGTAGCCTAAGGTAAGGTAGGGTGGCTCCAGCATGAGGCCATGAGGGGCACCAGGCACAAGGCACAAGGCAAACTTCCCAAGGTTACGTCCAGAATATTCTTGAAAGAAGCGCAGCCACAGAAACCGATTCGATAAGAAGAAGCTCAAGACAGGAGGAAGAAGAGGAAGCAGAATTCCAAAGGGTTGGCTTGTCGTCTGCTCAACCAGTTCATCATGACCGTCAACGAGAAGCCCGTATTAATCATCGGCGCCGGCGTCGTGGGATTGACGCTGGCCCACGGCCTCAAGAAGGTATGAAGTTGTGAACAAACCCCCCCGTCATCGATGACAACTTGCGCTCTCGCGTCAGTCTCTTCTATGTTTCTTTTGATTACAACACAGGATCCCAGTCTCTAAAAGCAATCTTACAGGCCAACATACCCTTTGAAATCTACGAGCGCGACCAAGACATCGATGCCCGCGGCCAGGGATACGCCATCACCCTGCACTGGGTGCTGCGCTTCCTCCGCGACATGCTCGACGAGGAGACCTTGGCTGCCATAGACGGCGTCCAGGTCGACCCGGAGGTCGGCCGCAACGACAACGGCAACTTCATGTTCATCAACCTCAAGACGCTGGAGACCAAGTTCCGCATCCCGCCCAACCTGCGCCGCCGCGTCAACCGCGAGAAGCTGCGCAAGGTGCTCCTCCGGGGCGTCGCCGACCACGTCCGCTGGGGCAAGAAGCTGGCGGACATTCGCGTGTCCGGAGACGACGACGACGACGACGATCACGACAACGGCGGCGTCACGGCCACCTTTGCCGACGGCTCCTCGGCCACCGGCAGGATGCTCGTCGGCGCAGAGGGCAGCAACTCGCAGACGAGGCGGTTCCTCGTGCCCGACGCCTACCGCAACTACCTGCTGCCCGTCAAGATGATCGGCGCGTCCGCCGACTTCACACCTGACCAGGTCGCGCCGCTGCGCCGCATCGACCCGCTGCTCTTCCAGGGCTGCCACCCGGACACCGGCGTCTTCCTCTGGATCTCCATGCTCGAGACGCCCGAGGCCAACGGCACCGCGGGGACCCCCGCCGAGCGCTACCGCGTGCAGGTCATGCTCTCGTGGCTGGACAAGGACCGGGACGAGGCCGTTCCCGAGTCGAACCAGGAGCGCGTCGCCCTGATGAAGCGCCTGGCCGCGGGCTTCCACCCGGACCTGCACGGCGTCATCCAGGCCATTCCCGAGTCCTCGCCCACGCTGCACCTCGTTCTGCAGGACTGGCCGTGTCAGGACTGGGACAACCGCGACGGCAGGGTGACTCTCGCTGGTGATGCGGCGCACGCCATGGTCATGTACCGCGGCGAGGCGGGCAATCACGGCATCCTCGACGCCTGGCATCTGCTGCGCGAGATCAAGGCGGTGTATTCTGGTGAGAAGGCCCGGGCCGAGGCCGTGGGCGATTACGAAAAGGAGATGAAGGAGAGGGCCACGCCGGCTGTCCTGCTGAGTCGGCAGGCCTGTTTGGATGCTCACGACTATGATGGCTTGAATGAGAACTCGGCGGTGCTCAAAAAGAGGGCCATCAACGCCTGAGCTACATGATTTACAATTTTTTTGAACTGTATCTATAATTTGATGATAGCGTGTTTGATTTAACGGAAGAAGGAGTGCTTTTGACTTGTTTCGCCTTTTCATTTGCAAAGAGGAGAACACACAGGATCGTACTATCGTGAAGCCTAGACGAGGCGAACATGGTCTCCGGGCTATATTGCGATTGTCTACTTCAGCACCGCCATAATTTCAGAATGAAGCCTATGATGATGCAATCTAGTCAACAAACAAACTTATAGTAAATCCACCATCGCATGTGAAATCTACCCAACAGCCTACATACTTATACCACACGTCATTGCAGGCGATGCATCCAAGACATTGTTGCCGGAATAGGAAAACATGGCGTTCTTTTCCCCAGAGTTTTCTCCGCTCATTATTCTACGTCAGCGGTGTTTCCCCTTACTGCGAAGCTCCAAGCTAATGATGCCATCTTGATCTATCTGGTCTGTGCTAGCGATCTATGAAGCCTTTAGATCTGGATCGTAGTGATGCTCCATGACGCAAGCGCCGGAAGCGTCCGATCGACGGGAGGAAAGCTTAACGACACAATGATTTTGGGGAAAACGTAAAAGGCGGGAGAATCCCTTGAAAGATCGCATCTCCTCGCACACATCTATTGCTATCACGTGTCAGATCAACGAGAAGAACGAGAAGAACGAAAGTTTTTGGTGAAAGCACGTAGAAGTCAACATCAAAGTCAACTCTTCCAAGATGAAGGAAAAGAGCGAGGTCATCCAAGAGTTCAAGGAGCTCGTCAACATGACAGCCCAAGAGCTCAAGGAATGGCTCAAGGGCGACGATTCCACGAGCGCAGGATGGAGCAAAGACGACGGCAGCGGAGAGTCTGTTGGCCACGACAGCGGCCGACGGATCGTCGAGATTCTCGAGTCTAATCCTGACAAGGATCCGGAAAAGTATACCGATGACGATGTTAGCCACATGAGAAAGGTTGTGTCTTACTGGTAAGTCCCCATGATCGTCATCGACAACGGGTGAGAGAATAGGGTAGCTGATGAGGTCTTGTTGTTAATAGTAAACGACACTTGGCTCAGGAAGAAAAGGCCAACAACAAGAAGCCCATTGAAGAGGTGAAGAAGACCAAGTCGTATGCGTCGCTCAAGAACTGGGGCCATGATCCCATCAAGAAGCGTCAGGCCAACGGTGGTGGTGCTCAAGACAAGGCAGAAGAGAAAGAGAAAGAAGAAGAGAAAGAAGAGAAGAATGACAAGGAAGAGAAGGCGGGAGATAAGCGAAAGGCCCCGGATGACCAGTCCGGGAAGAGCAAGAAGAGAGAGACCGAAGATGGTGCTGCTGAGGTAAAGGACAATGAAGAAAAGGATGGCCAAGAAGAGGATGCTGAGGGCGAAGAAGAGTCAAACGAGAAAGAGAAAGAGTCCAAGAATGGCCAACAAAACGGCAAAAGCTCAGGCAATGGAGACGCTTCCAAGGGACCTAAGGAGGGCGATACCGTGAGCTGGAACTGGGGCCAAGGCCAGCCTGAAGGAAAAGTCAAGGAGGTGAATCCGGATGAGTAGGTCATATCCATCAAGAATGCATGTTGGACAAGGTTTTGAGCTGACTCAGAGAGCAGGACCACCGTTACGACGAAGAAAGGAAGCAAAGTGACTCGGAAGGGCAACGAGGAGGACCCTGCTGTTGTGCTTGACACGGGCAAGACGGACGCGGTAAAGCTAAGCCATGAGCTGAATGAGACGGAGGACTGAGCGTCTTCTTATTTGATGAAGTCGGGTCAATTGTCTGGTAGTTGTGTCTGGGCAGAATCAGTACATGTATGTAGGTAGGCAACATGAATGTCAAATAAGGCAGGGTGGTCAGTTGGGTCCATGTGCATATACTCAGGCCTTTTCTTTTGTGGCGTGGCTCTCATGATATGTGAATGATGAAACATGAAGCCATCACGTTAAGTTGACCCCCCGCCATTTACCGAGGCTTTCCAGCGTACAATCCCTGTGGCCCTGGGCTGTCCGGGCCATTGGATTCAGCGCCCGTCAGCGGCCCTTTTCAGCGGGGTTGCTGCTTGCGGTGGGCCGTCAATTCTCGCCTGTCAATGGCGGGGTACAAGCGGTCCATTATCAATGATCTGTGCGATAAAGTAGCTCCAGAGGCGTCACCACGACTGCTCTCGGCAGACCTGGAATCCTCCCGAACCTGCACCTGGCAAGCTTCCTCGACAGAGGTCAGCTGCTGTCAGACGGCGCCGGACCCCGTCTCTGCTGTGCGAATCCACTGCCGACTGCTTCTTCATCTCCTCTCGCCTCGTCTCGTGTTCTTCTACAGCATGTCGTTTGGATCCTGCACGGTCCGGCCATCATGTAAGAGCTCAAATAACCGCCGCTTCTCGTCAGATGGAAATGCGCCGATGCCGCTCCCGCTCCCATCACCACAATCTCCTCGTCCTCTGCTAACCACCATCACACGTCCTCGCAGGATCGAGCCCTCGATTCGATTGCGGCGCGCAATCCACGCCGGCGACGCCCTGCTCGTCAAGCGCATCCTCAAGTCCCATCCCTCTCTCCTCCACAACCCCGACATCTCGCCCGCAGGCCTCTCCAACTCCAACCTGCACCTGGCCGCCTCTCTCGGCCACAAGGACGTCTGCCAGGTGCTGCTCGATGCCGGCCACGAAGACCCCTGCCCCGCCTTGAACGAGAACCACCAGACAGCCCTGATGCTGGCCTCCGGCGCCGGCCACACCGAAGTCGTCCACTTGCTGTGCGAAAACGACGCGGCCTGCATCCTGCGGAGGGACATTCGCGGCCGGGACGCCGTCATGGAGGCCAGCGTGGGTGGCCACGACACCATACTGCAGCTGCTGCTGACATATGTCCCCGGCGGACCCTACGAGGCGGTGCAGAGAGCGGATATAGAGGGAAACACGGCCCTTCACTATGCGAGCGGCAATGGCAACCTGCTGGGTCTGCGGACGCTGCTCGCGGCCGGCGCGGATGTCGAGAGGCGCAACATGTGGAATTGGACGCCAGCGGCGTACAGCGCCACAGTGCAGGCCGAGGTGTATCTGAAGGGCTTGGTGTCCGAGGTCGGAAGGCTTCAGCAGCTGCAACAGCTACAGCAGCAACAGCAACAACAGCAACAACAGCAACAACAACAGCAACAGAAGCGCAAGAAAGAGACGAGTATGCTCAAGAAGATGGCCATTGGCACCGTCAGGATTGTGCGCGAGCTTAGCGACGAGGACGAGCGCTACGAGATTTGACGATGTGCCCCCCCTTGTAACGATAGCGATGCGTCATGTTTGATCTTTATGAGAATTGGGAATAGAGTAGAGCAAGAACCACTCTTCCAGCATCATCCAGGCCACCTATTCTACGATCCGGTGAGTAATCAGAGAGCTGTTTAGAGTCGTCGTTGTAGATCCTTCAGCCGCTCCACGATAGACCGGCCCGGACTTAGCAGCGCCAGCATCACCACAATTCCGAAGACTGCAAAATGCGGCTTTGCCCGCAACAGGCGCCTCCTAAGTCCACCAAGGCTTGTGTACATAAATTCCAAGCAGAATTCCCGAATTTCAGAATCAATGGATCTCCAGAATCAAGGAAACTCGATAGAGAAAGAGAGACAAAAACAAAAGAAAACGGCCAGCTATCGATAACACGCCATGTCGACCGTTCTCATCACTGGAGGAAATCGAGGCATCGGCTTCGGCATCGCACAGGCCATTGCCCACCGGATTCCCTCCTCCACCATCATCCTCGGCTGCAGAAAGCCCGAAAAGGGCCACGAGGCGATTGAGCAGCTGCGAGAGCTGGGCGTCTCGTCCTCGCTGGATGTTGTTCAGCTTGACATTGAGGACATCCCGAGCATCACGGCGGCGGTTGCAGCCCTGGACAAGAAATACGGAAAGCTAGACGGTGCGTGTCTCCAATTGTCTTCAAAATCAAGCGAACCAGCCAAAACTCATGCAGCAAACAGTGCTCATCAACAATGCCGCAAGCCTCCAGGTGCCCAAGACTCACCACCCGGCCGAGCTCAAGGATACCTTCAACGGCAACTTCAACAGCTGTGTCACCGCCAACGTCCTCGTGACCAAGGCCTTTGTCCCGCTGCTCAGGAAGAGCTCCTGGCCGAGAGTCATCATGAACTCCAGCGCTAGAGGAAGCCTCGGTCGCACAGCAAACAGAGAGGTAATCCCATGGTTTTCTTCTTCTGTTTCCTTCTGCTCATGTTGTTTCCAACCCAAACGCGATAAACAGCTACTCTGGTGCAACCGCTTGCTAATTCCTTGTTCTTGTTTGCCGCGTATAGCTTCCCCCGGTTTCTCTGATTGACTATTGCGTGTGCAAAGCTGCACTCAACATGTTGACTCTGCACTACCAAATCATCGAGGACAACTACAAGGATGATGGAGAAAGCATCACCTTCTGGAGCGTCAGCCCCGGCCACACCAAGACGGCTTTCAACAACTATCAGGGAAAGAAGGATCCCGTGGCCAGTGCCGAGGCGTTTGTGAGATTGCTGGAATCTGAGAGAGGCGCGATCAAGCCAGGAACGTTCTGGGAGTTTGAAGATGGCAAGTTCCAAGAGGTCCCCTGGTGAGGCTCTGCTTTGTGTGGATACTTTGTGCTGTTGGGGCTGCACATGCATCTGTTTGTGGATCACCGTGATCATCTGCGCTGTCCCCGTCGACTTGTCAGAGCTGAAGACATCGGTATACCGGCCAGCCTCTCTCAGATACTCAATATCAATGCAGCATCGATTACCTGCAGTCTGCGGCATGCAGTATTCAGTCCAATCTTGGCCTGGTTGCTACTATTTTAGTCGTGCCACAACTGCTCTTGCACCCAACCGGAGCTGAAGAAGCGAGTTTTGCAGTGAAACATACGCCACGTCTCTGATTGCCATCAACGTGGCATAACACGTCTGACAGCCTTCTCATCACGCAGCAAATAGGAGTCTTTTCACTCTCGACGCAAGCACTCTATCTTGCGGTGGACCGATTGGGCACACAGACAGTCTCCCTGTCATCCTCGACAGCATTAGGCACTCTGGTCCAGCCACTCCGCCAGGCCTCATGTCTGTGATTCACCGCCAGCTCAGCTTGCCTCTCACAAATCAGCTTTCGGCCATTATCTGAAAGTTTGCCTCTTTTTTTTTTCTTTTTTGCCACCAGGATCTTGTTTCCGTGTCCGAGGTGAATCATGGCATGCCAACAGGTACATAACCGACAGCCCCTGAACCATCGGAAACAAGTTGCCCTCTTCTCTCCAACCTTATGCTTCATCAAGAAGAGAACGACAATTCATCTACTTGCTTGAAGAAGCAAACAGAACCCCATATTGCTTTAAATAGGACCAGTTTCTCCCTTCAGGCCGCGTTCCACCGGCCGCTGCTCGCACCACATCTATGCCCAACGGGTTCAGTGTAAATCGTAGGACGATCGACGTCGAGGCCGGCCAGCTTCCGCCACCCGCAACCAAGCTCATCATCACTCAGATTCTCCAGGCCAGTCAGGACCCTCCATACTGGGCGTGGATCATCGTGGGGGCGTTTTACGACAGCGAAGGCCGCACCCTTTGGAGCACAGAGCTGTTTGCCGCTCACCTTGACATTCAGTTTGAGTCGGACGAGGCGCAAGTCTCCGCGGCGGAGGAGGCGGAGACGGGAACTGCGCTTGAACCTGAACCGGAGTCTGACACCGAGGCTGAAGCTGAAGCTGAGCTTGAGGACGAACCCGAACCTGATTCACCTGATTCACCACCTGGTAAGCCGATCGTGGACTCTGACTCTGAGTCGCCATCACGCTGCCTCCCATCAAGCTAACTCGGTCGTACAAGTTCAATCTCCGGAAGTTCATCGATCTGTGACTCCCGAGCTGCGACATCCACGCCCTAGCGCGTACAACAGCCGCCCTATCGACCCATACGAGAGCTATAATAGCCACTCTCCATCCTACTCACCCTATCTTCATCGCCTCTATCCACATCTTCACCACTATTTCTCTCCTCCGTCTTATCCTCACGGCCATCACAGCCCTTATAGCCCTCATTACCACCACCACCACCACCTCCATCACCACCGCCGCCCTTCTCCACATTGGTTCATCAACCCTCCAACAGCCTGGGACCCTGCCTTGTCTGGCCCTGTTCCCGGACACTGGCAAGCATCTTTCGACCCTTCAGTCGGACGCTGGGTTCACACTTGGCAACCTCGACCGTCAATACTCTTCCGCTAGCCAGTCGTTTCGTTCCGTTTCCTTTTTACACGCTCTCGCCAACCATGTCTGGCGGATGGAACCCGCTGACCGGCCGCGACTCCGGCTCCGGCCGGCCGGCCTTTGCTCCGTACGGAGCCCCTCAAGTAGCCCAAGGCCAAGCATACATTCCTCATGCTGGCGGACCTGGCTACACCTATGGTACAGTGCCTCAGACCAGCGCGTGGCCTCACTCGGCTTACGGATACTACCCTCTAGGCGCCGCTCAGGGCGTTCCCCAATATGCCGCGCCCAGCGCCGGCTACCCCCCTTACCAAGGACCTGCTGCGGGCTTCTACACGCAGCAGAGCTTCGCCTACCAGCCCAACGGCACGGGCAACATGCTCCCCCGCCAGCCCCAGCCGTACCCCAACATAGACCCCACCATGCCGGCCGCCCAGATGACCAACACGACGGGCGGCACGGGCTGCGAGCCGGGCTACAACTACTTCTTCCCGGCGGAGCACACCAAGGCGCACGTCTTCAAGACGAACACGCCGCCGTGGCAGCTGCCGTCGACGGCCCAGATCCCCTTCAAGGCGGCGCACATACCGTGCAACACGACCATGGCGGAGCTGCTCAAGGGCTTCGGGTGCACCAACGCGACGCCCAAGAAGAACCGGTGCTTCGAGGTCGTCAGCGGCGGCGGCGGCAAGTGGTACAAGGGGCTCGAGGTCAACGGCGCGGACAAGGACATGCTGAGGAAGACGATCAAGGACGTGGGATGGGACTCGACGAGGACGGGGAATCCGAATGAGAAGCCCGTGGTGTGTTTGTGGTTTTGCAGGGACTGAGATGTTTTTTTGTCATTGCTCAGGTGGCTTTCTGTTCGCCTTTTGATGTCACTCGTTTTCGAGCTCTTTTTCTTTTGTCTTCTCCTTTTCTGATTCTCGCCACTTTGTTGTTGGCTTGAGATGGGGTTTTCTTTGGCGTTTGTGATTTACACCTCATTGGGGCGAAATAAAAGGGACTCGGCAAGGGACGCCATGTAATTACGGCACATGCTATTACTGGGAATACAAAAGTCGCTACCTTTTTCAAAGAACGCTGCTCTCTTCACAAATGACATGCTGGTGTAGATGTGCCAAACATACAAGATCTTGGTATAGGTAAGTTTGGTGGAGGACCTCGTTGTGCTTCGTCCCTGCTCTTGGCGACTGATTACCCAAAGTCAGCTGTATTGTTTCAACATTTATGTCACAGAGATATGATGTATTATCTCTCACTGAATCTTGACCACATCTAGATAGCAGCTGAAATCAAATACCAGACACTCAGCCTCGTACATCGTTGCCGTGAATGTATTCTGGTGTGATAGTAGGGGCAGTTGGAGCAGCAGAGCAGTGATGAAGTGGCACTTGCGGGGGAAATCACGCAAGAAAGGGGGAAGTTGATTACTTAGGAACTACCCTACAAAATGGAACAAGAGGACCACTGTACACTGGTGTTCTCAGGCGAGTGACCTGGGTATGTTTATCTCTTAACTGTCGTATACACAGGTGCCTTTGATATACAAGTCTAGTAATATAGATTTCTTGGAAAACAAAAGTAACCCCAAAATAGCACGCCGAAGGAAGCAATGTATTCATCATGTGAGTCCTCTCGAAGGTATGACTAGGTAGGTGCTTGCAAAATCACCGTCAAGCAACAAGTTCGTAGAACAAGACGTCTGCAGAATCTCTTTGCCGCCCCAGATCATGCCCGTATGGGAAAGGGAGGGAGCTCCACCAACAACATAAAGAAAAGAGCGAGTCATTGAAGGTCTAGATTTGGCAATACATAAGTAGTAATGGACTCAATATATGGGCACATAGAGGGAGGGGCTTTGCAGCTAGAGCATGGCCCCGTGAATACATAATCGTACAATGTTCGTAATCATTCTCATACTCTTCTTTTGCAAAACTTGCTCGCTTTCATCACAAACTTCCATCCAAACGTTATTTCGTAACCCCTTCTCAGTAATTACCTACTGTGCATTCTGGATTCTGCAACAAGGTTGCCACGCCGGGAATCTATCCAACTAGTATGAAATTTGTAAAGCTCCTACGCCTTACCTCTTCGTGCCGAACATTCGGACACCTAGTCATTCAGGCTCTGCAATAGAAGCTCGTAAAAGGGCGGCTTCCCAATAAGACGTTGGCTGGGTGTCTGTCTGAGGTACCTAAAAGTGAGATGCCTTTTCCAGATTTCCCCAAAGATATGGTGAGACAGAAACAAAATCATACGAGTAGCGGCGTTGCCGAGAGGAGTTATCATGGACATATCATGGACAAATTCAACCAGAGGAGTTATTATGGACAAATTCGGCCAGAGGAGTTATTACGGACAAATACAGCCAGAAGATGATGTGATCATCACCTCATCCCAGTGTCCCAAGATAGGTACGCGAGATAGAAAAGTTCTCATGGTAACAATCAATCGGCAAAGGCCTTCCGACTTCGCGAGTATCCGATGCTATCCTTGGCAGTCTCCTCAAGACTTGGGCAAGGCAGTGCGGCATCACGCGGTCTTTTACCTGGATGACTCTCAATCGAGGGCGTGAGCTCCAACAGTCTCGATCCCTGAGTCGTCTGCACGCCACGGTCGAGAATCTGGATGCCTAAAGACTATATTCGATAGCTCATCACCACGGCGGTTTCAACGCAGGACAGCATGATTCGAGTGATCGAGACCGGATCTCGTCGCCCCCTTTTACTGGAGCTCCTCCAACGCCTTAGCCCAGCAAGCCCCGTGGGGTAACGAAAGAGCTGACATGACCTTGATCACGATGCAGGTGTGCTCCAAGAGGGCGTTGGAGTCGTACCATGTTTTCGATCTTATTACTTGACCGTATCCTCGTGTCGTTGGTGAGCTTTAATCGCAGGCATCAGCATTATCACGACTGCCACTGGTTGAAGTTGGGCCCCTAGGGCGGGTCTATTCTTCAAGCCCATAGAACAAGGATAGAACGTGGAGCCTTGGCGTCGAAAGCGGGCGGTCCAGCATGAAGCTACTACTAGTAGCACCGTGGCGTGTGGCGAGTAAGGTCAATACTAGCGCTTGAGCGCGTGTTAGTGAGATGTCGAGGATAGGACAGCAGAGCCTTCTCCACGACTCCCCCAGACAAGATCTGATCATCGTGAAGCTTCTTCAAGAAAGATGGGCGTGGAAAGACTTAATGACCTTGGGCAAACTAGTTTGCATCGTCATGATCATGCGGGGAAATCACTAGCCGCCGCTATTTTCAATCGATGCTCGAGATCCAGGGCGGAGAGGCCGAAATGTTGGCTTGCCTGCAATGAAATAACTAGCCTCAATGCTAAGTTGCCAGGTCTGTCAAGGGAAAGGGTTGTAAGCTTCGATCAGGTGTGCCAATGGCCGAGGTAAATGCATGTGGCAATGGCGGTACACGACCGTTGTCACTGCAACTCAACGAACCGCATCACATATCGGGAGCCCTGCCGACGAAACTCTAAACTCCTCATCTTTTGCAGATTCAGATCGTAGATACAACCTGCCAGACAGACTGCAACAATGTCTCATGCTCCTCAGCTAGGCTTTTCGGGATGAGATCGACAACATTGAGGAGCAGTGTTGGATTTTGCTTGATGTCGTGCGTGTGAGAGAGCACACACAGAGATCCATCTCAGCGGAGGGCTGTCTGTGGAGAACACGGCGCAAAGAGCACCCAATCCAATCAATTCCCCAATGGATGTGATATGGAAGGCCTCTGGAGCTTCTATGATCGAACGAGCTCGTGTACGAGTACGAGTAAGTACACGCATGTGACTTCAGCTGGCGATGTGTCCCGCATGGCTGCGTGTTTCTTCTCAGAATTGCAACACCAAGCCTCGATTGTGATATACTGGCAATCAGCTGCTGGCTTGCTGGCTGGCTGCCCAGTATCTGTTAGCTTGTGATGCAAAGCCCATATAGAGAGCAGAACGCAGTCGAAGACGCCGACTGTCCATCGGCACTTTTCAGAGGTACTGTCCAAGTACAAGTATGAGTGCATCCTCGTACTTCTGCCCCTTCACAATATTGTACCGTAAGCATGCCTGCCGAACAGAGGCAAGATAGTCGTGAGCTCTTCCATGCTCCTCCACCCCATGGCAAGCATCTTGCAGCAGCGCTAGCCGGAGCAAGCACCCCGGGGATTCGGAGTTTGATATGGCCCCAATATCTTCCCTTTCGGCGACGACGATCAGGCAGCAGAATTAATTTTGTGGGAGCATCTCCACCCGACTGTCTTAGCAAAACTGAAGACCCAGTAAGGATCGGCCATTGTCAGTCCTTGGTACGGATTATTGTAGGCCGGAACTTGGCTGCTTCATCTTGACACGAGGAGGCTACGGTCGTACTGCACTCGTCTTCCATCAAGAGCGAAGACGAACAATCAGCAGTCGTGGCTCATGATCTGTAGACAGGTGGTCGAGATGAGATGGTACGAGTCGTGGCGAGTTGTGTCGATGCCGGTCTCGCCACACTAGGCAGTTGACTGTCCTGCAAGGAGCCGGCCGAGAACCGCTAGCATGGCAAGGCGAGAAGCAGACGTCCGCGTATGGACCTGGAGGCGCTCAGCCATGGCACGCTCTTGTCCGAACTAACCACCACGCTTTGGCCACGGTCTGGGATCTGGCGCGCGGGACGAGGTTCGCAAGTGGATGCTAGTGGCACGGCTTGTCAGTCGCATGCCGGCGCGACCCCAAATGCGTCCAGTGAGCATCTCGGGAATTCTGTTGCCTGGCATCTCGCTGATCCTGGGCCTGGCAAACTGATTCAGCGACCCGGTTTTCCGTATGTGTGACCTCCCGTCTGCTTACCGCTGTGCCCATCAATGCATGTACCTGTGCCTGTGCCTGTGCTTTCGGCCATTCGATAGGGAGAGTGAGAGCACATTGATGGTTCGAGACGGCGTCTTTTTGGACCGACTTTGCGCACGAGATGGTTGCCGTACTTCTCGCACAACCAGATACAGCTGAGTATTCGACAACAGCATCCCGTGATTCCACTGCTCCTAGCGGGCGCCGGATCCGTCAGTCTTTGAGCGTGGCGGCGTGACCGCTCGAGAAACCTTCGTTGTGGACGAGGGAAGTAAAAGAAGTAGATGATGCATGCCTAGACTAGTGGCTGAGTTCTCGGCCTTTTTCTCGACGTTTCCGTTTGCAGGCACATGCATCCGGCACATGAAAATGAGGAGGAGGAAGAAGGAGAGGAGAAGGAGGTTTAGCTGAGTTGGAGACGGTGGAGAGGTGCAGAATCTTGGAGTCCAATTGCGCTAACGGGGGCTAGCGCGAGGTACCTTGGCAGACGCGCAATTGGCACTGCAAACAAAGTACTGCGCATTATCACTGATGAGGTTGTAGGTACCTTATCCTATCGTACAGTCAAGTGGCCGAACCCAGCTGTCTCGGATACCTCTATAGATGCCGAAGCCCATGCGGACCACTGGAATCACCGTCTCTGCATTGACGAGGCTCCAATCCGGACAGCAGTGCATTATCGTGCTGTAGCAATAGCCAAAAACACCAACTTGAAAATACGATGCTGCTTCTGCACAGACATTTGATTGCAGGGCGGCCCTGTAAGTGCAGCTGCGGGAGTTGCTCCCACCTACGTCAGGGAAGGGCCCCGGCGCATCTTCTAGGGGATCTTAGCGGCCAATTACAGCGCCGTCCAGGGGGGCGTCTCCAGGGCCCGCCAGTGGCCAAACAGCGGCTTGCGGTTTCCACTCTCGACCTCCCCGAGCTAAGACTGAACCTTGGAACCAAGAACTTGGCTTTTGCTCGCGTCTTCTCCATTTCCGACCCATTTTCAACCGCCAGCACGAGGGCAATAATTGGGGGCATTTCTTTTGCCCATGGGGAACTGGAGACGCTCCTCTCTTGTCCGGGGTGCGGGGAGACCCCCTGCCTTCCTGGAGATGTTGCCCGGTTTGGCAAATCTCAGTCATGCTCGATCCGGAGGCGGACCTCAGGCCTATTCTCGAGGACGAGGATGAGTGAGACATTGTCGCCCGCTCAGCTCAGCACGGGCAAAGGCAACTGGCAGCGTTGATTGGCACTGATGATCTACAGCCGTTGGCCCCCATGGTCGTTTGGTAGGCGTGATACAGGCACAGGACAGGGCCGTCGCATATGCTTTCGGCTTGCTGCTTCAGATCCAGGGCATCAACTGGCGTGGCGACAGCATCATGGACGAAGAAATTTTAGCATCCAAAATCAAAGACCGGATGGCGCTACTGCGAGACAAGCTGGACGAACGCATGAATCGTACGCAATGCACTAGCACTGGCTCTCTTTTTGCAGAGACTTCAGACTTCAGCTCGGTGTCTTACCTCCAAGCTTTTCTGCTCCACGCCACCATCAGATGCCATGCGACTACGACTAGCATCTGCTTCAAGCCACGAGTGGGCCGGACAAGGATGGCCAGCATCCTGGGCCTGGGCCTTGTTGCTCGTCTGATTTTGCTTGTACGACTACTATGCTCACGCCTTGCCTCCATTCAATGAGTGCTTCCGGCGTCCTCAGAGATCGCGGGGAGCAACAGTCTCCAGCTGGGGAAGCCCAATGTTAGCCGCTACGACCTGCCAGCCATTGTTCTCCGCCTCCGCACCCCAGCTTTTGGTCTTCTTCCCCAACTCGTCTCAAAGGAGTATATTAAACCCTCCTTGTCCCCCGTTGTCCTGATCTTACCTCTTGTTCTCTCGTCACTCCCAACTGCTCTCTCAGCTCGGAAGCAGGATCCTTCTCTTGTCTCCTCCGTCTATACCCAGTCGAGCCTGCAAGAGCAAGTCATCTGCGGACTGATCCGCTCCCTGTCTCACAATGGCGGAAGTATAGTCAGTCAACCCCTGATGCCCCTTATTCCTCTGTCAACCTTTCCACTGACAGTTCCTGATTACAGCACCCACACCGAATCCAAGAGTGCCCACGAGGCCTCCATGGAGAAGGGCGTCACATACCACGAGGAACAAGAACACAGCCAGGACCTCCAGGCGAGAATTCGCAACCCGCTCAAGGGAATTCCCCGCGAGCAGCTCATGAGCGATGTCGAGGCATTTGCTCAGCGCAATGGCCTTCAGGAGCACACTCTCCTTCTCAAGAAGGGTGCTCTTGTTGCCCAGAACCCTGCCGACCCGGCATCCATTGATGGCGACGAGAAGCTCACTCCCCATGAGCTGAACATTCTGGAGCGTGAGGTCACCCACAAGTGGCACATGCCCACAAGACTCTTCCTCACCATCGCAACGTGCTCTATCGGTGCCGCCGTCCAGGGCTGGGACCAGACTGGTAGCAACGGTGCCACCATCTTCTGGCCTGAAGTCTATGGCATTGGTGACCAGAGCATTACGCGCAACGCTATTCTTGTCGGTCTCATCAATGCTGCTCCTTACATCGGTAGCGCGTGAGTGCCCTCCCTCCTCTTCCTATTCATCTACCTTCCATTGCTTCAGATTGACTGACCCGCTCAAAGTTTCATCGGGTGCTGGCTTTCTGATCCCATCAACAACCACTTCGGTCGACGTGGTGTCATCTTCTTCGCTTCTCACTTCTGTATCTGGCCCGTCATTGGTTCTGCCTTCTGCCACACATGGGGACAACAGCTTGCCTGTCGATTGCTCATGGGTATTGGTATGGGTGCCAAGGCTTCAACCGTGCCCATCTATGCTGCTGAGAACGCTCCTGCTTCTATCCGAGGTGCTTTGGTCATGTCATGGCGTATGTTCTCCATCTCTCTCCATGAAAGAATTACCCTGCTAACAATGCTTGTTTCTAGAAATGTGGACTGCCTTCGGTATCCTGCTGGGAAGCGCTTTCAACCTGGCTGTCTACCACGTCAAGGACATCAACTGGCGTCTGATGCTTGGCGCTCCCTTCATCCCCGCCGTCCCTCTGCTCTGCCTCATCTACCTCTGCCCTGAGTCGCCCCGTTGGTACATGAAGAAGGGCCGCTACGTCGATGCCTGGAAGTCTCTTCTTGTTCTTCGCAACGACCCCATCCAGGTCGCCCGAGACATCTACTACATCTCTGCTCAGCTGGACATTGAGAAGGAGCTCATTGGCAAGACCAACTACGTCACCCGATTCACTCAGCTCTTCACCGTCCCCCGAATTCGCCGTGCCAACTTGGCTGCTTTCACCGTCATGATTGCCCAGCAGATGTGCGGTATCAACATCATCGCCTTCTACTCGACCACCGTCTTTGTCAACGCTGGCTTCACCCAGTTCCGCGCCCTGATTGGCTCTTTCGGCTTCGGTCTTGTCAACTGGCTCTTTGCTTTCCCTGCTTTCTGGACCATTGATACTGTAAGTTCCCTTAGCTAAACCACGTGTATCACGGATGGTGTTCTAACAATGTCACTAGTTTGGTCGCCGAAGCCTGCTCCTCTTCACCTTCCCTCAGATGTTCTGGACTCTTCTGGCCGCTGGTCTCTGCACGTTGATCTCCTCGGAGCACACCGAGCTCAAGACTGGCCTCGTCAGTCTCTTTGTCTTCCTCTTCGGTGCCTTCTACTCTCCCGGTGAAGGTCCCGTTCCTTTCACCTACAGCGCCGAGGTGTACCCCCTGTCCCACCGTGAGACCGGCATGGGCTTCGCCGTCGCCACCTGCTTGTTCTGGGCTGCCGTGCTCGGCACCTCGTTCCCCTTCCTGCTCGAGCAGCTCAACACCGTCGGCGCCTTTGGCCTGTACGCCGGCTTCAACGTCGTCGCCTTCATCATGATCTTCCTCTGGGTCCCCGAGACGATGCAGCGCACCCTCGAGGAGCTCGACTACGTCTTCGCCGTCCCCGTCCGCACCTTCATGAAGTACCAGCTCACCGTTGCCCTGCCCTGGTGGTTCAAGAAGTACGTCTTCTTCCAGTGGAGCGCGACTAAGCCTCCCCTGTACACATTTGACGAGGTTCCCTCCGATGTGCGCCGCGTGTCTGTTCACCACGCTGCCGCGGTGTCTTCGGATGACGAGAGCAAGCGCGCCATGTAAGGGAGAGACGAGTTATGGAAAAGGAAATGAAGCTTTTTATGAATTCTGTTTTAGGATGTTAATATGGGGTAAATATGGGATATGAGCGTATGTGATTGGTTTACCACGCAGTTGGGTTGTGTGGTCTCTGGGAATTGATACCCTTACCCTCATGGTTTATGATATGACATGAGTGGATCTTGAAAATACAAGAGAATTCCTATTCTTACAACTTGCCGCCTTGTGAATTGCCTATGAGTGATGTCCTGTGTTCTCCAATATGCCTGAAATTGCAGGGTTCGCACGTGGAGCGAGAGGCTACCCAGCACTGAGTGCATCGCTTCGTAACCGAGGCTGGGGTACCGAAGATCTTTCATGTGATGGATACGATGCTTCGTATGAATGACAAGCAAAAGAGTCGGAAGTTTTGATATAATGCTGGTGGATCTAACTAGGGAAAATCAAACTCCGTAAGTTCATACAAAGCTGTAGTAAATTGCCCAATATCGTACTGGAGTAGTATTTCGAATGCGACTATTCTTGCCGTTGACCCGCCACCATTTCGATCGTTAGTTGCATTGGAAAACACGCGTATCGTATGAAGACAGACGTGGAGAGTCTCCATCCGACGTAGATCTCTCGATGCATGCAAGTCTGAGATGTGAGTGCCATGTGAACCCGCACAGATCAATCCAAAACAATGTGATCCATCAATGAATCATCAGTTGACGAACGAGCCAACAAAATCTTGGACATTTCATACAAAAACAACAAGCAGGGCAAAACTGACCGCATCGCGTAAAAGCCCACCGAAACCAGCCTATCTTAGCTGCGGGAGCTACGGACTTCGGATTCTCTTCCACTCTTTACTCCGTCGGGGTAAACAAGCCTCCTTGCCTCGGCTCCACCGAACTAACGAATCGAACTCGGCCAGTCGTGTCTGATGATGAACGGGCCAAGTCCATCATATCATCGGCATCTCTGTGTCACTCCTTGCCATGTCGTCGTTGCTCTCTTCTATCTCCTTCTTACGAGGAGTCAATAGCGAGACAACTCGGCAAGAGATCTGATCTGCCCTCTTCAGGTCGACGTCTAGCGGGACGGGACTGCATTTCCAGGCTCGGGAGTTTGTTGCCCCTCAGAGACATCTGGCCAACCGACGTCTCCAAACCTTTGTTTAGGCGATTATCGTCAGCATCTTGTTTCGCCCTCAGCACTACAAACGCACACAACATCTGTCACCATGCCCATATTCTGACTAGTTGACAAGCCACATTTTTGAGACTTGACAAGTAAAAATGGCTCCAATAGTTGGGGACGGTATGGAAGACGCCGCCGGGCAGCTTACTGGGCTGGATGTCGAAAAGGCCGAGCTTGCAAGCACAAGAGACACGTCGCTGGATGTGCCCGTAAGCCGCAACAAGCTGGACCGGAACCGCTTCTCCATCACCGGCGCGGCGAATCTATCTCTTGACGATGTCGAAGCTGTCCATGTTCAGCTTCGGGGACTCGCAATCGAGGTTGATACATCTCCGTCATGGTTCGACCCCTCGACGTATCCCGAATTGTTCTCCTCGGGGTTCAAATCGGTGCCTCGCATCAAGACTCTCCTGCACTCAGCTGATGCAGATCTGAAGCCCGGAACTCTGACGGCCATCATCGGAGGTAGCGGGTCGGGCAAGACGACGCTGCTCAATAACCTCGCCGAGAGGGTTGTCAGCTCGAGGCTGAGCCAACGAGGCCTGGCAACGTTCAACGGAAAAGTTGGCGTCAACAGTGTTCGACATGCCTATGTGATGCAGCAGGACATTCTGCTCCCGACTCTTACTGTCCGGGAAACATTAAGATACTCGGCTGATCTTCGACTGCCGCCGTCCACCAGTGCCGAGGATCGTGAAAGAATTGTCGAGGAAGTCATCCTCGAGCTGGGCCTCAAGGAATGCGCAAACACCCGCATAGGAAACAGCCAACACCGAGGTTGCTCAGGAGGCGAGAAGAGACGCGTGAGCATCGGTGTCCAGCTCTTGGCGAATCCATCTGTCCTGTTTCTCGACGAGCCCACCACTGGCTTGGACGCGACAAGTGCATATCAACTTGTGCGGACTCTGAAAGCGTTGGCGCAAAAGGGCAGAACGGTCATTACCACGATTCACCAGCCTCGATCTGAAATATGGGATCTCTTTGACAACCTCATCGTCCTATCCAGGGGTAGCCCCGTCTTCTCAGGCCCCGTCTCGGACTGTCTGCCATGGTTCCAACATCTCGGTCATCCACTGCCCCCGTTTGTCAACCCAGCAGAATTCGTCATCGATGTTGCTGCCGTAGACAATCGCACCCCTGAGCTAGAGGCAGAAACTTCTGCTCGCCTAGAAAGCCTCAAAGCAGCATGGAAGGTGGAGAGCGAAAGCCGATTCCCGCCTCTGGAGGGCACTGCCGAGGTGACGACGCGGAATAAGCACCCACAGGCGGCAACACATGCGGGCTTCTTTCGCCAGGTGCGAATCCTCACGGATCGAACACTCAAAGTCACTTATCGAGATCCCCTCGGCATGACCGCGTCCCTTTTGGAGGCCGTCGTCATGGGAGTTGTGATAGGTTATCTCTTCTTCAACCTCGGCCGTGACCAAGCTGGCATTCGGTCCCGCGAGGGTCTCCTCTATACCGCAACAGGACTACAGGGCTACTTGATCCTCATGTTCGAAACATATCGATTGACTATTGATATGCCGACATTTGATCGCGAGTCTTCGGAGCATTGCGTCGACGCTGCGCCCTACATATTGTCACGGCGATTGGCCCGCCTCATCACGGAGGACTTCCCGGTCCCTTTCTTATTCTCTCTCATCATATACTTCATGGCCGGATTCGATCACGATGCCGCCAAATTCTTCACCTTCTTCAGCATTGGCTTCGTCAACCACTTTGCCTGTATCATGTGTGCATTCACATGCGTGGTGGCGGTGCGGCACTTTCCCGGGGCAAGTCTGATTGCCAACTTTGCTTTCACGCTGCAGAGTATTGCGTGTGGTATTTTCATCCAAGTTGACACAATCCCGGTGTATGTGCGATGGTTGAAATGGGTGACTTGGTCGGTGAGTTGATTTTCCCTCCATCTTCCTTCGAGGGATCGATATCCCGGGCCTTTTGGACTGTAATGAGCTGACCATAGCGCACGACAGTTCTACACCTTTGGAGCGTATTGTGGAAACGAATTCCAAGGCAGTTTCTATGACTGCCCCGAGCCAGGGGGTCCATCTAATCCCGCCTGCCTCCAGTACACCGGAGACTACATCATGTCGTCACTCGGATTCCCCAAGAACTGGGTGGCTCGCCCAATCGTCTGCCTCGCGTCGTTTGTAATCTTCTTCTTCGTTTTGTCGGCTGTTGGGCTGCGGTATATCAAGATTGAAATGACCATTGCACGGGCGCGAGTTTCAGACACGGATTTGTCCGCCGGAAAGGAGAAGATGACTGCTCGGTCGATTGCAGAGGTTCGCACCATCGATGTTGAGCTGGAGAACTTCTCTTTGGATCTTGACAAAAGGAAGGTCAATGGCAAGAAGCTGCCTCGGAAGACCATTGTCCAGCCTATCAATGTCAACTTCCAAGCCGGCACGTTGAACATCATCATGGGCCCGTCAGGCAGCGGGAAGACGTCCCTTCTCAACTCGATGGCACTTCGGCTTCGCAACTCTGTTGGCACCCACTACCGTCCATCTGGCAAGATGTCTTTTAACGGGGCCGTTCCGTCCGCCTCAGTTGTCCGATCAGTCTGTTCCTATGTCTGTCAGGACGACGACGCTCTGTTGCCTTCGTTGACGGTTCGAGAGACTTTGCAATTTTCTGCCGCTCTGCGACTGCCCTCTTTCATGAGCAAGGAAGAAAAGTCTCGTCGCGCAGAGGAGATCCTCATGAAGATGGGACTGAAAGATTGCGCAGATAATTTGATCGGCAATGACCTGGTGAAGGGCATCTCGGGAGGAGAGAAGCGGCGAGTTTCCATTGCTGTGCAGGTCCTCACCGATCCTCGCATCCTTCTCCTGGACGAGCCAACGTCTGGATTGGATGCCTTCACCGCGAGTTCCATCATGGAAGTGCTTCAAGGCCTCGCAAATGAAGGCAGGACGCTTATCCTGACAATTCACCAACCTCGATCGGACTTGTTCAAACACTTCGGCAACGTATTGCTCCTTGCCCGTGGCGGTGCTCCCGCATATGCCGGCCCCGCCAAGGAGATGCTCAACTATTTCAATAAACAGGGGTATCAATGTCCACAGCACTCGAATCCCGCGGACTTTGCTCTAGACATGATTACCGTCGACCTGCAGCGAGACGACAGAGAGGCAGAGAGCAGAGAGAGAGTTGAGAAACTCATAGAGGAATGGAGAAGATATTCTTCAAGAGGAGACGCGAAGATGTGGAAGAGCGAGGATGTATCGAGGCTACCAGGGATCAACGAAACCGACGAATTGGACGAAAAGAAGGCATCCAGTGAAGAAGTGAACGATGTTGCAGGCGACAAGGACGAGACCTTGCCAAAGATTCAGCCTGCTGCCTCCCGCAGATCCTTCAACAAGGCCAACCTTTCAACGCCGGCAGAACTCGGTGCGCTTGTCCACAGTCCAGCCTCCATTGCCACCGCCGTGCCTCTGCTTCTGCATCGCGCCATCATCAACACGCGCCGGCAGCCGCAGCTTATCATGGCTCGCACGATGCAAGTCGTTGGATTGGCCATCATCTTCGCCCTCTTCTTTGCGCCACTGCACCACGACTACTACTCGGTCCAGAACTGGATGGGTTTTATACAGGAAATCGGCGCCTTCTATTTTGTCGGTATGCTGCAGAATGTCGCAATCTATCCCACAGAGCGAGACGTCTTTTACCGGGAGGATGACGACGGCGTGTATGGCGTTGATGCGTTTTTGCTCTCGTACACAATCCTCGAGGTGCCCTTTGAGATCCTCAGCTGTCTGCTCTTCGGCATCTTGATGTGCATCGCAGTCGGTCTTCCCAGGACGGCGACGATGTATTTCGTCTCCGTCTTTGGGTGCTTCGGCATCGTCTCGTGTGGCGAGAGCCTGGGTATCATGTTCAACACCCTCGTCAATCACACCGGTTTCGCCGTCAACATCATGGGCATGTTTCTCTCGATTGCCACCGCCATGGCGGGTATCTTGTCCATAGATGCCCCCAAGGCCTTCCAGGCGCTCAACTATCTCTCGCCGATTCGGTATGCGACGCGATCAATTGCCCCTTATGCCTTGCGGAACGAGCATTTCTACTGCAAGCCGGGGCAGCAGCTTGCCAACGGCACCTGTCCAATCGAGACAGGCAAGCAGGTTCTGCAGCTGTATGACTTTGACGACGATCCGGTGGTGAACGTGGCAGCTTTGGCAGGGTGCTTGGTCGTATACCGGCTGCTGGCCTGGCTCCTGTTGAGGCTGGCGAGGGCAAGATGGGGCGGGCATAAGAAGTAGAAGAGAAAGATGCGTCTCCTTCGCCTTCATTTTATTGCAAGCGTATAATCAGGTAGTTTTGTATCCTTGATGAGGTAGGTAGAGGTTAAAGACAACATATGGTAGACACTCAGATATCTGCAAACTTCAATTCCTACTCCTGCCTCCTGCCTGTTGTACGGAGATGCCCCCCAATCGATAGACGGGGCCCTTCTTTAATCCGGCAACGACATGGGACCGGCTGTAGATCTTGGCGCCGTGATCCCCTCACCATCACCACACACAAGCCATTCCGCTTCCATCAATCCTCCATCTCACCGAGTAATCAATTTACATTCCGGCATCCCGTCCGCCGTCAGCCACGATCTCCTCGACAAATCATATCGTCAAGTTGTCGCGCTACCGGTTGACGTCATGTCCACTTAAAAAGCATCAGCGAATGATGATCCGGGGTAGCCTCCCTTACATCTCGCATCTCCACAAACAACTTTGGTCAGGCTGTTCAGTCTTGGACCGCGCTCACTCGTTCTTAAAAGACCTTTAAAGATTAGAAATACCTCAACGAGCAGCTTGTACTGATTCTGTCATTTATATCTTTATACTTCATTGCCTAGCTTCTCAGATGGAATACTCGTGTCATTACTACTTGGCTATGGCAATGCCAAGAACCCCGTCAGCACCATCTGCGCCATCAACGATGCAATCATGAATGTACAATGCAAGTATGCTCCAAAAGTATAAAAACGCCGAAAAGCCCGCCCGCTCGCACAGAAAAATGACATCTACCTTTGATCTCTAGTCGCCATGCTCATATACCGTTCATCTCTATAACGTCAACGCCTTGGCAAAATCATGGAATCGTGTGTTGCGTATCGCTTAAAAGGTCCTCTTCTCGGTGATGGGCTCGCCAAAGGGCTTGCCGACAACGAAGCCATCGCCGGGAGCCTCCAGATCGAATACCTTGCGGCCGCGAAGCCACGTCTCCGTGACCCGACCGGTGAACTTGTGGCCTTGCCAGGGAGAGCAGCGGTTCTTCCAGCGCATGTCGCCCTGGGTAAAAGTCCAGACGTGTGAATCGTCAAAGACGCAAACGTCGGCGTCCATGCCGACCTTGAGAGCGCCCTTGCGGTGAGAGAGACCGACCTGCGCGGCGGTTGCTTGGCAGCAGAGGCGAACCATGTCGACAATGGTCGGGACCTTGGATGTCTCGGAGCGCTGTTTGGCAGCCGTGTGGAGGATGGGCAAGCCGAGACCGACGGACGAAATTCCGCCCCAGGCGGCGAAGAAGTCACCACGGGCTATAGTCCTGGTGGGTGCCTCTTCCTTGGGGTCTCTCATGTCAAGGCCGGAATCTTTATGAAGCATGGCAGGTCTCTCGAGATGATCGGGGAGCAACTTGAGCTGGGGAGTGCAGGGTGAGTGGTCGGAGACGACGGTTCGAATGCACGAGTCCTCGGCGACCAGCTCTTCCCAAAGGCCGTCTCGGTTGTTGGCCTCACGGATCGGAGGACAGCACTTGTGCCTCGTGTCTCCCTTTTCAATCTCTTCAGCCGTCAGCCCCAAGTAATGGAAGCAAGTCTCGGCCGTGATATTGACTCCCCTCTTGCGCGCAGCCTTCAGGATCGGGATTGCTTGCGTCGCCGAAAGGTGAACAATGTGAAGGTGCAGCGACGGAGCGATATGAGCATGCGCCAGGATTTCTTCGATGGCATACGTCTCGAAAGAAGGGGGCCGTGATTCGAGGAAGGTGTTGTAGGCGGTCAGTTCGCCTTTTGGGGCCGCAGGAGGATCGGACGTCTGGACGGCATCACCAACAGAGTCGGTGATTGGAGGAATCATCTCGGCATGGAACATCAAGGTGGTTGGCTCATCCTTTAGTGTCTCCATTGCCAGCGCCACATCTTGAGCTGACACGGCAGGAAACTCGTCAACGCCGGACTCGATGAGGAAGCCCTTGAATCCTCGGACGCCCGCCTCGACGAGGGGCTTCAACTGATCTGCGTTGCCAGGGATGACGCCGCCGTAAAAGCCCACGTCTACCCAGCACTGGCCCTGGCTGGCCCGGAGCTTCTCCTCGAAGCCTTGGAGAGTAGTCGTCGGTGGGATGGCATTGAGCGGCATGTCGATGACTGTGGTGACGCCGCCGCTCGCCGCCGCGCGAGTGCCGGTCCAGAAGCCTTCCCACTCTGTTCGGCCAGGCTCATTGAGGTGGACATGAGCATCCACGAGGCCGGGCAGCAACAGCTTCGGAGAGTGGTCTACATAAGTAGCACTTGGGGGGAAAGCCGAGGGCGGAAGGATCTCAGGCACCACAGAGACAATTTTACCGAGCTCGGGGGATATGCATATGGTCGCCGGACAGAGCACGAGGGAATTGTCGGGAAGTGTGAGGACGGCGCGGGTTGACACGAGGACGGTGAGCGGTCCGACGTTGGAGGTGTGCGTGACAGTCATGGCGACAGCTGAGAGTGTCCTATGTCTGCGTGGGTTACTGGGGTATTGGCCCTGGGTGCGAGAGCTGGCTACTTCCAAGCGGCCCTTCACGAACAAAGCGAGAGTAATGCGAAGCGCACAGCCAGAGCACGACAAACTGCAGACTACAGACGAAGATGGGCGGAGGAGAGGAAGACGGAAAGGGAGGGAAACAGAAGGAGAAGGGGTTAAAGAGGCAGGCGATGCAAGCCGCATCGTCGGCCGGAGCCGATGACGACCTCCTAACGGTCTAACCCATCTATCTGGGTGATAGTGGCTGGAACGCCTTATCGTGGGATGCCATGATACGGGGCTGACGGGTAGATAAGGAGGGGCCGGAGGAGTCTTTGCACGCTTATTCCACGATGTTCCGCCCTTTTCTCCCTGTCCCCAGCGACTCTCCCTCTCGGCCTTGCCCCCTGTTGACCCGCAAAGTCTTCTGTCCTAATGCTTTTTCATGCTAGCACCAGCAGGCTGTAAGGCTGTCAAGCTGAATTTTCACATGATCGGGGAGGCAAAGAAAACTCTTCTGAAAATTTTTGGGAAGTTGAAGGGATTCGCGAAGGCCGAAGATCCGCTAACAAAGGGAAAGAGAAGAGGGCGAAAAAGGAAAATATCCACCCTTATCGGGCACGTCCGATGGGCCAGAGCGACAACAAAGATGCGATGGCCCGGCATTGAGTGGCAGAAGGCAGTTGGCCGTAGCCAATCAGGATTCAATCGAGTAACAGTTACTCGACCAAAGGGAAAAGCTGAACGACAGTCGGCGGTGTCTGGATTTGACGATAAGCGAAAGGCTAGTCTCTGCAGTGGATGCTGTTATCAGCCGTTGCCTTATCAGCTGGTGGAATCCAGGGTCCAGCCGTTGAGATGCGCCACAAGTCATCTGACCTAAAATGTGGCTGAGGCCGGTAGTAAAATCGCTAGACTGATTGGTTGATTATTAGTCATGCATATGCTGACTAAGGAGGTCACGCGAGCCCCGTGCTCGAAGGCTTCGGTTGAACCAGCACAGTATTACATAATACAGCCAGAGAAGGAGGGGAACCCACGTGTGCGCGACAAGGGCATCCATCTCATGGGCCTTAATTTAGACGCAACAAACACTCCGGTTTCCCACATGCCTTGCGGAGCCTCACGCCGACGATCCTCCAGCTTATTCGCTGCCTCTCTGGACCGCTCTGGAACCCGGTTGAGATGGTCCTCCGGGCGAATAGCTGGCCAGTGGCACTCGAGGCACTGTACAGCAGCAGACTGGGGAGGCGAGGCACGCTCGAATACGAAGCGAGGTAATCGCGAGCAATTCCGCCTGTGTTGAGGCCGTGAAGTCATCTGCTCAAGCTCTCCATATACACTGACTCTCGGCCGTGAACAAAAACAGACAGAGCTCGTGGGAGCTTCGTCTGGACATGGCTCACCTGGATGATAAAGCAGCAAACCGGGACCGACCTCCCTTCCCCGCGGCCGACTTGCTATCACTGCACGCATAGCAGCACCTCAAATCGGCCGTTCCCCGCATGGAAAGGAAAACAAACGCACATTGGGGTAAATACCTACTCCGTATGAAGGTCAGAGATTGGCTTGAGTCGTTCCAGCCCAACCGTCGCCACCGTCTGCAATGGCCGTCTTTTACGCACGGCAGTCTCCATAACTGGCCGGAGAGCATCCCGATTCGCGCTGTTGTGCTACAACGGGGGCATGAGGGAACGACATGCCAGCAGCACACGCTTTCTATTGGCCCCTCACGGGGCTCGGGGTGGTAGCCGGTCAGAGAAAGGACGTTGACGTTGGGGCTACTACTACAACTCGCTCACGGCCTTTGTCGGTAATATCAGCCGTTTCCGCGTGCCTTGTCGGCGTCCAGGAACCCACTGATTTCCCTTGACAAGCGAGGTGCTTTGCAATGATGTGCTCGCCGGCCGGGGCAAAACGGCCAGAGGCCAAAGGCCAATGACAAGCATTCACGTTACGTGCAGCTGCGCATGCAGTTCTCAACGATGGGCTGGAACAGTCCATGATGATATGCCAGCATGAGCAAGGTGCCTTATATGGCAACACGTGGTGCCATCATGCAGAGCGAGCATCTTCGACATGTTTGTCTACCTGAAGTCGACCCGATCTGTCACGCCGTGCTTTCATTCGCTTCGAAAGAGTGCATACAGTCTCTACTAATAGCTGGCAGCATTGCGTTACTAGTCCAGGAAGTGGAAATGTCTTAGGCGCAACCCGGTTTTGCCTACCTATGCAAAGCAGCACGGGGGATGTCCTCCTACTTCCGCTGGATCCTCCTTTGTGCCCGAGACATATATACGGGGACACCAAGACGTCAAATTAATGATTGCCGGGCTCGTTACCAGACCACCAAACGCGGTTGCAATCTGCTTCTTCCTCTCTTGTCTGAATCCACAGTAACCCACTGCCAGAGTCTCGACTGGCTTTGAAGACTCAACTTGGACGGTCCTGATCTTTTATTCTGCGTGATACGAGACCCATAGCCGGACTACCTGCTCATCTACTTCAGCCTTGGGTTCTCGCCTAGCAGGATCCCCCCCCCTCCCCCACGCTCATACTTTAGTACCCCGTGCGAATCAGGCGTATCAGCCCGGTACTTGGAGCGGTGAGTTTGAAGCTGCTACGATTTGCATGAGCAAACATGCGTATACAGGGCGCTAATTGATGGCCAGCTTTGATTTTCGCGGGCTGCCTTGCCGGGGTTATGGCAGTCATTGTGTCATTGTCTCAGATGCCTCGAAGTCTCTACGAATCGCTCTTTCACGGAGACACTTTTCCATCCTCGCATTGCTGGGTGACATTGAGTCTCCTCCCTTGCTTCTAACCGACCCTCATGCTTTGATAGCTCGAAATGATTGCCTGGATTTGTGTCCTGGCCGTTTGATGTGCAGATACGCAGACCGAATGGAACCTCTTGGCCTATTCTGACGAGGAGGGACTCTGGTGATGTGGTGATCATGACGGAGAGGTGGAAACGCCAAAGCCATCACTCGACTTCCGAGGCTAGGGTTTCCGTGGCTAGAAGCTCTACGGTTCTCTCGCCTCTTTCTCGCTCCTCCTGTGGCCGTCTTTCTCACATTCCAGAGCTGGGGGCGAGAGGAGGGAGGGGAGAGGGCAAGAGGAGCTAGACTCTGCTTTTCCCTTGCACCCTCTAGACCCTCAAGATGCTCCACGCAAGTCAGCTAAGGTAGCCACAAGATAGCCGCCGTCCCCGATGGCTGCTAGCTTAACAATTGGTGCCCTCAGATTGGCCATGACCGACCTGGTATGTCATGCAGGTCTGTGATGAGTCCAATGGACTGTATGGATACGCGCCATGGAGGAGGAGGAGGTGGAGGAGGAGGGGGGGTTGAGTGTCCACGCAAGCGTGCTCGTCTGTCTGATCTCCCAGACGATGATCAGCTAAGCCAGTGATCTTTTGTCCAAAGAGGGGGAAGTTGATGACACCAGATCGTGGAGGTCTTGCTTTTGTTCCCCTTTGGGTATGAACGGTTGACTCGATGGCCCCGGCCTGGCAGTCAAGTGGCTTGGAGTTGTCTATATAAGAGCAAGGAAACTCCCGTTATCCTCGTCTCTTCTTCTCATCATTCTCATCCTCTTCCATCTCCTCTCCGATACACTTCAGCTAGCACTCCTCTACTGCCTCTTGTCTCTTCAACTTCTTCTGCCATCCTTTGCCCTACTTCATCCGGGAAGGCCTCAATTCTAAAGATCTCAGCACAGCAGCAGACGAAAGCTGTATCACCATCACCACCTCTGAACACATCAAGAAACCAACCATGGCTCCCAATACGCACACACAGATGCACACCATCTCCGATAACGACGCGGAAGCCGTCCTCCAGAGCACGCTCCACGGCACGCTGCAAGGCACATTCCACACCCCCGTGATGCCCACGCCCTCCATGTCCATGACCTCGTACGTCCACCCCGGCAGCAGCAGCAGCAGCAGCAGCAGCAGCGCCGCCGCCCACCAGCCCCTCCCCAACTATGCCATCGGGGCGCCGGTCATGTGGGTCGAGACCGGCGCCCCCGAGGCCGCCAACTTCCCGTACATGATCACCCACACCGGCGAGCGCTACGACATTGCCCAATACACCGACTGCAAGGCCGACTCCGGTATCGATCAGATAAACGGTGTCGTGATCGTATGCGACGCCGGCACCACGGACGACGACGACATCAAGTCGCCCCGCGGAAAGTACTTTTACCAGGGCTGCAAGAAGCTGGGCTCCGGCGCGCAGGTCAACGGCCTGGAGCTCGTCTACCACGGCGGCTCGCAGAAGGTCCCCACGCTGCCGGGCATGCCGGGCCGCTGGGACAAGGTGGACATGCTGAACGCCGAGGGCAAGGAGATCAAGGGGGTGCCCAAGAACCAGATCAACGGGGGCAGGATACGGCTGATGAAGAGGTCGGATATGGGGTCCATGAGTGGTTGATGACTTTGATATGCAACTCAGGAAGTGTTTTTCTACAATACTGACTGGTCATTTGGGACGGCGTTAAGGGAGATATCACATAGAGGAGGCATGTAGAATTGCCAATACTAGCGTTTGCAATCGTTGCATCGAATGCAACTTCAATCTGTATACCCTCCACATGTGCATCCAGCGGCACAACCAGACGAGCACAAGCTCAAGAACCGAACTTCGGGCATCCATAGGCAACTCTTGGCACTGTAAAGCCGTTCGATCGTATACTACCTACCTGCCTAGGTACTAGACTATATGTAAGTCCTACAGATATAGGATACCACTTGGGAGACACCTTCGTCCACACGGATATATACACGCCTCCAATCACCATATCCCACGTCCTTCCTTTCTCTCCACTCTCTTACAGGCTGTAGATAGCCAGCAGAAGAACGACGCCAAAGAGCAGGTTAAGCGAATGGCACCTTGGTGAGGAGACAACGCGTCAATCATCCCGACGGGTACTTGATATTGAAAACGCAAAGAAAAAACAAGATCTTTTTGTCGCTTCAGTTGAAAGAAGTATGATGAGCAGGCAGATCAGTTCGAGAAGTCGTTGGTCCATTGCCGATCCCCCTCCATCGCACCAATGCGATATCAAGGTTCTGTCACTTTGGACTGCATATCTTGGAAGATATTGCATGTATTTAGCATGAATTGGAGTTATAGCAAGCTTTGATCGATTCCGTCTAAGGCTTTTGGATTTTTTTTTTATCATTCAACCAAATAGTTGGCCTGACGCCCTTCTATCTGCATGCTTTAACATACCCTGTAAACGGTGTTTGATTCCAAGATGCCGTGACTTTTGTCTTTCACATGTCTCATTCAGTACAGGACGCAGAGAATACAGGAAAGAAAAACAAATGAACCCGCCTTCTCCAGCCAGATCTCGTATTTGCCCCCCTTAATCATTTCCTTTTCCCATCGTCCTCTGTAGTACTCCCCTACACGTTTTAACCGAGCCTTTTTTCTTTGCCCAAGAGTGGAATAATCGTACAAACGCCAGAAACCAGTCCGTCTACTCCTCCGCGTGACCCATCCGTCTTTCAAGTGGCTGATCGATTTAGGTATGTGGTGTGTGGTGTGTGATTGATTGGTGGTTGTAGTGCGTGCGTGAGCCCCATTGTCAATATCCAGTGTGCTCCTGTTCTTCACTTCTGGCGCTGAATCGTCTTGTGAGCCATCTCAATGAGACCGTCCTTGGCCTCGCTGTCGGGGAAGTCGGCAATGGCAGCAATGGCCTTCTCAGAGTAGTCGAGAGCGAGGGCTCGGGTCTGTTCGACGCCATCGCTCTGGAGCACCAATTGGCGAGCCTGTAATGCGTCAGTCAAATCTCTCCAAGGGCTGTTTATGTGCGCAGCACGTCTTCCAGCATGTATGCAAAGCAACTCACCCTCAAAACGTCCCCCTCTTGGGCAAACTTGCGCCCAACGAGAGCGCCCAGCTCCGGCGTCTGCTTCCAGGCAAACAGCAGCGGCGCCGTGGCCAGTCCCAGCTCCAAATCGGCTCCTGCGGGCTTGCCCAGGTCCTGTCCGCTTCGAGTGTAGTCCAGCATGTCGTCCACCAACTGGAAGGCCAGTCCCAGGTTCCGGCCGTACGAGTAGGCGGCCTCGACCGTGTGCTGGTCGGCATTGCCAAGGAGGGCTGCGGCTCGGCACGACTTGGAGATGAGACTGGCCGTCTTGAGATACGTCTTCTGCAGGTAGTAGCTCAGCGTCTCCTCGGACCACTTGGGGCTGCGCTCGTCGCGCTCCGTGTTCTTGAGCTGCATGAACTCGCCCTCGACCAGGTTGGCGATGACGGTGGCCAGCAGCTCCACCACCTCGGCGTTGCGCAGTCGCGCCAGTGCGACGGACGCCCTGCCCAGCAGGAAGTCGCCCGCCAGGACGGCCATCTTGTTGCCAAACTCCAGGTTGGCCGACGGCGCCCCTCGCCTCGATACGGAGTGGTCAATGACGTCGTCGTGTAGCAGAGATGCCGTGTGGATCAGCTCTGTGATCTCCGCCAGCCGTCGCTGGCTCGGGAGGATGTCGAGGTTGGCGTTTGCCGCCTCGGCCAGCTCGGCCTCATACGGCGTCGAGCTCGCCATGGGGTTGACGTCGCTGAGGATCTGCATGGGCGATATTGACGAATCGATGCCCCGCGCCGTCTCGGGCGTCGCATGGCGCGGGCTCTTGGGACACAGATGGGTTGCGCGCGACATGAGCAGCACGATGAGCGGCCGCACATGCTTGCCCTCGGCCTGCGTGTAGTACTTGGCGACCCGGTCGAGGGCTGGGTGGCCGGAGCCCAGCAGCTTGCGGATGTTGCCCGTCAGGAACTTCATCTCCTTGGCCACGGTGCGCAGCGGGTCAATCGTCATGGTGTCCTTGGCCGCCCGCTTTGCGACGTTGCCCACCATGTTGGTGGCCACCTGGACCGCGGCCGCCCACGCAGAGCCGCGGTTCGAGCTGGAGTGCAGCCCGGCCCGCTGCTGGAAGCCCCCCAGGGCCGAGATGGAGACGGCGGCAGAGCTCGAGCTCGCCATGACGGGCCGGTGGCAGACATGGCAGGTCGACGTCGCCGCTCCCAGTCGGCCGCGGAGAGCCGCCGGAGCTCCCGCACGGAGCCTCATCTGCGCAGACGGGGGAGGTTTTGCGGCAAGCCGTGCGAGACACACGCGGGCTGGAGGGATCGCGGGATTCGGGGCTCGCAGCGTCTGGGCAACTTGCTGCGGTCGGGACGTGGTCAAAAGGGCCGCAAAGTCGCGCAGTTCCGTCGTCAGCTTTTTCGTTCGTGGTTGGAGTCGCAAAATCACAGCCGGCGGGAAACTTCAGGTTTTTGCAGCGCAACTCGGCGGGACCTCCAGGCCGAACAGGCGAGGGGCAGTTCCGGGACCTATCGCAGCTGCTCATTGGCCGGCCGGCCCTGGTCGTGGCGAGCGTTCAGCAAGGCAAGCCCTGGAGCACAGGGGGGGTCGCAGGCCTGTAGCTCTGCTGCACAACAGCTCGGGTGCTGTAGCGGCGCCCTGTAAGTGCTCGAACGCCCGCTATTCAGGCTTAGCGCGCCGGACAATGAGGTAACCTGGATACCTTAGGTACAGGTACCCGGGCCGGCAATCAGAATTGGCATCCAATGTGCTGGAGGAAATGCCCCGCACCAACCATAGCCTTGTGCTTACGGCGTACAGACTAAAGAGCTGCTCGCACTCGCACTCGCATAGCATGACGGATGCTTTACATGGTCAAGACTACATGTACACACACATCTGCTCCATATACCAACAAGCTCATTGTAACAACAACAGGCCCCCATTCGCCATGGTTCTACTGACAATGACGCCGTCCATTGTGGACGCGCTGAAGCTGCTCGACGACCTGCGCGAAACAGACGAGCCCGGCAACGATGCCGGCGAGCAGCAGCCCAATCCCGAATCAGCAGCAACAGCAGCATCACCAGAGCCAGCAGTTGGCAATCCCATCTCCCACAGCGACATCATCAGCCTCCACAAGGATCTCAAGGCATCACAATCAACAACACCCAAATACAGCCTGGAACAGCTGCTCCAGGGCTCCCGCGTCTACATCCCGCCTCCTCCACCGAAACCCGAGCCAGTCAGTGCCCAACACCCCCCATGCGACTAATCACAAGCAATCATTTACTGACCATTCCAATGTACAAAACAGTCCGAGGAGTTCAAGGCCCTCATGGCCCGTCTCCGCCGCGAAGAAGACGCCCGCTCCTACGAGCGCATGATCAACCCGCCCCCGCCGCTCGAGACCTTCCAGCACCGATTCCCCCACGCCGCCGCCCACGCCTTCGCCGAGGCAAACCGGCCGTCCAAGGCGGAAGACCTCGGGGACGACGAGGTGACGGTCAACGAGATCCACCGCCAGGTGATGCTCATCATCAACTTCCTCGTCAGCATCGCCGGCGTGGCGGTGACGCTGTGGATTGCCGGCCGCTGGTGGAGCCTCTCGTCTCGGATATTCCTGTCCCTCGGCGGAAGCATCGTGGTTGCCATTGCGGAAGTTGCCGTCTATTCGAGCTACATGTGGAGGATGGGCGATGCGAAGAGCAAGCAGGAAGCGGCCAAGGAGATTAAAGAGGTTGTCCAGACGTGGATCGTGGGGCAAGAGAGCGACGACAAAAGTGATGACAAGGGCGTTTTGATAGAGAGCAAGGAGGAGGGGGAGGAGCAGGTGAGGAGGAGAATACCGACGAAATCGGATAGTCCAGAGCTGTAACATACATATGATTCCCATTTTTCTTCAATAGATATCTGCAAGCGTTGTCTGTCAATCTGTCTTACATATCATAGGTTTCTCAATGACAGTGAACACGTAACGATGCTATGATTCCATGTGATAACACGAATATGTCGTCTGCCACACACGAATATGTCGTCTGCCAGTTACAAATACCACTCAAACCGAATTGTAAACCATAAATTATTCTCGTCAAGAATAATTCCACCCCAGCCCCTTCGTATAACTAGGTACTAGTAGCAATAAGAAGTCCGTGTGCACGTGTAAGTGGCTTGAAGCGCATGTGACATCGCGTAAAGTGCCCGCCATCGCGTCTCGACGCGTCTTCCTGCGTGGGGCCCCCATTTGTATCAATTTCACCAACAGAACAAAAGCCTCGGCGTCTCTGTTCCATCCCAAGCACAAATTCAGCCGAAGCCACAAGGAAAACGATCGAACTTGCAGGAGAACTCCATGAAACGATAATAAACCACCTTTGAGAAAAAAGTCATCTCACTCGTACGGTTCAATCTGACATTTCTCATGCTGGCTGAAGCAAGCCATCGCGAATCTGGGCTATTACCACAAGCACGCGATCCGTCCGGAGTCGCCATGGTCAACTCGTCACCAGAATATTCCATGTTCGTTTTTCGCTATTTCCACATTTTCGGCTCCTGCAACTTATCCATCCGATATTCCCTAACTCATGTGCCATGCAATACAGAACAAAGCCCGGCCTGCACCACCTGCGCAAGCGCGAGAAGCCGCTGCGCACCTACGGCAGACAATCCTCCGCCTCCGAAACTCAAAGCGAACCACCGCTCAGAAGACAACGACTATCCGCTCTCAAGCAGCAGCAGCAGCAGGAGGAGGAGGAGGAGGAGGAATTCAGCTCAACTCCCGACAGATCAAATGATGACGCCCCTGAACCAAAGACCACGCCGATAGCACCCTCATCCGAGACAACAACAGCCCACGATACCCCGAGTCAAACCAAGCCAGACACCAAGCGCGCACCCTCGTCAGCCAAGGGATCCATCCTGAGCTACTTCAAGCCAGCTTCCGCTCCGCCAAAGCCCAAAGACGACAAGACATCATCATCATCATCATCATCATCCCCGCCACAGGAGTCGCAATCCCCGCCAGACGACGAACCATTAACAGCCCCAGCATCACCGCCGACGAAGCGCAAACCCTCCTCGAGAAGGAAACCCCGACTCCTCAGAATCAAACCCATCACGCACTCAACACTAGACGAACCTTTCCCCCCAGAACAACACGACTCAACCACCCGCCAACCTCTCCAAAGCACAACCTCAAACGCCCTCGCAGAAGCAGCAGAACTGGAACCCGAAGAAGCACCCTCCAGCTCAACAACTTCCACATCCTCCTGCCCATCAATCTCCCCCAGAAAAAGCTCCCTCCGAAACCACCACCATCATCATAAAAAAAGACTCGCCTCCGCCAAGGCATCGTCATCATCATCCCCCTCCGTCCAGACGACGCTCAACATCTCCGCCCGCGCAGCCTTTTCCGAGTGCAAAATCTGCGACACGGTCTGGAACCCGCTCTACCCCGACGACGTCAAGTTCCACAACAAGACGCACAAGGCCGTGCTGAGGGCGCAGAAGAAGAAGCGCGAGATGGACGAGTTATGATGCCACTCAACACACACGCACAGACACACACACACGCATACAGACGTGTACGCAGATGGGAATTGGAAAGGGCGTTGTATGAGTACTTATTGATGAGGGTAAATTGTGATTCTACTTTTTCACTGCTCTGCATGTTTGTGTTGGAAAGAGGAAACGACAGCTGCATATGATCATTGGACAACGGATCTGGCGTCGTCATCCCGGCGTGCATGGGGCTGACAGGGAGAGTTAACACTTTTGAATTACTAGCACTTTGGTTCTACATCACGTAATTCCTGGAGATCACCTCAGCATCTCGCTCTGGTAGAGGAGAATAAGCATCAAAATGAACTACCTCCTTCCAGCCTTTAGACTTCCCACTCAGACATCGACACCGTCACAGCGATGTTGACGCATTGCACCAAGAAGACTCCCTCGTCATTCATTATTACATCGTCGCAAGTAAAACTATTGTCCCAGTCCTTCTTCACAGGATATCATAACAGCGGGAAGAGAAGAAAAGGATACAAAGAATAGAAACAAGGAATCAGGAGACGCAGCCCACAGAACTCTCCGCATCATCGCCTTCCCTCCTCTTAACCATTTATGACCAGCCCTCTCCGTCCACATACTAAGCAGCCGCAGCGTTCGTCTCTCCGCTCGTAACACCGGCCTCCTGAGCCTGGTGCTTGTCGACGGGCGCGGCCGTGGCCTCTCCCTCAGCCGGCCTGCCCTGCCCGACCGGCAGCGTCGTCTGCTGCGGAGAGGTAGCCACCGGGGACGCAGGCGTCGACGAGTTGGTGCCGCCGGCAGCCGAGGTCGCGACCGGCGGAGCCGCGTTGGTAACGCCCTGGATGACCTGGAACCAGCGCTGAGCGTCGGCAGGCGTGTGGGCCTTGAAGTTGATTTCGGAGCTTCCCGTGAGCTTGCTGCTCAGCGTGCCGCTCTTGTCCTTGCCCTTGATGGTGAACTTGTCGCCCGTGGGCACGCCGATGGTGGCGTCAGGCAGGTAGATGGACAGCTCGGGCTTGGGGTCGTTGCGCGCGTCGTCCGAGTCCTTGAACTCGTGCAGGAACTTGGAGGGCGTCACGACGTAGTAGCCGGTGGAGTAGCCAAAGGACAGCTTGTTGCGCGACTTGCGCTCGAGCGAGCCCTCGATCAGGGCCTTTGTCGACGCGTGCTCCATGTTAGGGAACTGGATGGCCTCGACGGACCGCGGGGGGTCGTTTGCGCTGACGAGGCGGTCGGCGGCGCGGTGTTGGAAGTTGGTCCACTCAAAGTCGCGCGGGATGCACTGGACAGTGCCGAGGATGTCGCTGTGCAGCGCGCGCATCTTCTCGCCCTGGCCGCCGGCCAGCTGGGTGAAGCCCTCAATGGCCTGCTGGATGACCTCGAGGACGTGCGCCTCAAAGGTGCGGAAGTTGTTCTGCACGGCCACCAGGTCGTTGTGGTGGTTGTTCTCGGCAATGACCTGGTTGCTCAGGCGGTGCAGCACGCCGCGGCGCACCACGTAGGGATCGTCGTGGCTGTTCATGCGGCCGCCGTGCGAGTCAAAGGCCGCCGCCTGCTGGCCCAGCAGCTCAATGTGCTTCTGCGTCACGTTGCGCAGCTTGTCCACCTCCCTGGCGCCCGCCTGCGCGCCGCTGGCCAGCTCCTTGGCCTTGTGCTTGATCTCCTTGTGCAGCCGGTCGAGGATGGGCAGCACCGAGCCCTTGATGCTCTTCTCCGTCTCGATGTTGGTGTTGATCATGGCCTGCGTGTTGGCCCGCATGTTCTCGAAGAAGCCCGCCACGCCGCCGAGGCTCTGATCGAAGTGGTGGCCCTCGCGCAGGGGGTTCGAGATGGTCTATTGCACATGCTACACGTCAGCAAGCAAGTTCAAGAGAGCAATTCGAAATACCGAAAAGGGGTCAACACTCACCTTCAAGACCTTCTCGTACTCCTTCGCCTGGCGGCCGTGCACCTTCTCCACGGCCTCGACATAGTCCTCGAGATATCCCACCATGTGCTTCCACGCCTGCAGACGCTCCGCAAGCAATCCGGCCGTCTAACACGTTTTTGCAATAGGATTAGCCCGCATGTCCACACGCAACATCAAAATATTGTTGCAAAAGCAAAGCAAAAGACTCTGTGTCTTCTCATCCCCGCTCCCGCCTATGCATATGCTGTGCCACGTACAGTAGAGGGATCCGCCTCCGGAATAGCATCATCGCTCAGTCCCGTCGTCGCGCGCGACGGCAGCGTGTGATTCGGCGGCGAGGACTGTGCCATGTTTCTGGACAGGATATTTGTCTCCTTGTTGCTGTTTGCCTTGTAATTCGTGTGCAGAAGAGCACCTCAGTAAAGAGGAGGAGGAGGAGGAGGAGCAATCGGAAGCTAAAGGGGGTCCGTATGCGGATTCTTTCTCAGGGTGCACAATGAGAGTGGAAGCAAAAGAGTAATCAAAGACGATGTATGTATCAAGTGAAGGTGAAAAAAAGAAGAATAGCAGCAAACTTGAGTAGAGCAGCGACAGCGGCGCAATATAACACGCAGCAAACAAGTTGCGCCTGGACCCGAGGAGAGAAATGATGAAAGGTCACTGATTGCTTTTTTGCTTGAAGATCCCTGGTCAAGATTGAGGGACAAGAAGGGAAAGCTAGAACTAGCACGAGGTCATAGGCGGTCACTCTTTTGGGCTGTTTTCTCTCCTTCTCTTCCTTCCCCTTGTCATAGTAGTACATTTTTGGGAGCGGCACTATTACGATTTCGCTCCAGAAGTTGGCTGGGGGTGGCATCGAATCAAAATCGGACCACTGAGATGCAAGCCACGCCGTCGTGGGTAACAGAGAACGAAGAACAAAAAGGGTATCGAAAAGAATGGGGATGCTTTGCCACATGTGCCGGTATGTTTTAGCGAATCAAACGTATTTATCCATATCGATTGTGGTTCCATGGCGCTTTTAGCATCGCGATGGCGGTTGATCTGCAAGAGTCATGATCACACTCAATATCATGGCCGCCTCTTCTCTTGTAAGTTGATGGTGTCCTCCAGCTGTCACAAGCCCAATGATGCACGCAACAGCAGTAGCTGAACAACTGCAGCATCATCAACATCATTGCAGCTCGCCTTTCCGTCTTCAGTAACAAAGGTCATCGTCTCATTTCACCAGAGTGGGGGAACAGCTACCTAATACTACCACTCTTCGCACTCACAGCTAGGTACTAAGCCTCAGGGGATACGAATCACACAAGTACGTGTATTCGTATTCTTGTTCCACTGCCAATAGATCCCGCCATGCAGACTTTATACCCGAGGTCCAAAGAACCGCTGTGAGGCCTCTTCTCTCTCTCCCCTCCTCCAAGACCGACAGTATCGTGAAGTCTCAGATGCGGCACTCACTGCATGTTCCAAACCACCCCTCCAAATCTTGATTTCCCCCTCCATTTCTTCAGCGCCAAATCGCCCCTCTCTAGCTTCACCCTCCTTAGTGTCACCCGTGACGTCAGTATCCTTCAGCTCCAGTGATTGTTTGCCTCTGGAACGGCCTTGACTGTCCGGTGACACTCCGATCTCGACTTTGGGCCAATCTCTATCTTGTTCGACTCAATCTTTGTCTGTTCTGTCAATGTCTTCAATTGCGTCAGATACGGCCATGGCCACCAATGAGGATCAAGTAACATTTAGGGTCCCTGCATCAAGATTTGGCCCCTGAGTGATGAGGGGCTTATCAAGACGACCATGCACCAGCCAACTTCTTGTCTGCCAGCTTGACGATATCACAATCAGGGCATACAAGTTGTAGTTGCAAAGCAGTTGAAAGTAGCAGGGAGTATCCATTCCATGTTTCTATACACTCAGCAAGTGTAGATTGACCCTCATACTAGCAATTCGAAAAATGATAGCCTATAAAGCAGTAGTAGTATGTGTAAGAAATTGTCGCCAAGACACTGACCAGCCACCCCCTTCATGATACTGAACGCCCGAACCAGGTCGTCATAAAAAAGCCAATGAAAACAATATAAAGTCATGACAGCCTCTATCCGCTCATACCCAAGTCTATAGTTGTATCCTGAAATTGGCACGCATAACTCGCTGACGCCGTCAAAGCCAACCAACCCGCAATACCCAACCAAAACTGACGTGAGAGAAATGCATCGTCGTATATACCGAGAAAAAATCATAAGAAAGGAAACAAGGGAGGGAGATATTTCGCTTCATAGAGCGGATGAGTGTTGTTGTGCTCGGTTCACTTTCAGACAGCCTGGTCTCTGGCACGGAAAAGATGTAGCCTCCGGTGCATCGAGTTGTCATCCGACTGAGATCGGGCCATCGGCGGCGACAGGGCCCGAGCGACACTTTGAATGTGCGACTCCCGGGCCTCATGAGCCTCGCCAGCTGCGTGCTCAGTTATTGTCGACAGGGCGTCGTTACTACCGCTGAGCTCCATATTCGGCGGCGTCCGCGGAGCGCTCAGGGCGGTCTGGTAGTCGGGGGCAGAGAAGCCCGTTGAGGTCCGAGATCGTGCCGGGGTCTTGACCGCTGTCGAATAACTTGGCACCCGATTCAGTTGGGCAAATTCGGCCACGTCTACTTGAGCTCGTTCTCCTGAGCTTCGGGCACTGGCTTCCTCCTCTTCGCTGTTTGTTCGACTCAGATGAGCCGGGGTCTGTGCCGTGGGGGATGTGTGAGACGTGTGGCTTGTTCCGTGCGTAGGTGAGGCTCTGCCAGAGGCGGCGTGAATGGATTGGTACGAGCTGTTTCGCTGCGACTGATCCAGAGAGACGCTCGCGAGTCGAGATGAGAGCGCCGCCGGCGTGATAGGTGCGCTGTTGGCCAAGGCCGCCAAGTTCTCCGAGGAACCCGTCCGTGACTGTCCGAAGTAGGGGCTGTTGAAGCCAGAATGCACAGCCGGCGTCTGGAACCCGGTGACGTCCATCTCGTCATACAGTTGGTCGAGCACATGTTCGCCGTATCCCGGAGGTGCCATTGATCCGAGATCCTGCTCGAGGGGCGCGCCGCCGGGTGCCTGGTTGACCAGGTTGCCCTGTTCGTCGAACGGAATGTTGGGCGAGATGAAGATGGAAACCGGAAGCGTCGCTCGCAGCTGTTTGCGCACATTAGTCAATGTCTCACCTCACAATTGCGAGCTGAGCTGAGCCAGCCCACACAACCCGCACCCGGTGAAACAACTTACCTCGGAAATGTGGCCATCCGGGTTCTTGAGTGCCACGGTGAGCTTGATCTTGTGCCTGACCCTGATTCCGTGGTGGTTCAGGTCCTGGATGCACTGGCGCAGCTTCTTGGGCAGAGCAAGCGGGCTATTGATCAGCCAGCCCTCCTGCCCGGTGTCCTCGATCATGTCGTGCCAATGCTCCTCTCGGGTGACAGAAAACTTCCACGTCGCCACGTCGCGCTCTGTGCGGTGCTCTCGCATGTTGAGGCCACTCGCTCCCTGGATGAAGCAGTCCCGTATCTCAACCATCTTGGCGTTGATCTCGCCTATTTCGAGTCCCTTGAGGAGCGGCGAGAATCGCATTTCCATGTTGATGGTGCCGCCAAAGACGACGGCCTTCTGCGGAATGACAATGGAGTACTCAATCTTGTTGGGCCAGATGTTCTCGACACTCATGGCGTGCAGGAACTCGAGTGCGCCGGGCTCGAGGGTTCGGATGATGCGGAGGTGCTTGTATGCATGCAGGTCGTAGGCGAACTTGCCGCGGCTGACGGTGGCCTTTAGCCGGTATGTGATGGATGCCTCGGGGATGCCCTCGACACTCTCGGGGGTGTCACCAGGCAGAAGATACTCGAAGGGATACTCGTAGTTGCCGGCGGGCAGGGTCATGCTCTTGCCGTGGGTGCCAACAAAGGGCGGGAATCTGTGATCGAGGATGTTGACGGATCGGTCGACTCTTTGGCCGGTCACGCCCGGCGTGCTAGATCCAGGGTCAGACCAACTACAGAGAGAGGTGGCAGGGTTAGAAACGCGGTACACACTGGTAAGGCGAGTGGTTGATTCGGGATTCATACTGCAGGCGGAGAGTCCCAATCAGACGCAGGTGGACGTCCTCCATGCGCAGGGGCGAGGACAGACATAGTACGACGACGCCTTTGAGGAGCTGTCCGGACGATTCCTGTTCGTTTCCGCGGAAGACGATGAAGTCTTCGTCTAACCTGAGGGAAGAGAACAGTTAATACGATAAGACTTTGCATGCATTTGCGTGGTAAACATTGTCGCAAAAGCGAAGCGTGCGCCGGGAAGCGCTGGCCGTGGGAGGGAAGCGATAAGATAAACTCACCTGATATCGAATAGACTGTAGCTATGACGTCCCGTCACCGAGGAAAAGGGCTTAAAGGACGGCATGGCTCCGGGATGGCAGAGCCGCAATTGCAGGAATAATCAAAAACCAACGACCTTGGAAAAAATCCCGAAGGGAAAAAAAGGAAGAGATGGTTTAAGAGACGAAAGAAGGAGGACGAGGAAAAGAGGTGGAAACCCCGAAAATGCGCAGACAAGCCAAAGCACGCAGACGATTCGGTTTCGGTTGGGTCTAGAGGATTTCAATGGGCTGACACGGAACAGGGACAAGCATGGGCTTGGAAACAAGGTAAAAGTCGGCTCGTCTTCGTCCGTCCCGAAGCCTCTGACACACACAACACGCGCGCACACACGCTTCTTCTCACACGCCGTGCTCTGACAAAGCTGAGTGGCTAGGCGTGGGAACGGCCCCTAGATCGCTTCGCCTCTTCGGCCGTGTGGCCCCGAAGAAAAAGGGCCCAGGCTGATAGCGGTGGGGCGCGAGAAACGCCGCTGAGGGCAAAAGACAGGACAAGGGTCTTTTGCGTCAAGAGCCGGGTCGAGTCGAGTCGAGGCGATTCGAACGGGACTGAATCGAACCCGTTGGCTCGCAGGCAGCTAGCACGGCGAGTTGCCCGGCTTGGTGGATCCGATAATGGCTTAATGCGAGTGAAGGTCCTGGACCGTGATCAGATTGCGCAATACAAGGGGCTGAAAAATTGTGACAAGAGAGTAGAGATTCTCGAGGCACTAGTAGTAGGAAGACATGATAAGGATGGAGCGAGGCTGGGCGTGGGAGATTGGGAGGAGTAGAGAGAGAGGGAGAGAGAGAGAGGGAAGAGGAAGAAGAGAAGAATCGAGAAGATGATGAAGCGGGAATGGAGTTGAGATAAAGGGCAGGCAGATGGTTCGGTAGATAGATTGTACGTAGTATCAATGTGTACTATAGGTAGGCATGCAGCTATAATAGACGACTGGGCACACGGGATGGAGTGACAGGCCGAACAAGCATCCATCCATCCAGCCGTGGAATGAGGAAGAAAAAGAGGCTTTCTTCCAGGCGTATGAGCCAAGCCTCGGGACAAAGCCCGCAGGGTTCGTGCCTGTGTCTTGTATGAGCAGTTCGCGCAGCCACATGTGCAAGATGTCGGGGACCAGCAGCAGGGAGGTGTGGAACGGGGTCTGTTGACAGGCAACTCGGTCCGTGGCTTCGCTCACTTTTAACGCTTCCGCATCCGTATCTGCTACAAAAACTGATATCCGGGCAGTCAAGGCTTGGGAGTACCGGTACCGAGGCCGCAGGTAATAGTATTGCTGCTGTAGCGCCGGCTACTTGCTGGGAGCATCATGTGTCAATGACTGCTGCTGGCATACAAGTACTAGGCCGATAGCATTATTACTCCTACGGGAATAAAGGCTACTACTGTATACTAAAATACTACGCCGTATCGGATCCACGAGGCGGGCGCCCGATAGAGGCATCGCATCGGGTTGCGCGATGCGGCACTTGAGCATGGTTGGTGGAACGAGCCCGGCAGGAAACGTGCATGTGAACCGATCTCGTCACTTTCATTTCCTGTGTCTGTGTCTGTGTCTGTGTCTGTGTCTGTCTGCTCATAGTACACATTTACCTCTACACACTGTCGTTTTTCACCGTCACATTCGAGTGGGCAAAAGACTGCAGCGACAGGCCACAGCGAAGAGGGTCATCATCATCATGCTGGTGGATGGAGATGGAGGCAAATTGGATCTCTGGAAAAAACAAGACAAAGAGAGAAAAAGCCCGCTCCGTGACCCGGCCTGCCGAGTGCCGGCGGCGGGCTTTTCATCGACGATGCTTGCTTGACACATGCATATACATACATAGAAGCAGGCCCATGCGCAGTATCCCTCGTACCGACATGTGAGGTGGCCATCGAAAAAAATGGAAGCCCAAATGGAAGCCCCGAAAACGGAGCAGTGCCGGCGGCCAAATACCTGTAGAGATTCAACAAGGCCCTAACAAGATACCAATTTAAGCGCTGGCCATGAGTCGTGGCGCCTTCGCCCGTCAAGGGGAAACGCCGCCGTCAAAATGACGCCAGGGACTGTGCTTCTTTTTTTCTTTTCCTTTTTCTGAGCGGCGCAAACGGAACGGAAGGGCCTTTCACTTGCAATTTCTCCGTTTCTTTTCTTTTTCTTTTTCTTTTTTTTTTGTCTTGTTTTTGGTGGATTTCTTATACTGGTGAGAATGAAGTAGAATGTGGAATTTGAATTTTGTGGTGTGCTAACAGATCCCTGTACTGATACCGACTTCAAGCACTGCCTTGACTGCGTATTCCTGCGTGCGAAAGGCGTCTGGCGAGGTATGATGGCGTTTTACTCGACGGCTGCCTTGCGCGCAGGTGATGAAAACAGAACATACGCAACGGATACGCAAACAGCATCAGAAAACCAGTAATTACAACTTGAATACCTATGGAAATGCACTGCCGCTGCGGGTCGACAACATCCACCTTGTGTGCACTGACAGCGCAGTGGTGATGGTGGTAGCTTGGCTTCCGTGCTTCTATGCGCCTTCGTCAGTGTATTCCTCCGTGATACCACCCACACTGCATTTGCTTCCTTTACGGTTATTTTCTCATGCTTCTGCTACGGTAGCATTGTCTACTACGGCCTCTGATCACGATGACCTCGACCATCAGGCTCATCACATTGTATCATCTCGCGTGAAGCAAGCAGGCTTGAGGCCCGGCCCCGGCATCGGAACGGCCACCGGCCATCTGCCTTCTTAGGTCGTAATATCACGGCACCAATTCAATAGGCAAATAACAGCCGGCACCTGCAAACGACAAGACGGCTATTTGCCCAACGGTACCGCTACCTCCCAAGCAATCCTCCAAGCACTTGGCAATATCGACCATTGTGCTTGTATGGATCGACCTGCTCTGCTAAGGGGGTGCATGGTGAGGCTGAGCTGCCTGCATGCGTCCTCTTGTCCTGCCTCCTGCATGGCGCTTCTTCCAACAATGGCGGTATTAATACTGCGGCTTACCTCTTCCGCTTGGCCAGTTATAGTAGTAGCGAGTGCGACGACGGGTAAATCTCTCCTTCACAGCTCGTCACGCCCAGCTGACCCTCTTCCACCCAGCACGAGTTCTGCTAATGTATGTGCAAGGCACCGAGATGTCAGATTCAGCAAGCAAAGCCTGATCTGTCACGCAGCGTGCCCTTCAGCCGGTGGCTGCAAGGCGTCTTGCGATAATAAACTCACTCAGCTCGCCTCCTAGAGCTCAGTCAGCAGCTCAATCTCTCTTGTGCGTGCTGCGTTACTTGACACTTGATACGTACTAGCCATATCATGGCTATCGTGCTTCTGCAGTGCGGTGGAGTCGTCAACACGGCGATTCTGTCGCTAGTCCCTGCCGCTGAGGCTTGGCTCTCGATGGCTATCAAATCGCGCCTTGCCGCGGCGTGGCCTGTAAGGCTTAGGACCTCCTCTTGTCGTCTTATAAGGTAATCCATACAGTACATGTACAAGCTCAGCATCAGCCGCCACGTAGGTAAGATGAGTGGACAGCAAACCTGAACCTCGCCATCACATGCAACCGACTGATACCAAAGTTAACAAAAAGCTCTCGCTACTGAAGCTGAACAAGCTCCTGACCATCTTACAACCGATACTATCTACATACCATGAAACGCTTCACGCTCCTCTAGCTACCCATCACGAGGCAGAGCTTGTATCAAGCAGGCGGCAGCTAGCTTCGGGCGTCAACATCGACAAGCTCCCCCCATCTCCAAGGGAAAAACGAGCTCTCGATACCGAACCGAAGCACCCATGTGTGTTCCAGTCCCAAACCAGGGGTCCCATGAGAAGCCCTCCTCTAGCTCAATGCCTAGCCCGATAGCTTGATGCCGCTGATCGAGTGTCGATGCTATCAGTGGAAACGCCTCAAGGCGGGCCGAAGAAAAAACAGGGTCCTTGGTACACGTATCGTCCACTTTGGAAACCGAGCTTGCCAGGGGGGGTCCCAAGCAGGGAAGCCGAAGCCAAGAGGATCTAACAAAGAAAAAGTAGATGAGCCAGAGTCCAGATTCTTCACGAGACGAAGCCATACTCGTCGTAGCGCCAGAGATAACGAAGAAAAAGCTTCAAGCAGCTGAGTCGCCCACCGCCTCCGTTCTCCAGCAGAAGCTCCCTCCCCGTCCCTGACCTATCGAGGGCAGTAGTAATACCACCGAGAGAAGAAGAGGCCCATTGTTTTGAAGAAAAATTTCCCCCTTGCCTCTTTCTGCGCGTTTATGCCTCTCCTTGACTCACGCCGCGCTTCACCTTGAAATTTCAAGATGGATACTCCGTCCATCCAGGTACCTACATACAACGTTTTATTATTATCACTCGGATACTACCTTGACCTTGACGAGCTCCATAAGGGTAGTGGATGTGATCTGCGAATCCTAGATGCCGCCTCGACCACGGGATGGGTGACAGCCCGTCAGAAATGCTCCTAGCCTTGCAACGTTGACACTTTGGACGCTTTGTTGCAGAGCAAACTTTTTCTTTCCATCTCAACAATTTTGCAAACTGTTTATTCCCGTACCAACACACCCTTCAAGTCTTCCGTTCTTGGAACCCCCCTTGCGGTCCCCTTTGCTCTGTCCAGCTCTAGTTGCTTATTTGCTCCTTGCCAGTGGTCATTCAGTAGAGTACAAGTCATCATCTCCCCATCATCTTTTGCGTCTGTAAACTTGAAGCTCCCGGATGGCCCTCGCCCGGAGCCCACATGTAGCCGCCGGCCGCACAAATTCTCAAACTCACAATCTCGCACTAAGAGGCCCAATCCCGACCCATCTCCAAGAATCTCCGACTCCGTAATAGCCCGATGGTCAGTACTAAGACTACTAGCAGTTTACTTAGGCAAGGTACCAAGATTTGTCTTCGTACGATCACGATCGGTATTACGGAGTCTACATCTAGCAGCAGAGAACCCGCAATTGCTCCGAGGACATGGGAAAGCCAAGTCGGCTATTAGACCGAAAATCTCAAGACCACCGACTATCAATCTCAAAAAAACAATAATGGTCTAGAGACGAAAATCGATTATTTCAGCTCATTGCCTGAAATCAATGTAAGAAAAGGGATGGTGGCGCCATGGGGAACATGCTTCGATAAATATGCAATGCGAGCATGACATCGGACAACATATGATCAGATCAGATGCAGCAGGCAGCCAAATATTCTCCTAGAATTGCTACCACACAGCGTAGCATTTTTCTCAAAGAGAGAGAGAGAACACGCACACACAAGTATACAACACAATATCATCAGATTCGCACAACTTCCGGGAACTCGGGGCTACAGGGCCCAAGGGGCTTCCAGACTTTTCGGAAAGAGTCCTCCGAAATGTACAAGGAGTCGCAACTCGACAGAAAAAGGAAAATAGAGGAGGGAAAAAAAGATAATCATGTAAAAAGGAAGAAAAGATCGGTACCTAGAACCAGGAGGAGTCGTTTTGAAAAACCCTACCGCCATGCATAAACAAAGGGGCCGAATAAGGAGCTTCCATGCCTCGAGGTTTCACATGCCTTGTTGCCGCGTCTTACAACTCAAACGAGATTCTCCGATACGAGACAGAAGCTCGGGATAATACAAGGTAAAACGTATTGAACAGGCAGAGCATGAACACGTGCGTTTGCCCGTGCCATGAGGCCCGTCGAATGACGTTGACGAAGCTTATCCAAACAGCTAATCAGCCCATCATCCCATCCCGACGCGACAAGGGGGGGGAGGGGGGTCCTCGGATCCGCAGGGGAGCGCCCGTACCGAAGCAAAGGACTCGATGTATGTAGGCAGTACATCTGGCGTCGGCACCTGTTCGGATGGGTCCCGTGGATCGATTGGGCCTCGGATACACGGAATGTGCTGTGCTGCAAGTGCGTGTATGTGTGTGTATGTTCACTTGTTGACCCTTGGGTTGTATCAGAGCAGGTATGTACGGAGGAGTATCACTGTTGAGACGAAATCAGGTAATGGGGGCAGCTCTTCGACAGCGACGAGTTTGCACCAGGTTGACCACAATGTCCAACATCTAATATAGATTGATTGGAGAAAAAAAAAACACTACAGAATAGTAACGGGGCCCAAAAGGGGTTCTCCCAATGAATCAAAGCAGCCATCCCAGGCCAAACACCAGGCAAAAAAACATACCTCGCTCGCCCAATTCTTGGCCGACGGGACACAGAAAAACACCAAATACAACAGACAGAGCGCGCAGTTGGAACGCCTAATCTGTCCGATCTCTCATCACCCCCTCACTCGGTTGCTGGCTGAACGCCTGGTCTGTTCCATGTCCTGACATGGCCTGTACGGTTCGTGTCCGTTAGCCAATAAAACGGTTCCAACGATATCAAGATAGAGCTGACGACTTACCGTTCTTGCAGCTTGTGATAACAGCGTCTTCCGTAAACGCTAACCAGCAGGCGGGGTGGTTATCAATCACATGCGTCTGTCAAGTATCAGATCAGTTGATGCACATATCGGCTTGCTAGCTTCCGGTAGACTGACCAGGACAGGCGGCAGCATTGGTATCACGGCACGGGGCTGGACGGGATGCGCAATCACATTCTCCTCCCACTCGTCTTCCGCACCCGAACCCCCCTTGGCCCCCGAGTTCGCCGAGGTATTGGTGTCCGTTCTGTGTGGGGCCGTGATTCTTGATGATACTGATCCTCGATGGCGAGCCGGGGCCTGTGCAAAGAAAGGGTAGAGAGCAGATGATTAGCTGAGCGGTTCAACGTACGTGTACTGTCACGTCTGCCAACTTACGGCGGTCTTTGGACGGTGCAGCATGCCCACACTGAAATCCCACAGGCAAAGTCGTCCATCTTCTCCCACGCTACCAAAGCGGTAGCTTCGGTCGTCACATCGCCACAGGTCGAATGCGAGGGCAGATACCCAAGATCGGTGGCCTTGGCATCGGGCAACAAGTGCCGAGTCGGCCATCGACCATATAGATATCAAGTCGTCCTGGCCACCGGTGAGGACGTACTTGCCATCTGGCGTCCAGCAGACGCACGACAGCCCTCCGTAGTAAGAGTAGTATAGATCTAAGAGCCTGTTGAGTCTGTTAGTGGGCCGGTGCAAACCAAGCATCATGGCACGCGCCGCAGGGTCGCTTACTCTTCCCTGAGATAGTCAATGACTCTCAGCGTCCCATCCTCCGACACTACAGCTAGATGCCGGTTATCAGGCGAAAAGGCAAAGGCGTTTATCCGCTGGTTCGACAGTTTCCAGGCAGCCACCGGGTTCGTCTTTTGGTTCTTCGAGTGCACCGACTTGTTGATCCTGATTCCGTTGCCGTGGGCTGATCCGTTGGAAAGCTCTCCTTCGCTCCCACTGACACTGGCATTCAATCCCTCTTCCTCAGGATTCAGATGGCCATCTTCCTTCTCCTTGTCATACACCACTAGCAGACCATCCATATGCGCCGCCAGGAACAGGTTTTCAGAACCGGGAATCCATCGAATCTCTGATACAGGTGTGTTGTTTATGATTCCCTGCCTGACGTTAGCGGACTTCCTAGTCGATCAACAAGGCGGATAGTCTTACATTTTTGTTGAGACGCGTATATCGCTGGGAGATGGGTTCCCACCAGATGATTTCACCGGTGGAAAACCCCATAATCACGTCAATATGCGAAACGCTCTTGGTCACCATGTTGACATCATGGCATAGGCAGTGAGCCTTGGTAAACAGAATCTTAGTCAAGTAGTCTTGCTGCGTTCGACGTTAGCCTAATCAATGCAAGACTGACAAATACCCATGTGCGTAGCTGCAGCTCACCTTGGTCGGTGATGACATGTCCAACCACTGAAAGGCCCGGTTGATGTTGGCAAAAGCAAAGAGACCATCAGACGGGCGTTCCGTGAGCTTTCGTGCGAGGTTGTCATTGACAATCACACGCGAGATGAAGGACGAGTTGCTCTTAGTCACGTTGTTCTTGGGCTTCTTCTTCTTGTTCACGTCCTTTGAGACAGTCGGCGCCAGCAACGAGTTCCCTTCCCCGAATGCAGGCGCAGGACCCAACGTGATGGACCCAGTCGGTACCTCGCTCGACGTCGCCCGGCCGTCATCGCTACTCTTGCCCCCTTCCGTCGAGTATCGGCCCTCGCTGGGGTGCTCCTGGATGCTCGAGGTAGTGCCCCCCAGTGACAGCGTCGTAGCAGACGGGCCCTTGTAATAGAAGGGAGGTGGTCGCGTCTCCAGGCTCAAGATCGACATCTTGGTTCCCGCCGTCGCAGGTTGCGGAGTCGTAGCCAGCGGATTCGGATTGACGACCGGTGCTTCGGACGGATGAGGCGGCGGCGTGGCCAGGTGCAGGTCTTCCTTGAGTACATATGTTCCTATGCGCCGCTCCGTCAGCCCCAGACACGCAACCTGCGCAGCCGCATTGAGTCCGACCTACCCTCTCCCACCAGGAACTGATATTCGGGCCCGGTCGGGTTCGATAGAGTGTTGTTGGTCTCGATCAGGGGGACGACGCCCCCGAGGCCGACGCCATAGGCGCCTGCGGGATATCGCGGAGGGGGTGGTAGAACACTGCCGTTCTGTCAATAACCGCGGAGACATGATCAGACGCCGAATCGGCGACAGGAGAAAGACGGCCTATACTCACAACATGTTGACGAATGGATTTGTGGAAAATGGGGTTGAAAAGCGCAGTATCCGTAATGACCGTCAAAATAAGGCCTCCCAGCGTTGATTGCGCCTCGTATCTGGCGGTTGATGGTGATGATGATGGATCGCGGCAGTCGCGCAAAGATGCTCGCTAATCAGTATCGGCGATTGTTATTATCTGCGGCATAGACGAGATGAAGAACGGCGTAGCGATGCAGCGGGTGTGACGTGTGACGGCCGGACGGGCGAAGGTGCTCGCGTACTGTCTACCGGGAAACGAACGGCGAGGCTGAAGAACCGAGAGGACAGGACCTGGGCATTCTCCAGAAGCAAAAGGAAGCGGCCGCCGTTGCTGGCCGGGGTCTTTATCCGGCGAGCTGAGGATAGCGAAATGGATGAACGGGCTAAGACGAAGTCGGACCAGGGGAGGAGGAATAGCGTGTGGGGTAATGATACCTCCAGTGGGGAGACTCGTGGCTTGGAGACGATGAATGGCTGCTTTGTACCACTAGAGCCCTAAGACGGCCGGTGATTGAACCCTTTAGGTGTCATGCAGGAGATGGACAGGCAAATGGGATCTCGTCGTCCGTGCTCTGGAGGGCGTGGGAGTGGCTCCGTGCGTGGTCAGATATCGCAGATTCAGGTCGTGTTCATGTGAAAGTCGGTGGCGCCATGTTGGGGTGCAACATGTTTGGACAGCGCCAAAGGGACGCAGTGAGACGGATGTATCTAGTACTGTGATACCTACATATACTCCATGCTGTATGAGCAGACATGATGGATGACACGCTTCATGGAAATCTCATGATCGGTAAGGTATTGATCGGAAACGGGCGGATATGTGAGATATCAAGCACTGCACAGCATCGGGCCAGCGCTGATTGGGCTACTGCAGCGCCTGCTGGCGACCGCTAGAGGGGTTCTGCAGCAGCCGCAGCAGGCAATGGAAATGAACTGCAGCAACCTGAAATGCTGTCTCCAGCCGTCATGCGTCACCGCCTTCCCAAATCAGCCACAGCGGCCCAACAGCCCCGCGGCACGTTCTAGTCCAGATAGTAGCTGCATCTGCACTCCTGCAACCACCGAGTCTCTGACGTGGAAGCACCAGATTTCATCTTGCGCCTGCGGCTCCACAGACCTCAGCTTGCTTGAACTTGTTGCCAGTTGGCGCCCGAAAGCGCTGAATAGATACCCGGGAACTCGCTGCTTGGACGCGGGGACATGGCCTCGAGATAACCCTGGCTTTGCAACCCGGCATCTGTCTGTCTCGAGAACCCTGAGAGCGAGCTTGCGCGATGCCGACTGCAGGTAAGAAGAGCCTCGATGTGGTGGGAGTTGGAGCATGAAGCTCTATAAACTGCCTACAGTCTGTCCTGGAACTGACATGCTCATTTATTCGCTCAGTGCGGATTTGCGTCTGCGGCGACGAGAGCACGGGCAAGTCGAGCCTGATTGCCTCTCTCGTCAAGGACCAGTTCATGACCACCAAGATCCAGCCTGTCCTGCCCCAAATCAGCATCCCCCCGAGCATTGGGACGCCAGAGAACGTCACCACCACCATCGTCGACACCTCGGCCCGACCCCAAGATCGAACGACCCTGCGCAAGGAGATCCGGAAGTGCAACGTCATTCTGCTCGTCTATGCCGACCACTACAGCTACGAACGCGTTGCCCTGTTCTGGATGCCCTACTTCCGATCGCTCGGTGTCAATGTTCCAGTCGTGTTATGCGCAAATAAGTCAGATCTGGTGGGCCAGGGCAGCACGTCGCAGGTGGTGGAGGAGGAGATGATGCCCGTCATGGCCGAGTTTCGAGAGATCGACTCGTGTATCAGGACCAGCGCAAGGGAGCACCGCAACGTCAACGAAGTCTTCTTTCTATGCCAGAAGGCCGTTACTCACCCGATTGCGCCCCTTTTTGATTACAAGGAAGGCCGCCTCAAGCCCTCCTGCGTCGACGCCCTGAAGCGGATATTCTACCTCTGCGACAAGAACCAAGATGGCTATCTTGATAACCAAGAAATGCGAGACTTCCAATCCCGTTGCTTCGACAAGCCGCTCACAGACGACGACCTTGACAACATCAAGCTTTCTATATCAAAGTCATTGCGGGGTGCAGTGGACCTATCAAAGGGCATCGACTTGAAGGGGTTCGTGCAGTTGAACAAAATGTATGCCGAGAAAGGCCGGCATGAAACCATCTGGATCATCCTGCGCAAGTTCCATCATACAGACAGCCTGAGCCTGGAGGAAAACTTCCTTCATCCAAAGTTCGAGGTGCCAGAGGGCTGCTCGGCCGAGCTCAGCCCCGCCGGATATAGGTTCTTTGTGGATCTGTTTTTGCTATTCGACAAGGACAATGACGGTGGTCTCAACGACCAAGAGCTCGAGGCGCTTTTCGCCCCTACACCTGGCCTGCCGCCCTCTTGGGCCGACTCTGCGTTCCCATCCTCGACGGTTCGAAATGAAGGCGGATACATCACGTTGCAAGGCTGGCTGGCTCAATGGAGCATGACAACATTCTTAGAACCCAAGACGACGCTGGAGTACCTTGCCTACCTCGGCTTCGAGCCTCCCAATCCAAAGGACCCCATTACCTCGGCTCTCAAAGTTACAAAGCCGCGCAAGAGGAGAAGGCGACCCGGGCGCGTCGAGAGAAACGTCTTTCACTGTTATATCCTCGGCGCGGCAGGAGCCGGAAAGTCTTCTCTGCTGGATGCTTTCCTTAACCGTCCCTTTGACGAGCTGTATCATCCCACAATCAAGCCTCGACGGGCTGTCAACAGCGTGGAGCTGCCTGGGGGGAAGCAGGTATATCTCATCTTCGAGGAGCTCGGGGAGCTGGAGCCTGCTATTCTAGAAAACCAGGCAAAACTGGATGCTTGCGACCTCCTCTGCTACGCTTACGATTCGTCCGATCCCGACTCCTTTTCTCATATTGTCGACATACGAAAGAAGTACCCACAGCTGGACGAACTCCCATCTGTTTACACCGCGCTCAAGGCCGACAGAGACAAAACCATGCAACGGAGCGAGCTGCAGCCGGATCAGTACACGTCGTCTCTGAACATGAGCTCTCCGTTGCATGTCAGCGTTACATGGAACAGCATCAGCGAGCTTTTCGTCGCCCTTGCCGAGGCGGCGGCGAACCCAAGCACCGCGTTCCCCAAGAGTGACGACGACACACCAGACAGGACAAGCCTGTACCTTACGCTAGGAGCGACGGCATGCGCAGCAATAGCGGCTGTCATGATATGGAGGCGCTCGACCAATTCCATGTAGGATATCGGTACGGGCATTATCGCATCCGTACGGATCTCTTGTCAGGCTTCCCGCCTTTACATCCTCCATACAGGATGGTGCCATGTCGCCGATTCGCGAGTCTCTGTAGCTGCGTGCTGCTCAGTTTTCGATAACAGAATGGCTTGTCTTGGTGTTGTTCTTGCGTCAAGGGTGGCATTTCTTTCGTCTTGGGGTGGGTTCTCGGGGAGCAAGCAGAAATATTAGATTGGAGCTTATGATACCCGGTTTTACGGTCATGTTAGGTACACGTTCATATGTAGCGGATTTATTGAATACAAATAACAGCCATGCCAGCCCTCCCTTTTTTTTTCTTCCAAGTTGTCATAAGCTATGAGTATATTGCGAAGCCCTTTTTACTGATGAGATGGATAAGTCGAAGACGTCATGATCCTGTAGCGATGTATGGGTCTCAGATATGCTGCCTCAACGCGGAGCACATAACCAAAACAAAACTTATACTTTGTAGAAGCAGAAGCCGACGTAAAAGCTCGCCGCCTCCATCTCCTCCTCCGAAACAAGCAGCCGCCCAGTCCCCCTCTCCCTGACCCCCATCCTCTCGCTCAGGGGCCCCAGCTCCTGATCATCCTTCTCTTGCTCCCAAATCTCGAGGAAGGGCTTGTGGAACTGCAGTTCCAGGTTGAAGTCCTCGGCCAGCGCGCGGAACGCCTCCCAAGGGACGACGTACTCGGGGACCTCCTCGACGGCCTCGTCCAGGAAGAAGTTGTACTTCCACCCAAACGCGGGACGGAAGACGCCGTCCTCGGGCGTCTTGCCGGGGAAGCGCACGCGGTATATCGAGTTGCCCCATTCGGCGGTCGGCTCGGCCTCGCCCTCTTCCAGCTCGCCGTCTTCGTGCTCTGCTGCGGCGGCGGCGGCGTCGGTGTCGGTGGAGGCCGGGGGAGGCGGCGTGGAGGTGGGCGTGGTGGAAGAGCCTTCTCCGGTTTGTTGTTGTTGTCTTGCAGCCTTTTCTTTTTCTTCTCCTCCGCTCGTCGCGCCGTTCTTGGCCTCGCGCTTGGCGGCCATTTTGGCATTGAAGGCCCGGACGCGCTCGCCGAGGACGTCCGAGTTGGGGATGCAGCCGATGAAGCGGCCGCCCTTCTTGAGCGCGCCGGCAACGTTCCTGAGCATGGTGCGGGCGTTCTTCTCGGATTCGAAGGCGTAGTGCATAGAGAACATCATGCTGACGACGTCGAAGCCGCGACGGTTCATGGTGGACGGATCGAAGCCGACCTGGCGGATAATCTCCACGTCCTCGATGCTTTCCGAGTAGCAGTCCTTGACGTGGAACCGCGCGTCAAAGAGGCGAGGAGGGGGTCTGTTGAATCGTCCTCCGCGATGGCCTCGGCCTCCGCGGGATGCCATTTGCCTGTACCGGTCTCTCGCCTGCTCGATGCTCACGTTGGCCGGGTCTAGGCCGACGTAGAGCTGGATGGGCTGCGGCGCCTGCTGCCACTTGCTAAGGTCGCCGCCCTTTCCGCAGCCAATGTCGAGGACGAGGAGCTCCTTGCCGCTAGACCGGCCCATCTCGCGCGACCCAGGCGTGTGGTCTTCGTCGGGCGAGTAGCGCTGGATGATGCAGCTCTTGATCCAGTTGTTGAAGACGCGCAGGCCCTTGATCTTGCTCTCGCGGGTGCGCCAGTCGCGTCCGCG